AACTAAATACATTTTCTTGTAGATTTCGAGCTCTAGAACTTAAATCCGACGCCAGTTTATTGATAACTGCAACCGCCTTTCCAGAATCGACCGTTAAAATATCGAATATATTAAAATTTCCAAAAATTCGCATTTTGCAGAGATTTTTACTTCCCGAGCGTAAGCAAAGGAAGTATTGTAATCGAGTCCGTCGGCCGACTCTCTACTTTTACGTTTTCTCGATCTTTCATGACCCCTAGAAGACGAAGAAATAGGTCTCCCATTTCCATCTGTCTGTCCGTCTGTCCGTCCGTCTGTCCGTCTGTCTGCCGTTCCGGATTTTTATTAGACAGATAATCTCCGAAAGTACTGGACCGATTGTTGTGAAATTTTGTAGATGGTAAAACGCTAACCAAAATTTGTCTAATCATCCCCACCACTAATGCGATGACGTCACTTCAAAATTGTACATAGTAAATGGGTCTTAAATTGTATAAAATAACATAGTCCTACACATGTAGTTTACGACTCCGAATTCAGTTTTTACCCGAAACGTCCAGATTTTTAGAAAAAAAATCCAAATTATGAAACAACATTTTGCAATGTAATTTTGAATCTACTAACCCGAATGTTTTGAAATGTTGCAGATGTTTTAAGGCTATAAAGAGCATCAGAAATCTTTAGTCAAAATATATTTGGTTATCCCCTCCAAAAACTTGATAACATCAGCTCAAAAGTTTGCCGAATAAATCCTATCTAAAATGTACAAAATGTGATGAGTCTCTTCTTGTAATTTATCATCAAATTCATATTTTTTGGATTTGCATATACAGGGTGACAAAAAAATTAATGAATGCGCAAAATTTATTTTACTGATTTACTCAGGAACTACAAAACCGAATGCTTTGAAATCTTGAAGATGTTTTAAAATTATCATAAGCATGGTAAATTTTTGATCAAAATGTATTTGGTCGTCCCCTCCTAATAAATTTATGACGTCACCACAAAATTTTGCTGAATAAATCCTATCTAAAATGTACAAAATATGGTGAGTCTCTTCTTGTGATTTATCATTCCATTCAAATTTTTTCGATTTGCATATACAGGGTGACTGAAAAAAAATAATGAATGCGTCAATTTATTTTATTGATTTAATCAGGAATTACAGCATCGAATGCTTTGAAATCTTGGGGATGTTTTAAAGTTACCATAAGCATGATAAATTTTTTATCAAAATGTATTTGCTCATCCCCTCTAAAAAATTGATGACGTCACCCCAAAATTTTGGTTAATAAATTCTATCTAAAATGTACAAAATATGATGAGTCTGTACTTGTGATTTATCATTCCATTCATATTTTTGGATTTGCATATGCAGGGTGAATCAAAAAAATTAATGAATGCGTGAATTTATTTTATCGATTTAATCAGGAATTACAAAACCGAATGCTTTGAAATCTTGGAGATATTTTAAAGTTATTATAAGCATGGTAAACTTTTGTTCAAAATGTATTTGTTCATCCCTCCTAAAAAAATTGATAACGTCACCCTTAAATTTTGCTGAATAAATCCTATCTAAAATGCAAAAAATATGATGAGTTTGTACTTGTGATTTATCATTCCATTCATATTTTTTAGATTTTCTTAAGAGGTGGCTCAAAAAAATTCATGAAGTCAATTTATTTTATTGATTAAATTAAGGGCAACACTTATTATTAGTATTACATTGGACCAACCCAATTTGGTAGACACAAAATTTTTTAAAGTAAAAACTCGGTTGAAACATAAGGGTAGCACGCTTATTTACATCGACTTTAACATTACAGACGTGCATTTGTTTTGTGCGCTGTCTAGGTTCCGCGAATGTGGAATAGACATGTTTATAATCAACCAATTGTGAATTCCACCGTCAAAAATTAAAATAAAACCCAATGTTTTATATAATAAGCGGAAGTCGAAGGAGTAAAACCGATGGTCGTTTTGTTTACAGTTTCTCTGTTTGACTCTCACGTATGCTGTTACGCTTGTCATCTTAAATTAAGAATGCTTATACATACACGATTTTCAGTTCCCTCTCATATTACACGCCGGCGCCGTATACGTGAGTAAATTGTTTCGTTATTTTATTGATTATAACAAATCAATATTCAAAACGACCCAATTCATTTTCCCGAAAATTTGGGAATACAATCATTTTATTCTTAGTATTACACTACATCTATCCCAACTGATATACGTGTCCTTGCAAAAATGTTGATGACGTCATCGCATTTTTTTTTAAATTCACACTACAAAAACGTAATGTGATAACCCAAACTTCCCGCCTTAAAATTTGACCTTGAAACAGTTTGAAAGGCCCGCGAAAAATTCAAAGTTTGGCCTTGGCTGTGATCGTCTAACAAATGAGAACCTACGTTGTGTGTTTTTTTTTTTGCTTTTGAAAAATGGCGGGAAGAAGTTCTTTCATACAAGTGCATACACTGTCGAGAGCGCAAGAAATAATTAACAGAAATTGTTTTGGAGGGGGGGGAAACGGCACCACCCTCACAGGGGGAAAGACGCTGCGAAGAATTACCCCTCAGCGCAAAAACCCCCTTTGGTTTTATTCCCGGACGACATATTATTACATTTCAAACACCTTAAGATATGTGAAAGAAACACACTCGCGAATTGGCTGAAAGAAAAACACTCGCGAATTGACCGACATACACACACGAAAAACGAACAAACGGAAATTCTGTACATCTGTTCGGAATCAATGTAAATATTTATAAATTTAATAAAACAAAGCAAAAGCTGAATCAAGTAACTGGATGCAAGTACACAAGTTATTACAGGCGTGTGGCGGCCGATCTCTTTTCCCTTTTTAAGTTACGGCAGTTAATAGGAGCACAACAAAAGTACCCCTGGAGCGTTGTAGCATAAGCGGAGTCTGAGCTACCGGTCTGGAACTGTTCTCCCCCCGCGACGATGATTCTATCTATCGCAAAGCCTACCCCACACGCATATCCCATGACGAACTTTGCCCTGCGGAACTAGGCCATTACGGTCGTCCAACCCGCAAAGATCTCGACTATTGGGCCAAATCGAGAAATTCACAACGTCGGCGGCCGCCCCCTGAATCTATCCAAACCTGTGGGCTTGTACAGGTGGCGCGATAAATCTCGCCAGCTCGACTAGGAACCGAACTTTGCTTCTGCCACGTTTTCTGTGTTATTTAACCTCAGTTCCATTTTAAAATATTCAATCTCATATAACTCTGATGTTAACAACAACTGAACAAGTGTTAAAGTTTCAAAGAGCAATAAACAACATTTAAATTCGCCATACAATCTTGTGAAATCTTAAACAACAAATAATTCTTATGTGGGATTAAAGTTGGACATCAAATAATTTATATGATAGAAAACATTCATCAACAAAGTATTTACAAAACAAAACTTAGCAAGGATTTATGAGACGAAAGATCTGGTGTGAAATAAACTTGTACAAATAGAAATGTTATGTGAGGTTAGAACTGTAGAACATGAAATTTACGTTCAATTAAATTTATACAACAAATAAAATTACTGAGGTTAAAATTGTGAGATTAAAGAAATATTGTATGATGTGAAAATTTGCCACACTTTATCAACAGTTGAAACAAAGAGTTTACATTATGCCAAATTATATCATGATCTAAATGATTGGTTACTTCAAAAATAATTTACTTTGAGAAGTTAAAATACTACGAACTGGTTACCCCAACAAAACACATAAACAAACAAACACAAAAATATCCAATCATCGCTCCGAGGGAAAAAGCGTCTCGGTGATGTAAATATCCAAAATCGTTGCGAGGAAAAAGCGTCTCGGTAATGTGAATTTTCTGTAGCGTTGGGGGCATGCCTTAATTAATTAATCAATCTGGCGTTGCGAAACATGCCCCGATGAATTAATCGTGATAACGATGATAACCACCTAAGGGGAGAAAATATCATAACCCCCCCGCCAGTCCGCAGTATAATGAACTTGTTTAACTGCCGTAAATGAACTATTAGCAATCTTGTGTGAAGAATTTAGAAGTGTTATAATGTAACACTTACGTATATGCATCCAGAGACCTATTCGTAATTAAACACAAGGTGTTTTTTCCTGACCAAGTGAATTTCATGAAATCTTCTAGCAAATGGTTAATTTAAATAATCCTGATTGTTAAATTGTGTTTGCACTAGCTGACTATTAAGAAAAACTAGCTTGATTGGTGAATTTACAAACAAAGAAACAGATTCACAACACGTGTTCGCGTCCGACCGGAAGTCTGCAATTTTCGATTAAAGGGGCGCAAGAATTTACCGCGCGGGTTGGGGACAACTGTATCATTATGAAAAATACGTTTGATCGTCGTTAAACAAAGGCTTCCTCCCGTTTTATTAACTACCAAACCAACTAATTTAAACCTAGCGCTTACCACGTGGTTACACTTACACGAAACACACCAGAAAATGACACATTCTACCGCCATGCCGCTTTTCTACCAACCCTCTAACTGAAATTACCCTAGCGCTACGTGCTGCCATCTAACCCAAAGATCATGCAAACTAACTCCTAAGCGCTACGTGCATTAGACCATCCATGCATATTTGGTTGCCTATGTTTAAGGATTTCCTTTTTGTGATTGAACTCTTTTTTTTTTCAAATTAAAATTATTCAAATGTGATTTCGCGCCGTTGTCAATTAATTTCAGCGCGAAAAGTTTGATTTAAATTCGGTCACCACAGTAATGAGAAAATAAACACAACAGGCATGCAGTCGTCAAGTTTCCGACAGCGAGGGAAGTACTGTCTAAACTCTTTAGACCATTTTTTTGTAAATTATTAATATATTCAAGCAAAACATTTTTATTCAATTTTGACGTTTTAAACTGCGTTTATTAAATCCTTAACAAGTCTGACAAATAACTTGTTATCCACAAGTGAACTGCAAAATTTTTAATTCACTCTTAATATTTTTAAATCACTCACAAAAAAATAAAAAACAACTTCAGGAACATAAACATTTTGCTTATTATTTTTAATAGTTTTCACAGAATACAATTTGTTTACAATTTTCACTAAAAGGTTGCTGCAACTAAATCAGTATTGTTTTGGCTGTGAGGCGTCAATTTGGGAATTGTATAAATCCCACACCAATACAATTCCAAAGAGCGTTTCGGGAACTATTTACTACAGATTATTTCAATACAAGTGCAGGAACCAACTGTGAAACACTATTTTATTTGAAATGAAAAATTTGCTAAGGTGTTCTTTTAAACAAACTTCCACAACACATCTTCCCTGTATTCTGGCCTCTTCAACAATCATTAAGTGATGTGAATTACCGGAAACTCAACTGGAAAGAACAACTGTTTATGGTATGTTTGTGGATACTCATTAATACGAAAATTCTTACACCACCACTTCTGTGAAGTGTGTGTGAACTTTGCACATTCTTACGAAGTGGTACATCCTGTTTTAATTGTGTGATATTTTAAACTCTTCAATGAAGATGTGATTTTTGGCGATTTAATGATGCCATCTGAACATTTTGCAGTTTATACTCCAGTAATGGGTAATATATTTTGTGAGTTTTTCCCAATTTATCCACTATAGTCGTTAACTGGTTTGCGGCTAAAAAACGAACCATAAAAAATACCATTCCACCACCCCTGCAAAGACATTCCTCTTGATTACCTCGTTTCACTTTTTATTAAGGTTAGTATTTTTTACACTAAAATTTAAAAATAAATCTTGGACCGCTCAAACACGCACACATCGAAAATTAAACTATTTTGTTTAACCTCCAGTTTGTTGACCTCTTTAGCCTGTAATTTTCTAGTATTTTTTACATGTATCGTAAGTATCTATTACTTTGTTAAAATAAATTTTACGTTTGTTTTTAACCCCATAACCCAACATCCCGTATGACCCCGTAACTAATATGACATTTCTTGTTGACAGAACGACAGTTCTCAGATGATTCTCAGTTTGTGCGAGGTCTAGCATCTTTGTAAAAACAGGTATTTATGGTTTTGTTTCCATATGATAATAATTTTACGAATAAATTACAATCAATGTGGTAAAATTTTACAAAAGGCACTTCTCGATTTCGTAGAAACTGTTTGCACAAATCTTCTACAGCACCCTCTGATCACGTTCCTCACCTTCAAATCAATTAAAATGTTGTGCAAATGTTTCCTTTTGTTACAAAAAAGTTGTTAAATTTCCCATTCGTGCACAGCTGTTACGAACATAGCCTAACTTTTTATAGTCATCAACACTCGTGGATGGTGTAAAGCAGAGGTGTAAAGTCGAGTTTTTAGTGGGGGCAGGGGGCTTCGCGCCCTGCATCCCATTACAGACATACCCCTAAACATAAACGTGGAACTTCTTTCTCTGTGGGTCATTTAACTGTTGGAATTCGTGCGAGTTAAGTTGCGTGTGTAGTTGGTTGCCTGCATTTGACGCAACCAGACGCAACCACAGATTACGGTTACGGTTATCCGTAATCTGTGACGCAACTGATAGGGTGGGCGGCCAGGCATTTGCAGAACTTTTGAAGGTGAGGAACGCGATCAGGTGATGATGTAGAAACGTTTTGCGCAAACAGTTTGTGCGAAATCGTGAAGTACATTTTGTAAAATTTCACCATCAAATTTAGCAGGAGGTATGGGAAAGAGGTGGTGTCAATATTAGCTTAAACCTGACTAGATCGACTAGGTCGTGTACACGGTGGTAGAAGTAAGGTGTGGAAACCTCATTCATAACTTTCCTCAAAATCACTGGTAGAAAACACAAATCGCGTGGTTTGGATTATATGTCATTATCTGTCCACACCGCAGCGACGTCTAGAGAGATCAGTTGAAATTAAGTAATAGAAAACTGCATTAAATCTTTGACATTTATGCCAATGTCATTTATTACCCAATCACAAATGTCGAATCATCCGCCAATCACACGATTCACACCAAAGACCAACCACAAACCGTAGTGCTGTGATTTATTTTCCCTCCAACGAATCTGTCACTTATTTCATTCATAAATACACTGACAAGTTGAAATGTTAATACATAGATGGACATACTGTGCTGCATACTATTTCGTAGTAAATAAGCCTACTGGGATGCGTGTTTTATTCAACAAATTGGAGCGGCTTGTTTCCACACCTTACTTCTACCACCGTGGTCGTGTATATTACGTAGAATCTGTGGATTGAATACGTTAGAAAGTCGGGATGTCACCCCATAAAGTTGCCCTGGTAAGTGAATACATAAAAGTATTTCACGTCCACAAAAATATTTATTCTTTAAATCTTAAAATAGGTCACAGGTGGCAATAAAGGGATTGGTTATGCCATTGTAAAGGGCCTCTGTGAAAAATATCAAGGCATAGTTTACTTGACAGCTAGAGACGTCGGCAGAGGAGAAGCGGCAGTCTGTAAATTAAAAGAACTCGGCTTCAGTCCAGAATTTCATCAACTTGATATTTGTGATCAAAACAGCATCGATAAATTGAGAGATCATCTCCTGAAAAACCATGGAGGATTAGATCTTTTAATAAATAACGCAGCCATAGCTTTCAAGGTAGCTACAATTTGATGATTTTTTTTATATATACATTTCCTTATTATTTCTGCAGCATGATTCACCAGAGCCGTTTAGTGAACAAGCAAAAATTACCGTTGAAGTAAATTATTTTGCAACATTAAAAACTTGTGAAACTCTGTTCCCCTTATTAAGAAACGATGGAAGAGTTGTCAACTTGTCTAGTTCAGCTGGACATCTTTCGAGAATTCCTTCTGCTGAATTAAGAAATAATTTTAACGATCCTGCCATAACTGTGCCCGAGTTGAACAAACTATTGGAACAATTCATACAGTATGTTTTTAAAATTGCACAATGCGATGTCATACAAGTTTGTTTACAGGGATGCTAAAGACAATCAACACCAAGAAAGAGGGTGGGGTAATTCAGCGTATGTTGTATCCAAAGTGGGTTTATCCGCTCTGACTAAAATTCAACAAAGAGAATTTGATCAAGAAAATCCCAACCGAAATATTTCGGTAAATTCCGTTCATCCTGGGTATGTTGATACTGATATGACAAGTCATAAAGGACCATGGTCTATCGAGCAAGGTGCCCGTGCGCCTCTGTTTTTGGCGTTGGATGCTAAGAATCTGAAAGGACAGTATGTGTGGTCTGACGCTACAGTGGCCCAGTGGGATGCTGAACATCCACCAGCTCCAGTTTAAAAATAAATAAATTGTTTTTGCGAATGTGTATACAAGATTATTCAGTTAAGATGACCCATTTATGTTTTTAAAATAGGCAACCCAAAATACCGGTTCCACCTGAACCTGGATTACCAAAAATGTTTCAAAATTTGCTAAATTTATACAAACGTCAGTGTCAGAAAAACGCCTATGCATTCAATAACGAGAAAACCGACTTGATCCTTACTTATGGACACGTTATGGAGAATGACACAAAAAGGTTAGGCGTACAGCAGATACCCTGACCGTGCGGCCCCAACACCCAAAATTTTCAAGAGGCTAGAAAATTCGTTGCGCAAGAAAGTGGCCTGCTAACCTGATGAAACGGAACCAGACTGCGACTAGCTTGGAAAATGAACAAGTTAATGAGAATCCTCATATGGGAGTTATGGGACAAATTGCTATTGCTAGACAAATAAATAAATTTCATCCTAACCGCTCTAACCATCTACACCTGGACCATTTTCTAGCTTCTTGAAAATTTTGAGTGTTGGGGCCACACGGTCAGGGTATCTTCGGGCATACAACTGCGCTGCACGTCTAGCATTTTTGCTATATTCTCCTTAAATGAGGATCATGTCGGTTTTCACGTTATTATCGTAAGCATGCATAGGCATTTTTCTTATAAGCTAACTTTGATACAATTCAATTTTGAAACATTTTTTGTAATCCAAGCTCAAGTGGAATCGGTATTATGGGTTGCCTATTTTAAAAACACAAATGGGTCATCTTAGCTGAATAACCCTGTATACATAATTGACTTATAAAACAAATTATTTTCTTATAAATTAGTTTTAGTAGAATAAACAGTTATTTAAATCAAACTAGCAAATGTTAAATTACTACTGAAAATAAAGATTAATATTTTGTATAAAAGATTTTAGTTCAAATGTTTGCTGTTCACATGAAATTTTGATCTTAAAATAGACTGTGTCAGCCCAAGAGTCAAGTTTTGTAACTTCCAATTTATTAGCATTAAACTCCCTAAAGGCCAGTTTCATAAAGTGCATTTAAAATTTAAAGCGAGTTTTAACTCTGGCAGTGGAAGTATGCAACCGTGTTATGCCAAAAATCCACACTTGATTTTGTTGCCAAAATACATAGTTGGAATAAAGTTAAAGAAGAGATTGGGTTTTCTTCTCCATAGCACTGTTATGCTAAAACTAACTTCTTTTCTTCAGTCAAAACATAATTTGTTCTGTTTCTTTAATGGTGTTTATATGTGAGGCCTCGTGTATTGATTACATTTTTGTAAAATATTTTACGACTATAATTTTTAAATAAATAAATCTTTATTGCCCTACAAATCCAATCCAATTACAGGCCAATTTCCAATTAAATAAATAAACAAAATATAATATACCTAATGCACTAAATAATAATGCGAAATACACTATCTGACACTGCATACCTTATAATAAATACCGCTACATAACATAGATCGATCCATGGTAGAAGGAGACCATGGGCGAGATAGAGAATTGAAATAAGAAGCCATACTAAATGCGGGACATTTAACAAGAATATTTGTATTGGGTTTGCGTAAATAAAACGTTAAGGTGTGTCTCGAATTTAATCGAGGAATCAAGATATAGAAGAAGGATAATTAATTTTGTTCCGAAATATAGAGTACAGAAATTTTAGACTGACATTAGTTAGTTGACATTCAGAGTCTCTGATAATACACTATGACTAAAACCCTAGTGGGATAAACATCAAATATTCTGAAATATAAAAACTTAAGAAATCTTCTCTGAATGTTTTCCAACCGAATATTGAAACAAAAATAATAGGGAAACCATACTACACTGCAACCTTCCAATCCAGACCTAACAAAAGAGTAATACAGAGTTTTCAATACTAATAGATTTTTAAAGGTAGTGGTGTTACTGATTATAAATCCCACACACTTCATTGACACATTTATGATGCTGCTTACATGATCGTTAAAATTAAGTTGATCATCAAGAGTTATACCGAGATCTTTTATTGTTGAAGTTCTGCGAAGTGGAAGAAAGTTACAGCTGTATGCAAATAATATGGGATCACCAACGGTTAATTTATTTTTCAATTTTTTTAGGGCATTTTAATATCATATTCAGAAATATTTATTGTATTTATATGAAGAAAGGATTCTGTGTCAATATGATCCCTAGAATTATTGCTAGTAGTAAAAATACTACTAAAATATGTAGGTAGAGTAAGTATTATTGTCATAGTACATATCGACTGGAATTATTCATGTTACATTTTTTTTTGTCATTGACATATTTCCAAAAATAGTTTGGATCAGTATTTAACTTACCTATATGCAAGAGATACTTGAGACTTAATTAAATACAGGAAACGTTTAAATTTATTCAGCTGCTTTACATTACCAGTTTTTTTGAATTGCTGTAGGTATTATTTATGTTTTAACTTAATATTCTTAATTATTTCAACGCTATACCAGCTTGGATATTTTCGAGAAGACTTTTGGGTCTAAAAAATGAGAACAAGCACCATTGACATTTGTGAAATTCTGTAAGCTTGCTTGACCAATTTACTTCTAAAAGAGCATTATACAACGCCGTAAAGTTTGCCTTCATAAAATTGTATACCTTACACTTCACATTTACTGGAAAATTACGAGAATTAGCGATTTTAAAATTCGCAACAATATTTAGAGACGGATGATGGAAATCTTCAGAGACTACTGACTGATCATCATGTAGGTATAACATTACAGGGAACATTAGATATAACTAAATCTAATATATGATTATTTGAATTAGGTATAAGATTACACTGTCTGAGGCCATTATAGGATAATAAATTATTGATTAATTCAGATTTGGGTCGTTTATACTTAAATTATTCCAATTTGAAACACTGAAGTCTCCCATTATTAAGATTTGTTCTTAGTCACTGCATCGTTTAACAAAATTTAACAAAAAATTTTTTTTTCTTACAGAAAATCAAAAAATATACTTAATGATAAATGCTGGACGCTTATATACATTTATTGGATTTACATACAATATCAAAAAAAAAGTAATAAATACATAACTTCGTCGTACATAAAAAACTTTTGTTTCTCTAAAATTAATTATATAATTATCATATAATTAATATCATTCTCACACATAATAATTAATCATTCACTGAACACACATTAAATTATTTACACAGCAAATATATTCACTATAATCGGGGGTCGTCATCGTCTTTTGATTTAATGCATCTTCCTTTGTAACAGATTTCCGTCTCGTGCGAAATTTCCGTCGATGTTGAAGTTTTAACTTCGTGTGTTTCCTCTGGTTCTGCATCGTAACTTTTTAATAAAACTTCTGTCGATGAGGTTCCTGTGGCGGGTGTCGTTTGGGGAACAATTGATGTTTCCTCAGCGTGGGTCCTTTCAGTTTGCTTTATGTCTAGAGTTGTTTGTTCGGTATATTCTTCGGGGAATGTTGGTGACGCCGTTGTTGTTGTAATCTCTTCTCTGTGTATTATCACTTTAGTTTTGCTTTGTGGTAATTGACTAGCTTTGCTAGCTAATCCCAACATATTGTACAGTGCTTCGAAAATGCTACTTTCCGTAGTTGTAGTAACTGGACGCCTAGTTAATTTGATCTTAGGTGACGTTTTATTAACAGCAGTAATAGTTGTAGCTGGTGTTATTGTTGTTGAAGTGGTTTCCCTTACATAATCGTCTTTCACTTTCTTTTCGATATTGTCAAAGGCATTTAAAACTGAATAATAATTTGAGGATTCAGCAGTTTCAAAAGAATCTACGGGTTTGTGGTTAACCAATTTCCAAACTCCTCGCCTTCTTCCGTTTTTCCTTCTAATTCGAGTGGTTGCTTTAACTATATCTGCTGTTGTTGTTATTGTTGTTGTTGGAATTTCTGTTTCGATCCCGTCAGTTTTGCTTTCTTCTTCTTCTTCTTCTTCTTCGGCTGGTGCATTGAACATCGTCGTTTGTTCATCTGAATTCGTTACAAGCAGTTTCTCCTCAATTTCCAGATCGTTCGGTGCTGGTAAGATCGATGCTTCTACCCACTGCGTGTCTGTATTTCTTATGATCTGGGGACTATACAGCGACGAATGAGGTACCTGATCGTCTTCCACTTCTTCCTCCGCGGGATCGATAGTGATTTGGAAAGATGCTGGTTTTTCTGTAGTGAGTTCTCGATTTTTCAAATAAGCTGCAGGATAGTTTCCTCCTTCAACATCGTGATCGTCATCTCTAACGTTAACACGTTCGGGTGGTTTAAAATGACTCTTTCCACGACTGCGAGATCTAATTATGCTGCTCCTTCTAGTTACTTGATCGTCAAGTCTCTGCGATTTGACTTCGTTATACGACTGATGTGTTTGAGGTGTTGTTTTTCTATTAGGAATACGAATTCGTGCTCTAGATTTTACCTTTGGAGCCACGGTTGAGTATTCTTGAGCTTCTGTGGTTGTAAATTTGGGTCGTATTTGCCCTACAAATTCTACTGGAGATGGGCTACTTGTAAATTCATTCTCTGGGTTTTGACCATCCTCTTCCAACTGAATTAGAGTCCCTACAGGTTCCTGATACGTCGCAGAATAAAGTGGAGGCGAATGTTGAGTAGTTGTTTGTATTATAGGCGCCGGTTTATTGAAAGTGGGTTTTCGAATGAACCCGTAGAATTCTTCCTCTTCTTCTTCCTGAGGTTTGGAGGTTGTTGTGATCGTTGTTCTTGGAGTTATTGGCCTCGATGTAGTTGTGCTGAATCTATTTCTATTTCTAGATCGAACTCTTGTACGTACTGGAGCGCGTGAAGTGACTTCCTCATTTCTGCCATTATAAACAACACTACCAGGTTGAATATTGCTATGGAGGCGATTGTATCGCAAACCCTCATTTGGTGTTGTTATTACAACAGGCTCCTGAGTTCTCTCTGTCACTGGATGAGTAATTTTTACATCAACTACTGGCGCTGACGTAATGCTGATCTCTTCTATATTTCTCTCCGTTGACGCAGCTTGCGTTGGCAACTTGTAGACTTGATGATATTCTTTAATCGGTGTTTCCCCGCTGACCTGTTGAGGCTTGATTGTAACTATCTGTTGATCGTCTACAACGTGATCGAATTGCATATATGACTGCGGATCGCCCGAAGACCCTTGAAATCCACTTTCCAATGACGGCTGTTTGAATATATCTTCCGTAGTTTGTATAATTCGTTCAGTTGTTAGTTGTTCTGTAGGTAGAGGCCGCCCTCTTGTCCTAAATCTTTGCCTTTGTGTATTTGCTCTTCTGGTCGGTTCATAGTCAATTGCAGCTTCTGTTGTTGTTCGTGCGTATTCTCGTTCAGTGGTAGGTCTAGTGTAGCTAGGTCGTCTTCTATTCGACGATCGTCTAGGTGCAGACGTAGAGCTGTATCTCGAAGTGTGACCCCTTTGCCGACCCCTACTTCTTCGAAGAGTTGTAGTTTCGATTCGTGAAGCTTCAGTTGTTGTCGTCGTGACACGAACTTCTTCCGTTGAAACTTGTGGAGAGCTCGTCGTCGGTTTTTCAGTTGTCGGTACCAAAAGATTCGGTACTAAAAGGGGTCGAACTGCTTGATCTTGCAAATTATTAATTAAACCAGGAAGGTATGGGTTCACTGGAACCAACTGCTCTTCCTCATTTTGTCCTCTGCTGTAGGGGAAAGGTGACAGACGGCTATCTTCGTTGTCGGAAACATGAGGTTGTGTTTGGGGAGTTGCTTTGATTGATATCTTGGTGTCAATTAGTTCTCCACTAAAATCTGAACTTGGTTTTGGCGATGCAATGCTCTCTACAGGATGTTGTTTAAACTGTGTTGTTGGTCTAGACGGTACATTATATGGAAGTTCATGACTATATTCTCCACTTTGCCTAGATGGTGCATTATTATATGAAACTGGTTGCGCGAAATTTGCATTTAACCTAGATAATGTATCGTCCTGCAGAAGTTGTTGTTTAGTGGACAATCTTGCACCTTGTAAAATTTGCTCATCCAGCGCTTGTTGATTTAGAGTCTGCGTGTTGAGAGGTACTTGGTGTTGAATATATACAGGAGCGGGAGTTTGTGTCACATCTTGTTGTTGTTCTAATTTATAAACTTTTGCCGGTATTGTTTCCACTTCAGTTGTATATTTTACTGTGCTGGTTTTGGGTTGAATGGCAAATTCTTCCAAAACGGTATAATTTTCTTCAGCAATGGTATTAGGAGTCGTTGATGTTGTAGTTGTTCGCCCTCTATGCCTTGATCTAGATCTACTACGAGCCGTCGTTGGAGCATCATAGTCTACATATTTTCGTGTAGCGACTACCGCAGGTGTTGTGCTTCGAATCGGTTCGATTCTTTCTGTGTTTTCATCTCCGAGTTGAGTGTTAATTTGTTCGATTTCATATTGATTGATAACTTGACGGTAAGGATTTTGCAAACTACTACCACGAGTATTATATTCAGGGACTTTGGGTGGAGGTTCTTGTACACGTTTGAACTGTTGGATTATTTGTTCTGGCTCAGTTGTTGTCGTCAATTGAAGTTTAACTAGCTCTTCATTAAAATTATAAACATTGGCTGGTGATTTTGTTGTTACAAAATTTGGTCCGGGAGAGTCCGAAAAGGTGTGCAGTTTTGGATCTACACGATAAGTGGGTGTGAAGCTTGTTTTTGATTCGACAAGTACAGAAGGAATATCATAATCTCTAATTGATTCCTTCGAATTTTGATTTGAAACCTCTCGGTCATTTGTTCGGTATTCGGGAATTCGGTAACTGCTCCTTACGTTCGTTTTTTCTGTTGGTTTGTAATCTGGAGTTGTCTCATAATATTGGTTAGAGTTCTCTCGTACTCCTAGCTGATAATTTGGGACAAAACTCTTGGTTGGAGTTACGTTGTAATTTTCATCAGAGTTTCCTTTTGGATCATCTTGATAATCGTTTGTGAATCCTTTAGAAGAACTTACTTCATAGTTTTGCGGAACATTATCTGGAAATCCCAAAAAACCGTTATCAAACTGCAATAAAGTGCTCTGACCTGCTTGCGGGCTATTTGGACTAATCAAATACGGGTTAGGTTCTGGTCTTTCTCTGAATTGCGTAAAGGGGTTCTTTAGGTCAAAATCTTGGACGATTTGATTTTGAGCTGTTTGAGCAACTTGAGGTTGTCTCGATTCAGTATGCTTTTCATGCAGTTGTTCTTTGGTCGAAATAACCACCGAACCAACATGGGGGGAAGGCAAAGGTATTTTCGAATAACCGTCAGGAGTCTTATAACTTAAAGGTGCTACAAAGAAAGGCAACTGCTCCACTTTTCGCTCAATTCTGTTGCCTTGAACTGACGAGAGATACGGTAACGGGAATTTCACATATCCTTCAGGATCTATGTTTGACGGTCCCACGAAAACTTTTGGCGAACCCGGTCCTACGCTATCTTGCACCGAAATGGATTTTGCTTGTTTTAAGATCTGTAAGACGTCTTTAACATCTGCAGATCCCTCCTTTTCCATATACACAGACAGTGGAGGTTGGTTCGGTTTCCTTTTTTTAGGCTGAGGTGTTGTTGATGTTACTTCCAGCAGAACTGGTTCTTCCAGTTTAAATTGTTGATGTAGTTTATGGGCTGCCAGGGCTTGTTTAATAAAATCGCCCTCGATATTAGTCAACTGACTTAATTTGTGATTTTTTATGCTAGGAATTGTTTTTTCTTTTCTTAGACTTTCGGTTCGTCTGGGAGCTGAATTTTGTTGACTGGATGGTTCATCGGAATGGAGATTCTCCAACGGAACGTACAGAAGTTGTACACTTTCTTTTTCTTCTTTTTCTTTTGGCGCTGTAATAGTAGGTTGAACTTGATTGGCATTTTCGTTAGCTTTTTGGTTCTGAATAGCTCCCAACAGCTCTTGATTTAGTAACCCCAAGTTGGTCGATGGTGGGTGGCTATTGTTGAGAGGTATGCTGTCGTACTGCTGTTGGTTTTTATTTGTATCGTAGTAATTTTGGGTACTTTGAGGTGGCGCCACAAGTTGTTGGCTCAAAGTTTGTTCTTGGATCGGCCGTTGCGCATGCTGAACTTGTTGCAGCGTTTGGACGTATGGAAGTTGTTGAACTTGTGAGATGAACTGAGGTTGTAAATGTGGCTGCACAAATTGTGTTTGCTGTTGAACATACTGGGGAGGCTGCAATGGCAACACTGGCTCAAACTTATATGGTTGTCCGAGTTTGGGATGTGGCACATTTCCTGCTTTCGACAACGTGGCGTCTTGAGCGTGTTGTGGTTGAACACCTTTCCCCAGGTATCCATTTTCGGGGAAGTAATTTTGACTTGGCGTGTCGAGATTTAGTACTCTTCCTTGTGCTTTCTTTAAGTTGTCTGGTGGATTCGTGGGTGTGATTGGTATCCAGTCATTGTCGTCGTATGGTTTATCATTTTGAGCTAAGGCGATGTTGAGCAGGTGCAAACTTAAAAGTAAGACTCGTCGGAAGTAGAATTTCCTCAAGATCTGAAAGTAAAAAAAAAACTTCTTATTAAAAATCGAAAGGATGCTTAAGTTTTGTATCAGTACTAATTAATTATCTTGAATAAATTTCTGGATAATTTAGTGATAAATGGTGAAATGCTAATCAAGGTGCTATCCATTCATATAAGATTTTGTGAAACAAAATTCACTTGAAAATTGTAAGCTAGCATGCTTATGAGTATGGTTAATAATACACCCACACTTCTAATATTTGTAAGGGTGCTCGCAAAGCAAATACAATTTGTAGAATCAAATCATATGATTTGCCTATGTATCGGAAATCTTGCAAAATTTAATAAAAATAACATGGATTTAATGATTGCAAAACATCACAAAATGGGCTTATGCATCTTTCAGAAAGTTGATATCAACTCAAAAATGTGTCAGACAAAGATTTTTTGTTTAACTATAAACAAACGAAAACAAGGAGCTGTGAAATATCAAAAAAGCATTAAAGTGGCTTTTCATTAAGTTTTCAAACTTTAATCGTATTTTGTTCGTTTCGATAGTTTCGAAATTTGGATTTTCCACGTATTTTTAAAGTCTTCTTTTAAATTTTATGCAATTTTAAACATTACAAACCTTGCAAATGTAAGTATCTTATATAAAGTCAAATTATTTTTGATTATCCAAAAAGTGTGGGTATTTTGTTCAGTGTTACAATAAATTCATCATGTTATAATAAATAATCAAAACACGGAAGGGAGAGAGAGAGAGAGAGAGAGAGAAGAGAAATTTTTTATTACGTGTTATTTTTCCTCATATTATTATGTTGTAATCAATAAGGAAGATTTTAAATATTTCTATAATAAATCATCACATTTTTGTAAAAATTTGTGGTTGTACATTTATAGGTAGGTATATAGGTATTTATTGGTCAGCTGTTCAAAATTAATTTATTTGTTAGTGTGTAAAAGTTGATTTCATTTTAACCACAAATCACTACTAACGGCAGTAAAGTTTCACCAGAAATATTGTGCTATTAAAACTGTTGTGGTAAAACTTATTCAAGAAGAAAAATAGTGACTAAATTTGATGACCATACCTAGATAGAATCTTAATTTTAATTTGACAATGACCGTGTTAGAAAAGAATGACCGAAGGAATGACCTATACCTGTATTATTGTATTGTATGTGAAAATAAACTCAACATAAAAACTTGTTGATTAGTTGTGACATAATTTTTAAAGTAATAATTCTTACCGATATCACGCCAACTACTTTTTACTTGTTTATAACAATTTTATATAATAAGTAAGAGCCATGATTTGCAACAACGAACGAAAATTACCAATAACAAAAAAAACTATACACGATTGTATGAAGTGAAATTATTGCGCTGTTCTTAATAGTTAAAAAATTCGAGTCAATTTCTCGTCTCATTAATTTCGTGTTTACATAAATTCAAGAAGGTATGGTGATGTTACGCATAACTTCTCGTTATTATTGATTCTACATTATACTACGCAAAAAAAACACCAGTGAGTAACCATTTCGTAACGTAAAAAACTGCTTGACCACACACTGTCACGGCCACAATTTCAGATGCTCCGTTGAAAAAGTAAATCAAGGTTGGTGTGCGTTAAGCAGACGAATTCTTCCCTTCTTGTTGTTTGCAAATCGTTAATTTTTTTTCAAAGTTTCGCTTCAACGGATTTTGTTTCTTTTGACACTTTTATGGATACTACAAAAATTTGTCGATTTCGTTTATAATGGCAATGGTAACCGTTTTATTATGATTAGTATTATTTTTTGACTTTAGAATAATTTTAAACGTCATGTCGACCTTTTTAAAACAAGACTTTCACTCAGTCAGTAAGTTCAGTAAGTATAGGTAAGTAACTATAGTGATTACTTACAGGAATTTAAAAAAAGGTTGAATTACTGTGCGCCAAAAATTCGAGTATTCAAAGTAACAAACACAAATTGTAATTTACTTTAAGTTGTTCAACGATTAGAACTAAACTGACCGTGTGTAAATAAAACAGTTGATTTTATCGTGACTCTTTACAAATGATCTCGACAATAATTATTATAGGTATACCCAACGAACTGGACTGCCAATTAAACCAGACTATAAAAGAAACTGGCAGATCCCGGTACTTAAGTCACCTCCTACAAGACGACAGAACAGAAAATATCAGTTCCGTAACTTAACTGCAGGTTGAGAAATCAAACTAAATTATCACAAATAACATCCATAATGCATAATAGCCGTCATTCCATTAAGAAAAATGATAATAATTGTTTTCGTACGAACAAATCGAAAAACAATAGGAATAATCGTGTCCTTTCAACGACTTCGACACCTATTAGAAACTGTTCCAATTAAATTACCGGAGTTGTCCTTCGTCTACTTAACGATTTCTTTTGCAGTTTCACTAAATCTATTAAAAAAAAAGCAAGCTGACTAACGAGTTTTTTAAATCTAAACTTAAATGGTTCATTATGTTCCATGTTAAGTACGTACCTAACACCTGGTTTCTCTGCATTTTCTCTTCATCTCCGTGTTTTTTATCAACTCGCTCACTCGATACTTTCCACGCTCTGTTTTATGCTAATCATAGAGAATAGAATTCATCGATGTTTACTAGTTTATTCATTAATAAACTTTCTTTGGAATTCATTTAAGGAATAGGTACGTGAAATAGAGAATAAAACCCGTTTATGGCTTTACTGCAACATGCAAGAAGTGGAATTCAGTACCAGGATATGCTTGTTGGGAGAAATAATAGGTCACTATGTCATACGCTCCGTAGATTTTAAAACTTCCTCTGAACAATTTTCTCCAAGTGTCCAGATATCGTGATGATACTATTGCTTGCACGTGAGTTCGTTTTGTAGCTAGGATTTCCATCAGTGCTTTTTAGATCGATTTCAAAAACGACTTTTCATTATCTAATCCCACAAAAATTACTTTCTCCTATTAGCAATAAATGCATAAAGATTTGTTTTCCAAAGTGTATCATTGGTAATAATCGTAGCAATTTTGTGATGCAACAGAGCGCAGGCGTTTTGGTGTATTGAGTCTGAGTGGAGAAAATAGTTTATATAAAACACCGTATGTACCTACTGTTGGAACAGAATAGAATGCTTTCGAACATTTATCTTGGTCAAGAATTGTTGTGCAACTGCGTGAATAGTGCAGTTGCTGTGTGTAAAAAAATCAAATCTAGCTAGTTCTTGTAATTATTTCCTTCTCACAATTCGACTGTAACGTGCTAAGTTATTTGCTGGAAATAATTTTCATATTTTTGCAGGGGATTTCATAATGTGAGATAAAAATTATAGAGGCAAACGTCTTGCAGCACGTTCCTGATTGTTCGGTGCTCATAATTAAATAAGTTGCTATTTTAAATAGTTTTTGGCACCACTGCAGTTGTCCTGTTAAAGCACCAAAATTTCAAAAAGAACTTTATTTTGTTTGTTTATAGTTGCAGAATTTACCGTCTCATTAATTTCCTTTAACATTATGATGAATGACGCTGTTCACTTTCATATTAACATGTAGTCTAATATAGAGTAGGTAGTTTTGTTTTTGTTCGCATTTCACGTATTACATTACTGTGATGTGCGATTTCCTTTTTGAATAAATTGCTGCGATTAGATTATGTTTATTAGGTTAAAAGTAACAGCGAAACTTGAAAATAGAAATAAACAGTTTAATTGACAAGAGAAGAAAATCAAATAACAAAACTAAAGGAAAATAAATTAAAATAAAATTTTGCATTGCAGATTAAAATATATACATATAAAACGGTGTCCCAAAAATGAAAACTGTATTAGAAATCGTCGTGACTCAAGCTAAGGGAAGGCGCCAGTTCATATAATGTCAAGGACGGAAAGCTGTCAGCTAAAATTCAAACAAATCTAATTCGTATTTTGTATTTCTTTGAATGTTAGTTTTCATTGAACTAAATACAATAACAAAAGTTATATTTGTTAACTACAAAATTTGAGTGTAAACAAATTTTACATATTCGAAACACATCAATTATGCTGTGACCGCAGTCGTACCTTAGGAGATTTAAAAATAAAAAAAAATGTTGTCAACTAAAAGATCCATTACCTGTTACGTAATTCAGAATAGGAAGAACCTCATTCATCGAGTGAAATTTTATAAAATAATTATAGCTAATTAAAAAAATTACATTCATTTAACACTTCCAAAAAATTTGCTCTTGAATGTGAAAGTGAATGCACTGACTACAAACAGCGAACAGTGTCAGCTTTGTTCTTTTTATATTTACGCTTCGAACATTTAATATCGTGATACTTGTTGTACATGTTTAGCTCACAATTATTTCCTTCAAGTTGCGCTCTTGTGTTGTTCAAGGCACACGAAATCTAATATAATTATATTTTTTTATACACAAAATGTACATTTTGTTGAGGAATCTGTGGCTGATTAAATAGCGACAATCTGAAAAGATATCTTAATTTACTCAATTAAGTATATATCTCATTTAGAAAGTAGGATATCCTTCTATAAAACAGCAGTGATGCAATTATCCTTTCCTATTTAGAGACATTTAATACAAAACTGTGATACACTGGACGAAAGACGAAAAAATATAAGTAATTTTAATATGTGTGTATTATTTTGAAGAGATTTTCGAATACTTGCTGCTCCTGTACTAGCCATTTGGTGTTTTCATGCCTACAATTTTCATAATTTTTGACAGACAGGATAATAATTAATCAGATAATTCCTAATAGGCGTATAAGCTTAAGATTAACATAAAACACCTCGTTTGTGAACAACAAAGTACCGATCCAGATTGTTACAAAAAAAGCTGAAAAACAAGTATACAGCCTGACTCGACAGATTTTAAGGATGAGATAACTTTCCATCTGACTGATTCTTAAGCGCAATTTTTGGTATGTTTTTTGAATATGATTCATTTATGAATTTTTCCGTGTTACGTTGAGTGGATACAGTGACAACCGCGAATAATCCGAAGGATACTAAATCCCTTTACATTTGCACAGACACGACAAAAACTGGTGCCGATGTTAACTTTTACTTTAGTCGTATTACTCATGTTACATACGCCGTTTATGAAGGTGTTCTGATCACTGAGTAGCTATAAGTCTGTGACAACGTTTTTATATCTATGAAGTTGAAGAAGAATCTATAAATTAAGAAAATCCATCATGAATAGCCCAATTTAACCATTTTTTTATGTTATATATAGATATTAACTTTCTAACAAAGGTCTCCGTTCGAATAGATACGACTACTTACATTCTATTTTACTACAGGATCAATACATTCGACTTTCGTAATGAACGCTTGTACTGTTTTAATTACAGGTAGTGGAATTATTATTTAAGCACTTACTTATTTATTACGTGTAATTTATGTGGGAATTGCAAGTTTTGAATAAATTACCAGTTTATTCGAAATATACAACTAAACTTCCGTTTAAATCATTTTACAGAACACACTAAAACATTAAACTGTGGCTATCCTCGCGAATTTTTTTGACTGTAATAACTGCACCACTTGGTGGATTATACAACTGCTTTCTTCGATTTTCAAAAATATGTAATATATTCTTGCTCGAAATAATAAATTATTTTATTATTTAAAATAATAAATTATTAAGTTTCGACTTACTAAAAACCAGTGTATGGTGCCTTACCATTTTGAAATAATCCCATAAAAAATCATACACCTAGTTCTGAAAATCACTGAGTTTAATAGTGGAACAATCACATCACTGTCACTATGTACGGTTGCACTCGACTGTCTGCTGAAGAAAGTCTTGGAGAGGCAGGCGATCGCCTTCTTATAAGCTATGTGCTACATGTGGGGCGTGGGCCTAGAGGGGCTTAACCACCCCGCAACAAGCACGAGGTACCAGTAATGTGAAAAAAACGATGGGCGGCGAAGGTTTTACATTTTTAATGGAAACGGTATTTTGGGAGTCTGTTTGGTATGTAGACTAAGTGCCTGTTACGAAATTTAAGTTTACTTTCGATTATTTTATTTCTATCTTCTGGATTTTAGGATACACATAAAGTTGTTTACTTTTTGAACAATTATGAAAACTCTACTTTGATCAATGTCTAAACTTCATGTTTTTCTGCGGCAATAAAGTCCAAAGAAGTTTATTCGCCTTAATTTTCTGTCCGAATATTTGGATTTGTTAAACAGGAAATGGTATTTTGTAAAACTATTGCAACATTTAAATAGAGTTAAAAATTAATTTTATCTTAAGTAATTAACACTGAAATGTTCATGCACTATTTAAAGATTAAATTGAATCATTTAAACACCAATGATATTTTATTAGAACGGGAAGAGAAATGAAATACATTTTATTACTTTTATAAATACTTAGTTTTATGTAAGTAGTTAGTTTTTTTTGTTTGTAAGATTTTAATGGATAATAATCGAGCTTATTTTTTTTAACAAAGAATTGTTCAAAATGATCACAAGATGATTTTAGTTTTAACTTTCTGCGAAAATCAAAACTTTATGACAAAACCTAGCTACGTCAAATTAAACCGGAGATAATAAACAGTGTACTCGACATATATATAAAAAAATTGAAACTCACATCTAGATACAGCAACAGTATTTATAAATGTTTTCATTTAATTTTGGAGAGGACTGTATAGGAGTATTTTTAATTTTTTTTAAACATTAACGCTTCTGCTGCACATTATGTTAAATTTAATTTAAGTTACGTCTCCTCGCATGGTGAGATACATGACCAAAATACAAGAAGTAGGGATAAGCTGTGCCAACGGATTTTTTGCAGTGAAATTTTATAATATTTTTGTATCAAGTATTTCCTTCATTACAATAACCGTCGTCCATGATTGACCAATTCTTATTGTAGGTTGACACTTCTTGTTCTGTAACGTTTTGCTAATTTGTGTAAGATAGTATTGTTATTATTATACTCAGATCTCGTAAGTATAGAGACCAAGGGAATCACTTTGGTAAAACTAGCCAAACTGATCTGCGTAAACATATCTTAAGCTACTTCATGCTCACTTATCCATTAAAATTTACGTCATGAAAGTATTTGTTATGGGCGGTTTGTAATCATGATTCGTTTAAAAACACAATTAGCCAATTATTCCACAGTTACGTTGCATTTTCGATATTTTACACTTTTTTAACTCTTTTATCGCATCGAAGTCTACTTAATTTTATGGGATATGCTTGCAGCAATTAGCATAAAGAATTCAGTGCGGTTGGTATTTGCACGCGAATTCTTTGCTAAAAATTTCACAATGTCTACCTCGACTGCGATCAAATCTAAGTACGTCAGAATTAATACTTGTATAGGAAGCAAAAATTGTACAGGGTTATTGTGAATATTTCTTATGATTATTTATATACGTTATTCCAATTTACGCAGAGAAAATAATAGTCAATTTGTTAGGGTAAAAATTAATTGGAAATTGTAACAGACGAATTCGTTGCAACCTTCCAACCTAATAAATATAATATTTTCGTTCCCTGAAACCCTAAACAAATAATATAGGGACGCCCACGAAGCATCGAATACGAATCGAGGTAGAATGAATGAGGAGGTGGATGCCCGCTTTTGTTTACGTCAAAAATTTAATCTTACACAATGTAATATAAAGTCCAGGGAAGACCTTCGTCTTACCGCATCGACTGTTATGGTCAGGGTCATACGAGATATTATTCGGCCTGAAATGGGTGTCTACACTGCACAGGTAACCAAAAAGTCGTGCTGTTTAGAGGCTGGCGTTCCATTGTATTCTCAACTAAGTAATATCTACGTAACACGTGGCATCGGTCGCATTTTCGAAAACTATCTATTCTTCTCCTATTATTCTAGTTTCATGAGCATGACTCACGTGAATTATTGCATATTTCTATGTTTCTATGCCTCTAGTTTTGATATTTTTCATATATATGTACATTTTTTACGTAATTTGTCATCGTACAACTTGATCATTCCATTTCAGGATCATGAAAATACCTCTTCCCCCTCAGACGGGACAATGCGTTATGCAAAAAATTCATCCTAAGAAAGAAAGGAAGTGTTCGCGGCCTACTTTTTAAATTTATTGTTAAATTTTTAAACACTTCGATTTCACTTTTGCATATTAGTTTACACGTGAAACCAAAAGCAAATGATGTAAAACGACCATCTATTTTTAGGACTTTCCTCTGAATCTTTAAAAGTGAATGAAACCCGCTCTTTAGTATGCAAACCTTTATTTTTAGTTACACCAGAAAGCCTTTGTACTCGCTAGTGTGTTTATATGACAACAGTGGCATTGTACGTTGCATTGTCTACGATAATTTGCAGTCGGCGTGCTGACTATGTTTATTAATGTCCATTATCGTCTTACAAAACAATTAATTGTTGCAAAAATAGTTATACCACAGGTTGTTACGCGACATATGAAATCTGCCACATTTAAATTCCGCACTAACCGTAGAAGCGTAGTTCGATTTTCTATAATGAAAATTAAGTTGCCGTACCTGCCATCAAAGGATTTTCAAAGTTACAAAACTAACATTGTTTTAAAAAAAAACGTTGTAAAAGACCCGTTCTTTACGTTCGAAGCACAGAGAATTTTCAAGATCCATTTTCACTCTTAAATATGTTAATAACTAAAGAGATGAATAAAATAGTCACACTTTTATTAGATATTCTTTACGTGGCATTAGTCGGAAGACGTTTTAAATTCAACGTCAATATTTTCAAACACTTCGCCACATTTATTTTACTTATATGTATATTTATTTCAATATGGTTTTATCAAAGTTCACAGTCGAGCTCTACGTTATAAAGTTATAAGATTAACCAAGCGTTACCTGACAGTCTGACGTAACAAAGATTTTTATATTTTACATTTAAGCTATCACCTCCGAACCAATCCCTTACGTAATGAACATTACTTTCTTAAGAACATTTCCGATCTCAATGTCTTCCTGTAGCCTTCATCATATTTTCCTGAAACTCTAACACTGATGCACGTGTTACGAAATAGCACTAAATATTTTAGTAATTATTGTGTTGCGAAGTAAATTATAGTTCACATCCGAATGGAGCACCAGTCGACCTTCAGATTTTTAAACCACCTACCGACCAAGTTACTTAGTGAAAGTCGTGTTGTCTTAACTACTCTAATAAAATCGTCAGTGAAAAACAGGATGTCCAATCACACAACTTGTTATGGTAGGCACAATGTTTTATATTTGCAAAGTTCTGATTTTTGCGTTCCATTTTCCAAGATACATATTTCGGATTGTTGTTTGGTTTGTTCTTCGATCTAATTTCACAAGTTCGTGCACTTTATAAAATGTTAAGTATCAAAAGTTGATATCCTTGCATTCACTGCATAATAACGCAGTAATCTCGACCAGAGTAGAATTTGTTGGTTAAATAATACTTAAATGTTCGTGAACGAAATGAACCACACATCCTATAATAATAATTTAAATATTGTGCAGCGATTTAAAAATTGTGGCACCTTTAACACTATATGGTCGCTTCCAAAACGCAAACCGTCTTCAATCAACCATGTTAATATAAATAGTATTAAAAACTGTCGAAGTTGTGATAAATCAACCTCTAGAGTACGAAACAATAGGTGTCCGTTTCCGGATAACATTTTGCAATTTATCTTGCACACGTTATAAAGTTATCGTTAATTAAAAGATAAGTCTGAATTTATCGGAACCTACAGCAGTAGTTTACTTAATTCCAATATATCTTTCTTGTCAATTGAGCGATATATTTACTGGGAGGTATAACAGTTGTTGTAATAATGAAACTGAGAAAAAAGAAAGAAAAAACGTATACGTGTATGTGTGTGTATATAGGTGTATTAACACCGAATTTCCCCGATTTCTAAGGCAGAGTCGATGGCGCATGTACCTCTAGCGTATTTTCAGTAAAGAACTGTGAAGCCCTAAGAAAACAAAAGTCAGATAATACTGAAAATGATCTCATTTCTTTAATTATTCCTCCTAGCATCCACCAGTTGTAAAAATCCTAAGAAAAGAACATACAATAAATAGTAAAGTAGGATCAAGGGGCGGTAAAAAAAATACAGTAAAGAAAGCAACGCGCCCTCGCATACGGAACGGATTAATTGTGTTAATATTGCTAAGATAATTGCTTCTGTTCTTAATCGTTTGTCCTTACTGGGAATAAAGGAAGGAAGCCTTGATTCGGTTTCACCGTGCAAACTAAGTAGTGCAGGTGGGTAATTTTTACTTCTTTCATAAAACTGAACTTTGGCCTTTAATAATTAGTAAATTTCACAATCGTGATTGTCAGCGCGCTCGTTTCCCCGAATGTCAACAACTACATTAAAATCCTGATGCCTAGTCCGAGTTAACTATTTCACTTTTAATTCTTGAAACAAACACCATTAAAGGAAAAAATGAAGAGGCAAAAGGAAATCTAATACAATTAAATTTAATTGAATTAATTTTGTCAACCCGAAGGCGTGGCGGTGTTAATTAGCGTTTTCATTATTCGATTGATATTTTAATTTCTTTCTCCCAATTAATCGGTTCTAATATAACCTTCGCCCGAAATTTGCTCTCCTTTTTTTTTCAATTATAAAAATTTCGGAAATAGTGTTTTCACTTTTAACTCGTTCTCATTAAAACGAGAAATTTGACGAAGAAGGCAACAAGTGCTGGGTGTGGTATCATATCTGAACAATTTAAGACGGAACACCAGGGAAAGTTATACCAGTCTGTGACATACTTCCAGCCTCTCTCCGGTGCAAGTTCCGAAAACCAACTTAAAAACGTAATAGCTATGAAACGGTAATAAATATCGCTTGATTTGCGAAAACGTTCTGCATATTATTTTCCACGAGTAGGACGGATATACAGGAAGAGAAGAAAGTAAACACGAGTCAATGGCCTACGGTTATAGGTAACCTTGTACACTCCGACGAACTTGACCGAGAACATCTTCCTATGAGATCATCTTAGAGATCTGGTCAAGCTATCATGTTTTGAAGTGCACCATGCGCATTTATTGCCAATGTTAAGTGTAAACGATCGAAGTACAGTTACAACAACTGTAAATGTGTGCAAATACAAAATATGTCGATGCAGTTACTTTTATTTACATGAATATTCATATAGGTAGTAGGTGTAACATTAATGCGAATGTGTCTTCGTTGAAAAATGAACAGATCATTCCGCGACGGTTCTCTGATTTTTGCTCCAATTGTCGGTAGAAATTCACATCTTATTATGCTCTGTTTCATTTGCATTGCTGCCATAACTTAAATCTTGGCTTTTTACGTCACAAGCGTAAACTGTAAAGTATTATAACTGACTAATTTTGACGAATATCTAATTTCACGTTTTCAAGACGTTTCATAACTTAGGTATGAAACGACAAGCTCGATCTCCCGTTCATCTTAAAATAAACTCTTGGATATTATTTTGAGCTGTGAGAGTTGCCAGTTATTGAATCATACATAATTATTTAGTCTTAAAACTATGGTAATCGCCACTATGCACTGCTTTAAACGATTCGCAGTTTAGTTCCGCGGTCATGGTTAGATAGCTAACAGAAAAGTCACAGCATGGGAAGTTATAAACAAGTATAATAAGATCGACTCGACTGAATGATTCAAAAAGAAAATCGGTAATTACGGATGATGCATCGATGGGTTCGACCAAGTTTCCCCAGTCGCCTTTGATCCACTTTTATTCGCAAAGGCACGTGCGTAACCGTTACTACAAGCTTGTAGTTACAAAAATGACCACGAGTATCTGTAAAAACGGATCTTTCTGACTATGAATTGAAAGTCTTTCGTTGGACGTATTGTATTTTTTAATAGTAAAAATGATAATTACAATATAATTAAATTCTTACATTATTCGATATCACCTTCCTTGCAATTGGCAAAAATAACGCAACGAACGTTATTGTGCAATAAAATCTGAATTAGTAGTACTGTGCGAAAACATTTATAGTAAGTACACATGAATGGAACAAGTACAACAAATTTATGAATCACAAAGTTTGAGTGAAAGACAAAGATTTTGTCGAGGACTTTTTTTGTTAAAACTATACATAAATTTATAAGCACCATTTCCCGTTGAGAACTTTTCTTATAAAAGTTACGAGGCTAAAAAGGAAGTAGTTGAATAGTTTTAGGCTCCGTAGACCTAGGCACTAAATCAAAAGAAAAAAAATCTAAGTTAATGACTGATCATCTAACTAAAGTTAAGTATATTTTGGAAGAACTGAAATGGACATGTTTAGTTTGGTGTTGATTTAGTGGTGCACGAAATGTAAATTCCGCGTATTTTCTCACAAGGTCTTTGTGAAATTCTTAGTTAATTAGGGGGATTTATTATACTATTGTTGGGGCAATAAAATGCGTATACACCGATTGAGACGTGGCAACTAATTAGCGAAAAAATCCGCGGAAATTTACATTACTCAAGTGCGTTGTTTTAACATTAACGTTCTAAAACTAATTACGTGGGTAGAAAAATACAAAATCTTAAAATTTAAGGTCGATGGCGCTAATTCACGTATAAATAAGCCAATGAACCTATTTCTACGCATGTTGGTACAAGAAAAAACGCTCTACTTCGTTTCCCTTAATCGAAATGTCAAACTACCGTTTTTGACCTCATACAAGAAATATAACAACGACAACAATGACAACAACACTTTAAATTTTAAAATTTACTCCTTTTAATAATTCGTTTAATATCGTTAAAGCCCAGAATCCAAGCACTAACATAAGAAATTTCTCAATAATTAATCGAGCGGGCACCAGAACTCTCACTATAATTGCGTCATGGTTGTTCTTCTACAACAATCTACGATACAGAAATGTAAACAATTTTAATCAGCCTTTTCTTTGATTTTATCAAAACGAGTCCGCAGACCCACAAACAGTTTCGTTTTCCACTAGGAGGCTTTGTGCTTCTTCTTCGGATCGCGTCGTCGGTCAGTTTCGGCACACATTAGGATCTTCAGATCCTTGTAGTCCAGCTGCAAGTACCATTCGAACACTGTTAGTTGTCCCCATGGGGTGGACAGCGCTGTTGCCAATAATTTCAGGCACATCTGCACCAGATTTATTTGTTTAGAATTAGTACTGGTCTCAAAACGGAGACCGACGCTTGTGATATACCTACCCCAACAATGTGTTAGTAAATTTTGAAAATTATTCGTGATGGTGTTTCCAAGGACAACCCTACACACCGTTATTAAACATGTTACGATGCATTTTGGGTAAGAAAAGGCCCAGGAAGCAGATGTGACAGAAATTAGTGACATGACTGACCCCTTACGATTCTGATGACCACTTACCAACATTTCGTCGTCGGGAACGCGAGATAAAAGATCCAGAACTTCATTATTTGGAACCGAGTGCGGGCGAAGTATTCGGCGAAAGAATTTGTTAGTTCCCCACAACATGAGAAGATAGCGAATTGGAATCAAGTACAAAACTATGGTACCAGCCAATAGTAGAGTAATTGCTATCCAGGATAAGTAGGGAACGGTGAAATTGAAAGTGCTGAAAATTCTAACTGAAACAAAGTTTCTATTATTAGCAGAACTAATACGTACTTTTTTACAGCTTCCAAAAGAGATGCTATACGTCCTATCGCATTTTGGACGCCTTGTGTTACCTCTTGAATCGCCTGAAGACGCTCTTTTAGACTTTTCTTTTCTTCCTATAAATAAACATCGAAGCCTAGTTCCTTTTAAAGACCTACGCACCTTCTCCTTATCCTCATCTTCATCATCTTCGATATCCGAATCAGCGGTCTCATCCCAGGGGATCGAATTTGGTCCTGCCAATGCTTTCACGATATACTGTTTCAAAAATATCAACAGTCCAACAATAGGCAACATCCACGGTTGAAAATAGTAACATAAAACAAGAAAAACAACCAAAGCTGCGAAACTCTGAATTTTAGATTCCCACTCGAAGCAGTTCCTACAAGGACGTTATTAAATACAACTGTCTCGCCAAACTTACGATTCAATTACTGAAAAATCTTCCCAAACTCGTAAAAATACATAATGAAAACTTTCAGTCTTAGAACGTTTCTCACGAAAACTTGACGTTTAAATTTCACTTCGCTCTGCATGTATTTCTCCTCCTTAGGATTCAAAGTCCTTATGCAGGCCCTGATGGGATTCCAAACTAGATTCATCTCCAACAAAATCTGAGGGTTGCTGCCTTTGGCTCTACTCCTCAGTTTCCGATCTTTAAGCGCATACCATCTCTTTTCACCGTTACGTATTCTAAGCAATGGAATGATAACTCTTCCTAGAAACTCTACTTTGTGGTCTCGGTCCTCGTCAAAGACTGTCACGTCAAGCACGTTGTTTATGTCTTTTACGTTGAAAGTGAAAATTTTCTGCCAGCAAGGCTGAAGGGTTTTGTATTCAGTCTGGGTCTGTAAGCGGGCGTTTCCCAATTCTAAGACGCAAAAAGGGTCGCTTTTTCCACCTAAATCAGCGGCAGCGAGACCAGTGGCTCTGTAAACTTTGACCGTTAGATGACCCACGTCCTTGACGTTATGAAAGGTACGATGCCACAGCTACGAAAGTTTAATTAGTTCGAAGGGAATGAGGTAGAAATTGCAATTAGGAGAAACGTGGGAGGGCAACGCGATTATTTGCACGAAATTATAATATTAATTTAAATAATAAAGGCAACGCTGACGACGACGTTTCTAGGACAAAGTTAAAACACAATTCGAAAAATCAAGAAATTAGAAATTCGTAAGGTCATAATAGGTGTTTCTCCAACCTTCTCTCAGTGTTCGCCCACGCAGCTCCATTCAGGAACTTGTCTCCTAACCCGATTCACGGCTGAGCTTTACTGTTCACCTTTCCCGCATTCCTCTTTTTACCAAATTGTACCTACATATCGACTCATTGTGAGCTCTTTTTCCCTGGGATTCTCCTCATAAGTAGTCAGATCTGATATGGTTTCGGAGGCGGTTGTTCCGCTAATAGTAAGAAGTAAATGTAAGGATCCAGCCCCATCTTCCAATTCTTGCCACAAACTATGTGTTCGTTCTCTTTCCAATCTCGTTAAATCTATGACACACCTAAAGGTTTATTGTTAATAACTTTTAACAACTATCATAAAGGGGTCTCGCCTTCCGATAAAGTCGTCTCGAGACCTGTCCTTGTCCCATACTGTGATTTCCAATTGCTGATCACCATCGTCGTATAGATGCAGATCGAACTGTTCTAACCATCTCGGATTCAACGATCTCCACACTATCCTACTTTTGTACTTTTCATTGCCTAACCTGAAATTATTTGGCATGTTCAGATTGTTTTAAAGGGTCATCGGTGGTAAACGACGTAACGCGTTTTGAATTAGCTCAAGTTATGAGTGTAAAGATTGAAACTTCTTACCTAAATTTTACGTATGGGTCGGAAGTTCCCGTTTCTGGGTCGCAAGCTAAAAGATTTTTACCTTCTACTAATGCTATGGTTACTACAGAACTCCAGATTTGGGATTTCAGTCGTTTGTTTACATCTGCTATTCTACTGTTTTTCTGATAGTACTAAAAAAATAGAAATATATGTGGTAAAACATGACGGAATTGTTTTCACAATTATTTTCTACGGTTGTGAGGAAGTAATGTGCTTGTTTTTTGTTTTCCAAGGAATAGCCGTACTTTAAGTTTATATGTTAATTATGCATCCTCTCCAAAACACTAGTCACGTCAATACAACACTACTTTTTTATTTCTCGACTATAAGCTATAAAAGTATGGTAATAGGGTCCATCCAGCGAACGTCCACTTTCATGTTTTCTTGACGTTTCTTGACCCCTAAAGTACGAAAAAAATCTGTCTGTCGATTTTTAGAAGACAGGGAATGTCCGAAACTACTAGATCGATTGTTGTCAAATTTTATATGTATTATATACCACGGGTACGGAAGTACTCCTGGTATATGAATCTGACTTAATTTTTATTACAATTACTTTATAATTTTTTCGAAAAAACTGGATTTGTTCAAGTGTATTTAATAAGGAACGAGGGAAGTTTCGTCCAAATAACCCTAGACGAATATTTTTATTTTAAGATGGGAAGTGTACTCTTTTACCTTTGACACTCAGCTCAATTTTTAACTTAACTTACATGAAACTAGTCCAGGAAAGGATGCGAATAAAAAGTATGTGCACTTAAATCGAACAAGGTCTATTCAAAATTTACTCAACGAATTTTGTACTAACATCATCAGTTTGCTTTTTTATTTTCCAGACGAAGACATTATAAACTTGGTGAGATTAAAATCAAATTGCATTGTTCAGTATCCCTTGTTCTTAGGATGTTTACAGTGTAAACCACCCACAGTTCGCTTACACAGAAAAGCTGTCTCAATACATCAGAGAAAATCGATTAATTCACTTGTAGGAGATTCATATATATTTTTTTCAAAACATTTTGGATACAACGGTAACGATTTTATTGAACCAAAACTGGCGTTACATAATAATTATTTCCAAATTGAGCTATAGAAATGTTAAAAATTACCTGTTCTTTGTCCTCTTGGCTTTTAGGATACAACGTAACGGTCAAAGTAATATCACCTAATGCCGCCTCTGACCTATCCGGATCTTGTAAAGTTAAAGTAACATCTACCGGGCGTCCCAAATCGAAAGCAGTCAAATCTAAACTCGCCGCCCCCATAAAATCATCCTCGCGAGAAAAAAAAAATAAATTCTTGTATTTATTTAGTTTTCGACTTACTTGCAGTCCCCAATCGTAGTCGAATACTTTGATCTGGATTGGAATAAACGGGTCTTCAATGGGTACTGTGAAGCTTTCATCCCATATTGGGTTCAAATCTCTGTAGACTGTCCGTGATTTGTAAATTAAGCGACCCCCGGATTTAAATTTCACGTATGGATCGCTAAGACCTGAAACATTTTTAATTTGAAATTTGTAATCCACGTTGGATAAAAACGCGGTAATCGCGGATAGCCGATAATAAATGAGCTAAAACCGATAAAATATCGAGAGCCAGTTATATCGAATCCGAAGGGATTAAAAAGCGAATGGAATATTCATTATAATTCGTATTACAAGTGTATTAATAAAAAAGGAAAAATGCGCCATAGTCAATGCGTTATTTTTAACAGAACGCAGAACACTGTGTGAAACTAAAGATTTCGAAAACGTCCTAGGTATAGAATAGTATGTGAGGGCATTCAGGTGCGAGGTAATTGAAAAGAGTTGGTGTTTTCCTTTGTGGTTTTCAAAGCAAAATAAGATTATTACCTTCACTCCTCGTAGCAAACCCTGGGTTGTGAGGATTTTTTGCAAAAAGTAAGAAATAAATATAAGTCTTGCTCAAAACTATAGAGAAGTGTAAAAGTGCGAGCTATTTTTTTTATGGTTCTCTTTTTGATTTATAACACGTCAAAACAGGACCTCTTACAAAATTTTTGCTCGAAATCCGAAAGTTCCAAAAGAACTCGATCATACACAGATGTCAGTCGACTTGGTCGTGTTTTTTTTATTAAAAAATAGATAAACCGGAAAAATGGCGTGTTGTGTTTAAGGTTATTTATGTACCTCGTTTTGGACGAAAGGTGATCAAATAAAAAGTGATGTATGAGTGTTTATTAACGAATTAAGTATAGTTAGAAAGTGTCCAAAAATACATTTTTAACCTCGCTATTGCAACAAAACAAGTTAGTTAGTATAACCACAAATATTGTAATATTAATCACATCTAAAGTAGACAAAAACGCAACTTTTCAGTAATGGGAGCTGCTCTTCAATCGCATTGTATGTACCTTGTTCATATGCGCCGCATCAAATCCATTGTCAGTAATTAAATGTTTGTAAAGCAAAATTAATTAAACTATGAATTTACTGGGAGTATGTTTATGATTCCCTAAGCATACTAAAACCACACCCACCAGTAATAATTAAATGGGTCAAATTATGTTATGGTAGGATAATTGAAGATGTGCTCTCGTCCGGCGCATCCACCCATTTTGTTACGCGTGAAAGCATATTGATCATCGACGCTTTTCTCACTGCTGATTTAAATTAATAGATATCTAAAACGCTATCATCCCATTATATCGTCCCTGCTTTAATAATTTTACAAAAACTTGTCAAAATTTATAGTGAAAACAGAAGAAATTCAACCACAACATTCTAAATGGTTCGATTTATTTTAAAAGTGACCGTAATGTCTGCGTTTGTTTCGGAAGATGTCTATTTCAGCTGTTAAATTCGTAGGTTCTGTTATATACTGACAGTTCACGTCTTTTAAAAAACTCAGTGAATTTTTATTTATCTATTGATTAACTAATGACTTTAATCTACTTAAAACGAAGAAATCGGCAGGTGTATTTTGTTATTCGAATCAATGCAGTTAATAAAAGCATACAACATTAGCTGCTCTCACTTAAATATAATAGAACGGGATTTTAAGAGAATGGTATCGGTGAAAATTAAATGAAATAAAATATGATTGTTTGAATAAAGTCGTTGGAAACTATTACAAATAAGTAAAATAAGATGGACAGGAATGAAGTAATGGAACTTGTGTAGATAGTTAAATTTAAAAAAAAAAGAACACCCATCCGTTGTTTAGGTACTTACCATATGACATTAAGAATCAAAAACGTAAATGAATTTGACCTTTTAGGAGATTTATTATTATTTATTTCAGTAAGTAATAACAATCAGTTCTCTAAAATTTAAATCTAAATAAACTGTCGAAAATTTGTAATCTTGTCATTGAACTGAAAAGGGCGAAAAAAAATGCTATACAGCCCCAGGTCCTACTAGTCTGATGTCCACGCACCCCGAAAAATGTTAGATATTATTTACAAATGCGATACTCTCGAAAAACTGCATGTGGTTACATAATTTACCAATTATTATCAGAAATCTAGGCCAATCCATTCTTCCTCCAACTACTTTACCGCCTCATCTTTCTTCTCCTATAATATCAACATAACTTTAATGTTTACGTAATAAATACACATTATTGAACATTAGATCAGTTTCCACGTGTCGATGATCATTTTTAATGACTCCTTAAGCAACTTAGTAAATTCTGATTAGATTAAAAAGTTCTGATTAAGATTTAAGACATGTAAGAATTCGTACACTGATTAAGCGAATTCAGAAACTGAAACTATTTTCTATTTATTCAAAAGGTGGCAAGGTAACTGTCGAAACCATGGCAGTTTGTTGAAATTTTCAGTTACGGTGAGACCAACAGCGTATTTATGTTAGTAAACTAGTTACTTCGTCATCGTTTGTAACTTGATTATTAAACTGTAGAGTTATAATTCCAGAAAGGAAGAAACTACAATACAATATACTACAATATAGAATTTGCACCACTACCATATCACAAGCAAATAAACAAACGAAGCGGCTCTTTTGCCCTACATTGTACCCGAAATATTCTACTTCGTTTGTTTTTGTGAAAAATATGGATGTGCAGATTTTTTAACCATTCTTGCAACTCTTAACGATTTCAAACCAAATGTTAACCCACAGATCGCTATGCAAACTCCAAAAGTGCGTCACTCGACCTAATCCTACTCGTGAATAATGCAAATACACGTTCTGAAAGCAAATTTACCGTTCTTATCCATGGCGACCAATCCATTTCCCTTACGTAAATGCACTCGTAACTGGAAGAAAGAATGTTGGCGAAGAGCGGCTTCTCTTCTCCTCGTGATTTCATCATTGGAACTCAACTGAAATGAACAAGCGATTTTCGTTTACGGTAAATTGGCATATGAAAAAAAAAATGATGTTATGAACTAATGAAAGAAGATATACATGAGGCGTCTAAAGGAAAAAAAGCACTAGAAATTGTAAATTTTATCGTAAAACTTTTTATGTATCTATTTTATTTGGTATCGAAACATGTTAGTTACATTTATTTCAATTCCTTTAGCCAGTTTAGTAGTAGGCTAAAGGTTGTAAAGTGGCTAGTGCAGTAGCCCTGTAAAGAACAACCCCCGTATATTGACAATTTTCAGCTGTCAACGCAACGTCAGCGGGAACTTCAATGTCAACAGGAACTTTATAAATCCCACTGCATGCCCACTGCTAACGTCATCAAAAAAAGATGTTCATGGAATAGTTCCAAAAATGAAAAAAATGTACAATGAATCTTCTGCAGAGAACATAATTTTGGAAATTTTATGACTGAGGCGCCACTTGGAAGCCGCCAGCATTTCTTCCCAAGAAGTGGTTCAGTGGACTTCATTGGAGCTTTTCAGATTCATCGTAAAGTGGTGCTATTCTGAGTCTGTTCCGAGTCTAGCGCTGTGTCTAAGATTTTTTTAACCATTTATTTCGGTGGCTTCATGTGAAAGAAACTTTTCAAAATTGATAAAATCGTGATTAAGGTTAAAACTGAACCTAAAATTGGGTATTCAGCAAAAACAACAAGAACACCACAAAATATTGTCATTTTAAATAAACTTGTAAGAACTAAGTGGTTAGTAATTGTACACTAATCATGTAGTTTTTAAATTTAATTAAAATTGACAGCAGAACAAAGGAAATCAGTCCACACGATGGCAGCAAAAGAGGGAAACCATTACAGGACGCTATTAGGGGCGAATGAGACTATCTGGAAATCGAGAATTTTCCAGAGGCGCCAGTAGTCGTAGTACACCAGAATCCAAATTTATATCATTTTCAATTACTTAAGTAAAATTTGTGATTTTTTGTCTTTTAAGGGCGCCGGTCCAAATTTTCCCGCCCTACTTCATGAGGTCTCAGCCGCTCCCGGACGTTTTGTTACATTCTATGTTTAGCTATTTGCTATCCGGAAGATTCACAGAGTAATTTTCCAAATTGTATTAGACATACTTACGGGTATAAGATCGAGACCGGCCACGGCGCTGGGGGTTGGTGCGCGGGGTCTAGGAGAGCCGCTCGGTGAGCTCGTGTCGCCGCCGCCTGCACCGCCGCCACAGGGACGACTTAAAGGCGAGTCTGCAACAAACACACCCATCACGCGATTTTGACGTCAGTTTGTTTAATTAACTGTTGCCAGTAATCATTTTAATTACTGCTTTTGCTTAATTATCCTCTACATACAACACGGAACTTTTTCAACTAAAGTTAAACTGAGTGCAATCAATAAGCTTAACATTCGCATATTTCGACACAGCAGCCGTTTGTTGTCGTAATAAAAAAAAATCTGTTAATTTGAAAAATGTAATTACGTATACGCATTTATTTATGCGAATTTTTATTTACGAGTTATCTGACTACATGATATTAATTACAAAATTTGTCAACAGTTTATCGTATTTAATTTTGTAAATATGTCATAATTATGACAAAGAGCGCTTCCTTTGTCAACAAAACTAAAATAAAAAAATGGTACGAAATAGATTTATACCATTCACGATATATATTACGTTATTGTGTGAAGACGTAGTAATCATGAGTTCTATGCATGCAAGTTCATAAAAAAATCCTTCGAGCCGGATTTGAACCAGCGACCTATGGATAGCCATAATCTCAGCCACTACAGTCCACCGCTCTACCAACTGAGCTACCGAAGGTGTTGTTCAACACGTCCCACTAAATATGATCGATCGTACGCTTTTTTTGTTGCAATATTTATTACATTTACTTATTAATTTAATTATCCTCCAACGTCTGTTCAGTTATATTGATTAACACTAATATGTTAATTAATATTTACAAAGTACCTACTCATTACTTGCAAACCACAAGATTTTTTCAAGATAGAATTACAGATTGTCAAAATTGGTCGAAAGTTTTTTCGACAGAATTTCCCTCGCTCCTGAAGTACAGTAGTATAATTATAACATTTGATTTTACGAATTTTCTGACAACCCATACAAGTCTAAATAAAGATATGTACGGAATGTTTTAATAAAGGTAAAGAAGCATGCTGTGTCATTAACACTTTTGCAAGGACACATATATCAACTTGGAGAGATGGAGTGTAATACTAATAATAACAGTACTGTATTCCCAAATTTTCGGAAAAATAGAGTGAGTCATTCTTGATTTAAGTGATAAAATAAATTGCGTCATTCATTATTTTTTATGTAAGTGTAATAAGTAACTCTAAAAACTATGAGTCCATTAATAAACCACAACTATAAAGTCATCATATTTTGCATATTTCAGAGAGGATTTAATAAACGAATAAATTTTGATTAACGATTTATCATGACTACGATAAACTTAAAACGTTTGCAAGAGCATTCGGTTTTACATTGCAAAATTTTGTTATGTAATTTTGCTTTTTTTCCAAAAATGTGGATGTCTATGGTGAAAACTCAACACGGATCCATACATCACAAACGAATATCTTATTTTATAAAATTAAAAATATATAGATATACATATATTATTGCAAATTTTGGAGCTGACGGACAGACGGAAACGGGATATCACTTTTTCGTACTTTAGAGATGAAACGTCAAGAAAACATGAAAGTGGCAAGTGGACTCGATTACTATACTTTCTTTCTTAGCTTAAGCTCAGAAAGTAATAAAATGAACTCATTTTGTAAATATGAGCTAAGTAGATATTTGAAGTTGCATTATTTGGGTTTTGTATTCTGCGTGATTTTGCTTAAGAAATTATACTTTCCGCATTCCTACTTAAAATGGTAACTAATTTTCGTCAAACCTAAAATTAAATCTACTAACTGCAATTTTTAATTTTAGACAAAACCGTGCATTCGTACTTACAATACATTGCAATTTCAACATGAGTGCAAAAAAATATATATACGACACAAAACCGTGGTTTACGACGTATGAGGCAGGAGACTTTACATTCACATCTTCCCATATAACCCTAAGATCAATTTTTTATTACAATTAAATATTAAAGCTCCAATTGGAAACTGGATCGGAATTTTTATCGCTTTTAGTAACTCACTGTCTTCTACCTTCAACTGAATTGAAAGCCAAGATATTTTCATTCACTTTAGTGATCACTGATCAATCATCATTAAAAGAGTGTTAGCGTTTGCAAATTAAATCATCACTAATCTTACCTATAACGGAAAGTAATAAAACAAATCGATGCAGTACGCTTGGCGATTATTAAATACTACAAGCTCTGGAATCGTGTACTCCTTAGAATTGTAAATTTTCCACACACTGTATTCTCATAAATATTTTTTACCAGTGGATCGAAATGTTCTCAGCACGCGATTGTTCACAGTGGTATTTCGGAAGCTTCGCTTTCATTTAGTTTGTTTTTTTAGCTGCCTACTACTAAATTAGTTCAAATAAAAGAATCTTTTCGTAAACGTAATAATTTCATGGAAACGTAAATAGAGTCGTTTCTATTTTTAAATTAGCTTGAAAAAAGTAACTGTAAAATATCAAAGCCTCTACACTGCAACGACGAATTTTATGTGTGAATGTAACACTAATAAGCGCCGTCTTTAATTTTTTAGTTACTTTGATTAAACAGACCAAGTGATTCAGTCTAATATTTACACTAATTTATCCCGGAAACTGTTGTCATAACTTTCAGTGATAAATAGGTTCAAGTAGTTTGTATTGGATGACTCATAATATTTCCAAATTTTGGACTTTTTACTTCTGTGTGTGGTCTTAAAATAAAGAGGATATTTTGCACTCACAAGAACGAATTTGATGAACTGTAACATTTACTAACACCGAAAATACAAAGTTCCAAAAACTGTCGACGCGTTTCGCCAACCCACCGGTTACTACAAATAATTCTCTTTTTTTTTAACTGATGGAGATCTTTTTGAACTTTTGCTTGATTGAGATTTATCGTGTGTAGTGTCTTATCAACTCATCATATACATATACCTAAACATACGGACAGACAGAAATCGTCAAAAAAAAAAAAACACGAAATTGAACATTTGTCAAAGTGAACATATGTTCTGAGTTCATACTCGAAAAGGAAAAGCACCATCTCAAAAATATACAGAAATGATGATGTTATGTTTTGTCCCGCTATTTTTAACCTACTGTTTTCAAAAACTCTCATTCGATGACAGATAACACCAATCCTGCAGTTATCTGCGCATACCATTTCCGTACTTGATTCCTAATCAAGTCTGCTAATAGTTACTATTACCTACTGGTCTTGAAAATGGCTCGATTATTCACATTAGCACACATTCAAAATTTAAACGTTAAGCAACTTACGCCAATCATCAAAAATCAGTTTCCACGCTTTAAAAAACATCTCGTCGCAGCTGCAGCACAATTGAGTACATTTAAATTTCAAATTAACCATCACGACTAACTGACGCTGGCAGTAAACATTTACGCAAAATATATTTGTTTGTATAGTGTGTGTCCTTTATCGGAAACATGAAAATTGCATTATAAGTGATTGATAGTTGCAAATTTTTTCATGGCCAATAGCGCGTGTTATGCAAACTCACCAGTACGAGCATGAAGTCGATGCCTCGGACTTTGCGTGCTGGGGGTAGAATGATCGCTGCTGAGGTCGGCGGCGTAATCTGTTGAATCCTGGCGGCCGGGCGATTTGTGACGACGTTCACGTTTGCTGTGCCCCCAACGACTCTGCAACACCAGAAACGTGCGAGCGACCGTTTTATCTAACTCTATATACCTATAGGAGGAGCAGGCGCGCAAAAGCGCCTCTTTAATTTACCGCTCGATCGGTGACGATAAGCGAAAACTATTTGTTTAGCTGGTCCTCGAAAACTCATTAATTATTATTAAAGGTAAAAAAGTTAAAGATCGAAGTTTTATGGTTGTCTGAATTAATAGCGTACACTATAATTATTTACAATTATACACAGTGTTCTATTTTTAAAGCGTAACATACACCTTGTTTTTTTTTTTTTAATGAAGCATACCATATGTTTTTACAAAACCTCATTGGGCTCTTCTTGAGCTGTATAGTTTTTCTTGAAATTTTGTTACATTTATGTGTCATTAATTGAACCTAAACCGTACATATACAATTTACAAACCACTGGAGGATTATATAGAGAGTTGAGAAGTATAGAAACAAATACGTAAAATTACACTTTATGCGGGTAATCCCAAAATTTTCTTCAATATTCATATTTAAATGAGTATACAACCCATGAATTAATTCATATAAAAAATTATTATTATCTGTGACTGAAAGTTCTAAATCGGAAGATTTATCTGAAAACTAGTTATGCATATATGAAAATACAACTTGAAGACCTTGGCTATTGTCTTTTGATTACGATTCAGAACGTGCAAAAATAACCAATAACAAAAAACTAATGACCGCGAAATAGGTATGTTCCAACGTTTTCTTGACGGATTATTTTTACTTTAGTATGAAATTATTATTAAAAAAATACAGACATTTTAGACATCTAACTACATTAACGTTTTGCGTTTTAACTCTGTTGTTCGTAAAAATGTAGAGAAAAAAAGTCACGCCCCCGGGTGGGCTCGAACCACCAACCTTTCGGTTAACAGCCGAACGCGCTAGCCGATTGCGCCACGGAGGCGATGTTTAAAGCTTGCTCTTAGTGCGTATTCCCACAAACATAAATCGAAGTGAATATATAACAAAAAAATTAAATATTTATATATTATTTCTCACCTTAGAAACCTTAAAAAATATATAAAATTTATGTTGTAACAAAAAACTAATGACACAATTATTATTAAAATCAATATTCTACTTCTATCAAATTTTTGAGGTGAGGTCATGAAGTTTTTAGAGGATATAGTCGATTAACAAATTTAATAATTACAATTAAACATAACTTATGACGAAAGTTTTAAAATAATTATACAAAACTCACTTGACATACACCTTGTAAAACGTTTATGACTTAAGCGGCTTAAGCCAAACCACCCTTATAATTCACCCGAACCGCAAGGATTATTACTGTGCGTTGTTGCCATAATGGAGCTCTAAAGTTTTACTAGGTATATCTGAACTGAGTTAAGTTATACAATAGTCAGTTTGACTTATAAGGGTGCTTTGGCTTAAGCCGCTTAAGTCATAAAAGTTTTACAAGGTGTATGTCAAGTGAGTTTTGTATAAAGCACTATAGAACTCAGAAATTTTTCCGACAAGCTTATTAACAAAAAGAAAACATTTGAAGACGATCTAGTTACACAGAAAGGTAGTATGATTATAAAGCCCTCGATACTTTTAAGGCATAAAATGTAACCACAGGATGTAGAAAAATTGGCAATGAGGATCGCAGTGACTACATAATGATCCCGATGTCGTATATTATCGTGACCAAAGTAGATATAATCCATCACAAGAAATATGAGAATATCGATATTACCTTTAGTTGTGCGAAAAAACTATGGGCTTTCTGATACACAGACAGATGAGAAGTTTCAGGAGGAGCAGCTGATCTCGGGCGAGTTTCCGGCATTTCCCTAGGACTGCTTAACTCGGAAGTCGATTTGCTTAGGTGTCGAGCTCCCATCGTTGGCGTTTTCGACATATTATTGAATTCACATGTTTCGAGAGCCCGTTCTGAAACAACATCAAATGTAGCAAAACATAATTAATATTAGTAATAAAAAAAAGAAAGTATGCCGAAACCCGGGATCGAACCAGGGACCTTTAGATCTTCAGTCTAACGCTCTCCCAACTGAGCTATTTCGGCTGCTCAGACGAAATTTTCTCGCGGTTTATAACGGGCACAATCTCTAGGTACCCATTATAATTTTTTTTTTAAGTCTAATATATAATGCAAAATTTAAACAACGTGACCACAGTCTACGTAAATAATAATAAAATATATTTTTTAAATTAAAAAATAATAATAAAAAAGATGAAGGTGCATCCTTTTAAAGTGCGAGTTGATATCAAATGATAAAAAAAACTACACCGTTATATAATCACGCAATAATAAAATACCTTTCACGTAAAACTATTTTCTTTAAATTTGAGTCTTCTTTTCATCTGCAAACCACTGAAAAACGCAATATGTTGTTCGAATTTATGCTTTCTGAAATGTAAATGTAAATTGGCAGCACGCGGATCCACTAAATAAATTAAGTCGGCACAATTAAACATATCAAAATCCCGAACAATCTCCCCTAGGGCTCTGAAAATTGGACGAGCCAAGCTGAAAGTTATTTAAAATGCTACACAACAAAAATGCGCATTATATCTGTCCACCAGCTTAACATCTGATTTTACAAATAATTTTCTGCTTGTGAATTTTCGGTGATTGTCCCATGCCATCACTGTACAATGTGTCACAAATAAGAAACATGTGTTCAGCATAAATTGCTTTTATAACATGGCCTTTGTAAAAATTCTGTATTCTGTTTATGTTGTGACTAGAGAGCAAATGGTGTTGCTAACATCTGATCGGAGTAGTGAGATGTGTGGATTAGGATGCTAAACACGTGGCGAAGGCGAGGTTGTGATAAAAATTTGCAAGTTACTGAAGCACAGCTGACTGTAAGTATTAGGTCATGTCATCAGATTTGATACATTTTATCCTAAAACGATAAACATTGGCTTCTAAATTAAATGCCGAGTAACTTGCGATTAATATTTTCGATTTAAAACCGTACATTTTACAAGATTAATTATTTACCATTAGACAAAATTAAACAAACGTAGTATCTAATCCCCAAAGAGATACTTTTATCGACCGCCCCAATGTTTGCGCTAAATCAACACGTTATAGACTGATAATAATTTAAACGGTTATACGTTGAAAATATGACTCCGGGACTACAGCTTTTATTCCGTGAAATAATGAAGACAAAAGAAACTGTGATGGGATGAGAGAACTTAAACCATGTCTTAAATGTTAACAGGAATCAATATCTAAGATCAAAATCGTAATGTCCGGTCTTGGACCAAGTTTTTTCATCTCTTCTACATTTAACGAAAGGTTGAAATTTTCAGGTAAAACTCAAAATCTTCTAATAAATTAATTTTTATTAAAGTATTCACTAAATTGTTGCAGGTTAACTTAGTGCATTATAAATCTTTACAGTAGTTTTTTAATCTGCATGTTTCATTATATTATATCGACCGAGTGTTTAAAGTTGATGAAACGAACATAATGGAAAACTAGAGCGCACCCCCTCCATGCATAAAACAGAGCTAGCTTTTTTTTAGGTCAGTAAAGACATTATTTCGATTACATCGCACAAAAGTAAATAATAGAATGTTCAGTTCTTTTAAAATTTACCTCCCCCGGGGCTTTTATCTCCACAGCTACCATGACGTAACAATTTATCATTACATGTACTTTTTTTGCTGAAAATGTGGATACCACCTAACTGCTGAAATGAAAATCGGGATAACATTGCTTTCATTTCATAAATTCAAAATAAGGTTAAACATGATAATGAAATGTTCTTTGAAGTAAAGGTGAAACAGCAAATTAAAAACGAGGCTTTTAATTAACGGAAAAATTAAAAAAGAAAATATATCAAACACATAACGAATTCGTAATAACTATAAGTAAATAGAGCAATATAATGGAATAGCTACAGTTTATCATCAATAATAAATTAAATAAGTGCAAATTAGTTTACTGTTGGTTCTACATATTTACGTTGCGATAACATGCCTATTTTCTCAGTGAGAACAATCAATGAAGGGTGAGTAAATGTCTTAATAGAAAGCAGCATGACAAATAGTAATAATTGGTATTTGAAGTTATTGTGACGCTGTGCTTACCGTGCAAACATCCTATTTGCCACCTCTTTCATTACATTGTTTACTCCTAATTGCACGATAACCGTAGACGTTTCATCATTCGGTTAATTAATTATTTAAACACAAATATATATTTTATTAACTTTTGATTTTCTAACTGGCCGTGACCATGTCCTTTCTTGGACAAAGAATTGTTAAAAACGCAGTAAAAAATTTAGACAAATATACAAAAGTGAAAACAAAATATTGTGACTTGTAGTTCTGGGGGTATGGTATCGATCTCGGTACATTAAGATAAAGGGACACATCTACGGAGGCAATAACAAATTTATTGCGGGTGGCGGTATTGGATCTTCTTACTTTCAGAGCGGCCATAAACCTTCAAGTTTCTACTTACTTTTTGATAAATTCCAGACCGACATGTTTAAATAATTCCTCCTCCACTTAAATGGCGAACTTCACAGGTATGTCGATGGCGATAACTCGCGAAGTTAACGATAAGTTGCCAGGAAAAGGAAGACGGATGTTAACTGATAAAGCAAAGGAACCAGTTTGCAGACTCGAGGTGTAGCGTAAACAAATTATGTTACTTTAAATTAGATAGATAGAAATAGAGGAAAAAGTACTGCATAAATTGTGACAATAAACTGTATAAATTACATTACATACCTACGTTTGTTTACATTGGGGATAATATTAATAATTGCTTTATGAAATGAACACATAAAACACATTTAAATCGATATCTAGGCCTTTCTAGGAATGATTATAATGTAGCCTGATAAACAACTTTTTACGTATTTTTGTAATGTTTTGAAAACTCGTATTTCGAGTATGGTAAAGCTGTTCGCTGATATCGAATTCTATTCATAGGTTTAACCACCATTATTAAAATTGCTACCTGAATTTATTACATAGAGAAAAAAGAATCTCCTATCGCAAATAAAACATATCGTAAAATGAGGTAAGTAAGTAAGGCAACTAGATGGATATAGTGTCGAAACGTCACCCATGCTCTTCGGACAGCAATCAACAACAGGTTTTGCATTCTGATTCTCACCCTTACCAGTGCAATGTATGTAATTAACTATTTTTACATGATTCCGTAAACCCCCTATTGATTCTTGCTTTAGACACTTTTCTAATCTTATACTGGAGCAAGCAGTAGTTTTATTACTTTGACTTTTCAAAGCCCTACGTTTGCAAACAAAGAGCATCGTGAACTGATACCTCTAAAGACAAGCCGATTCTGTTTAGAAGAAGCATACCAGCCAAATAAAACCCCTGTTTAAGTTGCAGATGGTGTCATAAATTTGCATCTAATAAGATACATTATTTCTTGACAGCGATAATAAAGAAGTCATACTCCTAAAATCACGATATTTGTCGAGCCAGTATACTTGTGGTTTTCTTGATATTTTTCTCTACTAATTTCAAATCTTTTGAGAACCGTGTAATGAAAATTTACTATAAATTGTTAATAATCACGTTGGTATTTTTCTATTTTGGAATTACATGCACAGAATAAAAAGTCCCAGTCTAATAAATGATAGATGATTAGTAAAAATTATCAACTGTTTACACTAAAAAACAAAAATCCAATAAGCAAATGTAAGTAACTTATACATATAACTAGTGTTGGAGATGATCATTCACAAAACTCACAAACGTATGTAGTGCCCTTCTGAGAAAAAATTTGCTTCGGATGTTGGAAACAATTAAAAAATATGAATTTTTATTTTTATGAAAATTTACAATCGACATGGGCATCACCTCAGAATTATTCGAACGTTTGTTATCGTATCCTTGACATTAATAAACCACTTCCTTTATGTAACTGGCAAGCGATAGGTACCGATTACCGACACAAAACTGAAGTGATATTTTTACGTTTCCGTAATAGCAGTAGGTATATAGATATGCAATTTTTCCAAATCAGAACCGTGCAACGACCTTCGCTTTTTAGAATCAGCAACCAGCATAATGTGAAATATTTCGTGATAACTCCGTTCCTCGTCTTCTAAAAAGCCAAAATTTGGCGAAATCTCATTCCGCAAGCTCCCACATCGTGCCGAAGTTGCTATTGGTATCATTGATTGGCAAAGGCCGCCACGCGACGTCAGAATAAGTAGGGCTTAGAAAAAACTCTAATCTGCTTACTAGAGGGCGAATCACAGTGTTTAGACGGAATCATATTAGGAAGGTGAGTGCGTCAGTGTTAACTCCTTCATCTAACACAGAACCACACTAACACATCGGGCTTCAGGTGCCATGGCCCGGTTCAGAGCTCGGCCGAAAATCTCCGTAGCCGTTCCGTTCTGCCGTTCACATTTTCGCGAAAAAGACATCAGTTCCACTGATAACTGAGCGGATTTTTCGTGTTTTTAGGTTATAATCGTGCATCAACATGCGATACAAGCGACGTGCGTCCACGGACTGGCGCTAGTAGGTGGCAATATCGATTCGAAAGCAGACCAAGAAACGCTCTCGCTGGAAAATCAAAGACTTCAGCAGGATCGGAGCTTCCCTTGCAAGAATCTGAATTCCGGTCGGAAATGTTGGGCGACGAGCAATTACCTTGAGGTGATGGGGTTAGTGGAACGAACGGGACTGAAGTGGCCGCAGAGGCGAGGGATGTGGGGTACGGGCACACTGCAGGTGGAGGACTTTGAACTATGGCATTAGGGGGGAAGGGTCGGACGATAGCTGACATTTGGAGGAGGTGGGTTATTCTACCAAGTGACCTGTGGAATGCACGGGAAATGGACGCGTTAAGTAGTGATTATGGTAATGTCTGATAACGCGTCATGAGTGCAACTGGCAGAGGGTAGTAAACGACGATAATACTAATTCATGAAACTTTCAGTAAATTAATTTTTTCATTTTTGTAGAAATTTGATGATGTCAACTCCAAAAATTATTAAATAAAGTTTTTAAGTAAAGTACTTCTTCAATAATTCTGCAAGACTTAGAAACAACGCATTTAATTGTGCTACAAGCAATAACATTATATAATCATAATCATGTAACATGAGCATTGCACTAATATGAAAAATCTGAAAATACACTTTTTCGAATATTTAGTATTGGATTTGCTTCAAAGGTCGCCAAAGGTCTATGTAAATAATTTAGCAATTTTTAAAATTTTGATGCTTCTGCTTTGGCACTAGATATGGATTCTTCTGCTTGCAATGCTACAAAAGTTTTGATGCCTATATTCTTGAACTTTTAAGTAGTTTCATTTTTCATCCGATCTAATCTTCTCCGTCTACTCCCACCGAGAAAAGCAATTTCAAGTTCATTGTAGCGAAGCTTTTGACTTTGTATGTTCGCCAAGTGCAAGTGGAATAAAAATTAAATGCTTGTTTCGGGATTTTACGTGTTTAATTAACAAAAGGGCTTACAAGTTATTTTTATTCTTTTTACTTGCCGAACACAAGATGGAGAAATACTGTAACTGGACAAAGTAACATCTAACTCAAGTTTTGCATTTTACTCCCCTACATATAATACGAAAATGTCCATTGCCTATTTCCGTCTGTTTGTCTGTATCTGTTGGCGATTTCATCAGAGTAATAATCTCCGAAACTACTGACAACAACTGTAAAATATGGGTATACTTTAACTAAAGTGTCTGTTCACAAAAAATCCGTTATCTGTGTTTTAATAACGCAACCACATTTTTACCCTACGTAGTTTTTAAAATCGTGGTGTGACTTTAACTTAATGTAATTAATCTAGTCGACAATTGACCGAAAAGGGACTAAAAATAATCTATTTATCCACGTCGAGAAATTTGGTGACTGTGTACTATGTCTGTGAATTATTAAATATGATAACATGAATAATTGTAAAGTGTTTGTTTATTTAATCAATCACACCGAAGGCTAGGCAGACAACCCATTGGGAAGCTGTGTAGACTACAGTTCCGATCTTGTTGGATCTCATCAGTACAGCCCATCCCATCGAGTTGTCTAGCCTCTAGCGCATTCGTTGTGTTTCGTTTATGTGCTTAGCAACCAGGTGTTAGTGAGATGTTAGTGTGGCGACCTATGTGTTTACCCCCACTTGCCGAAAGATCGTACTTTCGCGCTATTTGGGGGAAACCAAAAAGTGGACGGAAATTACTTTCCGGTCAAAAGCCCCGCCGGACGCTGAATAATACCTGTCTGCACTGGCGTCACCACTTTCGTGGATAACGGTCGCGTTCCTCTGCAAAGTGTTTAATCACACCGAAGGCTGTACTGATGAGATCCAACAAGATTGAAACTGCAGTCTACAGCTTCCCAACGGGTTGTCTAGCCTTCGGGGTGATTAAAGTAATCGCCACATCCGTGCAAATTATTGTTTTTTAACAAAAATGAATATTTAAATTTATCATGGGTAGATTTTAAAAGGCAAGTGGTGTTTTTTTATTAGCCTGACTGAAACGAATAAACTGACGAATATTGACTTTTTTAATTTCAGATTGAAAATAAATACCCCTCGCTCTTGGGAACCGACACTACTTTTGCGTGCGATAGTACGTCTAATCCTTGTTGATAAATTAATTATTGTATATTAATTATTCTCGTTTTTGGTAAAGTTGATGCTTTAAGGTATTCTAATGTTATCAAAATGGCGTTAATGGGAGTAATGGTATCATGATGCTCCCACATGAGGCCAACGAAAAAGAACAACCGCTCGTACGATGTCTATAAAAGTGAAAAAATGACAAATCAAAAAATATAGAAATTTTAATATTCATGGATATTAAAGTGTGTTTTCGAGTGCCGTTCCAGAAATGCGTCGTGGATTTAGCGTCATTTGATTAATAAATTTAATCACCGCACTGCGATCGTTGTAGATTCTTGTTAAGTGACGATAGGCAACCTAAAAAACAAACATGCATACATATCGACTAATAACACGCGATAAGTACCACACATTAATTAATGTTAGTTTGCCGTTTTACCCATGCGTTAGCGCTTCTGGCAGGCATACCTGTTCGATCCCCCCACTCGCAAGGGTGAGCCAGAGCCACCTCCCATCTGAGCACGGGGTAGTTACGAACATTCATTACTAATAACTCAAGATTCATTCAACCTTCATCATTCATCCATCACTCACTCAACATTCATTTCTCGACCAAACGGTCACACACATTGCAATATTCATCTTTTATCAGTTATCAATTTATCATCTATCAATGTACATACATACATCGTAGGTACTGCTCGCTGTTCTTATTCATATCCATAAATTGAACATAATCTTTTTTGTTTTACGTCGTGTACGGACTGCCCCTAAAAAAGTTTAAGCCGTCCAACTATCAGAGACGTACATTTAGGACTTGCGATTATATTTTGACAAACAATTTAATATATATAGTGGTAAAACAATTTAATGATTCCCTTTGTCTAGCGGCTAGCCAATAAACGACAGCGACCCTACGTTGAAATTAATTTTAATTCGCTCTTAAACAACGAAGGTGAAACTCCACTCATTGTAAGCTGATAAAGCCAAAAGTTTAGGATTCCTTACGAACGGATCTCTTTCTTTTGAACTACATGTAGGTAACAAGACATTCGGAAACGGTTAACGCAAAAACTAAAAAGTTAAGGTACTGAAATCCAGAGCCGTGCCTACATATTTTTTCACCTGAGGCAGATACCCAAATCCACGCCCCCATGTTTGCGAGATAAACTCCCCCCAAAAATTATCGCATCACCCTCAAAATTTTGTATATTTCCAATTTGAAAATTTGTAGAAAACACATATGGGGCCAAATCATATTCAAACATATTTTTATTTATATATTTGCCAGAACAAGAACCAATATGGGGATTAAAACGATGGTTTCTAGTTCTTCGGATTAATTTGCACATATACGAATTTCGTCCTTTTCATTTGCAAAGCATTTATGTAGACTTCTATCGCTATTGTCATACATATTCGACATTATGGAGGTTCCTCTACTCTTAATTTTGCATTTGACCCACGACGAAGTTGTACGAGCATTGACTCTGTTGGAAGATGATCGTAGTCAGCGATACGTAGCAAGAGTTTTAGAAGTTAATCATTCCACAATCGTTAGACTTGCACAATGGTTCCATGAAACAGGGAGTGTTGCCAGAAGACTAGGACAAGGTCGTGGAAGGGTGACTTCGTAATGGGATGATCGCTTTTTGCGCTTAACAGCGCTCCGTATGAGGCATTGCACTGCTTGATTGCTTCAAATGGAGTTGTTTGGTGCTCGAGATGTGGATATTTCTGTACAGACAGTAAGAAATCGTCTTCACGAAGATAATGTTCGAGCTCATGTTCCTGCAAACGGACCATTATTTACCAGAGCTCATCGAGTAGCCCGGCTAGAATTCTCAAGGGAGCACGTGAATTTGAAAATTGAAGATTGGGAAAATGTGATGTTCTCTGATGAGTCTAGATTATGTCTTTGCTCAAATGACAGACGAATACCGGTGTATAGAAGGCCTGGGGAGCGGTATTTTCAATGTAACTTCGTCCAAATGTACAGTTCGGTGGAGGTTCGATTATGGTTTGGGCTGGCATATCTTTGCAAGGTCGTACAGACTTCGTACCATAACCTGGAGCTCGTTTGATGGTTGTACGTTACATAACAGATATTTTAGAAGCACATGTCATTTCATACGGACCATTTATTGGCCCAAATTTTGTTTAAACGCATGATAACGCTCGGCCGCACATAGTGCCCGTGTACAAGCTTATTTCAGAGAAACAGATACGCCTGATATGGAATGGCCAGTTCGAAGCCCTGATATGAATCCCATCGAGCATGTATGGGATGATCTGCAATGTCGTGTTGCGGGCCCTAGAATTGCTTTTAGAACTCTCCAACAGCTAGAAGCAGTTCTTTTCTTATGGAAGAATGGGCAAATATTCCTCAAGACAATATTGTGCACTTTTACGAAGGTATGCAGCGACGGATGGAAGCCGTTACTCAAGCCAGAGGTGGAAATACACAATATTAATTTAATTAACGCTTATAAACTTATGTACCTACATTAAGACAGTCTCCAAATCAGGCCCAGAATATGTATATTTTTAATTTTTTGGCATTGTCTTGCATACATTTATCACTACTATGTATATGGTAACCACATGTATTCCGGTTCGCTAGAACTGGAGGTGGTGCGATAATTTTTTGGGGGAGTGTATTTACCTACTTACCTATACGTTACAGATGATCTGTGTTCTGAATTTCTGGACAGAAAACCAGAATTGTAATTGAAAAATGTGCATAAACATGAAAAATTAAATGGATTTATTGATTTTAAGTTATCAGAAATAAACAGATAACAGAATCAAAAGTTAAAAAAACATACAATATAATTCATAATAGCAAATTACATAGAAAAATTTGTAAATACTACTTAATAGGAGTAATATTTAACAAAAAATACGCCCCTATATTACTTCCAAAAATTGTACAACTTATTTTTTTTTTTTGCTTTTAATGAAGCAAAAACATAAATGATTTTTTCAAAATCTATTGGATTACATCATTCTTGTCCACTGGAAAAAATAGCCATGTTTGACAATTTTTCCTGACCAAGAGAAGGTCTTAAATACCTTTTACTTATCTTGAGTTTACTGAAGTTTCTTTTTGCAGAAGCTACAGTAACTGGTAAAGTTAAAAATATTCTTAACGCGACTTCCAAATTTGGATACAATTAAACTAAACCGTATTTGTGAATTATTTTCAAAGCTATAGCTGCCCTAATATCCGGAATTATTGCAATTGCTTGGTTCTTAAAGCTAAATATTTCTGATGATATTTCTACAGCATTTATATCATTTGGATATTTAAGAGCTAAGTCGTAAGCTGCTTTTCTTAAATCTTCGATATACAATGATACTAATTTTTCGTCAGTAAAAAACTGAAAACTGGAAGATATTTCATTCTATTTTTTATACCTCCATTTGAGTTGTGAAGTCAAAACGTCCGGTACCCCTTTCACTTTATATTTTTATATTTTTGACAATTGGGCGCCCCTCTAATTTGTTCATCCGAGGCGAGTGCCACTCTCGCCTCACCCTCGTCCCGGCCCTGCTGAAATCATTAATTTGTTCTCACATTTTGTAATTTAATACAAAAAATTAAAAATTTTGCGAATGTCACTCACAAGCACATTGATTATTATTATTGCTGTAATAATTATTTTTTCCTTTGTAAGAGAGATCAAGCGTAATTTTTTGGAAGAACAAACTTGGGTGGCATTTTACCACCTTCCTGGCAATCTTACAACACTATAAAGTTTGGAAACCTCCATTTCATTTTTCATGAAGCGCAAGGAAGACGTGAAATTAGATATTCAGCAAAATGACCCCATTGTAATGTTTCCATTGGTTACCGCTCGAGAAGTAAAAATAAATATATTGGTAATTAAATGCAAAATAAAAAATGTTATAAAAAGCGTTCATACGATAAAAGAATTAGCATACCAGGGAAATGCTTTGTTATTTCGTTGGTAGGTATTACATTATTATAAAGCTTGATAGTGTACTAAACACAAATATTTATGGTTACGATGATGTAACGTAAGCAGTTAAAACATAAACATTATTAAATTAGTTCACACGACAATACATAATAATAAGTAATGCTTATCAACATATAAATTCATTTTACAAAACTATTAGGCTTTTGTCTAACAATATTGTTTCGTTTGATGGTAATATTTACCTTTCCGTTAACAATAAACTAGGGGAAGTAGGCAGTGGCGGCGTAAGTGGGGGTGCGGTGGGGGCGGTGCCCCGGGTACCAAACACCAAGGGGTGGCAATGACAACTCACTCGACAGCCAGAGAATACTTACGAAAGAATCACTTTGCAAAAACATACAAAAACAAAATCGGGTTGGCAGACAGACGGACAGACAGACAAACGGACAGACAGACAGACGGAAACGGGAGACCCATTTCTTCGTACTCTAGGGATCATGAAAGGTCGAGAAAATGTAAAAATAGAGAGTCGGCCGATGGACTTCATTACAATACTTCCTTCGCTCACGATTATTTAAGAACATATTTCACATATTTCATATTTTGGTAATTTCTCGTAGAAAAATAAGGATTTTACAATTCGGCTCATGATGAATAAAAAAAAATCATCAGAATTGAGATAGGGCTGGTGGGCGGGGCTTATATTTTGCCTTTCTTCTTAATATACGTAGTTGTCTTTTCAGAACAAGAAATTTAAAACATGTCGAAAATGTTCTTGTAGACAAATATCGATCTTGCAATAAGCCCCGCCCCTCGATCCGACAACGAATGAAAAATTCATCACAATTGAGAATTGAGATCGGGGCGGGTATGGGTAGGACCTAATCTTCGGCTTTATTATTTTTTTTTTTCTTAATATAGATAGTATTCTTTGAACAACACGACACACGGATACAATATAGGTAGTTACTAACGACAACTAGGCAACGGAGTTTATAAATGACAATTTTCAGCTTTAAAAGCAACATCAGCGGGAACCAGCAACTGCAACGGTAAGTTTATAAATCCCACTGCTAACGTCATCAAAAAAATATGTTCATAGAATAGTTCCAAATCTTACAAAAATCTACGATGAATTTTCTGCAAAGGATATAATTTTGGAAATTTTACGATTGAGGCGCCACTTGGAAGCCACTAGAACTACTTAGGTATAATACAGACGTTTTCGTTTCACAGGTTGCAGAGAGCCCTTGAAACTTTAACCGTATCTGGCCATCTTGCAATATGCATGCTTCTTTACCTGTGATTTAGTAGTAATAACCTACTTTACAAACTACTCCTAATTTTGTTTAGTTTAATTAGAGTATTAAGTAAAATTGTTAGTTCGTCTACTCCTGAATATTAATATTTTTGTATTCGTTCTGTCTAAATAACTTTTATATAGATTTACTTGCCTACATATGCAGTGTTCCTTTTTAAAAGTGGTCAGCTCTTTCGAAAAATTGTAAGATTTAATTTTGTGAATTTATTTTTTTTTTTTTATTTAAAGTTATATGTGTAACTTAAAAAAAATGTAAAGAAGCATGCGTGTATGTTCCAAGTGAGTGTGTCCATTATAAAATTTGATGTCATCAATATTTTTTAGAGAATCCCCCTGAGGTGCGCTTGTATTTCAGGGGGAAGAGAAGTTCTGTCTAAAAAAAAAAAAAAAAGAAAAACGCGAAGTAACAAGGAAAGACAAGTTAAAAATTCAATTCCAACCATGATGAATTGATACCTTGAGAGTTTAATAATTAAGTATTATAAATTTACAAGTTTTTTTTTCTCCTTAAGAAAAATTGTTGTTTTGCATGTAATCTACAAAATCTAATATTAATTTTTTATTAAGGAATATTACCTAAAATTTATTTAATACAAATATTATTATTTATTAACGTAATCGTTTAATGACATAATCAAAGAGAAATATTTGCCAAAAAGCCGAAATTCAGAACAGTAAACGTAAATTTTGTCTTGCCGATAACAGCAGCGAATTGAAATATTTGTTCTGCGTCGCAACAACTCGTACCTTTCTTTAAAATATTTATCGCGTCGTTCTTAACCTAAATCTACCGCGAATCCCTATTAATTAAACCATAAACAGCGGCGATCCATAACCGCACCATCAATAAATTCATATCCGCTGTTTACTGTCCAAATTGCGCCATCTAAACCCCATAAATATAAAATAAATATGTACAAAATCGAGCGCACCGTGCACTCATAAAGCCTAGTTTACCAAGAACGGCGACGGAACAGACGCTAGCACCAATTTGTATGCAAAGAACCGGCAATGAAAATACCTGCCCATAAAAAGCCCACCGATGGATGTCACGTCCCATCAACTTCCGCCAAGAGAATGAAGATGTGCAAAGCATTGATTGTAGCGAAACAATGTACACCCAAAGATATGAGTAGCCGATGGAGGCGAGATCCGACTTTCAATTAGATGGGCGCTGGAAGGGTGGGGCACCCTTCTAATTCCGTACAAGATCAAATGAAACAATTCCATTTCTCATTTTGATAAACCTGCGTTTTCGCCGATTAAATTTGAGTAGCCTCAGATTGTTTATTTGTTTTGACAGAGTTTTCGCTGTAGACTAAATAATTACCACACGATTTCTAACGAATGCATAACTTGTCCTGTAAAAATTTACGCTAGCGAGATAACTAGAAAGGAATTAAGACAATTAGTAAAAGTGTAAGTGGTTGGGAGTAGATCTCGTCAAAATTTGCACCTGCGAGTTAATTATTTCAAGACAATTAGTACAAACGGTTGCTCGTAGCGTTCAACAAAACTTGGTTTGTCACAAGGTTTTGTACTTGAAAGGTTTTACTGAAGGTACCGAAATATCCTCCACCAGACGGAAGTGCTTTACAAGGAAATGCTTTAAACGTGTGAGGAATTAATCTGAATGTGTCCGTTGTCGATGACATTACGACTTAGGTTAATTCAATAGAATTTTCAAGAGACTTTTTACGCCATTTTGCTCACAATGTGTATGAACCTGTTTTTTCGCATTTCGCACAAAGCTTATGTTTGTTTTCTAATTTTAGCACATATTTAGTTATAGTTCATCACTGGTTATACGTGCTTTTAATAAAAAAATACGTTATTGTAAATTTCCAGATAATTGATCATTTTGTCGGGAAATAAAATTCAAAATATATACTTACTCCTGTTTAATATCACATAGATATATGCGTCGTTAGTGTGCGTACATCAGTATCTGATCTCTGAACCGATCAGTTAACTAGAAAATGTGCGTAAATTATTATTGTTTTTATAAAAAAGGCAAATAAGAAAGTACATCTAAAATTTTAAATTAATACGTGGTACTTTTAGAATTCAACTGTTTAATACATTTTCAAAATACTAACGAAACGGGACACTGGCATTTTTGTATTCTACATACTCTTAGACGCCAAAAAGGATCATAAACGCCTAACAAAAATAACATTGAAAAGTGATGATGATAATAATAATAATAATACTGTGCCATACCATTTTCTATGCCACACCATATCTTTTCAAATGAAAATGTTTTCTGTACAAGCAACACTAAACCATCGTTTATGAAACAGTAAATTTTCAGCGAACATAAACTCCTACTGTTAACTTCACGCTCCACAGCCTCGAGCATGTCTTGAGTGATGTAAATGTAAAGTAATAAAGTAATACAGCTGATCGAATGAAAGAGAACAATAGGTACTAATGCATTTTCAACCGTATCCTGATAAGAAAATATTTCTCCCTAAGACTTTAAGTTTGCACTGTGTATCGATCGACAGATGATCTCGAAACTAACAAACCGATTACTTTGAAATTTTAAACGTATCGTTACAATACATATGCATATACCTACATTTTACGACTGATGTCAGAAGTTAATTATCCTTAACTTAGTGAATCTGACATTAAACCAACAGTAATGTAGTTAGTTGAGAATAACATTTTACAATTTATCTCATAGATACTATAATATAGATTTACGATGGTCTAGAGTTCATAGATCAGCAGTTCACATCTTCATCTGTATGAAAAAGTCTATGCTTTATATCAAAAACATAACTAATTAAATCTTTATCAAATAATTGTGCTTCCTAAGATTTTCGAAATTCATGTATGAAATGATTTTTTTATCCAATTAAATAAAAAATGGCTCATCTAATTGTTCTGAAATTTCGGGAAAACATTTACGGTACGATTAGTGTTACACTGTTTATAAGTACGCCCTTCAGATTCAGTAATGTTTATGTTTCGGAAGCGAGGAAAGTCGATGAAAATAAATCAGCGGCTGGTTTCGGGTTATTATACAGCATATTTAGCAACTGTTGATCACTAACAATTATTCAAATCAACCAATTGTTAGTCTGTGCAGATATCAAAACATTCGCAAACTTAAAATGACTCAGCTGGTATGAATCTGCTCCGTACACATCAAATACTTAGCTACTTTATTACTAAAACCACATTTTCAACATCTACAGAACAAAAAAAATATATATATTTAGACAAAACTTCCCTTGTCCCTGATGTACAGACGAATAAATTCAGCTATGCGTGTGTATCATATGAATATGTGAATTTTTCCATTACAAAATTTTGTCATGACGTCATCAATGTTTTAGTAAGAACACGTATATCAATTTGAACTGGAACAGTGTAATAAAATAGAGTGCGTCATTCATTTTTTTAGACATCCTGTACAAATAATTCTAAAAACTATGAATGCATTGATGAAAATTTTAACGCTTTACCTATGTTTACGAAAACATTAAATGATTTACAAAACTTCTAAGCATTCGGTTTTGCAGTTTCAAAGTTAAATTGCAAAATGTTGCACAATTTATTTGTTTTTAATCTGGATGTCGCGTTTTACCATCTAAGTACATGATATTCATAAAATACATATAAAATTTGACAATCGGTCCAGTAGTTTTGCAGATTACCTAATAAAAATTGACACAGACCGCAGACGGCAGGCAGACAGACATACGGAAACACGAGAGCTATTATGACAGAAATTTAATAACAATGCTTTCTTGACGACTTTGCTGCTGCATACGAGTTATACCACGAACTAGCAAAACGTCAAAAACACGAAGTGCCTTTGTAACATATGAGTAATTGTTAATTATTGCATTTCCTCGTTCCTTGAATTCTGTGCGTTTTCGGACATGTGTATAGGTCTGAAATTTTCAAAGTTCCAACAAGGGGACAACGTTGAGTAAATATAATAATAAATACAGCAGATAAATCACCCGTATTTCCCCACACTTCCATGTAAGTACAGCGAAAATTATTTCCAGCTTATTATGTGGTGTAATAAATTTAACAACGAGAACGCCAAATTCCACACCTAAAGGTCCCCATGGTTATGCCTCGATTTCAACAATTCGCTTAGTAGGTTAAATATTGCATATTTTTGTGTTTCAATAAGCTAAGTGCAAATTTGTCATAACAAGGTTCAGTCCCCCACAAAACTGCACGCAATATTTTTAGCACCTGAACGCTAAACTACCGTTTGGAAGCTCATTAGTGACTACTTTGATATTTGGGTCAAGTAGTTCACAATAAATACGCATGAATATAAATTTATGGGGTATTCTGTACAATTTAATGTTCGTGATTTATTTTTTAAAAGCATATTTTTCTACATGAAATCAATTTTTTGGTGCCCGAAATCAAGACTTATGTACGTCATCTATCTATCATTCATTGTGGTGTCAGATGGGTATCAACCGCATATAATATGATAACGTGATAACTTTTTTGAGAAACCTTTAAGGTGACAATGATCTCTGAAAGACCAAAATACACTAATAAGGATCGGTCTAGGTAAGGCGTGGTTTGTTACTAAGTTTTTAACCTGTAATAATACCAAAACTAGTAAAAGTTCGTATGTAGTATCTACTAGTGCTGAAATAATTTTGAAAATTTCGAAAAATTTAAAAATTAACTGTCATATTGGAAATCACTTTTTACTATGCCACCGGCCTTATTTAAATTTAACAAATAAAAAGTAGCAATAGATAAAGGTAATTCTCAACAGCACAGTGTGCTGCAGGCCTTACACCCACACATCAACAGGACGACCGCCATATCACACGGAAACTCTTTAAAGGTAGAGCAGAACCACGAGTTTATTCATCAATTGTAGTGTATAATAGCAGTGGTTTAAATTTGACCAAATTTTATTAAGTTCTTGAAAACCAGCAATAATCCAACAGGAGAGAACTTCAGCAGATGACACAACGAATTTCTCATAGACTGCGAATTAAAAAACGTTTTTAGAACGTATTATTATGCACAAATGAATAAGAAAAAAAATCAATATATGTATTTACGTAGAAATGATTCCTTACTGCCTCTGAACGACACCATTCTCTCTTCTCTCATTTATTACTATGGATATGCCGTATATCCCAGAGCAAATTTTTCAATAAAGCTCTTTTTTTCTCAAAAGGAGGAGTAGATACATTTTAGTTCCTATCCCAATCGAAGGCTAAATCAGTGTTAAGTGAGACCATGGAAGCTGTAAAATATGGTTTACTATATAAATGGCAACAACTAAGTTTTCGCATCCTTTCCACGATATTGTGTACAATGGAAAAATTTTGTGCGAATTTTTCAAATCTACGCCTCGCCAAAGCCTAAATATTTCGTCAACTTCGCCGTGGGTGGGGACTTGGAAGACACGTCGAAAGCGCGGTAGCACTCTCAGGTAAAGCACGTGTCTGTAGTTCGAAGGAAGTGATTCAGTGGTTGTGTAAGGGTTATTTCTTAGGTGCCCACTTCGGGCCACAGTCATAATCGCGACTCCGATCGAACTAGTCGCTGCTATTACCGCTCCATTGAAAAAAAAGAACGTCGCGCATTTTTTTCGCAAAGTCAGCACTTACTTGACGTGTTCGCGAAATGTAGTGTTATTTTTAATTATTTTTTAAAATTTGGGAGGCAGAGCAGGCAAGATGTCGGCATAGCTGAGGGTGTTTGAGAACGGCTATGTCCCATCCGGCCAACTTATGCCTTCCTTAACCGACTTTCCCAGGACTTTTTGCGATTTTTTTTGGAGTAAGTATTTTAAAAATTGTGCAATGGAAAAGTCACACGCAAGTATATTGTTAAAACTAACAAACCAAATGCGGCCTTGACTCTAATAAAATTTGTTTACTTTACACTTTACTTTACCTCCCAATAATGAAGCTGCTTAGTGGAAATCTTTCAGAACATTAAACTGTTTTAGGTATTTTTCGAAAGTTTTGTAATGTATTCTTGCGCCAACTGTTGAAAGTGCGTGCTAAAATTTTGAATTAAGGGAGTCTGCGCAGAGAGGTAGTGTTCAGGTATTTAAAGTATGTATGTATTTTAGTTTTGGTTAATTTATTGTTTTCGTTGTGAAATTTTCTTGTTGTAATAGATATTTTAAGGCATTCGTTTTGTGGCCCTCTGCTTTTGTAAAACAAAGTCTGAACTATGTTTGTTTGCATGCTAAAGTGTGTATGCCCGCCTTTACTCTGTGTACCTTATACACAACTTTACTGTTGGTAAATATGAGTTGTTTAAGATAAAAATATTACCACCGTGTAAAATTTCCTCGGAATTTAGAATTTCTAAATAATGCCATCATATCAATCCGTAAAGTCATTTATTATTACCATATACCACATTCTTTAACTTTAAAAATTAATAAATAAGAACCGTAACTGTTGTCACATAAATACCCTTCAAATCTACCCATCTATATATCTACACATAACCACCTAGTTTTTCATAATTACGTAACTGTAACAATACTGCAGTTCGAACGCTTTTAATTTCGTATGTATTAAAATTTAATCGAGGTTAGAAGTTTTCCTACACTAATTAAACTGGATTTTTTTAACTAGAAGTAGTATGTACCAGTAAAATAATAACAATAATTCTGCATCCTGCAAAAATTTATTTTTGTGCTCCAAATGTAAAATAAAATTATTGTTACACCATTTTTCTGTACGTAGTATTATAAACAACATGAAACATTACGAAAAAATTTAGGGGCCAGCTTTTGAACAATTATTATGGAATTATAAGAAATTTATGTTTATTCATATGCAGGTACATACTAAGCTAGAAAATTCGCTAAATTTCTAAACACCAAGTTAGTATCTTTCATATTTTTAGATGAAACCTAACACAAATCGTAAAATTTATCGCATTAAAAAAACAAAAAATATTAATTACTTCAATACTCTCCTTTTTTTGGCAGAACAATTTAAGATACATGTAGTGGCTTAATTTATCCCAGTCATTTTTGGCAATTCCCACATTACCATCGTAACATTCGTAACGCTTCCCAGCAGATTTTTTTTGTATCATCACATCACTGCTTAACAGATAAAGAAAGCAAACAAAAAACGTGATTCCTCAAATTTTGCCACACAGCACCCACTTTAGCAAATTACCTCTGATCTGAAAAACTCTCTTACTCGGACACTTCTCCCCAGGTTTTAGAACTTAGATTTAAGTACTCAGGATTCATTAAAACAAATATTTTAATAGTGAAATTAAGTACAAATTTTCATTCGATTCATAGCAACCGCATATTTCATACTGGCAGTCATTCGAAACTAAATTTTTTACAATGATTTTCAGGCGAACCTCCAAGCTTCAATACAAATGTGTGTAATAACTCGATCGCATAAAACTGACGGTGTCCACGCTTCTCTCCTCTACAAAACGTTCTATAAAGAATCCAAATGTTATCGACTTTACTTACCGAGTGAGAGCTAAAGGAACACTGTAACAAGTCATTCTGATGTTTTAAAGATTGACGGAAACACGGTAAAACGCTTCACAAAATATGTCTATTCGTCCCCTCCAAACAAGTGAAGACGTCATCATCACTTTAAAATTTTGTTCGATAAATCTCACAGTTTAATTACCCAGCCTTACTTTGTTTAAATAAAATCCGTACCTACGATAATACCTACTACTACTCCTAAATTTTATTTTTTCATTCTCTTGTTATTTAAATTCACTTAAAAAAGATATTTCTATAAACATGAATTCACCAATTGTCACAGTAACAGTTCGTCCAACATCTTTATACTGAATAAAACAACTTATAACGTCATTGAATTGTTCCCATCAAAATTAATATTTTACGTTAAAAGTCGACGATTATCATCATAAAAAATGTTAAATAATTTGTACTGGTAAACGGTAATATGCACTTTTGTGATAAATGACGACTCGTAAGTAAATGCATCGTTGTTAATATTATTGCAGTTTTTTTGGTTCGTCCTGTCTTAAACATACTGTTGAAAGAGATCCAGCTGAATAAAATTTAAGTCGGGCTTAAAGACTTATTTACTCATTAATACATTAATATAATTATAAGCTGTAAGTGTAAGTAAACGGTACGTGTATTATACCTGTTGAAACGTAACCATTTGTATTTTTCTGATCATTTTATGTCAAATCTGTTATTATTTCCAAGATGAATAATAAAACGCTACAAACAATATCAGCTGTGTTTTGTCTTATCTTTAGCTATAACACTGCTATACTACCATAAGTGAATATGAACCGAACGGCACAGTTCCTTCGTGAAAATATTTTGAAGGAATTTACGTGCCAACGTTACTAATTATTTCGGCGTCGACAACGCGCACTTTGCCACAGTAACGCGAAAATTATCATTGGACGCAAACCAGATCTGACGTCAGCACAATGTAAAAATCTCCAACATTATAATTCGGAAGGCGACTGTCGTTAGATATGTAAAAAATGTGGTAATTCCAAGAGACAGTTTAGGGTGCTTCGCTCGTTGTTATTCAAAGGTTGTTCACCGGTGGTTAAATACCGAGCGCTGTTTAAGGAAATACGAAAAATAATATACAAATCCTTAAGATGTTTATTTTGATAACAATATATAATATATTTCATAACAATGCAAAACATGAGTGCGCAAACATATCACCAAAATGCACACAGTAAATATAAAAATTTGGTGTCGGTAGGATATCACATTAAATACATAGGTATATTAAAATTATATCGATAACAAACAACCTGTTGTATACAATAATAATCAATAAAAGGAAATATTAAAAACAGCCATACTGTAAGAGACACGAACCTTGCTGGAAATTAGAAAATGTGGTCAGAAAATGCTAACTCAATTAGCACAAAACCAAAAAGTTGTTAGGTAAACTTGAAACAAACTGTTTGAGTTGGGTAATCGCCGGTAATGTCGAACAACGTTCATAAAATGGCCGTTGTGTGAAAACTGACTTAAACGAATCGAAACCTTCGGGAATACTTGTTTTATTCATCCTTCTTTTCGGCTCGCGCAATATTCACGAGTCTACCGACAAAAAGGATAACTGTGTCTTATTTATCAAGTGATTTATTTACATTCGCGATAAAGCCTAAATTATAAGAATAAAGCTCATAGTCTATGCGACCCTCAATAAATATGTCGTCATGATATGTACAAAGCTTGTTGCATTACTAATTTACTGTATTGCAAAAATTTTATTGTACTTTCTGCTTTACGATATAGACTGGCCATAATGGATTGAGAAGAATGCGGAAATTTCGACAATTTCGCTAATTGACTAATTTTAATTCTACCACATTTAAATACCCTAAAAACTGAGCAAACGTCACTGTAGACCATTCTAAAAACCCTAATACTCTACGAATATGTCGTTGTTTTTGGCACAAGGCAAAATATAACGTTTTGAAAATCGCCCGAAAACAACTTTACGTATGCCCCTAGATATGTTGAAAGATGAGTTGAATCTTTGGCTGGAACGCCTTATCCTCCAACAGGAAGAGCGAATCACTCGTAAATAATTAAAATACTGTCGGAAATATCATAACATTCGCTATCCCCGCTGAAGGAATACACCGGACGCTCAACGTTATACGGATTTGAACACAAACTTCTAGTCTTTTTTATATAATAAGTCATGTAACGAATTGAATCTACGAAACCAAGTCGATTAAATTATCCACGATTCGTATGTCGCTGTCCAATATGAGACCGCTGTCCACGATGGAAATTTGGAGACGAAATCTCTGAACTGTTTTGTACTCTTTCCAGGTTCGAAGAGAAACTGGGAACTTACAGCAAAATCCATTATGGGCCCAGAATGCGTCACAGGAACCTAAAATCGAGGATAATAGGGAAAAACTATTAGCAATCGATAAAAGATCAATGCAATAGTGATAAATTTGAGCACTTTTACACTGTTGCATGTAGTTGTTTCTCCTGTGTAACAGTACTAAGATACAAAAAATTTAAACGGCCAGAGCAAGTTAACAAGTTAGTTGATCGTTAATAAATTCTCGTGTCAAATTTCAAATACGCAATCTGTGCTTCAAACATCTACATTGTTAAGATTTTGTAACCGTTGAGCAAGCACATGAATACATGAATTATTTATCACACGATGTTCTTTTCGTCAAAAATTTTGATTATGACTTATTGTCAGAATTTCAACCATAGCTAGTGGTTCAGAGTTCCTGGTAGGTACATAAGTACCATACCGTAAAAAATGTAGGTATATGTAACCAATAAAACATTAACATATGTAAACTAACCTTAAAATCCATGTAAAACCTCAAAGGCACACGTTTCAAACCATACGCATAGTAAATGAAATAGGTATCCCTCCCATTCCACCTAGGCCCAGCCAATGGTGTTTTGCTGTTCAAATTCCACTCAGTCAGCGTCACTCCCAAAACCGGCGATATCATAACGTCTATATGCGTAGGTCCGTCAATCTCCACGGTAATTCTCAATCCGTCCTTGATGGGTTCTCTACTCAATACGTTCATGGTAACTGGAACTCGCAACTCAGGAGCCGGTCCTGGTAACCAGTGCGTCTTCCACAACATCGTCAAAACAGGAACTAAATACGGCAAGCCGCAATATAAATAATTCTTGCAGTCTTCGTCTACGAGTTCTGCCGCCGCCATCTCAGGTACGTGTCTGTCGACTGTATGTGGACTGTTAATGTCCATATCGACTATCCAGTAACCGGTTTTCTCGTTGGCTATAGCGCCCGAGACGTCATGAAAAGTCCTCTTGGAATGCTACAATGTGGTCAGTCATGTCAAAATTCGTTTCATCTAGAAGTTTTTCACTGTACAATTTTTTACCGCACCGTGAAAAGCTCCTATTCCATTCAAAACCACCACTTACAGCTATCATAAATCGTTGTGGCGCCAAAGAAGACGGTTCTCCGGAATATGGAAATCCCAACGGGGTGAGTATTAAAAGGGCAACCGACAAAAGGAACAATCCCGTCAGCAAGCTGAATATCCTCTCGACCCCTTTTACAAGCAGGATCAACGGCACGGCAAAACTGAATAGAAGAGTGAACAAAGTGCTGACCATTATGGCAATCAAGAATTCGGCGTGGCTTCCTGCTCCAGCTCGTCCCATTATCGGGATGAAGAGATACAAAGCACCTATGATCAGATAGAAGCACTGAACAAACGGTAAGCCGGCCACTCCGATATGTAGCAACAACCACTTTGAATCTAAAAAGAAATTTCCATTTGATGTTGTCATCATGAGCGTGTTTTATTAACCTCTCCATTTTCCGAACAGTCTTGATTTAAGGAAGTTACCTAACGATGCGAAGAACACCCAGATTAGGGCTATGAAGCTGGAACGCACCCTGACTAGTACACCGAAGAGAAGGAATATGGTCCAAATTAGCTGATATGCGTCGTAGTAGAATTGGAACATCGTCCATGGAGATAGTTCGAGATCCTGAAAGAGGAAAATAAGTGAGCTCAGTCTGCAGGTGAGAGAGAAGGTAATGGTGATACATTTTGGTAGTACTTGGAGTGTAGAAGAATTACTGCCATAGAGACTACAAGTGTAGGAATGACGTAAAGGAAGAAGATCCAGAGTGGACGTGCGTACCAACTCATAGTTCTGCCCAGACCGGTTAAACACACTGCGATCATGATGGCGGCGATGATAGAAGCTATCCAAGAAGCGATGATGATGGACATACAGCCAGACAATTTTCTAAAGTACTGTCTTGTAGTTAAGTCTAAAAAAGTTTCCCATTAAATAATCAACGGTCTTTTCGGTTTCTTGATTTCTTCAATTTTGCATACTCGAACTTACAAAGGATGCTATGAAGTCCCGAATTATACACATCTAACAGTAATTTTCAACACAACATGGAAACTGCCCATAGAACAAAGTCATTAATTATTAAATAAAGTACACTAGTTTTCTAAATTCTTCTTTTTCTTTCTTTTTTATTTGTTTATGTTATTAACTTTTTTAAAATAGAATCATATATTTTTTTTATACAGGAAGAGTCACTAAGCGCACATTCCTCGGTATCTCATTAATTATTAGAAATAATAAAATACAAAGTCAAAGACCAAAATTATACGATTTTTTGAGGACTATACTCTGAAATTATTTTTAACTACACAGAGTGTTTTGTTTATGAGGCATAACACACAATTTAGTTTTTTAAATGAATAAACACCAGATATTTTGTTTGATCTCCTCTTTAGGCGTTACAACCACAGTTTATTTTTGAAATTACGATGAAACGTTGCCACGTTATTCCAATTTTCTTATTTTTTTTGCGATGGAAAGGTTCACAAAAAAATCACTGAAGGATTTTTTTTAATCGGTGTTGCAACATTTTGTAGAGAGATAAAAAAGGTACACCTCAAAAATAGAACACTCTGTATAGTTAAAAATAATTTTAGAGTATAGTCCTTAAAGAATCGTACAACTTTGGTCTTTGACTTTTTTTGTTTAATAATAATGATTAATGAGACATCAAGAACCGCGCGCTAAGTGACTCACTCTGTATATATTTAATAAATAGTTGGAAATTCATGTTTCCTTAGTTTTTACGTAGTTAATATAAAAAACAAAACGAAACTCACCTTCATTTTTTTTAGCGCTCTGTATGTTCTCGTGAATGGAAAACAATGAAAATATCACAGTCGACAGATTAATGAGGTCGGCCACAATCATCGGCCACCGTACGACGAAAGCACCCAAAAAGTCAAAGAAGACTAAATTTCCGGCCCTGTACTTGTCAACTTCGGACAGCTGGTGTCCCTGAGCCATGCCTTTAGCTAGCGCCAAAATATTATCTCCCGTTCTCTGCAACGAACCCAGAGGGATATGATCGATAGTGTCGAACTTCGTATGGTAAACGTATCCATTAGCAGACCATGCAAAGTCGAGACCCGATACGTTTCCAAAATCTCTGAATATTCTATAATCGGTATCTCCTGGAATTACTCCGCTCTGGAAAATCTCTTGGGCCAGGGACGACGCGTAGGGGTAAGGCACTTCTTCAGAGTACGTTTCTAGTATCCACGGATGATTGGGTCCGGCCTGGAAGAGAACTTCTCGACCGCCGGCTCCGCACGCTTCCAAATTGATGAAAGTTCGGACTTCTTTAGCCCATTTGTGCTGAGTTATGAAGCCGTGACTTGCCGGCATAAAGTTCTCTTCGCCTCCGTTGAAGAGGAAAATAATGTTGTGACGGAGAATCTTCGGCGATTTCGACAGGACTCGGAGTATCTCCAGCATGACGGCACACCCGGCGCCGTCATCGCTGCCACCTTAAAAAAATCGAAATTGTATACAAATAAGACAAACTGTTCTCACACAAAAATGTTTAAAAGTTTTCAACCTAGTTCTTAACCCCCCACATGAATAAAACAAACAACAATGCGCCGCCAAAAACTGTGTTATAGAATAATATAGATGGTTCCGATCTAATGCCATTAATTCTATTTACTAAGGTATTTGATTTTATTAAAAATTCGGCATTATTCATTAATAAAGGAAAATAATTATGTGTTTGTTATGAATTGGGCATGCCTTCTACTAAGAAAAAAATGTAAATTGTTCGATGCAATCAACCGCATTTTCAGGGTCAATATTTGGTGGTTTTATTTCACTTTTCACCATTTTTCAAGGAACCACAACATAGCGTCAACTACCTTCACGCAATTATCACTCATAAAACCGCCATAACATTAAAAAATACTCTTAGAAATTAATGATCGAAAATTTAAAACAAAAAAACAATCAATCACGCTCTATTAAACTCTAGCTCTATCTCTATCAAAGATAAAACCTCGTCGACGTTACTATGGTTTAAACATAGGTGTGGGCGTTCGTTTGTGCGGGAATAAAAAATAGCGTTTTTATTTGTCCCATTATAATTTTCCCTATATATAATGTAGGTAGTGGCTTCAACTAAAACAGTGAAATTGAAATGACCTCTTTGGCAAACAAAGCAAGCTTTAATAGAGGTTAAATGGGTTCAGATATTCAGCCTTTTTTCTAAATTGTCACTAGACCGAAAACAGCAATAAACGTTATCCACAAGCTTAAATTATGGATTTAGTGCAGACTGATAAGACATTAATTAAAAAATAAATACTCAAATACAAAAATGTGAAAAGCAAAATTTTTTTTATAATCAACGAATGTGAGTTTTACAACACACAATAATTTTAACAGAAAAAAAGCGTACCGGAACAATTTGCGAATAATTAACAGTATCTCAGTTTTAAGGCCACGTGTTACTCTAATCGCAATAAAAACCCACACTACCTACATTCGTTATATCACTGATTTCACGAGGTATTGTTAGTTCGATCTATTTTAAGATTTACGGAATTAAGAGACGCATTTTACATCAGAACAAAGAGTTATTTACATAGAATTTCGTTGACTCCTAACAATTACCACGTACCTATTACGATAACCGTATTTCTAGAATTTCGGAAAAATTGGATAAACCGTTCCTGCGACACTAAGAAAAAATAAACCAAAATAAAAACAATGGCCAAAGGTTATTGAAAGAGAACTTCCCCGTTTCTTAAATATAGTCGAACAAATCCCATCGTTTCGAAAAATGATAAAATTCGATTTGTCACAATTTGTTAATTTTTTTAAAACCTTTGTCCAAAATTATACAAGAAGCTTCCAAGATAATGGATAAAACAACCTGTTCACATGATCACTTTTGACCATCCTGCAGGAGCGTTCTTTAAAAAAATAAAACCCTAATCCCTATGGTAACATTTGCATTTTCATAACAACACATGCGGTCATAGATCTTTCTAACAGATCAACTAACAAAAAATGATAGAATTTTGTATTTTGATTTCTACCAATTTCTATCTATCTATTCGATTTGTAGCTTTTATTTTACTATTTAAATCCTATTGTATGTATATGGTTACCACTGAAAACGTCAGAGCCATAAAAACGGAATAACTCTGGACAAGCTATACAACAGAATATCTTGTTTAAATACGATAACAGAGAATAAACTGTTTATTTACATCAAATTAGCTTTTTAAAAAAATTACTGAAGTTATTAAACTCAGAAACATAATCGACACAACCACACAAATCGCTCGTTGCCATCTGCTGAATGTAAAATTTTACAATTAATAGTCAATGAAACATTTTATGTTCAATAAACGCACCCATTATTCATTATTAGGCCATGCTCACTGTTGCTACACTAGATGAAATTAACTCGAGGATACGTTCCGTAAATTAAAACGAAAGATAATGTAACGGTAATAAACAGGCTGCATTTGGCATGTACAATGTGACACAAGTCATCGTGTTTCCCAAAATTTCGGAAAAGTTAAATGAGCCATTTTTGAGTTATCAATAAACAAATCAGTTTATATCTAAAATACAAAAGAATATTAGGAAGCACAAACGGTTCATATAGCACGGTGTATTTTGCAACAAAAATTGATCTAAGGTTATTTAGACAGAACTTCCCTCGCTCCTTAAATATAATCGGACAAATCCAGTTTTTTCGAAAAATTATAAAAATTGATTTTGCAAAATTTTAATGATTTTATGATAAACCCTATAAGTAAAAAAACATAAAGAGTGTAAATAACACTCGATAAGGAGAGGATTAGAACCCACTCCAATCCGACAGAACCACGAAGCATTTGATTCAGAATCGAGATACCGGCTACAGGAACCATTACGAAAATATTGTAAAAATAAAAAAGGCCAAAGTAACTGTGGTAAAAATCAACACGGATTCGTAAACCACGAGTACAGGAGTATATTATTTCATAACTTTTAGATAACCTTAACTACTCATATTGATGATGGGACGTCAAATTTTGGTTAGCGTTTTACCATCTACATGATATCCCTAATATACATACAAAATGTGACAACAATCGATCAGGTAGTTTCGGAGATTATTTGATCAATAAAAATCGGCACAGGCGACAGAAAACACACCAGGTTTTTTTGTTTGGACACAAATAAATTGGCAGCTAATTTAATTAGCGCTTACAATCAATATTCCAGATCATTTATGATTCCATTATCAAAATAAAAATTTCATAATCATAATGGCTCGACTTTATTAAATAAAACGGCGACCCTCCCACCGCATTAAAAATGTAGACTGCTGAGAGTCTCAAATGAAAATCCAGTGACTTTCCGCCCTCGATAATTAACGAAATCGATAATAATGTATTGCCACATGAGTAAATACGACTTCATTTTCCGCCTTGAGCAAACACTGACTAAGCCGTCGATATCCACACAACAAACTTTTAATCTATTATCAATAAAACCTGTTCTATTTTTACCTGGAAATTGCTACTCTAAGAGATAAACCCACTCACCTGGGCTATCAACCACTGTATCAAAATGGCAATTGATCAGCAAGCTATGAGGGGACTTGATCTTCGATCCTACTTTGACAACCACATTCTGCACATCTCTGTACACATTGGTCATCCCGTCAAGGAACTCTAAATGAAAATCGCCACTCGCTTTCTGTATGTCCAGCTCGATGACGTGATTCTGGTTGGTCTTCTTGATGATTTCTTGCACTTCTGACTTTAGTAACTCTACGGCGGTCACCTCGTTGGCGTTGCTGCCGGCTATTCGAGGGCCAATTTTCGTTAGTTTTTTTAAAATGTTGTATGCACGTTCTGCTATAAAGCGGTCCGGGTTTTTCGCCTCGTCCGATATTTTTAGTCCCGTGGGAAGCTGCTTTTCTATTACGATAACCGCGGCGAAGACCAGCAACATTAAACCTAGGACCGCTATGAAGTGGGCTGTTTGCATGGGCCGAATGACTTTCGATTTATCATTTTTGCGATCCGACGAGAGTGGCTGGGGAGCTTTTAGGTCTTTGGGACGCTTTCGCAAAGATGTTGGGTTCTGTAACGAAATGACGTTATTGATTAAATTAAATGGAATGTCGTAATGACTTTCTTGGTCCATCGGTGCGCTGCAACAACGACGTCGGTTAAGTGACTAGTTTTTAATGCGGCCACAATATACATTTGGTGCAATTAAAGAACAGTAATTGCTATAGTAGCATAAAATGTAGTTCGGAGGGACTCAAAAGTGACTACTTAAATTTAACATTCCCATAACCTGACAATATTTGACAACAAATATTTATCATAGAAAAATATTTGGGTCGTAATCGTAATCTACATGTGTTGCCAGTAAACATTTTTATTATTGGTAGCGTAATGAAAATGTTTTTCAGCGTAGATAACACTCACTTAACACGTTAAGCGAACAGTTTAATTAATCCTGCGCGAACCACGCGAATTAAAGAAAGGAGGAAAAAAACAAATTTGCAATTGAGGCAACACAACAAAGAAATTCACTGGACTGAACAAAGTACAGAAAATAAACAATAACACCTGACATAACCTTGAAATTGGCACCAGCTCAGAACAAAAAAATCATTTGTGGACACGCCGATCTCGTGTGTTGCTGGGCTAATTACGAGAATTCTGACTGAGATAATCATGGTTCTGTTTATCTTACCTTCGACATGTCCGAAGGATTACTGGGTTGCTGCTGAGAAATGCCTCCCGCACACTAATTTTTAAACCCGTGTTGCTATGAAAAGTAAACACAACCTATCGGAGATAAGATCATTTTTGAACACTTGCTTGTCAGATATCTTAACCAAACCCGATAGACGAAAATTTTGATAGTTTTATTTTAGAAAAAAAAAATGTAAAGGGTTGCGCACAACGCAACCTCTGCTAGTTTTCTGCTGTTTCTGCGGATACTGCGCGCTATCCGACACATTTTGACAGCTGGAATGTAGACGGCATCATCGGTCGTCATGGCAACGAATGCCGCACGTCAGAGGCGTACCAAGAATATGGGATTTGGCTGCAGACAGATTTTAATTTCTGGAGAACGAAAATTTAATGCATTTTTTTTTTTTTATTTTAATGAGCCGCTAACTTTTATTTTTGAGTAGATATATATTTTTAGTATGTAAATTATTTATTTATTAATATTGTTAATTTGTTCCCTTTTGTTTAAAACATTTTGTTTTTATTATGTGAAAGACTGTGAATAATAGATATTTATTTTCAAACGTCATATAAGTGACACTTATATGACGCTCTTACCGGGGTTTAAGTGTCATTTCTATGACACCGTTTTTGAGCGGCGCATAAGTACTATTTGTACTCCGCCGGCGTATAAATAACACATTTATACTCCGCCGGAGTATAAATATGTGAAAACCATAGTGGTTGTCAACCATAGTAACCATGGTAAGTGAAATCAAGGCAATTCCATAATGAAGCAAGAAGATAGGAAATAATCATTTCAAACGAAGATTAATCGTTTGAAAATAAAATATTGTATTTTATTCGGAGTTTAAGTGACTTCATGTGACTCGTATGGACTTAATTCGCCTCGCTATCGCTCGGCGTTTAATCGTCCATACTCGACACATAAAGTATCACTTAAACTCCTAATAAAATAAATATCTATTATTTTATTAGGAGTTTAAGTGATACTTTATGTGACGGAGTATGGACGATTAAAGTAAGTCAATACGAGTCACATGAAGTCACTTAAACTCCGAATGAAATACATATTTTTCTCTTATACCTGCTTATATTCGGTCTAATATTAGCATTGTTTGGCGTTGCTAAAATACTTACATCAATATATCATCGAATAAGATACTGGTTTCAGTATCTTATTGAATGAGACACTGATTGCTAAGAGACCAGTATTTCATTGCTTTACGAATTTACTAATAAACCACTATTTATTATGAAAATGTACAACGCATTTATGAAATTCAAAAACTGATGTAGAACCAATCGATGATCCTTGAAGTTCAACGGAGTGGTTCTTGTTCGCCGCCGTTTCCACACCATTTTCGACAACATCACATAAGGACACACTGACAGAAGAATCTATTAGTATTTTTCGGGCAATTTTTATCTTCTGATCTAAAGAATCTTCCACGTAGCCTGTTGCAACTTTATCAGAGGACCATCCACCAAACCTTTTAAGCTTAGTCATGTCAGCTCCCTGTTCCGCCAAAATAGTTGCTGAAAATCGTCTTAGAGAATGACTCGTGTATTGTTCGGGGTTTTCAAGTTTCAGGTATTCACCAATCACTCTAGGTATGCAATAGAAGCTATTGATGCCTACTCGCTGTACTGTACATTTTCCATTGCGCATTCCTAAAAATACATAGGAATGTGTGACTTTCGATGGTCGGAGAGCCGCATATTTTCTATATAACTCTACACCATTTTCACAGGTTTCGGACAAAACCGTAAATACACGCTTCTGGTGAGCTTTCGTATGCGGAAGTGTAACAACTAGGACATTTCCTTCTTCTCGGATATTCGTTACAATGAACACATTTATGAACAAAATGTGGTAAAAATGTGTGAGCATAAATAAAAATAATTTTCAAATCGGATTGCCGACAAAAAAAAAACAAATCTAAAGTAGGTATGCATATCTGCTAAACAAAAATCGCATTGTAGAATTAGATGTTGGCAATGTAGGTATGCTAGCAGTCATCTACCTTTTCAAACAATACGATTTCTGACTATTTATTTCTAGTTATATCTAATTTCAAATTTTTTTGTTTTTGCTTAGAAACGTAGTATGCAACCAACAATACTGGTATGTGTTATTAATGTAATCCTGCTTGAGTAGTCTAAAGAATAAAATCTTTAGTAGTACCTACATTAATACCATGGGATCTACGGAAAGGTGCATAATTTCTTCAAGGCGACGTAAGTGTTTTATGAACTTCTCCGACTTTTTGGATATTTACACGGCGAACCGATGAACAGTCCGTAGTTTCCAAGGTTATACGAAAAAACCGCCAAGTCCCCGAAAGCTTCCCGTGACTTGCTCGACAATGGCATTTTAAAATAAATATCTGGTTGACCGAGTTTCACTCGGCTCGTTTGGTAGTATTAGATCAGATTAGGACAGATAAATATGCGTATAGTATGCATTTTGAAATACACGCGCTACTTAAAAATACACATTAAAAAAGAAATTCCATAAGCAGTCTTTTTTTTAAACACTGATAAGTGACATGTAGAGATTAAAGAACAGAAAACTGGAATTATTGTTTGACATCTCATTTGTTACCCAAGTTTTCTCTCTGTCGTTCTTTTTTTTTCGTAGTTCTCTCTCTCGACTCTAGAAAAAGGTCACAACCACATTCTTACTGCCAGAAGAGTTTCGCCTCTGGTGTGGTTAACATATTGAGTTAACGTGCTCTTTTGTGTTATTCCTAATTTCTCAATCTCAACCCTGCTCCCGAAGATGCCATTTACGAAAGTGTGCGAAACGTTGAGCCCAAAAACTCAAATAACACGGTCCCATCCCCGAAAACGATCACATGTTGACACTGACCGTGGAACCTCTGAAATGAATGCTTGACAAAATAATCTCAATTCAACACACTTTCGTGTGCCTTTTATCCGCTCACTGTTTAGTTTTTGGTAAATTTTCTCACCTCAGGAGGTGAATTTCAACGTCCTCTATACAGTGGAGTATGTTTCGGTACGTACAATTGAAGATAAAAAGGTACGTCAAACGTACTGTCAGACTGTCACCCAAACTTCTCATATAAAACAATCTCGTGTTCGTGTAGTGTCATCTGATGTTGCCTAGCAACAAATATAATTCACTGCCTGAAAATTGCTGAAAATGCATGAAGCTGTAATTTTCAGAAGTTAAAACTAAGATCAATCGATTTCTTGACCCAAAAAACCCCTAACCTGTAAATTTCATCGAAATCGTTAGAGCCGTTTTCGAGAAACCCATTACATATATATATACAAACTTTGCTCGTTTAATAGTATTAGAATATATACAAACTTTGCTCGTTTAATAGTATTAGATTTAGAATTTACAAAAAAAAAAACGTTGGTATTTTACGTGTGTCTGTTTTTAATTTATCTTAAGTTTGATATTTGAATAATTTCAATAATCGAAAATAAATGACTTCATCATAATAATAAATTTAAAAGTTCATTTTATTATTAAGTTGCTCTCTGTTAAGTTGGCGATTCCTGCATAAACCATAAAACTAGATGTTCTTCAAAATTACCCCATAGTAATACTTAATTCGGTAACTTGCGATAGAGAAATGAAAATATGGAATGATTCTTTAAAGAAGTATACTTTCTAAGATAAATTGTATAAAGTGTTATTTATTAGGAGTATTAAATAGTTGTACTTTAGAAGCGAGGAAAAACTGATATTTTGTTATAGAGTGTCAGAGAGTGCGATCGCTACTGACAATCTTGACACTGAAAAAGTGATCAATTATAATAAGTTCTTCTACCTGGGCTGGTAATGGTTTTTATTAGAACGATGGTCAGCATCACTTTTACTTTCTCCATAGTGTGTCACATATTCTTTCAAGAAAAACAAGAACTCTTCGCTCCTAGAATTGTAGGAGGAGAACCATGTGATTACAAAAAATATCTTTATGCAGTTACAATTCATAGTAATTCGTTGTGTGGTGGAAGCATAATAAAATTACCTTAAAATGGATTTTAACAGCAGCACATTGCATTAACATCTTTTTAATTTATAGGAGGCTAACAACAATAAGAACTGGTTTTAATTATGGACGCAAGTACGTTCAAATACGACTCGCGAAGAAGGGGATACGTCACAAATGGTTTAATATGGAGAAAATGCTTGATGACGAACAGTCTGAAATACGTTATGACATTGGAATGATACTACTTGAGAAGCCTTTTGTTAAAACGTCATATTTAGAATTTGTTCGACTGCCAAAACCAGGATTTTCAAATACATGTGTGAAGGCTACGGCTCTGGGAATCGGATATAGACACGTGTGGGGTGGTTGTAGTGAAGGGAAGACGGATTTCAAACTATACAACAGAACTCTAACATGCGTTGAATTGAAGATCATCCTCATTTCAGTTTTTGTAATTTGAATAAAATCTTACGTAATTTCAGTGGCGGCGTAGCGTGGTTTGGCACCCAGGGCGGTTTTTTATAGGTATCGTGTTGTCTATTATGTTTATTAAGAAAAAAATAAAGCAAAGATTAAGCCCCCTGTACCTGCCCTGATCTAAATAGTAATGAAGTTTTCATTCGTTGGCAGACCTAAGGGCGGAGCCTAATTGCAAAATCCATATTTCCTTACAAAAATTTATCATTTTAAACGTGTCTTAAGTTTCTAAGAATTAAAAAAAAAACATCATTAACATTTAAAATCATTATTAGTTTATTATTAATAACTCAATAACCCTTGGAGTTATTTGTAGGCATTGTCAAAATTTTTCGATTTCGACCCTAAAAATTTTATACTATTCTCTCTTGTTCGATCTCGTCTACTTTATTGTTCTTCCATATGGTATCCTACTTATAAAACGTATTGTGATTTATTGGAAAGAGTATAGGAAAAATGCCTACGCTTATTAGAGTTTAAACTTGGTCGGACTCATATACAGGGTAATTACACTTGATTAATGTGTAATTTTCATATTAATTCACTCGAAACTCATCGCATAATTACCGATATTTCATTTCTTCGAGGACCCATTAATGGTGAGATAGATAATGCCCACTTACTAGAAAAATTATCTTTCATTGTGTTGCTTGCTGATAGCAGATTGACTCGTGGTCAATTGATTTTCAGAATTCCTTTGTTGATAACAAAGAGATCGCAAAACCATCCAGTTAGACGAATGATGAACAGCCAACAGACTCGCAGACGACCACAGGTTCAACATATTCAATATCAATAAAACTGCTTTTAAGAATTTAATAAGGAATATAAGCTATTTTCTAAATCTTTAATTAATAATTTTTAATTTTATTTAGCACGTATTTATTATTTATTATACATATATAGTTTCGTAACTTCCTTTCTTGTATTATTAATAAGATTAATTAATATTGTAATAGGGGTATCTCGTTCATAAGTATATTATATTATTATCACAATTGAGACGGGGTGGGTGGGCGTTGTTTATATTTTGCTTTTTTTTTTCTTAATATACATAGTATTCTATGAACAACACGATACTCATTTTTTATTTCTTGTAAAGAAATAAGTATTTTGCAGTTTTGATTCACGACGAATAAAAAAAATCATCACAATTGAGATAAGGCGGGTGGGCGGGCTTACATTTTGCCGTTTTATTTTAATATCTGTAGGCTTCCTTTCACAACATGAAACTTAAAACATGTTTAAAATGTAGAATTTGTATAAGGAAATATCGATTTTGCAATAGGCTCCATCCCATAATTGCAAAATCCATGTTTCCTTGCAAAAACCATTTTAACCATGTTTTAAGTTTCTTATAACATTCTTCTGCTGTAAGTATTCTCTGGCCTCCCTTTACGCCGCCACTGCGTAATTTATCATATCTTGTGTTTCATCTGTTCTCATACAGGGTAATCAAAAAATGACGAATGAGCTCGATGGTACGTTACTGTTAAGAAGGCTCTGAAGAAATCAACGAAAGTGGTCCACATCTTAAGCTTCAAAGTTGATGAATTAACTTCGTAACAAAATTGTGAAATGTACTCTCAGATACCGCGACTAAAGGCGATGTTCAAGCAATAATTACTTAAATATAGATAGGTTTCTTGGAATCTTTTTAGTTAATTGCGGAAGATAAACGTTTCGTTCGTGATGATAACAGCACTTGTATAGTTAGACTCTATATTTCTGGATATTGTGCCTATAAGCTCCTATTTCTTTTTTGAAGAATTATATTATTAAAAAGCAATACTTAAATAGCACTAGCAAAAAAATTATCAAGTACCTACCTAATCCTGGTACGCACTGTTCGTTACAAACAAATAGTAATGCTATGAATCACCTAAGTGAACACAAGGGTTTTATCTTATCTTCTTAAAAGTGCGGGAGAGACATAGATTGTTTTAACAATGTTTTGATTTATTTGAATTTTTGTAATATACTTTACGGTTACTTTTAGTTTAACATACTCATTTATGCGTGAGTTTCTTACTCTGACTTCTGAAACTGCTTTCGAACTAGCTAATATGTTGTGCCGTCACTCTCCAACAATCTCACAAAATTTATTAGAACCTATACAATAAAAACGCAGTGTATTTACGTTTAGTACATAACAATTAATTTATAATATCATGTTTTTCTAACTGAAAGGATGCGTGTCATATTATAATCTATTCATTTAGGATATACCTCATAAAATTATATAGACCCTATTTTGCAAGACACTCATCCTGGCTGATTCTTAGTCCAGGTAGATTCAAGAGACACAGTAATTGACCCTTTTCCTGTAAGATCGTAAAACTTCCATCGTGACTTTCCGTGCGCACGCATCTTCAAAACCACGTTGGAAATAGTATCCGGCACTCCGGTAGCAGAGCAAAGGCCTGTGACCACAGTATAGACAACAGTCAGTATGGACAACTCGTGTCGGCGCCTTTGATCTTTTTGACCCGAATTTTAAGCCGTCATCGGTGGTCGTTGTCCAAAATATTTCTAGATGTCGCCACTCAATTTAAAAAGGATCACAAACGCTTCATTTTAAAATTGATTCGTGTACACAATTTACTACACTTTGTGCAAATGAATTTTTGGAAAAGACTTAAAAATAGTGTAATAACAATAACATTTTATAACTAGTTGATCTTAGAAACCACACAGTCTATTATAATAAATAATTAATTAAGCGCCCTATAACAGGGATGCCATGTTGAAATTTAGATGTGGCCCGCTTCTCTGATTACGATTTTACGTTTCATTAATTTCTTTTTCATGATGGCTGTAAATGGTTGTAAAATTCAACATTATTAGAAAATGCTAATTAATTAATTTTTTTACAAAAAAAAATAAACAGTAAACAATGGTCCTATGAAAACGTGAACAACGCTTTTTAAAATGTCTCTGTAAAAATTACACTTAACTGCAATAATTACACCGGAAGATCAGCCTTAAATCACAGTCTTAAATCATCAAAACCAATGCAACTAAACTGCCAAATTTCAAATATTTCACAATTCACATTAACGTCACTAGATAACAAAAGTACCGCAGTTCAATGTCCCAATGTGTAAGAAAGAGAAGTACCTTGCGTTGCGCGCCCTCATACGGTCACAAGACAAACGACCACCCATGAAAACGGGTCAGTAAAAACAGCGAGTTGTCTCTACTGATTGATATCTATACTGTGCTGTGACAACAAACCGCTTTGACAGAATGCAACCGGCTACACATGCGTAATCTGTCGCTCATTGGTTAATTTTAACTTGGCGCTCCAAAAATCTGACTTTGCCTGCGCGGTGTTGTCTCACTCTGTATCATTGGAATTTATATAATGTCTACTCACTTTGCTTACAGGAAAAGGGTCAATTACGTCTACCAACAACAGGATTCTACAGTTACGAGCTCACTATTATCACACAATTTTATGAGGTATGTTTTAAACGAAACAAGTATACAGAGATAAGATTTAATTTTTTTTTAAATTACCTATTCTACCTTTGTCATCTTGCATTGTTATATTTAGTATTGCTCAATATTAAAATAAATTTTAAAAAATCTAGTCGTTGAAAATATCTTTATTTGGGGATACACAACATATCTCTTAACTACTGGATAAGAACAGTAACACTAGACAGTTCCTACTAACACAGGTCGATCTATTTGTACTTAGTACACGTTTAAGCTAAAATTCCTAAAATTCCCCATAAGTCTATCAAATAAGTTTTAGAAAAAAAATAAATACTTAAAAAAAATATGACTTCTGCCTGCTAGTATTTTATTACCAAAGAGAGGTACAGTGGCCCACTAGCTCAGTTGGTTAGAGCGTCGTGCTAATAACGCGAAGGTCGCGGGTTCGATCTCCTCATGGGCCAACTTTTTTTCCTCATTGCTTTTCTTTGGCATATTTTTCAACTAAGGCATTCCATACGTCTGGGTATTTCGCTTGAACATAACGGGCAATCCTTCTCGCATTAGCCACTTGTCTCGCATCACAAGCTGCACAGTTTTTGCCAATGATCTCTGGTAAGGCACCTGCAATGCAAGTCGATTTTAGAACGAAAGTGAATGTAATGGTCTTTTTTAAATTTAAGTTCAACGACCCCTTATTACTTTAATAATTATTATTTATTCACAACTAAAATATGTTTGTAATCGTGTGGTTTACCTTTAATTTGGCGGCCTAAAGCGTCACATGGGGCTTTATCAAGGGCACAAAGCAGTTGTTTTTCTATATAGTTATTGCCGGGAAGGCCCAACTGGCCTTGAACTTGATGGTTCAATACAATCACGAACAGTACACAGAACAACCACTTCACAAAAGCCATGGTCGCAACTGAGGGTGTCGTCTCCCTGACTGCTTTATTTATATTCAAACCACCTTTCACACGCCATCAAGCGACAAAAATCTCTTCATTCTTGTACAAGTTGTGTAAAAGTCTTAAGATAACGTAACGAGTGGGAGGCATGCTTTGTTTGAAATTAGAACCAAGAAGAGTGTTCATTGAAAATTATCTACCTAGTCGACGTGTCTTGTCACTGCAATAAAATTTGCTGCTATTGATTCGACTCCATAAAAAAATTCGCAAGAGACCAATCTGAATTTATTTTTATTAAACACCATTCTGAGATGTTTTGGCGGGTGAATTTGAAATCGTCCGATTTGTTTGCATTGAAAGCCTAAATTGTTGCAATCATACCGTCAAGGGAGCTTTGCTACCATTGGTTGGATAAAATTGATCGTGGTAGTTGTTACACACGTTAGCGGCACTGGTGAGTAGGTCGCAATAAATTGTAAGTCGTCAGATTAACAGCAAATCCATCGCATCAACTTATCGCAGAAATTTTATCAACATGTCTAATAATCAGCGACAACTCTAGTAGTCTGCCATCCACAAGTGCTTTGTTTGATCGATCCTTCCTGAAAGAAAAATGTCCATATCTCCAGATGCTTATCGTCCTCAGGTGAGTGTTTTCTATTTTTACTTTTTCCAAGCAGGACAACGTAAACAATGGATTTTTATTTACATAATAATTGCAAGGGAATCACTGACGCATACTGCAATTAGAAAGCTGAGATGTCATTAAAAGACCGAATTACAACAACAGAGCGTTGGCATAACATTCCACAAAAAAAAAACTGTACCGTTTCACATTATTAAGCGCAGGAAAAGTGATTCTGCTTTTATTGGTGGAACGAACAGCATTGTTGCAAAATAACCTTGTGACTATATACCGTTTTCAGGAGAATAAAAAAAATCGTATTCGATAATGTTGACTGTAATCGATGTGTGGCCGATACGTGTAGATAAAGCCACTCTTCTCCCACGCGAACGTTTTGATCTATTGTTTAATTTAGATCATTTTAAACTTAATTGTGCTGTGACGGATGATTCGAGACTATTAGAACGCAAGTTAGACAACAATGGAAAGTGAAAATAGAGAATATCCTACCACATCCCAGACTGATGGGAATCTTATTGGATACATTCGGGTAAGACCCCAATACGTTTAAGTGGTTTCTTTCCATAGTGAAAGTTAAAAAAAAATAGTGCGTTAATTTTCGTTAAAATTTTTGCAAGAAATCGGAGGTTGCACGGTTCAAAAGTTGCTAGTAGAGAGTAGAAAGGACCTGTACTAGAGTGTTAATCACTCAGTATCATTTTTTGTTTAAAAACGTCGTAAACAGGTATTCAATTTAGTTTACTGACAATCTGTTGAAACCAAAGTTTTAATACAGTGTAGTCGTTTTGTAATAATTATTTCCGGTTTGCAACAGGAAGTAGAATGTTAAAAAAAGTGTTTCTCAATGATCGTGCCTTGTTTCTTGGGGATTGTAAATACATTATAATAAAAAATTTAGATGTGTACTTAACATGCAGTAGTGATAAAATTTAAAACCATTCCAAAAGTGCATGATTTCCATCTGTTTACATAAATAGTTAAAATTACACTAAACTTTAGCAAGCTGAACTTTTTCTCTAGCATTACTGTCAAATAATGTACCAAGTGAATTTTCAAAGAACTTCGGCAACTCCAACCACTGAACATAAAAACTTTTTAGAGGAATGCAGTGTGCTAAATTAAGCTTTCCCCTTCAAGCTAAAAACAATGGCGTTTACAGAATTTCAGTATCTCTATTCGTTGTCAAGATTTAAGTGCGCGGCATTTTATCTATCTGTAAAAACACAAAGTCAGTGGAAAAACATTATACATACCTATTAATAAAGTAGGAATAGGACGTGTTAACTGCTACTGCAGTACATAAATTTCGTAATAATAAAATTATTATACACTATAGAGCAATTTTATTCTTATTACTCATAAAGCTATTAATTATTTACAATCAGTAAACTAGGTATAATTCAAGTAATTCTAGCGCTATTATTAAAGTTTTAAAACGCGTGAAAGTTTACTACCTGCATTATATTTTACTATAATTTGTAACTTCAACGAATACATTTTTCATGAAACAGGCACGATAAAAAATATCAGTGTACAAAAGTTGTTTAAAAAGGATGTTAATATTTTTTATGTAAAACACAAAAATAGAATTATGAATACACATTCGTCTCAATTGAGCAATCAAAATTATTTCCAAACTACCCTTCGATACAAGATACAAGTAACGAAAAACATAAAATACATTTAAAATCTACATGGAGTTTTCAAACAATATCCGTACAGTCGGTCATTTTGTCTGATTTCATGTTTTTTCGTTGAATACGAAAACAGAAATTTCCCGATTTCTTATATCTGTCGTCGTCTGATGCCTGTGAGAATTTTGAAGACGTGACCTCCACATCTACATTTAATCTGAAATTTTATGTATACCTTGAGATTGTTATCAAGAACACGGTAAAACAATAACCAAACACTATGTTTTCGTCCCCTCCAAAAAATTAATTTCGTCATGGCAAATGTTGTTAAACAATTCTTACTTAAATATGTGCAATCAACACCACTGTGTTCTTGAGGTAGTTTTTTAAACATGCATTTAGTGTTTTTCAATAAATAATATATACACATCCTGAATTTCGACTGTTACTTTTACAAATAATAAAATTAGAGGGATATCGTTAGTCAATCATTGCAATTTTAATTTCGTTGTCTTTATGCATATAAAGTATTTTATGGAATTATGGATTACTTCTAAAAATGAACCGATTATTGGAAGGTATACTCTACAAGCTATATTTAAGTAGTTAGAAACGTTTATAATATTTTATTCATTGGTATTTAGGAGAAAGTAGCGCGCTATCGATTAAACAGTTAAGTTCTGTGGTTTTTATGAAATAATAATAGAAAAGCTACTCACGATTTTCGATTAATCTGCTTTTACTATTAATGATTGTGGTGTATTTTTACATCGTATTACGATAAATTAATGCACAGAAAAATGTGTAAAAAATGCATAAATTTAACCGAAAAAAATAAACTTCTCAAAACAAGGATTTTGTAAGCAACAAATACGAAAAGTTGCAGATTGCGAATCGACATTCAATCAATTTCTTTAAACTATTCATATTACATTATATATAGGTACTTATTTGAGAATAATTACTTGAACTTACAGAATTATGTGATGTTTATACTTGCTGTTCATAATTAATATGCTTATGTGTGGCAAGAGTACAGTAAAAAATTATTTCGATGACTTTATTATCTGGTAACTATTTTATGAAAATCACAATTTGCCTTATCTTATCGTTCCGATATTTAACAATAAATCTGACGATATTATTTTATCAACAATAGTCACAGAAGCTGTTCACCTATCGCAATCAAAATGTCCAGAAGTGGATTGCCTAACATTATCAGCGGAGAAGGCGTAGACATTCTAGTATTAGAGGTCTTTAACTTCATATTCGACGTAATTAATGTCTTCTTTGTTTCAGAAATCTTTGGACGCAAACAAATATGCTACCAAGAAAACCATAGCCCAAGGTTTATTGGATGTCGCCTTACTAACAGCTAACGCCTCCCAGCTTAAATACGTCCTGCAAGTCGGTGAAAAGCACGAGTTTTACGCCTTGATGCTAACCTTGATCAGCATATCAATAGTCTTACAGGTGTGTAATATCTACATTTGTTAAGCTATTCAATTTACTTGTCCACAGGTGCTGGTAGGGCTTTTGTGTCTCACACTCCATTTATTGAGGGACTGTCGTTTACACCTCAGAGATTACCACTATTCAGCCAACTTTCTTAATCACACAACGACAATTTTCGCCTTTGTCATTACCGTTCTTAACTTGTTAATTTCCTGTTTCGATCCCACTGTAGCCAGATATGCAATTTTTGATCCACCTAATTTGGACGCTGTGTAAAATAGAATTTTTTCTTTCAGTTAATCGTCGCTATTTTGTTTGTGATAATTGGAGGCCTCAACATTAACAAACAGCGCGACCACGGCACAGCTGTTATCTTAAACGACGTCATTTTGATTTTCATTTTTTTGATTTCGATTATTAACATCATAATATCAGGCTTCGGCTTGGAATATTCCAATCAACCCTTGCAACTCATCTACGAACACACACAACCCCCGCCTAAACTCTAACGGTCCTTTTCGTAACAATCTAATTTTTTGTGTTATGTGGGAATATTTTTGTCCGTTTCCGTAGCAGGAATAAATAAGGATACGCTTGCTGCTACCGAAACAAACAACTGTGAATGCCACTTAATTCAGTGTTTTTTCATAGGTAACTGCAGCCTTGCTCTCAGTCGTGGTAGCTATATTACAAACAAATGAAGATGAAAAAATGCAAACCCTGAGTTGGATTTTACATCACGTTTCTTTAGGTTTTGTGACCGGGGTTTTATTTTGTGATATCATTAAAATGAATTTTGGCCTAGATCCCGCCCTTGCTATTAACGATACCGCAAAAACCGAGCTTTAACATTTTTTTGTTTATTTATTTTTTATTTTTGTTTTTATTTTATTTTATTTATTTTTTTTTTTTTGCACAAAGGTGGTACAAGCAATTCTGTGTGTTGTTCTGGGGGCGTCGTTGAGCCTAAACAACGAAGATGACCACAACTCTGCCGAGAAGGCTAATAATGTTATCCTTTGCCTTAACATAGTTCTGATGGCTGACAATATCCTCATCAGCTCGTTTGAGATGAGGGAAAGTAATGTAACATAACCAGCAATCAAAATACTTACCGAGTGATAATATAATATTTATTTTAGTCTTACGTAAGTGATAAGCTTAGATTAACTAGAGTATTATCGCCTAAAAGTGGCCTAATCATTGTATATAGATATTAAAATTGTAAATGACATTTTTGTGTTTCGTTTTTATCGTAGAAATTATAAAATTAAATACTGACTATCTGTAAAACGATGCTGTATTTATTATAATCTATTTTAGTACTTATTTACTAAGTATGTATTCAAGAGTATGAAAACTGAAAAATAAAAATAATGAAATAATGTCTAATTAGCAAGTCTTATTTTTGTCTTAATGTTTACAACATAAGAAACAATGAAAATACAAAAGCATTTACAACAGCAATCAAAAGTGAACATCCTTGAGAGAAAAGTAAAAAAGGAAGAATACTGTTGGGGAAAAATAACAGATAGCATCTGGATTAGGCAGACCGCGATGCACCTACGTGTTCGTCGTAGCGTTTTTTGTACTGACCCTCGGGATCATACTTCTTGGTAAGACGTTCCCAATCTCTGCTTCTTTTTTGAGACAAATGTCCGATTACCTTCTCTGCAGTCTCTTTTTGCTTTTGATTGCATTTGGTGCAGCCGCTTGCCAGCGCATCAGGTAAGGTTTCTGAAAATAACATAATGAGAATTGCTTTTTCATAAGATTTATGTCAGTAGGTGAAGAGAAACTGCGCTCCGCACAATTAAAACAATTCTTAGTGCAATAGGATCATTATGACAAAGCTAAATTTGGTTGCCTTTCCAAAAAAAAAAAATAATAATAATAATAACGTTATCTTAAATTTTGCAAATCTCACTCAAAATTTATAGCTTCTTTGCCTGTGATTTAATGCTTTTTGCGACTGCTTTTGTATGATATTTATGTGTGTAACGCTGTGATTAGTAGGTATACATGGACCATATCAAAATTAATATAAGTATACATTGATTCTCTTTGGGAATTTTATTTGAGCAAGTGATCACTTGATGCACGATGAGGAAAGTGAAATTAAAAAGTGTTTTAAAGCGAACAAAGAGATTTATTTTCATCGGATTTATGATAATTTTATAAATTATTTATGAAATCTAGAATTAGTTGTATAATTTTGTCTTAAAAGTAAATCAGAATAAATAATTAAAATTATTTAAGTACAACGTTTAATGAAAAAATAGTCATCCGAAATAAATTTTATAAAGTGCTTTTTAAATTAAGGTTATCAACGTTGTCGTGAACACATAGACATATTACTTTTGATACGTAGGGTACATGTAATACCAACACAAACGTTACTGTGCTTCAAGAATTAATGAAATATTTCTTAGATAATAATCGGTTGACAAATAATTTGATGTAGTTTTATTAATTTTCATAATGAATTAACAAATGAATGCCGATGTAAAAAAAGCAAAGATTTCGTTAAATATGGATTAGCATTTGAGCGGTGACTTAATGTTAATTATAAATCGTCAAAAATGTGACACGCCTTAAGTTTTGATGTAATTAAACCGTAATAAAAATTCTAAAGTATATTTTTTGCTGTCTTAAGAGTTAATTGTAAACACTTACTGCAATTAATCAGTTAAAAATATACGTCAAAAAAAACACCACGGAAAGTGTCAATTTAATCTAAAATTATGTGTAATAATGACCGACGTAGATCTCTAAACCGGTTTAACCAATGCATAAAAGCAGGCGTTCCAGAGAAAGTCAGAGAAAGCTGTTTTATAATATCGATAAACCGATTCGTTCAAAGTGGAATTGTCTACAATATATCAAGCATAAATGACATAAATATAATATTTCCGTTTTAGCTAAAAAAAGTTTTTGTCAGAAACAACGTGGTATACGTAAATGTAGAAAACGAAATTATGCGAAGAAAATTAAGTTTAAAACATTGCAAATACTCACTTTTGAGCTCCCTTCCTTCCGACGTACACGGCCCTTCGTCCATCAAACATTTGATGTAATTCGTTAAAACTCTGTCGTTGTTGAGAATTTTGTCAACGTCGACGTTATCGTATTTGGTTGTGTATTTATTGTCGGCAGAGAGGACCACCTGTACCACGAAGGCACAAAATATCACAGCACTGATAAGTTTCATGGTATGCTGCAGTCTGTAAGTGTGTGCTTTGTGTTAATACCATCTTATAAGTAGCGAGCTCAAAAGGGGGTTAGAGGAAAGTAACAGTGGACACGTGATTCGAATGGGAAATATTATTGCATTTCGTAGATTATATCGTTTATCGACCTACATTATCGGAAGCGAGAGTATTGAGTTATAACCTTGTCACAGTCAAAGACAGCAATGCTCCAAGAATTTATATAATAGGATCCATAAACGCGAGGTGTGACTGTGATCATTAATATTCAAAATTCGTCGGCTACTGAGAAGGTCTATGTGGTTTTTGAATACCCGTAAGTTGGGTTCTCCCAGAGGTTAACGCAACGTTTTCAATTACTGGAAGCTTTATTGTTATAAGAAATTATTGCAGTTGCATTATACGCTACTTTTAAATTACTTACCTAACTCATTTGTTGATTCTTCTTCGACGGGTGTAGAAAAATTTCATAAAATTTTATTAAATGATAAATAGATAAAGTATGATATGACAGCAACGTGATTAGGTTTTAAGTGTTTTGCAATGTTCCCAAAATTTTTATGGTATGAATTTTTGTTCTTCTATTTTAACTAATTTACTCTTACTTTTATGCTACTTTTAGTAATGTCATGAATCAGGAAATAAAAATCTAAATATTTAAAACATTTCAAACATACTCTAAGTCAATTAAGTAATAAACTAACAAATTAAATGGAATATTTTCGGCGCGGGGAAAGCCCTTCATTTATAGCATACACTTTTTTTACACAAAATTGTAATGTGTCAAAGTAGAAAACATAAACTTTCTTTAAGTTTAACGTTGCTGCAAAAAACAGTTCATAGTTTCAAAAAATTCTGAGAAGTAGCTAATAAGTTCATCGACCTACACTTTTTTTGAACATTTTTACAGAACAGAAAAGCCGCACCCGATAATTAACAGAATTCAAAAACGGCTTAGATGTCCTTGGAATCTGTGTTTAATTCAGTAAAATTTAAATCGTGGCCCGGGTGTTCAGATTTAGTACATATATTGATATTCGTCGAATTTATACTGGACTGAGACTTTTTATAATATTATCAATATCACGACCAACATTTTTTCATTTAAAACAAATATTAATTGATGATGGTTACAACATTTCTTGGTAACTTTAATTGGTTTTAACACTTGATCAGCTATTACGAGTTGTGCAACCGCGAACTTCGAAATATTCTACGAAAACATTATTACGAAAATCAGTAAAACAGCTAATCACAAAGTTAACACCGTTGAAATTTACTGCTAAGTATAAAATAAATAATATAATCTCAAGTAGAGATCTCATACAGCTTTTTTTTTTTAAATAAGTTCAAATTAAGCTAATTGTCTAGAATTGCAGAAATTTTATACAATGATTATAACACCGGAATTAACGTCTACTTACAAAAGCAGCCGTGAAGGCTTTGACGGTAATACAAAATTCTAGAAAAAAATATCTTTTACTTACCAATAGATTGAAAGTACAATAATATTTTATCTAGCCTACGAAATAAATTCTAAATGATCTCTCCATGCCCTCTATCCACCGCTTTGGACGCAAGAAGAACGAATAAGCACAGAAAATAATTACTCACGCATACATGTGGTACCTGAAACGCTTTACCATATTTAAGACAAAATCGTCCAAAGTCATAAGCCATAGCGCAAGCAGTCCCATAATAATTTTCTTCTGACAAAGTTATTACAAGGGCTGGCATTAACGCAAGTTCATTGAATAGTTCATCCACCTCTAAGGTAAATGGCATTTTTATGTAGTACAAGAAAGGAAAAATCTGCAATAATGTCAAACACCAAGCAAAAATATGTGAACTATAGCTACTAGTCAACCACAATGCCGTCGTGAAACTTGGCAAAGCAAAGAACGTCTGGAAGTGCCGAGCGCGTCTGTAGTTCCTTCTTGCAACTTTATCGTCCCGATCGTTCTCTATTTCGACTGCGAAAAAGGCAGTGCATGTGACGCTGGCAAAAGTTAAGTGAAGACACTTTGGGGCTGGGGGTACTTGGAGGCGAGTCCAACAAATAAACGATGTTGCTGCGAGGATTGCGCTAGATCGGGATTTACTTTGTAGGTGGCCCATTTTTGACGTAATTTTTGAAGTTTGTAAAAATGTCAATTCAAATTTACAAGGTAACTAACTAAAACGAGTAAAACTGCAGATAAAATACCTATTTCTCTGGTTAGAATTTTTCAGTAAGATTACCACTGTTAAAGGGCACAAAAGCACTCGAAAGAAAAATAGTTTATATAGTTTGACTACATAGAGAAAATGATTTCTTTAAAGACAAAGGCCAATGGCGCCGAGTGATTTTTTTTCTTAAAGTGATTTTTCGCATGTAGCTGTTTAAATGTGTTTTTCCTGTCTCTTAAACTCAAATGCAATTTTTTTTATTACTTAACTATAGGTCTTACATCTGAAAAAGGTACAATGACACCTCAGTATGTTGCATGGTGGGAACTAGAATCTCACGGAAGTTTGTAATAAATTTTTATTAAACCATGGAGGATTTAGTTGTACTTCAAGTTAGAAATAAGACATATGTATAAATGCAACAATATTTCAATGTTTTTTCTGTAGTAAAATACATAACATGTACAAATTTAAAACTGTTGTCTTGTTGAACCAAAAAATAATTAGGGGTACCTACCTATATAATATAGGTTTAAAGAAATATTGTATACATATCATTGTTACACATCAATCTGTTTTTCCTTCCAGCCCTGAAGATAAATAAATTGTAGTCGAAACCAGTCTTTTACTTAACAATGTGGCCAATGTAAAAACTGGTTTGCCTCGTCCAAAAGTTTTTGTCAAGTTTCTTTTCCAAATTGTTTACCACGTTGTTCCATGGATTTCAAATTTGAATATAAAATGAAAGTTTGTTTTAATTACTTTAAACATGTTTTTACACAGGCACACGATTACACGAACCACACACTAAAAACTAGACATTCGTTTTAATTTGATTGTTGTTTGCTACGGAAGTTGTTAAATCTGGTTAAGTTATTATAGATGGAACGTTTCTTTCCACAGGTTTCTGTATTTTGTGGTTCCGGCGTATTTCCTTGGACTTTTAGCTAATTAGTTTTAATGTACAAATGTTTATGATGTAATTATCTTTTAATAAGATTTTGAAATATTATTGAAGCTATATTTCTTTATTTTTAAAGGTAAATTCACAATGGAGTTGAGAGTACCTTCGATTCTTTAAAATTTTTAGCAATAAATTTTTATCGTTTTGGCGTGTACTTGTGATGGCTTCATGATTTCTAACAAGCTGCGCGAATCCTTCTCAAATATGCTAATATGGATACAAATGTAAAATGATTTATTACGTTAGTTTTACGTAAATAATAAATTTGTAAATGAAATTATCGTGGGAAATACCACATCCCATACGTAGTCATCATTGCGTAAATGTTGTTGATGAAGGTTCAGCAAGTAGTTGCTTTATGAAAAAAAAAAAGGAAAAACAATGAATTAAACGAGACAATCTTAAAGATTTTCTAAAAATAACTTTATATGTTCAACTTTACAACTGTTTTGTGTTGATTAGAATGTTGTGATGATGGAATTAAGCTTACAAAAAGTATAAATTACAATCTAAATTACAAAAAAAGAACAAGATGCACTAAAATACCTGAACTTGTTAATCTGCTTTTTACCTTTAACAATGAGTTCCATTTAAGATTAAACAACAGTTACGGGTTGCAAGTTGTAACTAATAATTTCTTACTAGACAAAATTTATCAAGAAATTTATCTGAATTTTGTAATACGTACATAGAATATTTCAGATGGTCCGAAATTTTATTTATTATTTCTTTACTAAAATTTAAATTAAACATAAAATTAAAACATTTCAACTCACAACTCTCAATAATAAATATCCATCCTCCATCTTAGATTTAGGTACCAAAATCGTGTTGGGCATGTAGATCTTATGTAAGATATATTTCACACCTATTTTATCAAATGGTGTAAACTTTCCTATCTCTCATAAAATCTCAGGAAAATCTGCCATGACAGTTATATACGTTATATTATGTTTACTAAATATATTTAATAAAATTACATAACAAAGAAGCGTTTCCGCAAGAACCACTTACTGTTAGACATTACGTTCGTATGATTTTAATCTTTTTGTTTTTTTATCATTTTTTTTCTCATCTATAATGAGTATCACATATATGTATCTAAAATTCACATTTCAAGGTCCACTAGTTATAATTGGAAATTAAAGCACATCAGTTTACCATATAAATGGTCAAGGGGTGTTGGAAGTTTCCGCTGTCAGACCTGTTTTACATCGTTCCTAATTACAGTTATTAATATGCACGAGATTTGATCGATGATGGTAAGTGATTTCGTTTCAGGGTATTTTGTGAAGATTGATGTCGACGCAAAAAAATTACACTTAATTTACCTAAATACGAAAGTAAAAAAACGATTACATGTTGTTTTTATTGTTCCTAATTGCTCCTACAACCTAGTCTTAACTGTAGTTATGAGAATATCACATCACTTAAATTACTTTAAAAAGTGTAAGGCATTTGGAGATTGTTCGTTCTCAAATAAAGCCTTCACTAAAACTTAGCATCTACTATAATGAGACCTCGAAATTTTTTGCAAAATACCAATTTCGAAGACTAGAATAAATATAAATATTTTTAACTTTCGATTTTCAGATAAAATTTAAATGGCGGCCATGGAGTCAGAGCATGGCCTCTTTACGCCAAATTTGACGTTTCAGATGTCAATTTTGACGTTCACACAGCCAATTGAGACTCCTCAGTCTATCTGAAAGATGACGGTTAATGAAGATGAGTTCTTAACATTAAGCAATGACTAAAAACAAAAGTTAGCACCTCTGCGCCCCTCCTCTTCCTTATTCCTCAGTGTTAATCACAGAAGACTTATCTTCCAGATAGGATTCTGTTAATAGTGTCCAGTTTATGTTGATACAACTGGATAACAATTTTTTTAAGAGCCGCCATGAACGTAACCTAAAATGGTGATAAAATGGAGGATTAGTGACACAACTAACACACATACTCTAAATTAAATTAAACATTAAGTGCGCAACGCTGCCGAAATCACCATATTGGCCAATTTGGTGCCCGACTCGACCACTTTCGAGCCTATAGTACTCAAGCTTCTAACGATACCCCCAACTAAGTTAGTGCCAAAACTCACCGTTGCCTGGAGGTTAGCCCCAACGGTCGTAAACGGTGGCGCTTGTGGTGGTTTTGTTACGAACAAAGGCGGTTGTGTTACATACACGAAAGGTTTGTTAGTTGGTTTAGTAGTAGTTATAGTAGTGCGAATGGTGGTGGTAGTGCTAGTAGTAGAAGAAGGGGTAGAAGAAGATGCTTTATTTGTCGTAGAATCGGAGTTTTCTGTGTCTCCAAAACGGTTAAATAAGACTGGAGGTCGCGAAAAAGCAGGAGCGTGTTTTCCGCTTTCGAACGAAGCCTCGAATTTTCGGACGTAGACGTCGTGGGGGTCCCATTCTACGGCTAACTGAGCCCAGATTTTAGGATACTCTTTTTTCAGGCGCTTTATTGAACGGTAGGCTGCGGCTTTCTGCTTTTCCGTGCATTTAATGCAGTTTGTAGCGAGGGCCTCCGGAAGAACCTCTGTAACATTTGGGAAATTAGTACCTACACTTTGAAAACACGTCTAGAAATACTTAATTTGGTAAAAACTAAGACAATTTATGCTTCGTTCTCATTGTCGAAGTACCAGCACCACTTTTAATTTCTCACATGTGCGAAACTTACGGTTTGGTTTTAAAAATAATAATGACAAATCGTGCTCGACTGTAGTGTGTTGCATTATTCAAGAGTGTTGAGATGTTAAGTACTGTTAACGTAATAATACTCATACTTGCGTCAGGAAACGAATCATTTCGATGGGAAAAATTTCAATCACTACGAATTTAGCCGATTTAAAACACAATGCGACGTTATTAAAGCTGTCGTAATGCGAAAAGAGTTACGGTTTTTGTTGTTGGTATTGCACGTCTCACAATATCGATTAAATTTCTGCATTTAAATTAGTACTTTATAAAAGTTCTTGTAAAAGTTTGTACGTTACGCAACACGCTTGTGTTTATATGTTTAACGCAACCGGATTATTCAGGTGAATAGGAAATGACTACTTAAGTTCTTGCCATGTGTCAGAGGATTAGTAACTGAAAGTGTCTTGAATTTTAAATTATTTATCAACAAGAGAGCGCGCTATTGTTTGTTGTTAAACGATCCGAACGGTAATTATTTGTTTTTTTTTTTTTGTAAGTAGGTGTATCACATATTTAGTTGTTTATACACAATCAAGAAAAAGATGTGTTTTTAATGAGTCAATTTAGACCTACAGAGAATTTTGTACAAAAACCTGTATAAATCAGCTTACAGTGACATCACAGATATACTCGTGCGTCATTTTAGTCGAGAAAATATATTGACAATTTTTCGAAAATGGTGGATGCGCCGGATCTGCAAATTACATGTTGTTGGAACAGCAACATTCACAGCTGTTATTAATTTGAAAAGTAATTAAAAGTAGTCGTCGATTATTTATAACTTGTTCTTTCTGACGAGTAGATTCATGGCCAATGCCATGACCTCAAACTATCAAAAGTGATTAATAAAATGACGCAAAATTTTACCGACTTCGGCTAAAAAATCTGTTTACAAACAGATTTTGATAACCATTATTTCTGCTTGAAAACAATAACTCTGTTCTCAGCCTTGAGATTTAAAGTGAAATCAGAATAAAATTTATTGCAAAAGTTGACTTCGACTTTATCGTGTTGACTTCTCGTACTCTTATTTGGTGAAATTCGTTGCCTACTTTATAAGCACTTTCAAATATTTTTGACCTTTACCTGTGTCAATGGCTGGTTGTGCCAATTACAACAAGTGGAACCAGGAAACAAATTCTTTTATGTGGAAAATAGATGTACGAAAGCCATTAACGTCTTTGTGTTGACATGCAACGAATCTGGTCGGTAATTGGTCAGAATATTTTAGCAATTTGTAGCATTTGTTTAAATTTGTATGTTATGTTATAAATGTTATTACACAAATAAAACATTTATACCCCGATGTTTTCATTAATCAGTTATTGTCGAAAATTTTGGGAAATGAGTAGGTATTCAAAATATTTTAAACTCTATGTTTCATGAGATCTGCATATTTGACTATTGTTTCATGAGTGAGCTAACCCATTCACTAGTGTGAAATAGTATTTTCATCAAAATGTCTGTTTTTTGCGGAAACAAACTTTTCATATTTACTCTTTTTTTTTAGTCACCACATTAATATTTACCAATCGTACAGTTAGAATTTAAAAATATTTATCTCTGACAATACTACAAAAATGCATGCACATGTCCTAAAAAGACTGTTTAGATTCATTTACTAGGCACGGTTAGAAGTTCTGCATCATCAAATCCAATTACTTTATGTACATTATAATAATTTCTAGAAATAACACATGTTACGAACATGAAAAACAAAAAATTTTAAATAGGATTATAACATAAAATTATGTTCAAAATATTAAATCTAAATAAACAACAATTAAAGTTTCATGTTATTTTCAGCCTTGCCCTTTTGTTAAAAGCATATACATTTAATGACGTCAAACCTTGATATCACGTTTTGTTAATAATATCACAATAAATCAAAAACTTCAATTCAACATTTTCACTTATTGAATGCGACACTCTTAAGTGTTTTTCATGAGAAGATGACCATTTACATATCATAAATTTAAAAATATGCCAGTAAAAATTTATATCCAAAAAAATACATAATTATTTCAAACTTAACATGAACATATTGTGGTTTGATATGCAATGAACAAGACAACCTTTACCTAAAATTTCGAACAGCACCGTGGGCGTCAAAAATGCATTAGCATAAATTCTTGAACAGTGCAATTTATAAAGGGTGTAGTAAATTTTTTAACGGTCCGCATATCTTTCTCAGACAAAACAAAAATACTGACTTTCAGTTGTGAAAAATTACATATTTATACCTGTTGTGTGAAATCGCCTGCACTATATCATTGCAACCTTCAAATTTTTTCATATTATCACAAGTGAAAGGCTAGGTATCACATTGTTGTCGGCGTCTAACTAAACGCATTTCGGTGCATTCGTAGCGCTTTCACTAGTAAATTTTAGGAAATATCACCTGTAGCGCTAAGAGTTTTGATAATGAGGAAGCAGTCAGTTATACAACTAAATATTAAGGAAATTTGGGAAAGCGAAAGCCTTCCGGTAACCATCTCGCAAGAACCACACCGGTAGTACTGAAACCATAGTTTTCGTCCAAGTATTTCTGGAAAAGAGAAAATTTCGAACTTACTCTTGAGGTCTAGCCCTTGCGGCGGACACGGCCCTTGTGACAGCAAACAAGCGGCGTAATAATTGACCATTCTCCTGTTGTTCAAGATGCTCTCTATGTCGAGATGGTCGTATCTGCTCTGATAGTGGTCAGCAGGTGCCGCCGCCACTGTCGTAATTCCGACAATAACACTGATTATCGGAATCATGATGACACCCCGGCACTGCTTCTACTCCTGTGGATTGCTCGAGTGCTTCGGTGTTCACTACTGAGTCCGAATCGTCTCTTGCAAGAAACTTGTAGCGTGCGAGGAGAGCGAGGTTCTTTCGAAGTGGAAGGATAGTGGCCTTCGGAAGGAGATGCGTTTTGGTGCATTGGGAACGGATTTTGGGAATTAAGGTCGATTGGGTGTCTGATAGATGAGATTTTGTGAGTGTGCTGTGAATTTTTTTTTTAATTATTGAAATGAGTTAATAAGCGTTAATTAGTTTTCAGCTGTGCGTGCGGGATGTATATTTATATTTGTTAACTTAATTAATTTTTTTGTTTGTAATTACGTGCCTAATTATTGTATTCAGCCTTATTTACAATGACTGGTGTAGATTTGGAAGTAACTAATAAGGACGATTTCGTATATTATATATTACTAAAACCCTGGCCCTGGTTTACGTTAATTAGGGGGATTTTTTCGATTTAAGCGCAACTTTATTTTTCTTCCAATTAACTTTTTATTGCTTGACGCTCCTTATAGGCCAGTTTTGATTCCGGTTCAAATTTTCTACTAGCTGCTATTGTGTTAAGGGTCATACGAAATGTCGACACACTTTTTGTATTTATCACCCACTCAAACGTAATATCGATTTTAAATGTCAAAATCATAAAAGCTTGCTTCCATTTTTTTATTTTTTATATTTTTATTTATCAAAGTAAATAAAAAACACCTTATTTTTACAATATTCAAATCGTTTTATTGCTCGCACGAAAAGAGAATTTTTTGTCATTTTTGTGCAGTTATGTGGTCGTTTTCGGACAGTACCCATTGCTTAAAAAAAGCAGAAGAATAAGATCGTTTTATCTTGAAAGGAACAATTGTTCATTTTACAGATAACATCCATACTACTACTCGTTCCAGCCGGCGGTTCGCGGAAATATGCGGCAAACATTATTATTGTAATCTTGTTTGTATTTTTTCGATAAAACTGTACACATCCACCTTGGAACCCCTATCGCTGCCCCGGATCGCTCGACCTTTTCACATCATTTAACTAACTGTAACCGAACGTGAAATGAACAAGTTTTTTTTTTTTTGTTTTTTAGGTTAATCGTGGTCGTTGTATTGTTGGAATAGATGCGTACAATTTGGACAAGATTCTCAGAGATGACCTTCAGGTATAATAAGTCGTGCTTATCTTTTTTTTTGTAAACTGATTACGTTCCATGAAAATCCCACGATGTGAAATTCAAATGAGGGCTTAAATTCTGACAGGTTGAAAAACATTTGCTGCTTGTATAAACATTGTTCTTATGCTGAAGAGCCTTGTGCAGGTGTTAAACAGCTATTCGTTTGGCAGCAAAAGATGCAAGAAATTTGAACCCGAGAGGTGATGGTACTCCTACGCATTACCAAATTAGCCGACATTGTGACTAGTGAAATAACAATAAGAGCAATGAACTTATAATTTTGTGCAATTTCTACTAAATGTCAGAAGGAAGAAATGAAATTATAGTAATTCGCGAGTTTGCACAACAAAGTTATGACTGAATGATTGCATTGAAAGATCTGAATGTCTGTTTTTACAAACAGATAATAGATCGCGCCAATCTCTTTAGTTTCCGCTGATAAATATGCTGCACATAAATAAAAGCTTTTAAAAGTTGTTTAGATATCAGTTCCAAGAATTTAGTTAAGTTATTTAGCACACGTTTTACATATGACTAGGTTTATACATCTCTAATGTATTTACTCTTGGATTTTTTTTTAACTAGATAACGGAACGTTTAAAATGTTTTTAAATTCAAACAGATCAGGTAGGTATAAGTTTTGCATATAATACATATGTAAATAACAGTTTGTTGTTTTAGGTAAATTCAGCGTTTCAGATTTTCTTAGTTACAATCGACAAAATTTAAAAAAGTTAATATTCAACAATACTGATTTTTTTCTATTTTCAAGTTTTTGGAATATACATTGAATTAGAGCAACTTTTTGTGTGTTAAATTTTATTAACCTTCAAAATAAATATTTAAATACTGATGGTGAGCGGTATTTCGGAAGGTCACCAAAATGGAAGCTCTATTCCTGGAAGGTTCACAGAGCACACAGCTTTTGTAGTGGTTAAGGTTGAAAATGAAAAAATATTAAATACAGGCAGTTTTAGTCTGAATGTTAACGACTTTTTTATGTGTTTTTAGAATTTGAGAGCAATTTCTTTATGTTACCTACTTAAAAATCTCTGACGCCACGAGAAATATTGCTCTAAGTATACCCGTGACAAAACGGTTTTTTTTTTTTTAAGAAAAAACTGTTTTAAAATGTAGGGTCGGAATTTCTTAACGTTGCCATATTCTCGTATTTCATGCCAAGTAATATACTTTGGTGCACGAGAACCCTGGTTTTAATTTTTTTGATGTTTTCAATAAGAGTTTTATATCATTTATAATTTATTATTCGTTGACACATTACAAGACTGACTATTTACGAGCCATAAAAAATAAGTTCTATCATTAAAACTATATTCTGTAATTATGGGAAAAACAAGTTAACAAAGTCCAAGTCTTCCGGAATAATACGGAAAAATATTAGTTATCAGTAAATGTCAGTGATAATAAAAATGTTGATATTTTATGAAGAAGTAAATTAAATGAACTTCTAAATTTTAATAACAGTACATATTTTGCATATTTTTTCGAAATGCGTTAAGTTTACAAAAAAAAAAAATAATAAATTTCGTTACAGTGCAAGGATAGTCACGGCCAATTATTTTCGGATATTTGTAATCATTTAAAGTAAAATGTAGACCTACGAAGATAATAAACTATTAACCGATTGAAAAATTGTTACCTATTGTATCAAGGTTAAATGGTTGAGCAGTGAGTACAACTCCTTCAACAACTTTTGTTTAAAAACTACCTGCAATATCCACTTTTGTACATACTTCTACCATGCTACATCATTATGCATTTAACAGTTCTTCGTTCGACACGATGAACGGTTAGATAAATAACATTCACAAATAACGGTATTTAATACTTTTTGATAAATCGGTCGTAGGTATATTGATTGACTTAACCCAAATATTTAGCTATTATTTTCAAAATTTTAAGGTTGTTTACTTTAGACGCTGTTTGACCCTTATAACATCATGCTTGCCTTAATATTTTTTTTTAATACTTTCGACAATAATAATTAACGTTACTTGTTCCAAATAACCTGAATACATAGAGCAGATGCGCCTTTGTGTTTAGTATGTTTTTGTAAAGACAAAACCGTAATAAGAAAAATTAAAAAAAACCTCTACCATCGTTAATTTAGCAAAAACAGGGGTTCCCGGATGCGGTGGAAAGCACTTTTAGTTGAGATAAATCACTTAATGGGGTCTAAAAAAACATGATCTCGTAATCGTGGTGCATGTAAATAATAAAGTTGAAATAATTGCATCAATTAAGTTGTTTAAGAGCTAATATTATTATATAAATTTAGAATTTCCAGAGATTTTGGAAACTTTTGTCTAATTAACTGTGGAGGATCAGTTATCAAGGTTATTGTGATTGGTATTAAAAACAATAATAAACTACAACAACACAAACACGTTTCTCCTTCAGTAACGAAAATGTCGTAAAATTTGATTAAGACGATAGGTACTGAAAATTCCAAATGAGTTTTGTCAGTTAACTGTAATACTAACGGAATTATTTGGTTGTTTTATTTAAGTTTACTTATTAAGTAACAAACAACAAAAATGAAAATTAAATCAGTGATATCAACAAAACCCCGAAAAGCGACGTTTTGAGTATTGTTGCAGTATTGTGTTTACTTCGGTACGATGGATATTAACTACCAGCTACTCATGTAAAAATATAACATTCTTTTCTTAATAATTCAACAAAAAATAAGATGCTGATGATGTTGTATTTATGAACGAGAAATTGTTATTTATATCATTCATTCAATTACAACGTTTTTCAAAATTTCAGCTTAATTACAATGTTTTCTAATGTGTATATCTTGTTAAAAATGCTGGATAGACTTTAAGCAATCCAGTGAATGAGAAATGTTGCTTGTGTACAACCATCAGGTTTTGATTTTGCTAGACGCCGAATATCGTCTATATGGCTCATCAAAGGCAAAGTTTTCATCACTATATAACCAATATAACAAATTTAAACATCAGTGTAGTATTGTTAGTTGCATAATCACACCGAAGGACACATTTGTAGTAAATTTATTAATTAAAATAAACTATGTACAAATAAGTGTATTATATAAAAAAATGAGTGCATATATTTTTGTATTTTTTTAATATTGTTAAATGTTAATCATTATTTTTTATTGAAATGATAAATAAAAGAAGTAAAAGTATTTATTTAAAAATCTTTGTAGCCAGCATTTCTCTTTAAGAATAAGAAATCTCAGCAAAAAAATAAAAAAAGAAATTAATGAGCGATGCATTCCTAGAACTTCTCAAAACAAAGTGTGTATGTTTGTTGCCATCATAAACAGACTATCACCTAAATAAAAATATGAACACTCTCCAAGAATCCGAGAATAATATTTATTTACAGTTGCTTACCTTCACCACAGTGTCATTATTTAATAAATCATATTTTAATTATATATGAAAAAAAATACTCAAGTTTATTTCTAAAAGTTATAAGTATGTCTCGATTGCATAGTTCAACTATTACAAGATTTTTGTCGCTTTATTGAAGAAAACGTAAATACTTAAAAAATGAAGTAAAAACTAACAACATAATATGACAAGTGAGATTTACGTAATACATACTTTTCAATAACAAATTCAAACCTATCATATGACCTACAGACCGCGGTTCAAGTTATCGTTCTCCTCAACAATCCAGTTTGGAAGCAGAATTACAAACAAGAAAATGTTTTCGTAAATATTAAAATGTGAACATTTAATTTTAATCAAAAACAAACAAATTTAACTGTTTTTTTTTTACAACGAAACACGATGAATTCACTATTTATTTTTTGGCTTCATCCAACTCGGAGTAATCGTAGTCTTCATCTATCTCATACTTCTTCCTGTAAATTCCATCAGGGTCATACTTTGCGATCAGTTGATCCCATTCTTTCCTATAGTTTAAAAGAACAAAAGTTAATACTTTCCCAGCTTGTTTCTTTTGAACTTCGCTGCACTTTGAGCAATCCGTAGCCAAAGCATCTGGGAGGAGCTCTAAAATCACAAACAACTTTATTAAAATCAATCATAACCACTGACACATCTGGCAGATGTAACAAATTAACAATCCCTAACTGACTAATAAATTGTGATGGATTATATTGTTTGTGACGACGCCAAAAAATTCTTGACCGTCCATGCAAAAATCCGTGTCAAGTTTTACCAGTTAAATCTTAAATACTCACTTTTTAAATCACGTCCTTCTGGAGAGCAAGATCCTTTGTCCAGAAGACAGTTAATGTAATTCAAAAGCAGCCTTTTGCTGTGCAGAATTCGTTCGACATCGATGTTGTCATATCGTGTGGTGTACTTTTGTTGTGGCGATCTTCTTAGACGAGAAAAATTTGTACTTTGGACTGCAGTTGCAATAAAAACAACCACCAAAACAAGAGAAAATTTCATGGCGATGTGAATCTATATCTCGACGCCAGAAAACTAACTTACAAATAAGCTTAAATTTATATTTAATTATTGGTTTCAAGGTGGACGACGTTGTGTTATTCTTGATAATGTTCAACAATACCAGTTTTTAATAGTAGCAAAAAATAAATTATTCCTCGAAAAGATTTATATTTAAGGAGAATCGTTTTTGCATGCGATACATCTGCATTTTTTGTTTTCCACATTAATACAAAAAATACGTAAGAATAAAATTATTGTACAGTAGCTTCAGTGACGTCACTCAAAGATGACTCATACTTTTTTTTGTAAGTTCCTTCTGGATCGTATTTGATTTCTAATTCTTCCCAATATTCGGGTTTGTTGTCGATGAGATACTTTAGAATAAAATCTGCACCCATCTTTTGTTTGTCGCTACATCTGCGGCATTCGGTTTGTATAGCGTCAGGGATGTTTTCTAAAATAATCGTAAATGAAATTATAACAAAATCTTTCCAAAGACTTACCTCTTAATTCCAGTCCATCAGGTGTACACCTCCCTTTTTCCAGTAAACAGTCGACATAATTTTTTAACAGTCGTTCATTTTTAACCACCTCTTTTAAATCGATGTTGTCGAATTTTGTTGTGTACTTTTTTTCTTTCTCGGCCCACGAAAATGGTACGAAAGCGAATAAGCACAAAATCAAAAGGAATCGACACATAGTTTTGCCTCTGTTAACCTGGAATCCTTATGAAAGACAGTCGGCACTGGTTCATTTTTTATAAATTGCGGTTTTATAAGCCGACTGTAACAGCTCAAACTTAAATGAAGCCTATTACACGATTTTATAATTTTCTGCACGATATCTTTAGAAAACTTATACTCACTTATAAAAAAAATTGAACCCACTAGACATTTCAACTGGTTGACGAGATAACTATATGTAGGTACATGTAAAATTATTAATTATAATAAATCGTTCAAACTCGTGCAATTTGTCAATTTTTGTAGTAGACATTTTTCTAACATCTGCACTGAGAAAAAAACCGGTCGAAACTCACTAAATGCCCTTATTATTTTTTAAATAATAATCATTATATTTTATACAAGCGATCAAAATTAAAACAATTCTTTGAAATAGTGAATATAAATTTACGTCTGACGCCAATACTTTTGGTGCATAGTTGACATCGAAGTCAAGAAACAGCAAAAAATGCTCTTCATGTGCAGTACCGTACTTCATTTTTAACCACACGTTATGGTTTTTGTATGAAGACATCTGTACTCAGTAGATACAACATGGCAATATTTTTTTACTTCCCAAACTAAGGAAGTATTGTAACAGGGTCCATCGAGCGACTTGCTACTTTTATGTTTTCTCGACGTTTCATGACCCCAAAAGTACGAAAAAATAGGTCTTTAATTTCCATCCATCTGTCGTCTGTATCAATTTTTATTAAACAGATCATAATCTTTGAAACCATCGGATCGAGTATTGCCAAAGTTTATACATTGGTAAAACGCTGTCTGATCATTCCCACTAATAATGTTTTCTCCTAGACATACAGCTGTTTGGAAAATAAAAATCAAAATTAAATATATAACAACATTTTACAATTTAACTTTAAAATTGTATAACCCGAATAATTCAAAATCTCGCAAACGTTTTAAGATTAATCTTGTAATTTGTGTATCCTTTCTTTTAGTTTTAATGTTCTTTAATTGTAATAAAACTTGTGGTTTATCAATGCATTCATTCAAATTTTATCATTTTTCAAAGTACCGGAATTTGTCGGAATATGTTTCAGAAATGCCGAAGTTTATTGTATTTAAATACCTCCGATTTTTACAAATGAAAATAATTTATCAAAAAATATTTTTTACGTTATCAACAATTATTAATCCGTAAAATTTTATCTTATCGTTCTGATAAAAACATGTATTTTCCACTTTTATTTCACTTTTGACACAATTTTCGTGCTTCGGTAGCATTTTGCAGTAAATTTGCACACACCATGAGTGATCAAACAAATTTATTATTCCACATAGTTTACAATGAGCAGGAGTGTTCTTTCCAACTTTTTAAATATAAGACCGTCAGTAAGTATGTTTCTATGTATGTACTGTGTGCATTTAATCATATTTTTTTCATGTTACATGTGTTGTTCTCTTTTGAATAATCCAAACATATTGTGCATTTTCAGCTGACTTAAAAAACGAAATTTTTAAAAAATTTGGAATTGCTCCATACAAACAAGTAATTGAATGTTGGCATGAGCCCCCGAGTACCGATGCCAATACTTTAATAACATGTTGTTTGCTGAACGACTGCAATTTCTTGGTAGTTTACAACATTGAAGACAATTTTCAAGACAATTATGTCTCATCTGAAATAAATTTGCCTTCTCAAGGTAAAACTAACAATTTTTTTGTCCTTTGTTTTATACATCACTGTTCTAGCTAACGACAGCAGCCGTTCTATCTCTGAAGGTAAATGCCCACTAATAACAATTTAATAACCAATTTAATCTTTTCCACTTTTAGAAACAGAAACTTCTTCAATATTAAGTTTCATTCAATATTTTTCTTCGCATTTCACTACCAGAGGAATCACTTTTCGCATATCTTGCTTGGATGATGCGTTTGAGCAAGCTTTTAGTAGGGTAAATGCACGGATAACACTTAACGCTTAGAAACTTTTATTGAGTATTAATTACAGAAAGAAATCCTTCTTTTATATTTGCACAATAGAAGTGATCCATTTGCCCAAATATTTTGCGAACAACTGACAAAACCTGATGTTCAAAGGATACTCAGTAACAAATTCTATTTACTGTGTTGGGATATTGATAATAATAACTACAAAAATATTCTTATTGAAGCATTGCACAAACACGAGGAATTAAGTTCTTTTGACAATTTTATTGAACTGAAAATATGTTCTGTTTTATTGGTGGCACCCGTTGGAGATACGTTTACAATAATCAGCATCATGAAGGAAACTTTGTCGCCACAAGAAATTTTAAGCACATTGCAAAACGCCGAATCTTTTGTAAATAATGTGAATACTACACAGGAAACATTGTCGAATAATCAAGAAAACACGGGAGGCAGTAACGGAGGCTCGAGTAACGCTCAAGAAGACCCAAGACACGCATTGGGGTTGGTATTAGATTCGACACTAAATGTAAAAATAATAAGTATGTAAAGTTTCATCCACCGTTTTAAGATCTATAATTTGTTTGTTTATGACCATCGATTGCTTTGTAGTACCAAAAACTGCAACCTTAAATTTTCCATTTTAGATCTAAAGAATATCAACAGCTCATGTTAGACATGCTGGGAGACCGGGACTACGACAGTTTCGATTACTACGAATTTGAGTACTTAAAAGAAAAAATCGGTTACGCCTTGAACGGACCACCAAAAAAAGAAGAAGGTTACGAAGAAAAAGAAAAGGAAAAAATCGGGTTTCTTTTTAAGAAAATACTAAACGAAAGCAGTAAGTTTTTGTATTGATTTATGGCTGCATCTAAATTAATCAAAATATAAAACAGACCTCATCGCAAAATGGCAAGACCGAGTAATAATATCTTTCATTTACGTGTGTACGGAACCTCTTCCCGAAGAAAAAGCACAACGCGCCAAAAAATATTCAGACTACGACCCTTACACCGATTTAACTCCGTTCCCAGTTTTTGTGTTACGAAAATGCAAGAACTGCAAAAATCCATGCCGCATTTTTATCGATGATGTTGGGCGCGTCTACGATAGTTGGAATGGATATTTAGCGAATAATAAATTACCAAAGTGCCGAATGATCTTCCCTAAAAACGGACGTTATGAAGCTGACGGAAACGGGGATGTTATCCTTGGTGAGCAAATGTCACCGGTTTGTGGTGTCCAAAACAGGATATTGGAAGGAGCTGATATCGCTAGCGCTGTCGGAGGTATCGCTTCAGGAGGTGTAATGGTCGCTGCTACGTCCATTTCCGCCGTCGCTACGGCACCTCTTGTTCTTCCCCTTGCAGGTGCTGCGGGACTGGCGGTAGGAGCGTATTCCTTAGGTAGAAGTGCTTACGCTCTCTACGACAGACATGTACACAAAGAGGTAAAGGTGATTGTTTAAAGTTTTCTTCCACTAATGATCTGTAACTATAGAGTTTGAGTTTCTTCGAGTCACCTGAAGCTCGTGGTGCGTACATCAATATTGTTGCTGGATCTTTGGGTTTCGCAGGTGCGGGAGCTAATGTTGCCGTATCAGCATTAGCAGCCGAAGGATATACGATTGGAACAGTAAGTAAAAAACACAACATTATTCTTATCTAACATCTTGTTGATAAGGGAGCCAGAGCGGCAGTGAACACCCTTAACATCGTGAACCTAGGTGCGGGTGGCGCTGGAGTCGTCAACGCCAGTTACGATGTTATTAGAAATTGGTGGTATGAAAATCAACCACCCTCACTTTTGACCATAGTTCAACTGAGTTCTTCTGTTCTCTTCTTTGGCCACGCCGTGTACAACTACAGGTCTGTTAACACGGTAATAGAAGAATCTCAGGTAAACACTTTGAGAGATTATCAAGATTCCTTACGCAGCAACAGACATAGAAAAACATTAACGAAACTTGTAAAAGAAACAATTCGTCAAAACGATGGAAACGTTCAAAGAGGTCGAGCCGAAGTCATATCAACAATTAAAAACATACAGAACAAGGACGAGGTCTTTGCTACGTTAACTCGTAGCAACAGAGCGATGAATAGAAACAACGTGAGATTTGCAGCTAGCGATGGGGGGATCACATTAAACGGTGTTCATGTTGACATGACACACTTCACTAATATGGAAAAGAATGAAGTGATTACATTTTTAACAAAGTTGCCCAACCAGCCAAAACCGGCAGACTCTGACATCAGAAACATGAGTACCACTGTTAAAAACTCCTTCCAAGGCGTCGGCGCATCAGAAATTTTCAATTTATCGATTGGTCTTGTCAAACTTTTCGGTTCAACCGAACTGACAATTAAAGAAAAAATTATCAGTGCTGTTTCCGAACTCATAAAAGCCTTAATAGGAAACCCAGAAGGCTACATGGACACGTTAGACAGAATTTTTCCAAATCATCACAAGTACTTCCGTTTAGTAGGAATGGTAAATAGCTTTTTTCAACAATTGATCAACGAAGAAGAGCAAAAGTACACAAAATGGTTCCAGACACGAAACCCTGATGATGAAAAACCGTACTTTTTTGGATTTTTGTCATTAGATGCCGCTAAAAGAGTGACTGAGATTTTCAATATCGTAACGAAAGCATATTTCATAGGGACACATCTTACACAATTTGGACTTGAAAAATTACTTGAGTATTTTTATACGTGGTTCACCCGTCAAGTTTATTCCTTTGAAGAAAGAGAACAACGAAGACAACGGAGAACCGAACATGGTCGATCTACTTCTAAATATAACTGTACTATGTGTGGTGGTTATTACTATGCCCGACGTGAATAAGGGTTTTTTTCACAAAATGTATGGAATATTGTTTTGTGTAATTAATTAAACGATTAAACTACTTTAGAACCATTACCTGTATCAAAATCATAGGGCGAAGAATATATAAAAAAAATTGGTCGAAGATTAATTCGACATAACTTCCCTCGCCCATAAAGTACAACTTGTTAAATCCAGCTCTTTCGAAAAATTAAAACATTTGATTTTGCGAATTTTATGGCAACCATTATAAGTTAAAATAAAAATATGTGTCTAATGTTTGAGTAAAGGTAAAGAAGCGTGTTAACCGTTTGTTTACAAGTGAGTTTTTCTATTACAAAAATTTGTATTGGTGTCATCCACATTTTTGCAAGGGCGCATGTATCAGTTTGGATAGATACATTGTAACACTAATAATAATAAAAGTATTGTATTATTGTTATTCTTGAATCGTGATTTATAATCAATAAAATAACGAAACAATTTAGTCACGTCTGTAATAACAGAGGTCCGACTGAAGACTGAACTGAAAATCATTTATGGTACTCGTAACTTAAGACAAATAGCGATACTACTTATCAACATGTAGACGTGAGAGTAAAACAGAAACCAAACTAAATGATGTTTTCTAAGAATTGCAATAACCGGATCACAATGCCGATGATCCAGACTATTTTATTGATCTGATTTCCGCTTATTGAATGATACACTACATTTTGCTTTGATTTTCGATGTTGTAATTCACATTTGCTTAATTATAACTTGTTTAGATCTAGGGGAAGTTCAGCATTCTCTAGCTTTTCCCTAGCTACGACCTTATCTAGGGGTTATAAAATATCGAGAAAATATAAAAGTACCAAATTGCCTGATGGACTCCATTACTGTACGTCCTTAGGTTATCCTCGATAAGAAATAAGTGTTTACGTTTACACATCGGAAGAATGTCACGTAGAAATTTGTTTGATTTGAATCAGTTCGTCCCCTCAAAACAAAGGATCAAAAATATTAAGTAGGTAGTAATAAGCTACAATCAACAAAATGTTCTAAAAATCATTATTATAATTCTTATTAAATAAAGACGTTTGTATTTCCACATTTTCAGGAAAATGCGGTGACTCGTTCTTAATTTGATCAATAAAAAATATGAATGCAAATTCATCATATTTGCACATTTTGGGTAGAATTTTTTCGGTCAAATTTTGAGATAACGTTATCAATTTTTTTTTTTCCAAAATGTTGTTTTATAATTTTGATTTTTTCCCAAAAATCTGGACATTTCGGGTAAAAGCTCAACACGGAGTCGTAAACTACATGTATGGGAGTAGGTTAATTTATACAATTTAAAACCTATTTACTATGTACAATTTTGAAGTCACGTCATCACATTATTGGTGGGGATGATTAGACAAAGTTTGGTTGGCGTTTTACATCTACATAATGTTCCTAATATAAATACAAAATTTCCCAACAATCGGCCCAGTACTTTCGGAGATTATCTGTCTAATAAAAATCCGTGACAGCAGACTGACAAGACAGACGAACAGACAGACGGACAGACAGACAGAAACGGAGACCTATTTCTTCATACTCTAGAGGTCATGAAAGCTGGAGAAAACGTAAAAGTAGAAGTCGGCCGACGGACTCGATTATAAGACTTCCTTCGCTTACGCTCTGGAAGTAAAATGTGAATTCAAGGACATCATTAAATTGATTGTAGTACTTTAGATATGGCTTCAACTATAGTTTAAACGTGGTTTAAACTGTGGTAAGAACATTCGATTTAAATGGCACCCAAGTTTTATTACTTTTGTAAAGCGACGTTAAAATTTTTAAATGTGTAGGTCTCGCAGTAGAAAATTAACAACTAACCCCCTTTATGCTTAAGAATATTCGTAAAGCAATTTTTTTGTTGAGACACACTATTTATATACCATTATATTTTATTTACTTTTTTTCTTTTCAATAACTATACATTTTCTAATATTACTGTTCAGTTGAAACCTACATATTCTGCAGTACCAACTATTGACTAGATTCTTTGTCACTTCTAGAAGCTTTCATCAACTCATGTAGCTGATAAATCTGCTCATCTCTAAATTTTTCCAAGTCTGATTCCCTCAACGTACATCCGATTTTATTCTCAGAATGAAGCTGTTTGAGTCCCAGTTGTTTGGTCAAAGTTATGGCATAATTCTAAAACAATTAATCTGCATATACAGTTGTCAGCATTTTTTACAATTTACCGTCCACTCGTCTATAAAAACCGCTGCTTCTTCTTTTCTGCATTTTTTATGTCTTTTAAACTCATCTTTTACATACTTTGTGCCTAGTTCACTGAGTTCTTTGGGAAGACCACGATGTAACCTTAGAATAGTTTTATACAGAATTCTTACTCGCTGTACATTCGAATATGTCATTTTAGCACATTGCACAACTTACAACTGTATATTTTGAAACAATTTCACTTTAATGATATAAGTAAAATGTTTGTCGCTTTCATTGTAATACTTGTAGGTTATGGAGACATAACCCAACTTCGAAAACCGCTTACGTCATAGAATAATCAACCTATGACAACTGTGCTGTCATCGTCAAAATGTCAAAATATTGTCATTTTTCCTCGGTAAATATAACCTACAACTTCAGCACTTTCCAGTTTGATAATGATGATTTATAATTATAAGGACAACAATTACGATTAGTTTGCCGCTCTGACTTTACCTGTGTACCTCATTAGTTGTCCTGTGGTGTGAAGCAATCAGCCAGTACCTAAAATGGACGATAGTCAAAAACCTTTTGCCTGTACTGTGGAAGGTTGCGAGATGACTTTTACGAACGAAGACCACTTGAACTGGCATCACAAGAAGCACGACATGGTTTTAAACTTGGGTTTGGCGAATAAAAGTGCCGAAGTTGGTATGTATCAAAATTTGCACAAAATATATCTAAGTTTTCGTTTTGTAGCTGACCAGACCCCAACTCCTACGAGATTCATCAGAAATTGTGAAGAAGTTGGTCTATTTCAAGACCTACAGAACGTCAATCCGTTTGATGAAACTTTCAAAAAAGCCATAGAGTGTGCGAAATCAGGAACATTACATGTGCCAGAACTGGCCTCAAATGATGATACACTACACACGCCTCATATATTTCCACATGTGGAAAGTACGAGCGCTAAGTACATGGGTGCAAGGAATGACAATCAGTCAACTCAGTCAACCGATTTTTGTATTGATAGTGTGCCAGCAATTAACGAAAATAGCGAGCCTGATGCAAGTTATGATTTAACAATTCTGCCAGATGAATCAGTTAAAGATACCGTAAAAACCAAACACGACGAACTTAAAAATAAATTGAAAGAGACGATACAAAATAAGGTAAAGACTCCAATTGTAATTACTCCAGTACCATTGGAAAGGTTAAAAGTTAATGAGAGCGTGCCATCGAAGCGAGTTAATACTGAACAAGACAGCACTGTTACTTTTAATAAAAGACAAAGGTCAGGAAAAGACATTGATGAGAAAGCTAAAATACGTGAAATGAATAGGGCGGCTCAATTAAGGTGTCGAAAGCGTAAACAAATCCAGTGGAAGCGAATGGAAGAAGAATTACAACTACTCAAAAATGAAAATTCTAATTTAAATCACGAAAATCAAAATTTTAGACACAAATTTTACGCCCTGAAAGAGTTACTAATTAAGCATAAATGCAACATATCTGAAGATGGTTCATTTTGTAAGCTTGCCCGATAGTATGGTTGTTTATTAACATTTTTATTTTAGTAGCTAAAGTTGAAGAAATCTTAAATGCTCCTCCATTAATTTCTAAGAAAAGCACATCAGAAAACACATCTCTTAGTAAACGCAAAAAATCCAAGACGTCGCCCATAGTTCCAGTTGCTCTTATCCAAAATTCAGGACAACCAGTGCAAAATCCTTTACTAATACAAGTTATGGGCTCAGTACAACAGTTAGCAGTGTCAGTGCTGCCAAATAAATCGTAATTGTGTTCATTCACTCAGTATTCTGATAGTTAAGTATTAAATTATGTGCAGTAAAACGCACAAGCTCAGTTGGAGATACTAAGTTATTTTTATATACATGTGAAGTTTGTGTATTTTATCCAGAATATGTGTATGATGCTGATGTTTAAAGTGTGGGTCCGTGATATAATGCTTGTTTTAAAGCGTTATTTAATTCTTTTGTGATACATCACTGTTCTTGTCTTTAGCTTTAATTTGTTGTTAAGTATATAGCTCATATAATTTTGTATTTGCAAATTTACAATAAATTTTAAAATAATTAAAATATTCGAATGTTCGTGATGTGGAGAGGAAACGCTTACGCATGCGCAGATGGACGACCAAAAAAAGTTAGCAACACTTAATACACTGTTATATCGTAGGACTACATACATATTAATAATAGCTATTTATGTAATAAGTACATAAGATAGGTCTTTGTTGACGAGCCCTATAGTTTATGGCAGAGCGAGCTTGCGAGCGAGGCCAATAAATCGGGCAAGTCCACAAAGCCTAATTATGTACGAATAACATACAAAGCTTTATGTTCGATTGCACTGAAGAAAATTGTCCTACAAAAATTACATTCTACATCGAAAATTGTGATGCTTTCAAAGTGTGCAGTTTTTGTTGCTATGGTTACGCTATTTACGGCTTTGTGAGATTTGCGAGAAGTGTATCATTACGGACTAGTCCAAAAAGAGCCACTTTATGGACGCTAAACGATACCATAAAACATAGATTATTATGCAATCGAACATAAAATATGTGATTAATTGATTATTATTTTACTAGGAGTAGAAGAGAATTGAGTACTTATCTGTAAATTTTTTGTATCAAATTACTGTTCTTTAACAACACTTTTTTTTTGTTTTCGCTGTCATTTCTCGCCACATCATTTCATGGTCTTACGTCTTACTGATACTTTTTAAAAACGAGTGAGGGACATTTAGTTATATACATCGAACTCCCCTCGCCTTTAAAGCATAACCAGTGCCCACTGGTTGTCCTTCAAAACAAAGCAGTTGGATGTTCACCATACTTTTTTTTGACTTTTTAGACGTAGGTACTTTACTGCTATGTGTACCTATTCAGGATAAACTGATTTTTAAGTCCACGGTCCCTAATCAATAGTTTTTCTTCCCGAGCGTAAGCTGTGAAAGTACTGTAATATGGTCCATCTGACGAACAACTACTTTCATGTTTCATAACCCCTACTAGATTATGAAAATATCTCCGTCTGTCGTCTGTGTTGATTTTTATTAGACCGATAATATTCAAAACTACTGGAGCGAGTGCTTTCAAATTTTATATGTAGGGGCGATAGGAATATCGTGTGATGGTAGGCAACCAAAATTTGTCCGATCAGGTCATTTCAAAAATTTACACTAGCCAATGTTATTTAAATTTTATAAAATATGCAGAAGATTATGACTCCAAGCAAACTTGTGGTTTATCAATATTCACACTTCTTAGAATTATTTATACAGAGTAACTCAGTAAACAATTAATGAAAGCAACAATTTATTTTATTGATTAAATCAATCGCCCACTCCTTTTTCCCAAAAATTTGAGTACACAGTACTTGTTATTAGTATTAAACATACACATCTTTATTTTTGACTTCAATGGATTCTCATAAAAAATTCGCAAAATTTTTGGAAGAAGCGGTATTTGATCGCATATTATTATATTATCATTGCCTACTAAATAAATTTAGACCAATTTTTATAATTACTAACAGTAGTCAAACCAGTTGTAGACAAAAAATATCTGTCATGCGTATAGAAGAAAGGTAGGTATTTTATCCAGTGATTGGAACAATTACGTTTTAAATTTGATGAAGACACAATTTTAGATACCTATTTGTTATATGAATCCAAAGGGCCAAGAAAAACGTGTTAGAATGAAAAAGGCAGTGAGTGATTTATTTTACTAACGCATTTGTTACATATTCACATCAATAAATAAAATAAAACAAATAAATACTTCACGCAAGAGGACTATACTCATAATTTAAATTCAATAATAACACATTCAAAATTTTCGTCAGCTAAGGCATGATGTTTTGTCTTCAAAACATCCGCGCCAACGCTAACATCCTTTCCACGGCACGGCACGCTCCTTTTATTATTGGCGTCATTATTCCCCTGCATTGTCCGACAATCCCTCAAAGTAGCGGTTGTAAAATTTTACTAGGTACTGATGTAGTGTTAGAACTGTAATGAATTACTTGTAAATGAATTACTTCCAACCATTGATTTCATCTTTTCGGGACAATTGATATTTTGAAACAAAAACTTTTAGATATTAGATTAGATACTTAGATATTCAGTCATTATGAAATGTGATGAAAGGCGGAATCAGTCATACATATACAAATTAATAGGTATATTTTAGAACACATATAAAATTCTTAAATAGCATTGGATCAGGGAATTTCTTTTATTAATTATATCGGTTACGAATAGATGTCGATAGAATCAGTGTTTCCAAAATCGGCCTCAAAATTTCTTACTACAGAAACTTTAAAAAAATTAAAGAAATATTCTAGCTAGCTGCTCGTCATAATCATAAGATGTAACGTTCACAGTAGCCACAGGTTAGTATTCGTTATTTCATTATTTTTAAACCACCCCCAGAAAAAATCTAACTCAACCCGAACCTGCTCGTACGGTTCCGCCTACATCCACCAATCCGCGTCCGCTTTTCCTTTCTACCGCCCGAGATAACCGCCAGCTCCGGAGCCAGTCATATAGAATGCCAGTCAGTTAAAAACATAGCCGACGGTAACAGCGAGTCCGTTCCGCGAGACTCGGCAACCTCTAGGGGGCGCGTTCAAATCGACAAATGCACAACATGTTCAAACACACACAAATACACAACGAAACCGTCTTACATTAACCGACCACCCCCAGTGCGTTTCATTTTTCATGTTCAAAGTGGAGCGAAACATGAACAGGTGAAAAACAAACGCGTGTGTTGAGACTGATGACTGATCGTTTAGGTTATCTTCTGTTAATTTAATCTTTATTCATCCCTCTGTGATATTTATCGAGTCTTTTTCATTCGGATATTTATTCAACAATGCAGGTGAGTGTGGACGCCGAAACTGGCGTGAGTAAATACGGTGATTTCAACGAGAGGTTACCACACGAACACATTGACGCAAGTGTGACTCGACTCACTTCGTTAAGTCGAGGTACTTAACACGTGGGGTTGATTTACGCTTAACGAATAAATGTTTCATTATCTAAAAATAGCAGGCAAGGTCGCAACTTTTATTTTCGACCTTGCCGCCATGTAAAAAGTGAGCGATCTAATTGAAAGTTTCATAACGGGTTTTATTTTTTTCGACTTTTAACTCTAAAATTATTCGCCTTTCTCTGAAGGGTCCAAAATCAAAAACCACCACCTGCCATGAAAAAGTGAATTTTTCTCAAGGTTGTGGTCTTCGGATTGAATGACCCACTTGACTTAAAGCTGACCACTTTCTATTTCTTTCAGAACACAATGAGAGCGAACCGCCCGATACGTGTTGCCCTGACATCGCTCCACCTTTTGTTTATCTTCGTCCTTCTGGTAAGATATGAATTTTTGTGTTGGCATCAATGCGGTGCATGTTTCGTTATCCTTTGATCGGGGAAAACTCGTTTGGTACGCCAGTGGCGTATCAACGCCATGGTCATGTATCTACTCAATTTTATGTTAAGAGTGGTGGTTGTTTCAAAACATTTCAAAATGTGAAGATCTAAAGCAAGTTTTGAATTTGACAACACGTCACTCAAACCTCCTTATTGGGGTAGTTCAAACACCAGGAGGCCCATGAGAAGTGGTTTTTTTTAACTTTACCAAAAATTCCTCGAAAATTTGTATCCGTTGTAGTTTCTTCTGAAATCAATCAAAATTACAGCAGCCTAACAATGTCTAGTGCTAATTTTAATTTGTTGGATACAATATTGTATCACATACTCTCTCACCTTGACTGTATAGATTTTTCTAGGGATTTTATTTTATAAAACATTTTCAAAGAATTATATCCATTTACGTTTTTTGCATCGACATCGTTGATTAACAATTAACGATGTCGCAGGTTTTTGTTTTCTGTTATTAAAGGATATTTGTGAAATAAATGAAAAATGAAAATAACAAATATTCTACGGTAATAAATGTTTTATTCTCTGTACTACTGATGAGACCTCGAAAACTGCAGAGAAACACACGTTCAGTAAAAAAAATTATCTGCAACATTTTTGGGAATCTTCTTCAATCTCTCGGTGCACGATAACACTATAAAATTTATTACCCCTATAACACCGAAGATACAAAATGTCGACGCATTTTGCCAACACGTATGATCTATTTCGGTAATTTCAAAACTGTCTTGAAAAAAATAAGTATATGTATATATTTCTGAAACTGTAAAACGCAGCGTCTATTCGAATTATTCTCATTTTTAAATTTAAAGGAGCTGATTTAAATGTTATGTTTCTCAAGAATTTTGCTGAAATGGAAACATAGTTGATGCTCTGTACGCATTTTGTAAGTTGCGCTGCCCAGTTCGTTCTTCGAGACATTTTATTGTTTAAATAACACAATAAGACTGAAATTTTTGTATGTGGATGAATATAGACGACCCGAAATACGAATCTACCCCGCCACTGGTATAAATACACCTAGGCGAGTCATTCTGAAACTCCAGTATAGCCAAGGCAGACAACATGAGTTACGTCATCCTTAAGTCTGATGTACCCCAAGGCTATTTTTGAATATAAAATAATGTCTAGGAAGCGGCGCCGACGTTTGAATTATGATCAATTGTCATTAGAGTAATAATTATCAGCTTTAGTTTTAATGAATTCTTAATAACACGTGGCAGAAATGTCAACCAAGTGGGTTATTTTTTACCGATTATGAAAGCGTTTTTGAGAATTGACCTTCGATTTTTGGCGACATTAAAGGCCACGTTCAGTTTCCGAAATCCTATTTTGCAAAAGTGAAATTGTGAAACAAATAACCGTATAACAGTCACTAATCTTGTACTTATTTAAAAAAATACCAAATAAAAAAATATAAATTAACTTGTGGCATAATTATACCTTGAAGATATCCACAAATTTAAATTTCGTTAATTTTCAGCACCGTTGACTAATGAATTGGTTAACAGTTTCGTAACGGTTTTGTTCATCAAGTTGTAGATAAATAAATAAATAAATAATTCTGATTAATGCCCAAACCCATCTTCTTAGAATTACTTAGTTATTCACAGAGTTGTTAAAACTGTTTCTGGTAATTATTGTTGCTACGATTTAATAAATCTCTTATGCTGGAAATGGGAGCTGCTACATTAAAGGTCTGAAACCTAAAGGTCACCTTGTTATGAAAACAGTTACGTATCTAGATCAAAGATAAATATTTAAAGGAAATTTAACGGCGGTTAAGTAGATACAACCGCCTACAAACAAATTGCCAAAAAGATTAATTTAACTTCTGACAATAGCTAATACGCTTAAATATAACAGTTATTTTTCTTGAGGAAATGTAAGTGGATACACTTATACCGGTACTGTTATGGCAAGGCATTTTGTGCTCGAAAAATGTGCTAATGAGTTTTGTGGATGCAATATTCATTTTTTTTTGTATACCTAATGCGCATACATATATAGCAGGAATTTGGACAGTATGTAAAGTTTTGACACATGGTTATTTCTATCAGAAAATGATATTTAGGTATGTTTGCACTACGTTTCCAGACTATTGGGGAAACATACTTATGAGCATTTTCTGAGGTATCCATTAATTTTTTTAAACATCCTCTGTAATTACTTCTGAGCAACCAATCCATATCATACTCCTTTAATTTAAGCTCTCCTAAAATGTAGTCGTTTTCGTGTTTGTTTAACACTGGTTTAGAACATCCAGAATAATATTGTATTAACTTTCACAGGGTCAAAAACAAGCAACACTGATGTGTTAGAATTCTTTTTTTTGAAATTTATTTTTTCACATCTATTTCTAAACACCGAAAATTATTTAACATATAAATCGATAAGATTTCAGATGCACTTTTTCTGAAATTCCGTTAAACCGTTATTCGGTTTCCAGTTTCGAATGCATTAATTGGTTGTCAAAGATTCTGATACATGGCTCTGGTTTGACCACATTTTTTTAACTCGAAATCTAATCCCGATAAATGCATTTTTGGCGCACAAGAATCGAACGGTGTAATAATAATTAGCAAGACCGGCTACAAAACTTCAGGAACCACTGCAAGCATTGTAAATTTTTTCCCACAAGTTTAAAACATTCATCTTTCTTCCAGATGTACCCAATAATTTATAAAAAGATTTATGGCATGTAGTTTTTCTGAAGGTTATTAACCGACATACATTCCACAAAAACGTTCATCACGCAACAAATCAAGAGATCAACTAACCACAAAAAGAAAGTAACAAAATCTAGCTCCGATCTCGTTACTTTTATTTTCATCTCTCGTCTCCGTTTAACATTACTTAACATCCAATTATCTCATGTTGCTACTACTGACTGTGCGTTCTTTTGCAGATCTGCTCACATTTCACTGTCAAGGCTGCCAACATACCTGCACCAACAAGTAAGTACCGCCAATTTAAAATCACAATCGTGACGCGGCATCCGCAAATTAAGCCCTATAAGTCAGTCTAGACGAGTACGGCGTCCGTATCAGATGATGAGCCTCTGTTGGACAAAGTCTAAGGTTACGGTGCAAAAAAAATGTGATTATTATTCCGACAAACGTGGCCTCGAGGTGTGCTAAGAACCATCATCTTCTCGGCGCATTGCTGGCAATTATTGCATTGTAGAGTTGACCTTAAGTCGCGGCTTTTGAACACGCTAGGAAATTCAACATAATTTTATACTTATTCTAATCGAGATTTTTAATCAGATGACGTCGAATGGTGCTAGAAGCACTTATCTGGTCGTTGATATGTTTCGTGCTCGAGGTCATAAATTCACAGTGCATACAATTACGGAGCTGTTGACTTTACAACTTTCCAATTTTTAATCTTTGGTTTGCACCTTTTGAGCGGCTTAGAGACGGAGGTGGAAAACTACCCACTTAACTTGCCATTTGAAAAGAACGTAATTTCAACATTGCTCGATACACCAGAGCATAACCATTACATTCCGGAAATTTTTCGGCGATTTTTGTAGCTTGGAATCGCAACAATTGTTGGAGTGTTCTACTAGACTAATTCTGCTCTTGTGTAGGATTTCGTAACTGCAATACTAAACCTTTTAGAAATGTCTTGCTTATGCATGAAAAACGAAAGTAAAATCGGGGTCAAGAGATATTAATTATTTGATCTGTAGGTATTGGACATCTCGAGCGTTGTTTTCACTTTTTATTTACGAGCAAGATGTCTACTTTTATACACAGAGAGAAATTTTCTTTCCCATCACACGATGTTCGGAGGATGGCGATTTTTTTTTTTACGAAGCACGAGATTTTCATGGTCGGTAGTTCAGTTCTTGATAGCGTGGGTGTTAAAAATGTCATGAAATGCGATGCTGTTCCACGAAGTTTTTGTCCTTTCGGAATCTAATCGGTATTTTCTGCTAAGTGAACCGTAAACGCTGTTCTAGGCTACAAAGGAATATCGGAAATTAACTGATGGAAAAATGTGGTATACAGTGAGCATTCTCGCAGATAATTTTGATTTAGTGAACAATAAGATTGCTTCCTGCCATTAAAAAATTAAATATATACCTATATCGTTAGTTGCGTATAAAACTCGCATTCTGTAAGTATTAATTCGTCAAATAAATTGATTATAAAAAAACGAGCCACCGATTCTAGAATTGGCAATAGCACTCTTTGTTGTCGAAATACTAAGAAAACATTTGAATTCTTTCAACAAGTGGTTTTTGGATTTAAAGAAGTTTACGCAACATTCAGCCGCAATTTTTTAATTGACAGCACTGATGATTGGTAATTATTGTTATTGTTACAATCATAAATAGAAAGTTTTATCGTGAAGTAATTCCTTGGACCAATATTTATCTCCTTCGGTATTGTCATAGAATCGTCCAACGAACGATTTTCATGTTTCTCAAGGTTTCATGACCCCTCGAGTGTGAAAAAATAGATCTCCCATTTTTCCGTCGGTCTATAGTCTGTTGGCGATTTTATTAGACAGATAATCTCCGAAACTGCTGGAGTGATTATTACTTATGAAATTTTAGATATAAGTATTTTAAGAATATCAAGTAAGCGGCAAACTAACCAAAATTTGTCTGGTCATTCACATTATTAACTATCTGATGATGTTTTTTTCAAAATTAACGTTATTATAGCCCATACTTAAAAAATAATAAATCAAAAACATTTCGGACACTGAAATCTACAAAAAAATCTTTTAAATTTATCTGATTTAACACAGCCAGTTTTTCGCCGTGAAAATGTAACTGTAAAAATCAAAAATCAAATTTAACAAAATCTTGAGTTTTCGAGTCACTGATGTTTTGTCTTAGAACTAATTGTATTCGTATTAATATCAATATTATTATAAATTAATATCACGTATCTGCGTCTATGGTGCATGTTCAAATTTTTGGAAAAAAGATCAGAACTGCAACACAACTTTACCGTTTCTCCGTAGGATTCCACGAGTTTCTTATAGAAACTATTAAGCCAATCGTTCTGAAATTTAGCATGTTTGAGGATATCGTCAGCCTGATAAACCAACAACCGAAATCTATCTGTCCATCTCAACAAAACTTTTAATTACGTCACCTACAAAATTAATCAATTTGTTAAAAAATTGTATTAAAAAAGACGTCAGGTTATCGACGTACCAAAGGAATCTGGACAATTTGATCAGTGAACAAGATTTTTTCCTGTTGTTTTATCTCTGCGTAGAGATTTATTACTTTACTTTTAAGATTTCTATACTTGTGTTCCATCGCGGTACGTGTCTCTTGCGTTCAGTACGAAATTATGGTTTTCTTCTAACAGTAGCAGTTTCTGTAATTACTCCTTGATGAATTAAATCTACAGTTTGCATTTAGGATACATGCGCTAGACGCAAAACCTGATTTCCGTACTACGGCATCCAGTAAACGAAACCTCTCTTTAAAAACACATAGCAGATACATTCTTCTGCGTCTTTTTCACTCATCAATGAATCCCAGTATTACCCAAAAACAATGAGAGGAAATTGAATGGTGTACGTACGCTACCAACTACTAATCAAACGTTCAATCGGAATAACAATACTTCAGGCGAGTGTCCAGTTATTTACGTGTCGTTGTTCTTGCAGGCGCACCGGAAGTAGCGTCGGATGTACGTGTTGAGTGCAACAGCGACGACATCGTTGTTAGAATCAATACAAGATCAGGACGATTCAATGGAATGGTTTATCCTAGAGGTTTATCGAAGAACAGTTCTTGCATGGGAGAGTGGGTCCAGAGACCGGCACCCATCAAGTACAACCTACCTTTGAGAGGATGCAACACGATGAGTACGGAATTGGTAAGCGTTAGCAGCACAGTTAACAAATCCCTCCCCCATGTCCACTGCTAATTCCCCAACCTCAGGACATCGGAGTACACTCAACCTCACCCTTCTATCCAAAGATTAGCAGCAATTCCACTTAACCCATCCACGACTTCACCTGGTCGAGAAACAAAATTATGGTAATAGTCGTAAATCGTGCTCAACTTGACATATATATCAAACCAATATTGTCACGCTGGAAGGTCGGATTAATATGGAAATTGGTAAGCTAACGGAAAATGCAGCTCGGAGAGGTTAAGGGAGATAATCGACACGTTTTATGAAAACTTAACGGTATTCCCTCACGTGAAGCTATAAATGTACACAAAACGGTACTGCTGAGAACGCGAATTGTCGCGTTTCGACACTTTGCCTTTATTGTTGCGATTTTTATTACAAAAGAAAAGTGTTCGAGGCTTGTTAATGAGCTTAGTGCGACGTTTATCTTGTTGTAACGGAGGCGCGTCGATTTGTAGATTTATTAGCGCCGGTAACGAGACAAATAACTGGATTTTGTGGACCCACTTTAGTATATTCACAGTAATTGGCTCGTTAGTCGATCGAACTTTGACTTTAATGAGGAAGAAGCAGGTTTTGAAATATCGAGACCGACATCACACAACCTCTCCAATTGTCATTATTGTAAATGAACATGTGTTGGCCGGTAAAATTAAAAATGGCGTTGGTTAATTACACTTAAATGTTTGACAAACACTCAGGAGCCTTCTGTGGGAAATGGTGTTTGTGGGAGGGATGTAGAGTGTTTTGCAAGTCCTATAAAAAGTTATATTGTTAAATAGACTTGGCATTGTGAAAGGCGAATTTCATGTTTATTATGAATTTATTATTTTAATTGTTGCGTCGAGGCCATGCGCGCTAAGAACAGATTTGCTTTTATAGGATAGATTTAAGCGCTTCTGTTTTAAAAGTGTTTATGGAAATCGGTTAATTAAAGGAAAAATACTATTTGTTTAAAATAGTTAAGCGGGCAATTACTTTAAATAAGTAATTGTCCGATTTGTGAGGCTTTATCAATGAACATCTTAAGATAATTTTTTTTAGTGTTGTGGATTTTTGAATTTTGATCTCGATGTAGTAAATCATATGTATACCTAGTGTTGTCCATTACGTTCCTTGTTATTTCGGGTATCAACTTGAGACTTAAATCTATTGATTTAAGATCCTTAGAATAGAAGTCAGAGACAAAAGAGTCTAAGCTAAAATTCCATTTGATTAAATAAACATAAATATTTTAACATTTATTCAACATTCAGCGGAACGAAAATTTCTTCCGTATTGCCAACTCCATGCCAAGAATTTATTCTGGTTCAAAGTTCACAGCAAAATAACTGTCACGTCTACCATTTCAAATATTTTATGTTTTTATTTATTTACAAAAATTACCTCACTGATCACGCAACCCATAGGACAATCAAGTGTACGGGAACAAACAATAACGTCTACCAGCATAAAAACTGCGATTCTCCTACTTCCTCAATAACTATAAAAAAGTTAACGTTATCCATCGCGTTCATGATACCTCCAACTGCAAGACCACCGTAAAACCGCAGCGATAAACATGCAATAAAGCCATACACTAACGCAGTTATATGTCCACAAATAAATTGCAACAGTAAGGAACTTACAAGTTTAAGCAAGCGAAAATGGTTACTACACTTATTTGCATAAATTAGTCGACACGTTCGCCAAAGCAACAATCGTTGCAACGAAATTATAATCCAAGTTCCTTATTACGCAACAGATAACACTAATTCATAAAACACTATAATAAGAAAGTGTCGAGTTTGATGGTTAACTCGATCATGCCGAGAGAGTCGGTCAAGTGCTTGAACAATTTGCAGAAAAACTCAATTCATTGGTTCTGCACTTCCAACAAGATGGAACTTTTTATAAGTGAACCGTTGAGAAGGGGTCATTGAGGTTCATACATAATTCTGACGTGAAAATTGTATACAAGGATAGGAAGAGAAGAAGATTAAAGACACGTTGTTAGATTTTGGAGGAATCTAACCGAAGTGAGTGTCAAAAATTCTTACAGAAGCCAAAAAAAGGTTAACTAATATCCGCTTTCCTAACCAATGCACAACGTCCGACAAGGACAAATTCTTAAATGCTTTGCACGTTTCATGCTTTTCGCAAAATTCTAAAAACATCGATGCACGATCTCAACCCGCTATGCATTTCCATTCAGCAATAGATTCAGCACGCAAACTATACCGCGATGAATTCAAACGTACTTGTGTGTACTTACTTATACGTCGATAAATAAAAGAGGACAGAACCTTGAAGCTGTTTATAGCAGCTGTTACAATACCAAAAGAATCAGCTATTCTTCCACAACATATGGTCCTTTCTTATATAACGCAGAAAAAGTAAAATCAAAGAGAAAGTTATGTAAATCATGAACTAGGACAACGCAGACAAAAAGAATTGATGAAAGAAAATCTTCTGCATGGACACTCCTAAAGGATGCAAGGTTTTGTCATCACCAATAATTTTTTCGACTGGTCTTGCAAAACCGGTCTCGGAACCACTTGGTGCTTAAAAATTCTCCTACATAACGCGGACTAAAGGTTATTGGAAGTTGCTAAAGCGTATAAATCAGAAAAACTGTATCATAAAATCACACAAAACCACACAAAAAGTGAAAGTGGTCAATATGGGTACAGGTACTACAATTGGTTTATGGATACGGCGATGCAAGAGAACAATGGCTTGCAACATATCCTCCAATTTGAGTGTTAAGAACGACATAAAGTCCTGTAATTATTATCGTTGCGGTGTTTACTTAGTTAATTTACTTTGCAAATGCGATACGATTTTGTCGCCAAGGTGTGGTCATGGTACCGCTTCTTGCCAAGAATGGTCACCGTGTGGGAGACCGCAACTGACTCACAATACGTCACAAGTCCGGGTTAACAAGAAGCAGATCTTTCTTCAGAAATTTTGCACGTTTTACGTTGGCATTTGGTGGTTAATTAAGAAGTGCTAAGTCAGTACTGATCATAGCGGTCATTAAAGGACAATTAAGATTACGTCACGCCCGTTAAAACTAGCCATTACAGTGCAAAACTTTCTAATTTTGTAGATATGTAGCGCATAATCACCCATCGTCACGTTTATTGAATACGTCTTAATGATTTTGGTAAAAACAGTAGGCTTCTTTGACCTTTGTAAATCCCACGTATCAGACGACCTTCGCAACCACACCATCTGAAAGTATAATTCTTCTTTACGAAACGAACGAAGCTGGTCTTTATCGACGACATTTTTAACCCGTGGGTTTTTCTCTTATGGACGCAAGTAGGTGGCAGCACCATTTAATTTTCCAGTTTTGAGTACCGTTCTGCCAAACTTTACAAACACAACTCACTTTCTCTATATCGATTCGAACAACAATTTTCTTGGATTTGCGATGGTGCATTCACCTGTATTCCTTAAACATAGCACCACCCATACAAGTACCTCGATTGTGAGAAACGTCGAAATCCTCCAAACCGGTACCACAACACAAATAATGACAACAATCATAATTAATAACAGTACCTGCGATGAGCAGAGATGGTTTCGACGTTACCTTGAGTTGTTTGTTGCATGACATCACCATCACGCAAAAATTAGTAATTTTACACAAATAGTACTGCTATTTTCCTTGTAAGCATTATAACTCATCAAGGTCGTTGTTGTTACAGGATGATGGCGGCATTGAATACTTTAATACCATCGTCGTCCAACCCCATCTCAAACTCGTCACCAATCAAGGGAGAGGCTTCCACATTAGGTGCCGTTACAATACCAGGAATAACACCATCACGAACGATTCTCTGAAGGTCGAGTAAGTACATTTTTGACACATCAATGGGATCTAAGTAGTTTCAGTTTCACGTTTGACCGGAAATATTTGATGTTGCTGCTGCAACCTGGCATATTTTCTTCTGAAGCAGCTGCCCGCCAGCGGAATCTCCCATGTACAAAATAGTCTAAAACTTAAAGATCCCATCTTCGTGCTTCGAAGCAATTAGTGTCACATTTTACGCGTTTAAATGAAGGTTTATTTGTAAAAGATCAACAATAAAACTACCTGTACTCATTACATTGGCGTGAAAAAATTTAAAACAATGGTAAATACTAATAGCATTGAAATGAACAACCGGTTTTCTTTAAAAAAGCATCTTTGATGAAAAAATACTTATCATCTTCAGAGTTTGTATTTTGTCACCAAAGTGGTACGTTCAGACATAGTAGGTATCCCATTTCCTTGGAACAAAAGTCAACAAACATCCTTGTATTTTCGTTCAATGTGGGCAGCAAACAGGTCACACCGCCAAGTACGTAAATTGGTTTAACATTTACCAACAGCCTTGCTTCCATTATTGAAATCTTTCGTAAACGCCGGGCTCCGCAATTACACATGAAAAGACGAAAGAAGTTGCAGCGTAATACCATCTACCATCAGAGCCTGTCGTTTCAGTATAATTGTAATCTCCGCGTATAATAGAAGGTACTACAAAATCCGAACAACCTATCAATTTCTTGAATAGAAAGTGGGTGTGACAATCGACTTGGGATGATCACAATTTATTGAAGTCGTAATCTCGAGTGTTGATCATCGATTAGTTCGAACACGTTGAAAAACAATTCACGTGGTGATCGCGACCACGAGAATTACCACTCTTGATCACCTAACGTTGTCCAAGAACTTGTGGTGATGTAATGTCACAGTTTGTGGTCGTAAAATGACAATGTTTAAATCGCCAGAACTTGGAAAATAAGTTGATGCGTGACCTTTACGCCTACTTAAGATTGCAAGCAAGGTAACTAGCGCGATCGGAAAATCGGAAGGTACCAAATAATGATCATGACTTTAGAGACGGATACTAGTTTCAAACAATCAAATCGAACCATGACAAAGCGGTAATTTATATCGCAGTAAGTACTAGTACTTACTGTACTTCTAATTTTTTATAAAAGTGGGGACGGAGAAAACGTGGAAATCTCCGTTTTCCCTATTGAGAAGAGTTCAATCTGAAATCATGAATATTTAATGGAATTTCGTTTCCGGCCACCGTTATACAATAGCAACGGGTCCATATCGAACATCATCTTTTTCTGTTACATAATTTGCTACATGGCAACTTCTTAAAGTGAGCCATCCACTCAAAACTGTTATGCTCCTGGTAATCAGATAAACAAAGTTTAATAAATATCTTGCTTGTTTTTTAAATATTTTTGTTGATACATTTATTTGTTCAAATATTCTTTATTTTCTCGTTGATAACGTATGCATACATCTGTGTCAATTACAATGTTGATTTCTATATAGAAGCTCCACATTCAATAGTTGTAAAAACTTCTCCCTGTCACTACTTAAAATATCTTCATGTTCAAATTAAGAGTTAATTGCTAGTTGTTGCAACTTGATGACTAAATTACACCAATTTCAGCTCTTACATCGCGCAAATTTTCACTACACTTTCATTCTCATTCAGAGAAAAAGTATATCGTCACCGTTGCTCAAAAAACGATTTAAAAAATTGTCAGTTCAACAGAAAAAAAATCACTTCGCACTCTTCTAGTTTAATGGCCGCCGATCCCATAACGGCATTGGCACCCATGCCCGGCTGCAGCATGAAGATATTTTCGGGAGACCCAACCGAAAAGGAAGTGGCCGAAAATGTTAAAATTGGCGACCCTCTAACACTCGTCATCACTCTGGACGAGCAAGACACGTTCGGCATTCGCGTTACCGACTGTTTGGTCAGGGACGGACTGGGTTGGGGCGAACAGAAACTGATCAACGACGAAGGCTGCCCTTTGGATGCGGAGATTATGGGCAGATTTCAATATTCCGACGATAAAACGAAAGCCTCTGTGCACTTCCAGGCGCACAAGTTCCCGTACACTGCCTCTGTGTACTACCAATGTAATGTGAAGCTGTGCGTGAAGGCCGATGGCGGATGCGAAATTTCGGTAAGTTCGTTGATGTATCTTTTTACTGGTAACAAAAATATAAAATATTCTCTTGTTACTGTCCACCACTCTGTTGTCTCCTACTAATCTATTTAATTTCTTTGTTAACGGCCAATCAAGATTTTACAGTCACTATAAAAAAATTACGATTAGGCTAAATGACCCGTGTTTCATTTTTCAGGAAAAAGTATCACACACATGACAAAAGTGAAGGTGGTGTAACAAAAAATAGAAGAAAAAAAAACTAAATATTGGGCGTTATAAATACGACTTTAACTATAATTATGGGTTCCTTACCGATGTTTAATCATGTGCTCGGCCTGCTATACAGATATTAAAAAAATAGTAATAACAAAACTAACTTTGATGTTAATATTGGTTTTAATGTTCCATTAATAAAAATAACTTTAACTGCTGTTAGTTATAAAAACTTGTTTTGTGGATATCAAGAAGTTTTTTGACCAATGTCACGTTTGTTGCGGTTTATCACAGTTCATTATCTTTTGGTACTGTAAAATGCTTTTGATATGGCGGTCAAAATAGAAGAGAAGCAAGAAAATTACAATATTTTATTGGAAGAAATCTAGAGAATTTATAACTAATTAATTTGAAAATCTGACAATAACAAAAGCTACCAAAGAATAGTTTTATATAACTCTACCGCATTAACAAGTCTATTAATACGACTTGAGTGTTGTTAAATTGTCCTATTAATAACACATTAACAACCAATAAATGTCACTACTTTTCAATTTATTAAAAAAAAAAGATAAACGAATATGCACCCACAAATTACGGTTAAGTACCTAAGTTCGAACATGCAACTCCAACCTCAACCAGTTTATTTCAACAAGGCATGTCACACATTCACAATTCATTTTTCAATATGAATAGTTAAAACATGTAATCCGATTATCAGTTTCTTTTTGTAAAATATCTTTGCTTCATATGTGTAAACATAACAATCACGCCAATTACGACTAACAGCTAATTAGAATCTAATGATTAGCAGCTCTTCTACCTTCTTAAATGTAAATAGCTGTTGGAATTTTCCGGGTGCGTACTCAGTATTCATTGGTTAGCAATAATGGTCACGTTTTATGGACATTTCAAGCAGCAGAGGTATACGTTCACAATAACATCACGCCAGAATTCACCACTGGAAACTCCTGAATAAATTACTCGTAATTGTCGAAGCATTTATGGCAAGTCTATTAAAATCAATGCATGTATGCATTTACTCTTAGACAGACAATGGTAACGAAAAATCCTCTTGGCCTTTAGCTACCACATAATAGTGATACAAGTCATGTAATTTTTGGTAGATATTTATTTCCTTGTATTTCTATTTTTGGCAAAAAACAGTTTCTCAACATCGTTAATTCTCCAGTTAACCATGCGTGGGCTAAATGAGGCTTTTTTGTTATTCTAGGAACACATTTTTATAGATAATATACACTCATCAAACATGGCACCGTAGGTGTCGGATGATTTTCCAACATTTGTACCGCTAGAATGAATACGTAGATGAATCTTCACAAAGAGATAATTAATTTTGAATACGTGGGGGCAAAGACCTTGCATGTTTCGAAGGACGACAAAAAAGACAATCCACGCATTTTCGGAGAGCAAAGTAGTGTAGGAAGATATTAGGTAACAGATACGCAAACATTTTCATTTGCATTACCTAGTTAGAGTTACGATCACGGTCCGATTATATTAATTTTCTCCAGAATTATGAAAGCAAAATATGTAAAAAAGATTTTACGAAACACATTTGACAGAACAAAACACCTGCTAGGTTTTGAAGAACAAGGTATTAGCTGTTACACACGAAAAGTTTTTTACTCCTATAAACGTAAAAAATTTGCAAAGAGCTAATTTAAACATAGGTCATATGAAATATTAAAAATATTACCATACTAAAAGCCGCTAACGTTAAACTATTCATTTCGCCATCGCAACATATACAGTCGTGGCAAAATTAGCAAAATTTTCACAACAGTAATAACCCGACTCGAGTCACTCCTAGCAACATCCAGCTATCAAAAAAACTAGTTTCATTACGAAACGGTTCATCTCGAAACCGCATCAAACGCGTCTAATATTCGCGAAGAAAAAACCTAATTGGATTTGTGGACGCCGTTCGTGACCTGTGGGCAGGTCCATATCCACAAAAAAAAACGGCTTGACTCATGATTCTATTTTAATTGGTAACATCATCTACAATACCATGCAACCTTGAGGTATCGAATAATTGCATGACCGGAGTCTGGGAATTCTCCCGTCGAATCACACCATCATAAAATTGCAATTAAAATAACAACCCAAATGAGGAAAAAATGGAAAATTCTTGATCCGTTACCTCGCCGGAGGTTAGCGAGGTTCGCTGATGTTTCCAAGAAGTATCGGGTTGTAGGTGCATGGCCGCTGCACCCAAGGTTAAGAAGCGGGAGGGCGTCAGGGTCCAGTGCATCCACAATGGCCATATCGTGTCCTTTGAAAAGTCGAACATGACAAATGGTATAAACGCCTACAATTTGCGTGCTGCGAGCACCGATAAAGGCTTTGCCTTCTTCGGCAGGTCCGATGGCCCGCAGTTAACAGATGTTTCGGCAGCCGAATATTAATATACAGTATAATACCTGCGATTTTTCTAAAACTGCATAAGTGAAACCATTCTAAACAGGCGACAAATAAACTGTGACTATAACGTAGGACTTTTGGGTACAACAAAAAGAACGGTGGGCGCGACAAAATCGGCAAATTCTCAGCACTGTCTAGTAGTATTCCACCCGATTTCGCGGCTATTTGTGAAAGTCTGAAGGCGTTTTATATAAAATTTGAAGCTGGAGGTCCGACTTTCGACATCCTAAAATTTTATTAATCATTTTTATAGTAAAAATTAAGAAAATAATTTAAAAAAAAAAACAGAAAATACAAATCTTTCACAGTAGTTTTTATATAAAAACTTACTAATGATCAACTAAAAACTTTTCGGTTCAGTTTTATTTAATAATTTGCAGCAATTTTGCTTACGAGCCAAAAGAAAACACCCAAGATCCATTTACAATCCAATCGACGGCGCCAGAGGCTTCCCTCTCAACGCCCTCCATCTTACCAATTTTGCAAAACCAGTTCGATAATCGTCTTTCTTTGCAGCCACCAAACTGCGGCGGCAACAGGTTGCGTAGGCAGGCCAGCGGCGGTGCCAGCCCGGCGGACCCCAGCGAAGGAACCCCAGCTACCATCGAAGTGTACAGCGGCCTTTATGTCAACGAGGCCAACGAACTCGCCAAAGCCAGCTTGGAGGAGGGTTCCGTCTTCAGCGAGAAGGTAAGTTTCGTATCTTCGCTCGTGATAGTAGTGACTAAGCACCGCTCCGGGGGTTCTTGCCAATTTCGGCGGCGATCGTGTCGCAAAAAAGTATAGCGGTTTGCTGTCTGCCCTTTTTTGGGACATAAAGACCAAAGACAATCAGCTGGGAAGCGGAATGAGAAATGGAAGAGCGATAAGAACAATGGCGGACCGATATCCGTCGCTACGATTTTTCGCCGGTCGTAATCGTGATTTTGTTGTCTTCGGCGCTCTCGGGTTAAATCGATTCGGTATGAATCAAAATGACAATTTCGTTCTCAATTAAATAACAAGTTGAGCTAAAAAAAAAAATCGTCGAAAGTTATTTCGACAGAACTTCCCTCGCTTCTGAAGTACAGTCCAACAAATACTGCTCTGAAAAACTATAAAATTTGATTTTGCGTAATTTTACTTTTTCGTGATCACCTTTATGGAGTAAAAATAATATACATATAAGCTACTAGTCCCAGTGTAATAGAAAAAAACGTTTCACCTTCTTAAAAAAAAACACAGTTGGGACCCCCGAGAAGGTTTCACATTCGTAAAAAAAGAGATTTGGGACACCCGAGAAGATTTCACATTGTTAACAAAACAGTCTTGAAAGACATTTGGGGCCCCTAAGAAGGTTCTACACTTTTAAATAAAGAGGGGTGCATTCTCACCTTTTCGCTCGGAAAGTAATAAAAGCATTCTTTCGAATCTTAACGAAACTTTTTTTTATTTGAATTTCAGTAGTTTCGTATTTGCTGGTAGGTGACTGATAAAAACTACCACCATAATGGATGTAGTGGACCGGAATATGTAGTGTGTTTTTTTTTACATCGGAACCCCGACAGTCTCAACCAGACGATTATAAAATAATGTTCTCTGTCACATTATATTGAAAGTCCTAAAAAGTTAAATTCTGAAACAATGAAGATCTTAACCTTTTGTTAAATGCTAGGTCACGAAGTACAGCTACAGTATAAAAACGAATCAAACACTTTTTTCTATTTCAACAAACTAGTCTGGCAGGTTCTTAAACAAATTTGCAATAAAATAAAAGAGGCGTCAAAACATCAAATGTAACTAGTTATGGAAAGTTGGTCACTTTATTGCAGTTGCTCAATATGTTAAATGTAATGGTTATGATTATTCACTTTAGAAATGAATCTTAAATATTCTCTGCCCACGTCTCTGAATTTATTGTGATGATAATTTTTAACTTTATCCCGAGTCAGAAGTATCATTAAAAAGTAAACTAATATTTCACGGAATAAAGAAACCCCAGAAATACTTATATTTTTCAGTATAGTGTAATTTGTTCCCAGGTCCACTCATCTTGGAATTTCCAAAGCATATTTATTTAGTTAGGCGCGACGCACTATGAGCAAATATCCGTTACTCAAACTTTACTTTTTCTTGTGCATTAATATACCCACTCACACGTTAAAGCAAGGTAGGTACATGCGGAGACGAAGTGGTTCAGTGACTGGAAAACCGTACAGAAGTCAATCAGAAAATTCGTTACTTAAATTCTCGAATAATCTTCGCAATCGTCAGATAACTTTCCACGCCACGCCAGGCGAGAAAAATACCGGTAGACGTAATTTTCCTCGACTGTCGCTTCAGATCAGATAAGGCAATCTAACAAGTAAAATTGTTGCCTCAATACCTTATGACATTAATAATAAACTGTTCAACTCGTAATACAACCGTATACCTCTTTAATTAATTACCGACTCAACAACTTTTTTATATATGACGCATAATAAACTCGCACGTTTTCCACTAGTTGCCTATAATTGTAGAAAGTTTTTCTTTACGAAAAAATCAAACCGATAGAAAAACCTTTCTACATTCTACGCGCACATTACGAAATCGGCGTACTTCTTATGCACGTCACATAATCACCACTTCGGGTGTTTTTTGCAGGATGTGAAAAAAATCTGCCGACACGAGATCCTCCTGAGTCATCGCCTTCAATTAACTCGGCGCGCTTACTAACGGTTTCCTGGACTGAGTTCCTGAAGGAAATTGGCAATGAAATCTCCAATGCGAATGCAAATTTAAATCATTAATAAACAACGAAATAAGCGAGTGAATGTCATGCGTATCTCCACCAAAGTGAATTTGAAGTGTTTGCACTTTCACTGTTGGTTACTTTGTTGTATTGAAAGGCGACTGAACGAGAGTGCTTTTTAATTATTATTCAAACACACGTAACGCGAAAGCACGGCATTATCCCATTTCCGACGTAACCATTTCATTATTGTGGTTAATGATAGTGTTTCACCTTTTCATTATGACTTTGCAGACTCCGGACGACGCCATCTGCATATCTCAACGAAGTTTTGCCATTGGTATTTGCATAGCGGGTCTCATTTTGATGCTGTGCGTCATTGCGGCCATTGTCTGTCTTTTGGCGAGAAGAAGATCGAAGAAAATTCCATCGAACCCCGGCAGCTCCATCTACAGCGGTCCCTACACCAACACTGCCTATAGTCATAGTAGCTAAAAAAGAAACGAACAGATCTAAACTGCCATTTTGGTCCGTAAAAGGTTATAGAATAGGTGCCATTCAAGGCTCAGTGCTCATATAGTTATAACGAAATCTTCTTTATTTACAATGGTGTTCAAGATGGAATCTTTAACTGCCATTTACTTTTTTTTTACTTGCCTTCAACACTCTTTTATAGACTTTATAGGAATACCTCGAGTTCCGCTAATTGTAAGATGTAATGAGCCTGAGGAACTGAAACCTTCCTTGGCTCTGCTATAGTCGTGATAATTTTTAACAGGGGTTGGTGGAGGGACTATTTATATAAACGTTGCGTCAGATTACAAGTACCGCTCGTGCTTCTAATCTGAAGACTTAATAACTTCTGGTCCTGAATCACAGCAACATTATCATGTTAAATCTTTGTACATATAACATAATGCTGCCCTGGTTCTCGATCTCCTAGCTCTAAAAACGTAAAAAAAAACGAAATATTAATAGAAAGGTGCTTTAATAAACTTTTAACTATCTGTAATTTAACAGTTAAATAAATACAAAACAATAAAACGTCTTTTATTGCATAACTAGTGTTTAGTTTCTCGTTTGAAGTAGTCTTTCTCGATTCTCTGTACCAGGTTGATCAGAACTGGATAATTCCTGACAGTATTAGCGATATGGCTGTTGGGTAACGGCGTTGTCAAAATCGTAAACAGATGTCCAAACACTAAAGCGTCAAGTTCTGTTGGTCTATAAACAGAATGTTCTGCAACTATCACACAAAAATTACAAAAGCTTACTTGTCTCCAAAGAAAAAGTCTTTTCCTTCGAGACGGTCGGTTAGCGCTTGACAACAATTCTCAACCTCTTCAAACACTTCAGACATTGACTTTTGATACCACCCCAATACTTTAAGTTTTTTAATAACAGACGCTCTTTTCACCCTATTTTGGATATGATTTAATGGCCATGGATAAATCGAGCCATATCTAACACTAGTCACTTCATTATAAGTCTCTTTATCACACCAACAAATGTATAACTTACAGAGAAATTAATTTTTATCGATTGACAACTACAGGTACTTACCTCAGCCACCTCCATTACATTGTGCACAAGGCTCATGTAAGCCCGCATATCAGACTTCATCTCAGGATCTAACTTATCAGTAAGAGTAATCCCCTTGTTGTTAATAAACTGGACGATTGGCTCTAATTCGGAAATGACGAAAGCCCCAGCCTTAATAAATGGTACTTTTCCGGACGGAGACATGGCTTCAGCGTTCGCTCTGGGCTCCACTTGGAAATCCAGGTTGCACATTTTCAGGAAAGCTTGCACTGCTAAACAGTTTGCGTTATCTGGTAACAAAATTTGTTCGACTTCGTAGGGTTGAAACAGTTTCACATCCTTAGGCCAGGGCTCTTGGGCTAAAATTTTGAGGTTAGGTGAAATTATGTAACGACAAAAAGAATCTACATACCACCGAGTTCGATTTGTATACGATCAACTAAAACCATTTCGTGTTTTAAATAAAAAATTTCGTTTTCAAATGCTTTTGTATAATATATAAAAATATTTGCTTATAATAAAGTCAACTGCTCAGTGCCGCCACCCGCCAAACAGCAACTTCAAAAAATTTGTCACGAAAATATGAGTTTGTGTGAGTCGTGAACAGTGAACTCTGACACGTTTTGAGTAAGCAGAAAAATTATTTGAAAGAGTTCCAATATTTAATCGAGTGTTAATTATTTAAAAATAAAACAAAATTAAGCAAAACTTGTTTGGTCATGCCAACCAAACGAAAATAAAGTCACCATTGCTAAAGTTTCTACTTTGAAATTACTCACTTGTTATTTGAAGATTTTGCAAAACTTCAGACAAGTTATCGAAGACGGCATCCTTAAAATAAATTTGTCATTCAATATGAATGTTAATACTGGTTCAACCTTTCTATCTTTAGTTTCCGCTTCTTCCTCAATTTCCTCGTCTGATTCTATATGCACAATGGAATCACTGTGAGTACTTTGGCTCGCAACTTCGTCCAAAATATCGGATGCCGACAAAGAAACAGACAAAGCGTCAAAATCGCTTCCATTTTCATTCAGTATCGTGTCTTCAAGCATTTCCTCCGGGTCATTAAGCTCGACGAGTACTTCATCGGAGTTCTCGCCGGATTCGCTTCTACACACTTGTTCTTCGAGATCTAAAATTATGTCTGCTTGACTTAGACAAACTCTGCGCTATTTTCACACCACATACTTTCGATATCATCACCACAATCACCAGACATTTTTGTGACTTCTCCTGAAAAATGTCGACAACCCGCGAAAATTTAAACTTAATGTGTCATCCTAAAGCAAGTGCGTTGCGGGTTGCCAACTTTCATTCTTTTCCATATCCAAAATGTCTAAGAGAGGTGAGTGAGTGTAAATTTCTCAAAAAATCGTAAAAATCACACATAATCGTTAAATTTTTAAAAGCTAAAACAAATTATTCACGTTCTATGTGCAAATAACCATCCGTTTACGTTTATATTTTTTCCGATGGCGAAAAAACACTTCACATTTTCGAAAATCCCATTTGTAGGTTATGTTTGTGGTAACATGTTTCCATTAATTTTCAGGACGTGGTGGTTCCGCGGGAGCCAAATTCAGGATTTCCCTGGGTTTGCCCGTTGGTGCAGTTATCAACTGTGCAGATAACACCGGTAAGTGTGTTTAATTTTCTGAATTTTCCCCTCTTATCGTAATTTTTCTTCAGGAGCAAAAAACTTGTATGTAATCGCAGTGCAAGGAATTGGTGGACGATTGAACCGACTCCCGGCGGCCGGTTCTGGTGACATGATCGTCGCTACCGTGAAAAAGGGGAAGCCAGAGCTTCGTAAGAAGGTAATGCCTGCAGTGGTGATCAGGCAACGGAAACCGTTCAGGAGGAAGGACGGAGTCTTCATATATTTTGAAGACAATGCCGGGGTCATTGTAAACAATAAAGGAGAAATGAAGGGATCAGCTATCACAGGACCTGTTGCTAAAGAATGTGCAGATTTGTGGCCGAGGATTGCTTCAAATGCAAGCAGCATTGCTTGATTTGTATAAGTTTCCTTTATTTAATAAAATGTAAAAGAAGAATAAATGTGTTCTTTGCCAAATTGGGGTTTTTGTGAAAACCGGGGTTATGGACAAATTTGAAAGTGCAGTGACCGTGGAAGAGTTGAAAGCGATGAGAAATAACTATAAATTTCTTTTTAAGGGAGGTATATATGTATAAATTTACTTGATATTTAAAACTAAGGTGACTTTACGTTGTTAAGGCCATTCTTAACAAATTTAAAAATTAAGCGACCAAATGGATCCTGCAGAGAATTCAACAAATGCCAAGAAAAAAAAGAATTTAAAATACATGTTCATAAATTTGTTTCTAAAAATGGTAATATTAATGAAAGGAAAATCTCTATTTTTTATAATTTTCGAAAACAGAGTAGGCAATTTATAGATGTGAAAAATATTTCTTAACTTTTGACACATAGTCTACAGTCTACACAATGGAACCTTTTGTGAAAATGTTTTTGCTCGTTAATTTATTTTACGGTAATTTAATAAATTTATTAAATTCAATTTAATTATTAAAGCGTGATTAAGTGAATAACGTTTTTGTAGATCATTTACTACTACGATTTTAAATAATGAAGTGTTTTGAATCCATTTTGATCATGAACTATGTATTACAAGTAAGATGCAGCATGTACACAGATCCGGTATGGTCTAGTGGCTAGGATACCTGGCTCTCACCCAGGAGGCTCGGGTTCGATTCCCGGTACCGGAATTTTTTTTTTTCAAATTTATTTCAGCTTAATTAAACCTTAACAAAATCGACATCACTTTTATCAACAGTAAGCTTCATCTTCATCTATCAAGTTTCCGTCGACGAAAAGCTGATGAACAACTCCCTGTTTTCGATCGACAGACGTGGCTCTGATTGCAGCCTTTAAATTTTCAAACTCGAAACTCATTTCACTTCCTTCATCTATAAAAATATTCTCAGTTTCGACGTAGTGGCCATTTACCCATACGTTTAAAGTTTGTTTTTCTGGAAAAAGTAAAACATCAATGTAATTTTATTTAGGGCATAACATCGCAATCTTAAGCCTGTATTTTTAGTGCAAAGTTTAATTTTAAAATGAAGTGGATTTTTTAAATTAATTTTTTCTTAGTCCTATATTTAATGAATTAATTAAATTTACGTTAGATAACATATACTTTTTTCTGCAGTATATACACTGTGTTTAAAATCTTACCGAAAACTACTCTGTATCGCTTCCCTTGTGCTAAAACTGCCCACGACCTTGTAGTTTGCGATTGTTTTTCCGTGAATTTTTCTAGAGGTTTTCCGTCGACTAAAAGACTGTAAGCAAAAGCGAAGTGGGGTAGTGGATCGACACGCAACTCGCATTTTGCACCTTGTTTGCCCAACGTAAACTTTTCTTCACCAACTAGTTTAAACATCCAGTCGCGTCTCAAGATTTCCTGCATTTTTTTTTATTACGATCACTCTTTTTTACAATTTTATTTACCTTGCCGTCCACTCTAATTACTCTTTTTCCAGTGGTCCCCCCGTGCTCAAATTCCACGGTATGCACTCCATCGAGAAGAGGAACGCTCCAGAAAGCCACCAAATCCGAACGATCTTGCGAACTACCCTTACTAACGAGATTTCCACTCAGTGCCATAATTTCACTGATGGGAAACTTATGGGAAAGACCTTGACATTACCGATGCATCATGTATGAATAATTTAATACCACTATTGGAACATTTTTCCGCTATGCTCGACAATGTTTGTATTCTGCGACGATCCGGAATTCTCACCCTTATGAAAGAGGGTCGACGGCTGCAAGTTTTGACAAAGTCGCTTTATTTTATTCGTGATCGATAAATTGTGCGTTCGGAGCTTCGAACGTTTTGGACGTTTGCCATCAATGTTATTTAAGAACGGCGGGTTGCTGTTTATTCACCTTTTTAATTCACTTATTACTCTACAAATTTCTTTCTAAAATATATATATAAGCAGATAGTTTTTGATGTGTTGAAAGACAGCGAGCAATTGGGAGTATACAAAAAAAAATACAAAAACAAAAAAATAAAGTGTTTATTAAAAAATTCACATATCATAAGCTGGAAGAAGGATTCCGACACACTCCCCAAACCCTATATTATATCCATCTCCTTCGCACATTCCTTTAATGGTAACTGTGTCTCCGTCTTGCAAAAATTTTCTCTGACTACCGTCCAACATGGTTATAGGTTTAGTTCCTTTCCACGACAACTCAAGAAGAGAACCAAACGAATCGGAGGCCTGCAAAAAAAAGTAAATTCTCGTTTTGACAGCTTCTCGTATTACCTCTCCACTTATAGTTCCACTCGCCACCAGATCCCCCGCTTTTACATTGCACCCAGTGATAGTGTGATGGGCTAGCTGTTGTTTAGCTGTCCAGTATAGATTTTTGTAGTTTGATCGACACACGGTTGTTGACACATTCATTCCTTTCGCTACAAATTCACCATCAAAATTGACCACACTTCATAATCAGAACTTACGCGTGATGTCCACTTGTAAATTAATATCAAAATTAAATTTATCGTCATGTTTCAAATACGAAAAAGGTTCTGGTTCCTGTCGGTAGTTGTCTACCTTGAATGGTTCAAGCGCTAACGTCGTCACAACCCACGGGGATATAGTAGTCCCCAAATTTTTGGCGGTAAAAGGACCCAATGGGATGTATTCCCACTTCTGGATATCTCTTGCTGAAAAACAGTTATTGCGTCTTCGTAAAAAAGTCGACCCAATTATTTACCACTCCAGTCGTTCATGAGAACCAATCCAAAAATATGATCGTCGGTTTTCTCGATCGGAATGGGGTTTCCTAGCTCGTTGGAGGGTCCTCCGACAAAGAACGCCATTTCTAGCTCAAAATCCATCAGTTTGCATTTACCAAAAATCGGGGGTGCACCTTCAACCGCTAGCGTTTGCCCGTTGGGTCGCCTGATGGGAGTGCCAGTGATAACCACGGAGCTAGCACGACCATGATAAGCAACAGGAAGGTATTTCCTATAATCACAGTTGACGCGACTTTGGTAAGAGTATAGTACCATTATACCAATTAGCCGTCAGTGCATTTTCTTTTCCTCTGAACATCGTTCCGGTGTTGATGGCGTGGTGTATAGACGAGAAAAAGTCTGTGTAGTCTCCAATTTGAGCGGGGAGGTGCATGGTGGCATCATATTGAGATACTAAAGCTCTACAGTTTTTTTTTATGTTTCTGTTTTAGTGGAGGGTTAATTTAGGATTTACCTTGATCGGAGCTCCGAGTCGTTTTGCAGTCGTGGATTGTCAATCGAGAGAAGATTTTGTATTGTTTCTCTAGCTTCTTTCCATGCTGGTTTCGATAAGCTCATAAATTTGTTCAAAGTTGGCTGAAGTAGAGTAATAAGATTTGTTTTGTAAATACAAATTGTATACACTTGTATGTTACCTCTTTGAATACATCCTGGTGGTTTTTGAGTTCGGGACCCGTGAATAAGTGAGCTATTTGTTTCAAATCTAGGATTTGGTCTCCGATTGCAACTCCTACTCTATGGGTAAGCTATAAAAATTAAAATAAATAATACATATCTGATTTGAATTAAACAAAAAAAAAACACGATTTTTAAATCCCAAGATTTTAGTCAAGTCGAAATAGCTGCCAAAAATACTCTTATTTGTCTTAATTTAAGTTGTCATTTTATTTTTTTTCTTTTGTGCCTTAGCTTATTTTGAGGAGCGTCGACGTAGATGAAGGTAAGTGTGTCGGTATACTTAGTCGATTCAAATATTAAATTAAAAAACAAAATAAGTACAACGTTCAGTTTTAGTTACAGAAACAGCATAAAACTAAGAATTTTTTAAAACAGGCTTGTAAAAATGAAAATTGGCTAATTCTAAGTAGGAAGGAATAATTTATTTTTGATTTGTATATTGCACTTATATGTAGAACCAAAATATTTCGGTTTCGGTTTCTTGATGGGTGTTCCCACGATCAATATGAGTTTCTGCAAACACCCTTTTTACCGATATCTTTAACAATGCTAAGTTACGGCAGATGGCACTAACATCGTCAAACGAATCAAAATCATGCGATCCACGAGACAGCAATTTTGTGCATTTGGGTAAAATGAGTTAGTGAAAATATTATCGAACTTACGTCGTCTTTGGTAGAGAAGACACCGTACGGCAAATTTTCTATAGGAAAATCGCAGTATTTTTCGTATCTTATGAAGCACTTCATGTTTGTAGCGTTGGTGAACGTGAATGGCTGGCCGGTGCGTTAGTCAAGGTCTTATTTGCCTTTGCTTATCGCTTTATATAATTTAGAACAAACAGGTTATTTAAAATGCAAAGTGGCAATAACAATCGTGACAAGTCAGATTTTTTAAAATTAATTATTGAATTAATAATTGTCATCGACAAAGAATGAAATTTGTGCACTTGTATATACATCGTTTATTTGATAAATAGTTTACATACAGGTTCTTTACAATCAGAGTTCGATGCTAAGAAGCAACTAATGACCTGGAATTAACACTACAATATCTTTACACTTATTGTAACAGTTAGAGATACATAATACACTTTATCTGGCGTGCGTGCCATCACGACAGTTAAATTATTCATATAAAATGGAAGACTTTGTATTTTGTTGTCATAAATACAACGAACCAACGAATTCATAAATAGCGACCTTTCACTTATCATAACGTTTGAATAAATAATAGATATACAATTTGGCAGTTTCAACAATTTTATACACTTTTCTCTAAATATATATATAAACATCTATAACAATTCCCAAAACTCACTAGAAGTCGTTAAATATTCTCCTCTAATAATTTGTCCGTTATTTCGTATAGGAAAAATAACTGGTGCTTCCCCTAATTTTGTCACTCTCTAGTGCGTTTTGTCCAAAAAATAAACCACAACAAAACAGAAAAAGCACCATCTCACTTACGCTACTGGCAAACGAAAAATTCAAAAGTTTTTTCTATACAACATTATTGCGTCAGCTACACATTTTTTACCATATTAGAAATATACGCTACGCACACTTAGTGTTTTTGGTATTTTCTAATGCATTATTTTACATTTAGGACATATTTAACAATGTTGAATAGTCACATGAAAAACTGATAATGGAGTTGATACATCGAGTAAACTTGAACTGCTATCACAAATTTTAACCACCTGTAAAATTTCCCCTCGGTCAGAGTACACTATGAGCTCTAATCTAAGCTGATATGTCTTTAGTTGATAAAATTGGTTGCTCTTTTCGTGTGTTTATTCATTATCGGAAGTCGCTGAGTGATTTATCGCGCCAGGACAACCGATAAGTGAATAAATTTTTGCAACTGTCGACAACTGCCATTCGTTTTCGATGACAGTAGGGTGTTGACAAGTCTCGACAGTTGACTTTTCCACGGCAGACAACTCTTAGCAACTATGGACAACGTATAGTGTGCTATAAACTTGTCTACTGTAAATTTATCAGAGATTCTTCGACAGCTGTGGGTAAAATCGCTTTAGTGTAAATTTTACCCACAGTCGTACTTGAGAGTTTAAGTTTTTTTGCCTATGACCTAAAATCTAAAATATCAACAAAAATAATCAACATTTTTTTTTTAATTGACTTATGCAATTAAGTCTAATTAAGTGTAATAGGTAATTGACCACTTCGTTAATACTGAACGAACTATAATAAGTGTCAAACAATGGTCTAAACTCGGTATGTTAGTCTACGATAAGATAACCGAACGTGATTTCCAACTAACCAATGACGTAACAATATTTTTCTCTTTGTAATGAATATTAAAAATCACAACTGAACGACTTATTAAATATACGATATGTCAGTATATTCTACCTACCTCTATCGTATAACTCGAGAGAAAATTTTAGTGAAGGTGTAAAACGATTAACCTTTGTGAATGTTATACGATAAACGAAAACAACATTGTCAACAACATCAGAAATTTACAAGTCATGCCCAAGCCGGTCCATCTCAGCCAACAGGAAATCGACGTCGCTTTGAGTTACCGCGGCTGAAGAAATAATATTCCTGAAGAAGTTTGGTCTTCTATCATCCGGCTGATAACCGACCATGAGGGTACCAGCTTGCATCATTCGTGCCTTTAAGATGGGGCACATCTAAAACCACCCGTCAATTAAATCAAATTCTATGTTTTCGATTATTTTACCTTTCCCAGTTCTTTTTCCCTGGTTGCTGAATGCGGCATTTTACGCAGACGGGTTGGAATGTACCAAAAGCTCACGTTGACCATTTCTGGTTCCATGATCAAGTAGAACTTGTCGGGCTGGTCTTTAATGCGTTTGACCATATATTCAGACATTTCCATCAGATGGTCCATGTGTTTCTCGAAGCCCTCGTCTCCCTAAACCGACACAAAAGTCCATTGTGACATACTCTCCCCTAACACTGTTGTAAAGCTGTCGTAAAATGAACATCGCTGGATTTATCGATATATTTGAATTTACAGAATAATTATAACGATTTTGATAAACAAAGCGATGTATTTTGAATGTACGATGGAGCATAAATTTTTAATTGCGTCACTGTTCTTTAAAACGAGCTTTGGCAGGGGCTCGAAGTGTATCCCCAGTGGCGCAATTGGTTAGCGCACGGTACTTATAAGACAGTAGTCGTGAGCGATGCCGGGGTTGTGAGTTCGAGCCTCACCTGGGGAACGTTTTTTTTCGCAAGTTTTTGAGAATCCTTTTAGGGTTTTGAATTTTTACTGAAAAAATTAAGTAACCTTGGCTCTCCACTGCAGCCACAGTTTGAAAATGTCGTTGTGGCGGCCGCACTGGATGACTTTGTCTCCGGTGTCGTATCTGATGTCATAGAGCTTATCTTGCATAAACAGATAATCCGCTGACATCTGGTTACAGCTCATCAGGAGACCCTGAAATTAGACAAAAACTCAACATCAAAATTGTGCGAAAATGTTTAGCTTGAGCTTACGTCCTCTTTGAAGTGGATGGTAGAGCATTGCAAGAGGGCGCCCATGAGCTTATGTGGGTTCCATGTAACCGAATCGGCCCTGAAATGTATTTAGTATTTAATATTTGTAATATACAATCGAACTGACTATGAACTGAATGTCTGATCCTACAAAATTATTATTAGTACGTCGACAATTTTCTTCAATCCGTATTGTAATTTACATACGTTTATCGTTGTGATTTAATGAAATAAACAACGTTTTTTAATTCGCTGTCCGTTACATTTAAATAACGACAAGGACACTGCCTCCATAATTTATTTATATTGCATAACGTAAAAATTAACATGCAAAAATATTTCCAAATAGGTTAATGTGAGTGTAGTTAATAATTGTGCATTGTTTAGAATTTTAACCTTTGTAATGATAATGTTCAATACAGTAGTGTAAAACAGGCTGCTTTGGTAAAATGTCCGAACTCAAATTCACTTTTAGAACTAATCTCCGCATTTTATAAGTATTTTAATATCACACTTCTAATTTAGATTTTTTGATTATGTACTTATTTATTTGCTCTTTCCATTATGTTATATCCAATGCTAATTTCCGATTTTTAAAACTTGCTGTCAATACAAGTTTTTATACGCTAAATTAAGACGAAATGTGATCAGTTTACATTCGTTGTCCGGTATTTCATTTTATACGGCGTTAGAATGTTATACATTATTCTATTCGTGTGACTCGTAAATGTAAAAATAAAACTTGTATGCAAATAACCAGTTAATAATAAAACAAAACAATGAAAAAACGTATTTAAATATGTTAAAGAAGTTGCATGGAAAAGAAAATACATACTACATATGTAAGTACGTATTGTTGATATTTAACACTCAGCTGCGAAGCTGCGATTTCTCTATTTTCCATTTTTTAAATAATTTGCTTTTTTTGGTCTTTGCCTTTTTAAAACAACAAAAACAACTTACGTCTCCCTTGTTACAGCTTTTCTTGTATTGCACCTGTAAAATAACCCTAGTCCCCTTTTCGTCCACATAGTAATTTTGTATTTAATTTTCAGGACTCTTTATGTTATGTAACTTTCCCGCCCTGATGACCTTTCGAAATCAAAACCTGCACGAACCCATACCATAAATCCTCATATATGTAACCATTATAAAATGCCGACTTCGCAGCTATAAATTTCCGCAATAACAATAACGCCTCTAAACCCTAAACCCTCTTACGTCATCTTTATAACACCTGAATTTATTAAACTTTATAACTCCGCCTCGGAACGCCTGCGACCTCGACTTTAATTGCACAATCATTAATCACGCCTCTAACTCCGAAACTGAAAGCTCTCCCATTATTTAACCTCTCCGAAACAGAGCTTTCGCGCTGTATCACAATAATGCAGAAAGTTTCTAAAGCAGATTTTTTATTAATCAATTTACTTTAATGTTGTTGCGAGCTCGCAGAAATTAATTTCGAAAAAAGTCGGACGCCAACTGTTCGCTCTGCTTTAATAAAAAGCGGACCCTTAAAGAGCAAAAGCTTGTCAGGATTTAGGAGTGAATGTAATCCTTGATTACATGAGAATCTTCCAGATGCGGCGCTTAAAACAATGGATAATAGACTTTATTGGTTCGTAGTGGAATTTCGGGGCGTCATTCAGATATTAGTTAGTGGAGAAAATTGTGCGATAGTGTTTATTTAAGTCAATTTACTTGTTTCACCCTCGAGTGCTACCGACACTTTGATAGAGGAGAAGAGTGTTTTTAAACCTATAAGCAGTTCTGATGCAAATTGAGACGCACTTTAGGGCTTATCAGCGGTTTATGTGAGGGGTTTTATCGATTTTATAGAGAGGGGTCTATGGCAAACATTAGGAGCAGCGAATATTTTCCCAGGTAATAAGTAGTCTTTATTTTATTAAATGGTTACAATGTGGAAACTACGCTGCATAAATGTCTACCACAAATCGTAAACCGAATCAATCTAAGATGAAGTCGAGTGTTGTTTTTTAGAGTTATTAAAAGTAATTTTGCATTTTATCTTGTTACTTACCGTTCAACCCCACTAAGCCTGGGATGACGATACTTCTTCGACAGCAGTAGACCTCCGCCCCAAGCGGCCTGAAAATCAAACATTAACAAGGAAACATCATCGAAAACAGCTTTTCCGTACGTCGACGTGTAACCACATTCCATATTTCTCACAGATGTCTGCGATTTCGTTGATCGGATCGAAAGCCCCCAACACCGTCGTTCCGGAAGTGCAACAAACGAAGAAGGGTATGTGACCCTTAGCTTTTCTATCAAGGATCAGACGTTCCAGTTCTGATGGAATCATGCGACCGTGAATGTCCGAAGGCACCATTAAACAATTGTCGGTACCTAAACCGCAAATTGAGGCGCAGGATTTTACGGAGTAGTGGCTCTGAAAGAGAAAAGCATCGATCAACGGGGGATGATGTGTACAGACAGATTCTAGCATTCTAGCTTGTAATATACAAAAAATGTGACCTTTATTTACTCTCTCTGCTTTTTTAACTTCTATTGTTTTTTTTTTTTTTAATCAGGTGGCACTTACCTGGTCTGAAGTGAACATGACAAGTTGGCCCTGTATAGTGGCTATACCTTTTTCTTTATAATTAGGGAACATCTTGTGGCGTGCTGCCAGGAAGGCGTACAGATTCGATATTGAACCGCCTGGAAATGAGATTTCTCTTTAACATAAATTAAGTCTGCGGAAAGTTTAAAGCTGCCAAATAGCCATATCAAATTTCTGACGAAAATTAACGTTGATACGACGGTAAATTACGGCTCCTCATATATAAAGTGGCGCCATCTGCTAACCGAATTAATTCGCCCAATTTAAATTACAAATTTTGTTACTTATTGACGTTGGAATTAGCAGATTTGCATGTTTATGCTTTTAATCTAGTGCAAACGAATGGATTTAGACGAACTAATTTAAGGGCTCGTTTTACATCTGTACGAGGAACAAGTATGTTTTACGAGAAATAGGACTGTTCTAAAATTGACTAGTATTTAGTCGGAACTTCTCACCTGGTGCTAAAATAGAGTCTCCGTTTACCCAGTTTGGTCCAATAATTTCTCGCATGTGTGTCATGACGACGTTCTCCATGAGGATGAAAACAGGTGCAATTTCGTATGTGAACATGTTAGTGTTTGCTGTGGCTGTCAACCACTCTCCAGCCATCGAGATTATGTCCAGTCCACAAGAAAGTTGGTTGAAAAATCTTGCATGTCCTGAAAAATGTGTGTTCAGTTGATACAAAACCACGTGGTTTATCTTTATAATGATTTTTTTACAGCTTTATTTAAGTAACTAAGAACCATGTTTCTTGAATCGGCTACTCCCCAAATAACATTTATGGTGGCTTGTTTGTAGGGGTTCAAAATCTTCAAAGGCTTATCTGTACAAATAGGTGGAATAATTTATTTTTATAAAACGAATTATATTCTTAATTCACTTTTGATTTTTCAGAAAGATGTTATAAAGATATTTTTTCCAATTTCTACTAATACAATGCCCATTTTGTATGTGAAATCTCGCTATTAAAACAAAAGTTTAATCGAAAGGACGAATAAAATGTTTATAGCAACACTTTATTCACACTGTCATTGACAACACGAATAAAGTAAAAAACTAAAAATTCGCACTACCACTGAAATTTTCGTTGTTATGGATGTGTGGATATTCAACTAAAATTTACAACGCTTGATAGTCCACCTCCTGTAAAGCAATCCTAATGAAAGTCCAGGAGCATCGTTTGAATTTGACTGTGACAAAAGTACAGGCAGGTTAGGCAATTTACCTTTTTCAAATGTTCATCATATTAGTAGTAGTACAATTAATATTTATGTATATGGATTACCTAAACAATAAATTTTTTGAAAAATTTTGCGAAATTGGAAAAAATCTTGTATGATACACGTGAATAAACGAATTTTATCCACTCAAAAACATTATCACACTCAGCTTCGCCTCGTGTGCTAAACTGTTTTTTCGTTGGATAAAATTGACTTTTATTCACTTATACCATAAATAGCTATTTTGCCATCCAGTAGGATCTTTATTTAATCTTACATATCTTAAATTGATCTTCGTATATAAAAAAAACCCTTATGTTAATACATAGTGCCAAAAGTGCGTGTTAATTGATAACATTGTAATTTTGTACTTATGTTGCAACTTCCAAAAAATTTGTTTTGCGCTCCACAGTCCCGTGTTGGTGACTCTTTGATCCCCGGATTAACCCTAATCCAATAGGTCACGTGTCGCCGCTGAGGGTGTGCATCAGCCGCAAATAATGTCTTTGTTTCAAGTCCACCGACATTCAATTATTCTGAGCAATAGCCCGAAATAATAGCGGATTGATGATCAGATCCCAGAGTACACAACGATTTCGGATAAATAAAAAACTAGATTTTTATTTTATCGGAATATGCTTACTCTATCTCGTAAACACTGAACACATGTTCATTAACAACATATGTAGGTACTCGTCGCTTAATTGGTTGCCACTTTGTTTTAATTAATTATCACTTTACGTAATGCTGCAACGCATTTGTGACGAAGAAAATTCTTGGAGTGGTAACGTAACAATTTGCGGAGGAATGCGTTCTGGAACTATTAAATATCACATTCTTGGGCATTTTGGGTAGACTGACAGGGGTGGTTTTAATCCGGCGTGGGACAGTGACTAGGGCACGGATAAAGCCGGGGGCGCTTTGAGTGCCCTTAATTACAGCACTCTGACGGGGTGCAAACTTCGGTGTTTATATTGAAGGGTGCACGGTGTAGGGCTCTAGCTGCGAGGTACGTTCATCACAGCAAAATTAGCGGCAACAATAAAACCACATGAGGCGGGGTTTCCGGGTGATGGTGCAGACGCCGAATCAGTTGTGTAAAGTTACATTGTCGCTTTTAAAGAAGACCAAATTTTTACTAGACCACAAACCACAAGACATCAGTTGGTCTAATTGAGGCATGCGGAAATTTGTTGCTTAAAAAACTCTGAAATCTGTACCGACGCAAAACGTGTGTCGTAGACCTGCTGCTACACCCCTTCGCACGTCTGTCGGGTGTTATTTTCCAAGCCGATGGACATGATTCCTGCTGCATTCAGACAGAGATTAGTGCAGCAGGAGCACGACTCCTGCCATTCGGCTTTCCCTTTTCTTTCGGAGGATAATACCCTCATTACCCCGCTAACTCCACTTTGTTGTAATTTAAAGAAAACATGTTTAATCAATTCGCGGAGTTAGTATTTTCAAAGAATGTCAGATACGGGCTAGGATGAACCCTGGCGATAAGAACAACAAAAGCCGCTTCAACAAAAGTAATGCGACCTTCATATACGTGTCAAAAGCATCTGTTTGCTTTGCTGTATCTTGACATCCTGGATGTGTATAGTACGGAATTGAATGGAGACGGGCTTTAGGGCAATAGTTCTGACAGAAGGGGACGTTTGCAATCCTGCGCTTACAAGGCTTAACGTGCCATCCGTTTTCCACCGTCGGGACCTAATTCATGTCTTGCCGTATGGATGTGGACGTTTATCGTCGGGCCGGAAATTTGGAAGAGATTGAAAAGTGCAACTTTTAAAGTCTTTTCTGAAGATTTGTTTTCAGTTTTTTATTACTATTTTTTTAAGTCCGTGTTTGTCTTTTGTTAAGAAACATGTTCGAATACACTTGTAACGAAAGACCCACTGTGTGTTATCAGTATCGCAAATACGTCTTTGGTTAATACTTTTTAAAAACTTCAAATTTAAATGTATTTATGTATAACTTTAAATACACAGTGCGTTTGTAATAACTCAGACTTGAGTTAAAAAAAGTAAACGGTTTATAGCTGTCATTCGAAAAGTAAAACGTTTTAGGATGAAAAAAATACTGTATTTCAATAAATTAAAAGATTGGATGTGGTTGAAAAATGCAATAAAAAAAAACGTTTTCGGCAGTGCCTCTCACACTGCCGTGACCAGGATTCGAACCTGGGTTACTACGGCCACAACGTAGGGTCCTAACCACTAGACGATCACGGCTGTCGAAAACGTCGATCGTAAGTTGGCTAGTACTGATATTATTATTGCTATTGCGTACGTACGAGGACGTACTGAATCACTCGTGAATTTTCCTTAGTGTAAAAAAAGCGACATTCCTTTTAGTCAAAATTATCTTTTTGATAAGAACTGTTTGAAAACACGGTAGCTACTCACAATCCGCACCGGGACCAACATTACCATAAAAAAAGTTATCGGCTCTGATTTGTGGCGGGCCCCTCATGAGGGCTTAGCGCCCCTTGTGTAAATTAATTCATATTCTCACCACAATCTGCTCTGGGGTAGATAACGAATTATCATTGAATTACAAGTTTCTAAGAGCAAACAAAGATTTCATCAAACATCGACCGCGCCTCGGTATCGAGTATCCTCAGAGGCACGCGTCCTGCCTTCTGCAGCCCATTGTCCTTTGATTACAGTCCTCGCGCCTCAAAACAACCCTGATTGCATTCAATTTGGGACCCTCGAGCTACACCACGACATTTCCTTTCGATAAAGACGCGAATTTATTGCTACACATGTGGGTCATTACTGGGAGAGCGGGCGGAGTGCATATTAAAAAAAATAATAATAAAGGGTCAGTTTTTTATCTGACTAAAAAAGACTTCAATTTTGTTTTAATCACTTTTGCAAGAAACAATAATAAAAGACTACGATATTTAAAACGAAAAAATCAAGTTTATAATTGACGTGACTTAAAACACTGAGGTTGGCAACAGTTGCTTGTAGTCGCTGTAAGCTTATAAACGTTGCAACAGATTATTACTTAAATAAGCAACAGACTAACATGCAACAAACAAAAAATCACTGAAAAAAGTTCTCTATCTCCTGGTGAACTGCGAGCGAGTCACTACTAGGTGCCCGAAAAATTATCAAACCAAATAGGTATGTCACCCGTCAAAATTACGCATAGCCTTGAATAACGTCAAAACACGACATATATTTAATTTACTCGTAGCATTTCTGCATAACAGAGTAACACATGTTTTTCATTCGCTTAAAACTGCAACCAATTTAGGTTCTAGAAAATGACTAAAATCCCTCACAACTCCACACATGCATTTCTCCTACCTGTTTTGACCTGATACTTGAGAGTAGTGGCGCAATCGTGGATGAGCTGCTGTAATGATACCCCCTTATCAGGAATCTTGAGGTCAAGCAGCTTCTGCATTTCCTCAGGATGGTGGAAATCCAAGATTTTTTCATTGCGGTCGTTGGTCGCTCGTACAAAATCCAGAAGGATTTCGATGAGTTTCTGCAGGAAGTCGTTGGTTGTCGAAACACTCTGAGTTTTATATGGGAGAATGTCTGCAAAAATAAATGGAGAGATTGGCGAGCATTGATATGCAAAGTCGGTTTGTGTGTCGTTGAATGGACTGATTAGAACGAACTGGTGTTGGGTGCGGCGAACCGGATAGACTGAGTTTCGCAAAGAAAAGGCCTTTTCTTGATTAAAAAGAGTTTTAAAAGAAAAAGCAACTGTGGCATATTTGTCTTATTTAAGTTTAACGAGACACGATGAAAAAAAAGTCTTCACCGTGACAATGTTTGCACATTGCCGTGACCAGGATTCGAACCTGGGTTACTACGGCCACAACGTAGGGTCCTAACCACTAGACGATCACGGCTATCGAAGACGTTGAGCGTAGTCGAGTAACTATAACTACCATTACACGGAAGTCTCAAAATGAACATTTTTTTCGATCGTTTTTTAATGATTTTTGCGTATTATACGCAATTAATTTCGAGAATTTAAATTTTTTAAATACATTGTAGACAAACATTTTTTGCCAAAATGGCCATAACGAAAACCGATTTTATTTACATTCTTGTATTTAGAGAGAAAATTAAATTAAAACGAAAAAACACAAAGACCCAAATAATATTAGAGTAAATTTACCAACCATTAAACGGCAAAAGGAACTAGTGAAAAATGACGTCCTAATTTTGAAGACGCCACCAAAAACTTTTTGTATTGTATTGTGAAAATACATTTCCCGTGAGAAATCGTTTCAAATATACGAAACAACAAATGCGTTATTCGAAAACTTCCTCCGGCACCAACTGCGTCCCACGTTCAAACTTAGATTGTTTAAGAACTGCTGACCCACTCCTCGTCCAACTTTAGAAAGTAAATTAAGCTTGAATACGCCTTCTTCAATATCAATTTCTTCGCCATCGTCTTCAGCAGCCGTGATCGTCTAGTGGTTAGGACCCTACGTTGTGGCCGTAGTAACCCAGGTTCGAATCCTGGTCACGGCAGACGATTTTTTTTTTAAATACAGCAAAACTTCGAAATTCGAGCGGAATTTGCGGCGACATTACATAACCGAAGGCTGAAATTCCAGCAGTATTGATTTTGGTGGCTTTCACCACCCACGGGAGCAGATGGCGCCAATGGCGGAGACGTATTCCGCGCTTGAAAAATATTTTTGTTTGGAATCGGAAACGAACCCGGATTTTTGTTACGTGGATATGCGAAATAGGTGGAGGAAATTTCCTGTTCGAGATAAGCTGGTTTTTTATGGTTTATTGTGTGGCGGGGATTAGGGGTTGTTATCTGGAAGAGACGTTGATGACTTTGGGGTGGAGATTTTGGGATAACGTGTCATCGAAATGAAATAGTGTAGCAAAAAGTGCGCATAATTAGATGTAAATGTAGTTGGAACGTTGTGGGCTGGCAAGGGGATACTTAGGGCAGCGAAGAACTTGCGAATTTATTAAAGACGTTTTTTATGACTTTAGATTTGTGGCTTACTTTTTTTAAGTGTTTTTGTTTTTGTTCTCTGCTGTTGTGTATTTTAGGTAGGTACTTCGTTAGAGATTTTGTTTTTAAATTATTTTTGTGGCAAAGTCTTAATTTTCAGCATTAATTTTGTTGCGTTTTGTTTTATTATTATAATTTTTCTTTGTATGTTTCTATGGTACAGTGTTTTACAATTTACTTCCAACGCTACATTTATATACCTTTTCCAAATGTACACACGCGAACTAAACAACCGAAGACGCACTTTCTACTATCCAGACATCTAATTTCGATTTTTCTTCCTAACAATACCCCCTCAATCGCCCAGTTTTTTTCACCACATCACTCCTCCACAATCTGTTGGCTATTTGTTTGGATAATTGTACGAAAGCCACTACAATTTTTCAAGCGTAATCCCACTTCCCCAGTTTATTTAGTGTGGAATTACCGGTATTAAACTTGTCTCTTGCGGTAACACGAAAAGACTCCCTCGAGATTCGGATTGTTGCGGAAAACCTCATTAATAACACTATCAATAGTAAAAGCAAACTCACGAAAAAATCGGTCGAAAAATTGATTGATGAGACATAGCTGCGTATAGAATCTCTTAGAACACCTTAGATTAGAAAGCTCGAACTCAACGTCTGCCCTCCTTGAATAATGCAAAAAATATTTCCGAGGCACAAGTGCACATTGTTGCACATAGCTGAAATTTATAAGCGCTGAAAAAGGGCCCATGGGACTTTTAATTAAAGCTAAACTTCCCTCTATGGTTTGCATTCTTGCTGCAGATGGGGGCGCGACGCATGGGCGGCTCGTTAGACAGGCAAATCGGCGCGACTAATCCCAGTCACTCTTACAAGTCTTACAAAAATTATTCCGTTTGTTTGTAACAACACACCATTTCCTGTTATAGATGTGATTGTCTAAAAGTGAATTTTAATACTCTGCTTCTATGAGAGTTGTTCTGAACATTACTCGGAATGAAAAATTTACTATTTTTATTTTTGTAAAACTAAAATTAACGCTTTTTCCGCCACCACTGGCCTCCGGTCGAGTTTTCGCAATATTCTACCCCTCTTCGGCGAACAGATGTTACCGGATTCGATCCCCAGTCAGTCAGGCTTGATCTGAAAAGACCGGGAATGTCGGGAATTGAAAATTATTCACTGTCTTGCTAGTAATTGAAATACCTCGTGTCTGTTTGCTTATTGTAAATTTGATTTATGTCCAGTGATTGTACGACTATTCCGGAGTGACGCTATTGTGAGCTGGAATGCTGAATAAAAATTGTGTGGGTTTAGAGGAAAGCCCTAGAGTGTTCTTAAAGCTCCCGGAAGACGCCCTCGTGGTGGATTTAGTCTTTTACGGCCCCTCTTAATAGCCCATCAGTCAAATGCCTCTATCCGGGACTTAATCTCTGTACTGTTTTATTGATAAATTAACTGTCAATGTATCGGATGGAATATGGTTTGGGAGATAGGACGTGGTCCTGTATAAGCAGGATAGTGACAAATCTTCGTAAACTTGGATGGTGTGCAAACAGTTTCGGAATACATTTAGATCGCTTTAAGATATGTACATCGAAAAATAACGCTTGATTTCATAGAAATTCGATAAAAAATATTTTATGATTTTCGAGGTGACATCATCAATTTTCTAGATAGGGTGGATAAAATACAATTCTTTGTTTGAGTTCTTTTAGCAACGACCAAAGTCATAAAATTCGAAGAGTGGAAAATAATCGTTTTGATGATTACACCGTAATATAATTGGCGTTTTTGTAAACGTTATCACATTTTGAAAATGAACGAAAAATAATGTAGTGGTTTCATTAAAAAAAAAAAAAAATGAGTGTTAAATACAAACTTGAAAATTCAGTTCCAAGTATGTTCAAACATTGTCATGTAAGAACACTCACAACTGCAATTTCGTCCGATCGTCTTTTTCTCCCTTTTTTGATTCCCACCTCGTAAAACCAAAAAAACCGTCGTTATTATTTCTCGAAAGGTCACATCCTATCGGAAAACTAATTTTCCGGCTTTCCTCACCCACCATTCCACCCGGTTGTTACCCATCTCCACCACGTTCGAGCTTAACGAGTTTTGAGCTTATCGCCATTCCGCGATACCCGTAGCTTAATGACTTCCCAAACCAAACGTTTTCGTTGCATTTATTCCTCCGCTAACACAAAAGGTTAAAAAGCACCCGTATTAAAATCCATCGTCAGATTGCCATCACCGAGACCTTTTCCCATCGCTTCCAGCTCGCCGACTCCATTCTCTCAAACATCCGAGTAGGATTTTCATCTTGATGAGAGAAAGTCATCGAGCTTTTGTTTTGACCCGAAGCGACGACACCTGCTGCACGAGGCCAAAACCGAAATTGTGTAATCCCATCTGGATCAGTGTAAATAAACAGGAACGGGGACGTGAGCACAGGTGCAATCAGACCGCACTTTATCCTTTAATTGATGTTTAAACCGTCTAATTAATCATTTATGCACCCTGGAAGCGACACACGACAAGGGACCCGACTCTGCAGAGAGCGCTAGACAATATGCTCGCAGGGGTGGGCGACTGTTCGCAAATAAGGGCGCTAACGCCAAATATATACACTGGGGGGTTGTGATAAGCAAGAATTAATTTAAATTCGTTTACTTTTAGCTGTGGCGTTAATGGAATTTTTGCGTTTGCACGGAAGGACGAAAGCGACGGAAGAAGTCTAGTTGTAACTACTCGTATTAAAAAATTCGCCTAATTAAACTATTAATTACTTTTGGAAGAATCGAAAACTCTGTTGTTTAACTACCGACAACCGGTTTTTACTAACGTTTGTAACATAAACACCACTAGTAATTCCATAAGTTTTAGTTGGAGATTTGTTGAAAATTTCTTGACGACCCCACAAAGTCCACAGAAAATACAGATGGAAAATGTTTTAAGTCTGCTTTTTAAAACGTTTTTTCTCAAGCGTAACAACTCAAGAAGAGAGAAAAAATACTCCTTCAGATAAGTAAAAACCTTTCTGATTAACTGCTATTTTTACAAAACCAGCAACCCAGCCCGACTTTGCACGGGATTATTTGTCTGGTGAAACGATGTTGTATATGTGTATTATTTAATTTATTTCAATTACCCGAAAAATATAAAGAGTTTTTATTACAAAACCTTCATAAAATGTACACACAAACCTTTCTCGTGAATCTATTTTAATCTACAGGTGAAAACCATATGAAAATCCGTACAGTAGTTTTTGTGATTATCGCGTTTAGACAGACAGATAAACAGACAGACAAACTAAGATTTTGTAGTGATTTGAGTGCTAAAAATTTTCCGGACTTTCAGTGGTCCAGTCTGACACTGAAACAACGTGGAGATTCTTTTATTAACTTAATACAAAGTACACAGGGAAAATAATAGTTCAACTCGTCGCAATTTTTATAAATGTCTTAAATAAACGGCCGTTTCGATGTCCTACTTCGACCATTGTATGTATATAAAATAAATGATACGCCAGAAAATAAACCTTAATAATTAAGTATTACTAATTTACAAAATTATTTTGTATAACCTACCGATGCAAATAAAATTGAGAAATGTTTCTTAAATATGTATTACAAAATTCATGGGTTAAAAAAAATAAGTGGCGCCTCATTCACGCGTCAGTCATCAAAGTAAAAGTGATGTGTTGTAGTGTTGGCACAGCTGAATATCAAAATTAGTTGGACAAACAATTAAAACTGTTGGTTATTTTTGTTTGTCGTTAAATTTGAACTAAATTTGTTTTCGTGCCTTTCTTTTAATGACCGAAAAGCATTTTAGTGGTGGACAGTGCAGCAGGTGTTTTTATTTGCGAAAAACTTAAAACAAAACTGGTCGAAAGTTGTTTCGGCAGAACTTCCTTCGTTCCTGAAGTACAATGAAATATCCAGCATTTTTCAGTTTGAGTTTTTCTTTACACAATTTTGTGATGACGTCATCAACCTTTTTGCGAGGACACGTATATCAACTTGGATTGGTGCAGTATAATACTAAAAATAACAGTACTGTATTCCTAAAATTTTCTGAGAAAATGGAATGAGCCGCTCCTGATTTAATCAATAAAATAAATTGTCTCATTCATTAATTTTTTTGAGCCACCTGTTTAAGCAAATCTACAAATACGAATGCAATGATAAATCACAAGTCAAAACTCATCATATTTTGTACTTATTCGGCAAAATTTTGAGATGACATCATCAGTTTTTTGGCGGGAATAAACAGATATGTATATTTTGATTAACAATTTACCATGCTTACAATAACTTTAAAACGTCTGCAAGATTTCAAAGTATTCAGTTTTGCAATTCTTGATTTATTCAATAAAATAAATTGACTGATTTAGTTTTTTTTGAGTGATCCTGTATAAGCAAATCTAATAAATGACGTTCTTAATTTGATCAATAAAAAATTGATCGAAGGCTATACATAGTATAATCCGACAAATCCAGGTCTTTAAAAAAATTATAAATTTGATTTTACGATTTTCGTTTTGTGATAAGCGCTACAAAGTAAAAACCAGATACATACATAATACCCCTTATCCTTCAGCAATAGGTAACAGCAATCTGAAGCACAAGTGTTTATTTATCTTTATACATCGGAAGAATGTCACGTAGCAGTTAGTTTGATTTGAATGAGTTTGTCTTCTTAGAACAGGACTAAAAAGATTGATTAAACCACAATCGCACAAAATGTTCTGAATATTATAATTCTTATTTTATCATTATCACATAAAGACGTGCGTATTCTTCACACTTTCGAGAAAATGACTCGTTCTTAATTTGACCAATAAAAAATTTGTGATGACGTCATCAACATAGTCACAGCATAAAAGAAAAGTAGTCACAGCGTTATACCAATGCAAGAAAAAAGGAAATAATGCTGGCGATCGGACGGCAATGAGCATCACTTCCGCGATGCCCAAGCCTGATAATAACATTCAGAATATTTTGTTCAATTGAGACTTATTAATAATTTTATTCTCTGCTTTGAGGCGATAAACATATTCAAATAAAACAAATGTCTACGTGACATTCTTCCGATGTATAAACATAAACACTTGAAACACTACACGTATTTCTCAGTACAACTATTCCCGTGAGTGCTGTAAATATATTTTACAATGTGCGTACTTGTGCAGAGACGGTTTATAGGAATACCCCTGGGATTAATTTAAGCGAACCCTTTTTGCCTAAATTTAACGGAAAATATATATTTTTTTTTGTTTTAAATTTGGTTATTACAAAAATACGATTTCTTCTTCGACTGACCATTTGTTAACACATATGATCTTGAAATTGTCCAAAATGCAAAACTGGCCACTGAATTTTGTTTGCAGTATCGTTTCTCATTCTTATTTTGCTTTTTTTTATCGTTGAATAAATTATACCGCAGGCTTTTGAAATTATTGCATTTGCATTTACATTTTTTGGATTTGTTTATAGAGGGTGATGCAAAAAAATAATTAATTACTCAATTTATTTTATTGATTAAATCAAGAACTGCAACACCGAACGCCTTGAAATCTTGCAGGCGTTTTGAAGTGATTGCAGACTTGGTAAATTTTTAATCAAGATATGTCTCTTTATCCCCACAAAAATTCGATACGTCATGTCCAAATTTTGCCGATTAAATGCTATTTAAATTGTGCAAAATATGATGAATCTGCACTTGTGATATATCATTACATTAATATTTTTTAAATTTGCATGAATAAATTAATTTATTTTATTGATTGAATCCAGAACGGCTCAGTCCATTTTTCTCAAAATTTTTTTTGGGGGGGGGGGGAATATAATCCGAAGTTGAAATACGTGTTTAAAGTAAAAACTTATTTGAAGCACACCCGTAGCATGTTTCTTTACATTTACTTTAGCATTACATATTTACATATGCTTATTTCAATTATAGGGGTTCTCATAAAAAATATAAAATCTGCAAAATCAAATTTTATAATTTTTGGAAAATGCTGAATATGTTTCATTGTACTTCAGGAGCGAGGGAAGTTCTGTCGAAACAACTTTCGATCAATTTTTTTGTACGTATTTTTGTACCTTGAATTGTAATTTATTTCTATATAAAATGTTCTGATCACAAGTAGTTTATTTTCATGTTCTTTACTGATTCCATAACCACAAAATTTACAAATTTGTATCCTTGTCAACACACAAAAAATAATTTTATAATTTTATTGTTTATTGTACCTACATACTAATTTCGTTGTAAACTTTAAACTAGTAGAATCGAAAATTTTGTTTTTATTTTTCCTAAAACTTCTAACATGTTCAATAAATGTGAACAAGGGTTTATGATTTTTCAGTTTGAAGTTGCAAAAATATTTTTTAAAATCAAAAAAGTCATTACTCTATGTTAAAATACACAAAACGTGAAAATTTGTGTAATGTCAAATTAGTTCAAAATACAAAAACAACTTTTGTCAGACATTTATAAATCCAAATAATTCGATCTTTCAAAACTTCGGATACAATAAAGTGAGTCGTTGTGAAAGATTTGCAATCAGCGCTAAATTAAGATTTTTCTCTAATTTAATCCATCTTTTATTGTTTTTATTTCCAAAATTAGATTAATGAGAAAATTTGGAAAGCTTAACCTGTTTATACCATAATACAAATTTTGTGAATGGAAAATGCTCCTTTTGTTTCGTTTACCTTGATCAAGTTTTTAGTACTTCGTTTGGCAAACGGTAAATCGCGTTTTATTGGAACAAAGGATTTTTTTAATTACAATCGAGATTGCGCAAATCATCATTGGAAAGAAGAACAATAGTTATGTCCACTGTGACCATTTTTTTTATTGGTCGTACGAATACCAATATTTTCTAATTTTCAATATTTTTCAAATACTAAGTATATTAATACTTAACATGGTATACGCAGTTAATTTTAATTTGCGTGCTAATAGGGAAATACTTTGAGAAGAACACACCGGCAAATTTATTAATTTATAACTGTCGAGGCTAGTGGATTTACATAATACTTAGTTAAAAATAGATTTAACTAGTTTTAAGTCATAAAAATGCAAGTATATTTACATCCACCAGTCTTTATAAATTTATCATATAACATTAAATAATGGGTCATAAAGACTAGCAGTTATTGCTATGTATGAAACTGACGCAGCATAATCAAACAACACGAAAACACATAGAATAGATTTAACATCTATCAAGTACTCACGAGAAAGCGGGCTGTAAGTATACCTACCTTAATATACAATTAGAATCAGAAACGTCACAAAAAATTTCAGTAAAATAAAACATGAAAAACTGATAGACCGTAAAAAATAGCAAAAATTACCATCCATCGTCAAAATAATATCCCAGAGGATAATTTTTGAAGAACATCACAAACGATGATTCACACAGTAATAATCACAAAATGTTCAACGGTTAATAAAAAAGCGAGCTTTTCGTTTCTCCAAACGGTCACTATAAATTTACACCGGAAGAACATATTCACTAAATTTGTGACCCACCTGTAGATGTTTCAAGTGAAATATTTAACGTCTCAAACTTCAAAGAACAAAGTATAGACTTTCTGGATTCTACAAGCTTTCGAATATAAAATCATTGCAGCAGACTAAAATCACTGTTGTAGCTAGCCATACTGATTAAACTCGCTGCGTCGTTAATAAGTCAATTGCTAATTACCACAGCGCAGCTGTTTGTTCAATTAAAAAATAAAATATGTAAAAAATTACGAAATTTTACAGTTGAGGAAGAATCAGTGTGAATCTCACTTACCATTGTACTTCAGTGGTCCAACAGCAGCACTGAGTTTGTAGTTTGAAGTGTTGGCCATGGCGAAAGCTGGAGCTTCTGGAAGCTGTACGGCGTCTAAAGCTTGTCCGAAAGCCCGTTCCAAAGGTCACACTAGGTGACCCATTTCGGGAATGGCGCGCGCAATTTTGACGTCAGCGCGTAGGAGGCACGTCTCCCGGGGTGGAGCCTGGAATGAAAGCTCCAGCTTTTTGTGGGGGTGCTGTGTGCTGTCTTGCTATAGATTTTACTTTGACTTTTTTCGGCCGAATTTCCACAGATGTGAAACATGCAGGACGTACGTGGGTTTGGATACCATTAGAGCAAAGGATTACATTATTTTTTTAGGATTAGGTTAAAGATGGAGGAAGGGGTTCGACAGGCGCGGCAGAGCTGACGTTTAGTTTTGGATTTATGGGAGGATAAAGATGTTTTCGGTGTGCTAGCAAGGCTCTAAACATGTTTTGAATAAAAACGGATTTTTAAAGACACCTCGTGCCGTACATTTGAAACACAACGTGGGGAGTTTTGAGAACTAAAATAATTTTTGTTAATTTGTAAATTTTATTACATCCAAAGACGTAAGAAAATGATACTGCTAATAAGGCAGTTCAAAGTGTATGCAGAAGAGACAAAAAATAATGTTGTAACAAAAGTAACTAGAAAGTATACAGAAAATACGATAGGAAAGACAAGAGAATGTAATTTAGATGGCTATAATAACAAAAAAATTTCAAATAGAAAGGCAGGATATTTAATTTTATTATTAACATAAATAATACCTGGTAGCCAGGTTTCAATTTTCATTGCTCATTATTCTGTAAAAACGTGAGAACGTCTTCGCTGAAGAATTAATTTTTGTGATAGAGACCAAAAATACTTTGTGAAATAGAAACCCAGAGTAAAAATATTCTCTAATAAAGTTGCCGCAATATCAGCATAATTTCCTGAGCGTAAGCAAAGGAAGTATTGTCATCGAGTCCGTCGGCCGACTCTTTACATGTACGTTTTCTCGACTTTTCTGTCTGTCTGTCTATCCGTCTATCTGCCGTCACAGACTTTTATTAGACAAAAGTCTCCAATTTTGTATTTATATTAGGAATATTATGTAAAATGCTAACCAAAATTTGTCTAATCATCCCCACCAATAATCTGATGACGTCACTTCAAAATTCTACATAGTAAATGGGTTTGAAATTGTATGAAATAACATAGCCCTACACATGTAGTTTATGATTCCGAATCGAGTTTTTATCCGATAGTCGTACTCATAGAACCAACACACGGCGCGGCGCATCTTTTTCAAAAATTATTTTGTTCCTTTAAAATTATAAAAAGAAAATTTAATCTAGTTAAAATGTATTATACGAAAATGTTGCAAGAAGAGTAGGAAAAAATATTGATTTGTTGTTACAAGAATTTTTGTAAAATAAAGTATATCAATCTGTGGAATTTATTTTGTCTACAATTCCAAAGTAATTTGGGCTCTGTAGTAATTCGTGATAAAACAATCTTAACAAAACTTGCGAAAAATATGTGCAATATTTTATTGCATAACTTCTCTAAATAAATTCTCAGTAGATTACATTTAATTTTCATTCGAAATGAGTTTGTTTGCTTTTGACAGACCAATATGTTCAACTCGCTCATACAAAAATCTCGTTTGCCTCAGGCTGTCATTAATCATGAAAGAATTCCAATAAGTCACCATTTTCTTTGTTCTCAAATGTGATGTTTTCAGAACACCAGAAAAACATACACATACACCAATGGGGTTGAAGAGCTACTGCGCATGTCATATGACCTTCTAGTTTACTCGCTTTGATCAATATTAAAATATTCTGGTCTAAAACGGCCAATGATTTAATACAGTCAAAGAAAAAATTGGTCCCATCTACATCGTATTAGTTATTTTTGATTTGTATTTGCGTTGTGATATGGTGGACAAATGTGACATGCAACTGAGTATAAATGCTATTTTTCTAAAATTCTGTCGACACAATAGGTTTTTATTTTTCTCAAAGATGTTAAGAGTTTATTGTTAAATTACATATAAGAGTGAAATTTACTTCACAAAATTTTGAGACAATGCCTCCAATTTTTTACATCTAGTTTTAATGTACAACAAATCTAGAATTTTTACTAAGTAATAACATTTTGTAACTTTGTCTGGTAAAAAAAAAGAAAAACAATACAATAGAGTACAATGACCATATCTATTCAATAATGAAAACAGGAAACCTGCGCTTTCGTATTTTGCAAGCTGTATAAAGCCAAGGCAAGTTGAAATTAGACATTCGTCAAATTTCTTTTGCTATTACCTTATTTTGTACATCGATGTCAACAAATTAAAATTTCTATCACCATGCACGTCTCTTTCAACGCTTTGGGTAATTTTTCCACCTTCGCCCGTTTCCCTTCAGCCTTCCCGCATTTCCCAAATCGGCTCAACAGATTGCCTCATCACTATTCCAATTCAAAATCCGCATTTCCATCTCCACGTCCCAATCTATCCCAACGCTTTACATCCACCGCCCGAGTCAATTGCACTCATTAGGAAGCCAGTGCAAACAAATTACCAGGCGTATAAATGTTCAAGATCAATTACAACATCACCAATGGCGGCACTCGCCGCCTCCACTTCCTTCCACCCACCCCCAAACATTCTGTGACGTCAGACGCGATCGTTCGAGCAGCCCCCGGGAACGAAAGCTTTAAAATTTTACACCACCCGTCTGGGGGCGGTCGGGGGCAGAAGTGGAAACACGGACGACGTCGAGGCTAAGCTCGGCGAGATGGACTGCAAAGTTTTGGGAAAGTTGGAGGCGGCTGGAGTCGGGGGCGGTTGTTGTAGTTGCCACAACGGGGGCGGATTTGATCAATAGTCAAGGGTTATTGGTGAAAAATTGGTATTCTGGAGGTTATGGTGGAGAGGAGGGTTTTTGTCTTCGACATAAAGACGTCTGGATGGGGTTTCTTTCATCGTAAAAGTTTCACTCAAGAATAGAACGAGATCTAATGTAAGTGCAACTCTTATTACAGGCTATAATTAGAAGATAAGAAGTTTAATACGATGAAAATTTATTAACGGTTGTAAACTCTGTATTAACTTTCTTTAATTATAGTAGAAATGTATATATTTAAAAAAAAAAAGAACCAAATCAATTGATCTGTACCAGGACGAAAAAATGTAGCCAGCAATAATTTTAGAGATTTTTATTAAATATTTTATTACACAATTTTATTTTTATTAATTGGCTATTAATAAAATATAAGTGAAAAGCAAGTCACATTGTGGGTCTAAGCTGTTAGATATTTTGACAGATTTTTAATAAAACAAAAATAGTTTTATAATTTTTTTAACAGGTTGCTTTTGTTTCTTTCTTATTAATACATATTTCCAAATAAATTCCATTTTCTTACAGTTCGTATTTTTTACGGTTTTGAGAATTGTAGCAACTTAGCAATGATTAAATATGATCGTCTGCTTGCTTTTTAATCGAGTCCGTCGGCCGACTCTCTACTTTTATGTTTTCTCGACCTATCATGACCTCTATAGTACGAAAAAATAAGTCTCCCGTTTCCGTCTGTCTGTCTGTCGTCACGGATTTTTATTAGACAGACAGACTCCGAAAGTACTGGCCCGATTGTTTGTCAAATTTTGTACTTATATTAAGAATATCATGTAGATGGTAAAACGCTAACCAAAATTTGTTTAATCATCTATACCAATTATGTGATGACGTCACTTCAAAATTGTATAAAATAATATTAATTCCGTGTTGAGTTTTTGCCAGATTTTTGGAAAAAAATCAAAATTATAAAACAACAGTAATGCTTTGAAATCTTGGAGACGTTTTAAAGTTATCATAAGCATGGTAAATTTTTGATCAAAACATATTTGCTCACTCCCCCTAAAAAATTGATGACGTACCTCAAAATTTTGCTGAACAAATGCTATCTTAAATGTGCAAAATATGATGAGTCTATACTTGTGATTTATAACTACATGTATTAATATTTTTTATATATGCTTATACAGGGCGTCTTAAAAAAATAATGAATCAGTCAACTTATTTTATTGAATATATCAATACTTTGAAATCTTGCAGACGTGTTAAAGGTATTGTAAGCCTGGTAAATTGTTAATCAAAACATATCTGTTTATTCCACCTAAAAAACTGATGACGTCATCTCAAAATTTTGCCGAATAAATTTTACCCAAAATGTGCAAAATATGATGAGTTTTTTTGTGATTTATCATTGTATTCATATTTTTGATTCGCTTAGACAGATGAGTCAAAAAAATTAATGAATGAGTCAATTTATTTTATTGATTAAATCAGGAACGGTTCACTCCATTTTCTCAGAAAATTTTGGGAATACAATATTGTGTAGCACTCCAAGTTGATATACCTGTCCTTGTTTTTTCTTGCACTAGTAATACGCTGTGACTACTTTTCTTTTGTGCTGTGACTAGTATTATCAATGTTGATGACGTCGTCACAAATTTTTTATTGGTCAAATTAAGGACTCACCCCATTTTCTCGAAAATGTGAAGAATACGCACATCTTTATATAATAATAATAATAATAATGTTAATCTAATCAATGCATATCATTACTTGGTCTTAGTACCCGTAATGATAGAAGTCTTGCCTGAATGCCGGTCATTTCCGGGTCAGTGGTGGGTCCTAATAATAATAGTGTAGGTCACTTTTCATGTGATGCGCGGATAAATGGTCGGTAGTTACGCTGGACTTTTGGGGATGGGGTGAGATTAGAGAATAATAGCAGACTAATTTGTATGCTGTAATTCTAGAATCTCGAAAGTTGTTCTGTTAATCTAATCAATGCATATCATTACTTGGTCTTAGTACCCGTAATGATAGAAGTCTTGCCTGAATGCCGGTCATTTCCGGGTCAGTGGTGGGTCTTAATAATAATAAAATAAGAATTATAATTAATATCATTACTTGGTCTTAGTACCCGTAATGATAGAAGTCTTGCCTGAATGCCGGTCATTTCCGGGTCAGTGGTGGGTCTTAATAATAATATTCAGAACATTTTGTTGGATTGTGGTTTAATTAATTATAATTTTAGACTTATGTTTTGAGAAAACAACCTCACTCAAATCAAACTAATTTCTACATGACATTCTTTCGATGTATAAACAATATAAACATAAATAAACACTTGAGTATCAGATTTCTACTACCTAATGTTGAAGGATAAAGGTTGTTAGAGACGGATTATTTTAAGTTCAACATGGTGAGTCATCAGAATCTGACAAAGGACTGTCAGTCAGTAGCGTAACATGCACACTTCAGAATTTATTTTTTTACATCGCAAACAGTAACACACGGAAACATGAACTTGATTGAATTCTGGTCAACACGCTAGCACGAATGCGGATGAATCTATTAGGTACTAATCTAAACAAGTACATGTACTCATCACAGGTAGAAACGTTCGCTATCACAGAGAAACGATGACGGATGCCCCTGAGAGTGCGCTCATTCGAAAATGCTGGATATATTTCATTGTACTTCAGGAACGAGGAAAGTTCTGTCGAAACAACTTTCGATCAATTTTTTCTTACACCCTTTTCAGTGCACGCAGAGATATAATAAAAGAATCATAAATCGCATTTATCGCTGCAACTTACAGTCGCCTAGATAATATAACTTAAAGTACACAAAGCTCGTGCATTAGACTAATGCAGAGATTATTTGGGCTAAAACGTGCTTTATCGATTCTAGTGCTATGTTATCTATAAAATTCTAATTACGCCGATGTTAGCTGATGCTCATCACTGCATATATAATTCCTGGATAACGGCGGAAGCAATTTATTAATCTGACAGAAATCGCGGTGAGTGGTTATTTAGTGTTTGGTAGATAGATATTGACATGTAAGTAAATTATTGTGTATCAATATTTCTGTTTAAGCATGTGTCCAAAATCAACAAATCGTCCCTTATGACGATGACGGCTAGTTCAAGCGGTTCGATAGTTTGTCCATAAGCAAAATCTAAGCCTCTTTCACTTTGTCCTATTGTTTATTCGGAGAAGTTTTTTTATATTGTTGCTCTTTATAGTTTCACACTTCTTAAAACGGTCACAACAATATGTACTTAAAATTTCATTTTAATTTCAAATTAGAATACATCAAACTAATTTCAAAAGAAGAAAAGTACCATTTCAAATAAAACCGTCAACTACTACCACTTTAAGTAATATTTCTAAAGCTAATAAAATGTTCTTTTTAGAATAGCTAGAAATGCGAAAAAAATATAAACGCTTTATATTTATTATAAACGTACAAAAACACTCCATCTCAAGATTTTGCAAAAATTAGGCCCAATTTTGCTCGTATTATGTCCTTAACACAGAAGTTTAAAATACATTTTTGAGCAAAAATTTGAAATGAATGATCGTTTTTAAAGAAACAGTATTTTTTTAACTGATTGTTTTTAATTTTTATTTAACTACCTATAAAAAATTTTCGTTGTTTTGTAACTCTCAAAAATATTTCTACGGTATGAATAACTCAAAAAATACTACTTAAATTTAGATAAAATTTTGTACATGAAATTTTTGTCAGACCTGCAATTCTTTATTTTAGAGTTATATTATGCCTACTTAATTGACCCAAATGAAAAATATGATTAAAAGTCGAGATAGACATTTAATTAATATCATGTCGTTTTTTTTCAAGAAAAGACGACAAAAAAGTCAAAAGTACGCCATCAAAAATTGTACGCAAAATGGTGTATTTTACATCGTCTGAACTTTCTATAATATAAGTCGAAAATTTCCACCAGAATAGTATAAAACAGCAAAACATTTGTTGCAATTACTTTGTAGTCTTCTAGCACTTTTTGTCTTTTCGTCGTGGAAATATTTCGGTTCATTTCTAAGTTTTATAACAAGAATCTACTCTAAAATTTCTATGTTAAATGGTGTTTCTATTCATGAAACATTGCGTAAGTCTTTCACTAAAATGTTTTCATTCTTCTCGTATCTAAAATTCTAACGGGGCAATAAACACCCTACTCAGTTTTTTATTATTTGGTTTCGTTTCCGAATTTATAGAAAACATTATCATTAAAAGAAACAAGTAAAAGAGTTAAGCTTTCCTCATTAATTTATATATCATTTGTCTGATTCTTCCTTTTTTTTTTGTTTAACAATTTTTTTTATTGTTTCTCATCGACCAAATCGAAATTTTTAATTTAGAGCTGTTTTTTTTTTATTAAAAGTGACTCGAAAATCAAACTTATTTTTAGTTTAATAATCTAGAAAACGTTTCAACTTTAATCAATGACATATCTAAAGACGATAAAAACAGTTACTTTCTTAAGATCGTAATTTTGAGAAAATATTTACATGTACACGTATGTATTTATAAAAACCTGATTTACTTCTACTAAAGCCTATGAAGCCTCAGGTGCATGTGACGTTTCCTTTTTTTTTAAATATGTAAATTGTAGGTATATTATATAATATATAATTAACAAAAAATTACAAAATTGTAAAAAATACACGATACAGGCAGCTAAACGTGAATGTGTATTTTACATAATTTCCGAGTTTTAAACACAACTGTCGTCAACTGTCAGCAACTCAGTGACGAATTTCTTTAATAACAAAAGCTAATATTACTTTCGAGTATTCCAGACACGGCCTAAAATTATGTCAGCTATAACCCTAACACGCGCCCAGGGCTCAGAGGCATTAGCAGAGCAAACGATTTAATAAGTGTCATCATCCTGGCAAATATATCATGTCCCCTTCAAACGTCATAAATCCCAGTCGCACACAGCGGCGGCGGCGCCCCACCCGCAAACAATTGAACATCGAACGTCACCACCAGACCCGCTACCATTTTCCGGATGGTTACACAACTAACTGAGCCACGCGCCCATGGACCAAAATGCATCCAAGCGCCCTTATCTGCTTGATTTCTTTGTTTTATCATTGCGAGGATCGCAGTTTCAGACCTGGACTTACCTTAATTAAATAAGTTTACAGATTCGACGAGATAGCGAAGAAGTGATGGTTTAATTACAGTTTTATGTCAGACTGGGAAGTTTAGCTATTGGAATTTTAATCGTCGCTGGCAGTTTATGAAATTTCGTGTTGCACACTTTTAAAGCGTGGGCGATCCAATTGCGCTTTGAAATACTAATTTAATTTAAAAATCTAACAGCAGCGTACATTTAGACAGATAAATTTAACGTTAATAGTAAAAAATTGCTCGAAGGTTATTGCGACATAACTTCCCTCGCTCCTGAAGTGCAGCTCTGTAAATCCCGCTTCTTTGAAAAATTATAAAAAAACAAATTGCGATTTTCATTTTCTGATAACCTCTATAAAATAAAAACCAGCGGTTTAAAAAACACTCCAGCCGCTTCTTTGACTTGAAATTTTCAATTGTTCAATTTATATATTTTTTTTGTTTCTCTAGTTTTTCAATTTTGCAATTTTTCGATGTACAATTTTGATTTTTTTTTCCAAAAATCTAGATGATTGAGTGAAAACTCAACATGGATTCATACACCACAAATGTCCAAGTATCTTATTAAATAAAAAAACAAATTTACTATTGTAAATTTTGGAGATGTCATCAAATTGTTGGTGGGGATGATTAGCCAATTTTTGGTTGGCATTTTACCATCTACATGATATTCCTAATGTAGATACAAAATTTTACAATAATTGATCCAGTAGTTTCAAAGATTATATATCTAATAAAAATACGGACAGACGGCTAACAGACAGCCAGACAGATAGACAGGCGCAAACGTGAGACCTATTTTTTCGTAAGTAAGAAAATATATTTAAGAGTAAGATCAGAATAGAATTTATCGTTTATTTACGTTAATCTACATTTATTTATGGATCTCCTCCAAAGTATCAATGACGTCATCTCAAAAATTGCTAATTAAATCTCATTTTAGTATATACTCTTTCATTAGTCGTTTAATAATGATAAATCTGAAGTGTCAATAATTTAGCTCAGATTACCTAAGAGGCTTTTGTAAAATTTAGTTATCGATTAAAACTAGTTTATTTAATCTCGTGCAGACAGTCTTTAACACCAGTTCAAAAAAAAAACTATAAATTAAATCTTCCGTCGAAAAGTATGTAACGCATAAAAAGCAAGGGCGGTAATTTTTTTTCTGTGATGCGACAATCGCCCATTAAAAAAGTCCGTCAATCTTTTGTCGACTTCCTCCGGCAGCGCCCACCCCGCCGTCCTTGCGACCTCTAACCGCCACCATTTTTCGCCTCCGAGCCGTTTCCCGTTTTCCCGTCGCCTCCGCCATATTTCCCCTCTTCCGCAAAAAAATGAATTCGTTTGATAAACTTCCAACTCGCAGGATATCAATACTGCTCCTGTTCCTGGTGGGCGTGGCCAGCCCGACGCACTTCAGTTACTATGCCAACGAGTCCGCCGATCGACCAATCATCAGCAGGTCCCAAGAGCGGCGCATCTGCGCCGAACTATGTTTGTCGGGGTTGGGGGGCGAACCCTGCGGCGAAGCCTGCCTGGACATCATCCCCCAAGCCCTGCTGTCCGTGTCTCAGTCCGACACCGGCGACGAGCAGGTCAACTTGACGCGCAGGAGCGCCTGTCCGGTGCTGTGCAAGAACCGGCTCGGCTACCCCCTGTGCGGGTGCAACGAGACGCCGGTGACGCGACCCTTCTTCAGGCCGGACTTCCTCGAGATCTGCGTGTTCTACTGTCGGCAGTACGACTACCACCTGTACGGGTGCGACGAGTGCAGCGCCTACAAGAACATGACGGCGGAGGACGCCGTGAAGATCGTCGCGAGGATCTCGAAGAAGACGTACGACTGGAACGAGTGGTGCGTGCAGATGTGCCAGGAGGGCGAAGGGGGGTCGGCTTGCTACTGCGACCTCTTGCCGCTGGCCCTCGAGCTCGACGGGAGCTCCTGAAGGCGCGCCGCCGCGCCGCGAGGTGCCGCTGCGCTCCGCGTCTACGTGTTCTTCTAACCCTAGGAGTAGTTGCAGCCCGACGCAAATAGGTGTACCTGGAAAATTCTAAACATGTAAATAAAACGCGAACAAAATCGAGTCTTCCAAAATCTGTACATACAAGTTATGGTTCTGTCTTAGGACGAATTTGGTTGATTTCAGAAGGTATCCGATAGATCTAGAATAAGCATATCATTGTTGACTACTGACGAGATCTAGCTGTGCTTCTGTTTGTAAATAAAGATTTTGTACTTTATCGAACTTCTTCCTACTTATGGTCAATAATTTCATTTAACTTGCTCTAGTTTTTCTATGATGTAACAGAAACATTTATCGTAGGCTGCAATTGTACAAAGTATTGTGGTAGGTTAGTGAACTTTTCTGTTAAATATTACTATTTGTTAAACAATTTTATCAACTGTTGTGTAAAGACAATAACTATTTTAGGAGTTGTAAAGTTTAAAGCTAAAATGTGTATCATGTTGTTTTAGCAAAATGTAAATTCATTATGAGCAGAATTCTGCTTTAATCAATGTTTTGTATTTATTATAATCACTGTTGCTAAACTTCGAATTTAAATCATTGTGATGGTTGTTCCATAATGCTTAGTTTTATTTTGTATGTGCTGTTATGATAAACTATATCAATTTCCATATTGTATTTTTTTACATTAATAAATCCTGATCGCCCCCTTTCTGCTTGGACAATTTTATTTACAAAAACACATCGACAGTTTGAAATGTAATTCTTATCATCAAGATTATTCTATTTAAGACTGGAGATATCCTCTGTTGAGTTTTGTAGCTCAGGATGTGTTTGATTGTGTTTTTGAGTAACGGACTGTATTTTGGGTTTCTGTGTTTATTGGGTGAATGTTTACACGTTACTGTCACTTGTGTTACTGACCGTTTCAGGGCGGTTGGTGATAAGAATGCTACCTGAGGTAGAAGGGGAAACAACCCCGATTCTTAGTACTCAACATCCTCCTTCACCTTTTTCATTTCCCGAGCGTAATCTAGAAAACTATTGAAATAGGGTTCATCCGGCGGACGACTACATATAATTTTCTCGACGTTTCATAACCCCTACAGTAAGAAACATAGTTCCGCCGTTTTGCATGTCGTTTTACAAATATCGTGTTGATGGCAAAACGCTAACCAAAATTTATCTGCTCATCACCACCAACAATTTCATTAAATTTTATAACATTTTACAATTAAAGTCTGCAATCTTGCTAATGTTTTAAAGTTATCACAAGGCTGGTAAAGCGTTAATCAAAGTTTAGAATAGCTTACACAGTTTTTTTTTTTAGAATAACTTACACAGTTTGACTCAAAAAATTAATTAATTAACTAATTTTATTTTCTTACACTGTGACTGGTTTACCTGTACTTTAACAGTACATACATAACTCTAAATTGTAAGGGTTATTTTAATTTTATAATTTTTCAAAGAAGCTAAATTTGTTAACTATTTTATGTGTGTATTTTTGTAGACAGATACCCTGGTGTTGCGTGCCACACACTTATCTAGTAGTACCTTTATTACAATGTTTTTTGTCTTCAACGATCATTTTCTTGTTGAAGTTACCTTAGTCTTTATGTCTCTCTTTTTACGTCCATATGCTCTTTGCATCTCGACCTAATTTCTTTAATAAGTAAATCAAGTTTTTTTTTTAATGGGAGAACATTTTTTGCCTTATCAATTTGAGATTCGGTTCTCTTTGCATTCTATACCACTTTTAGACTGCTATGAAAATAATAAAACTCCAAGAAAAGTTTTATTATTTGTCCCACCCTTCTATTTTAGTTTTAACAGAGTCCACCCTTGTTTTTAAATTTCATTAGGAGAAAAGTTCAGATCATTAAATTTTGCATTTTATCTCGAAAATATTATCCTGGATTCTCTCTAAATTTTGGTATGACACAAACTTTTTTAAAAAGTATAAAAACAAAAAAAAACTGAAAGAATGTTGCGAACAATTTTCTCTTTGAAGTCTGTCATCCAATCAAAGGAAATAATTCTTACTTATTAGTAAAATCACTTAAATGGAGCAAAACATAAAAAATATAGTTACAGGTTATGGACGAAGAAATATTTAATTTATTAAGAAATTAATTTGATTAAATAATAGACATAATAATTAATTTGATTTATTGTAGGAGGTGCCATCTAAGGGTCCACGACAAAATTAAAGTACGGTTTGCATCCCTGCTTTGCAGGACTGCAGGTCACTTTCACTTGTAGAGACGTTTCACGTTTCACTTCAGCTGTCAGTTTTGTCAGTCACTTAAAAAAAAATAAGTGCCAGTCATCACCTGTTAAATCTTAACAATTTTATCGTCAAAAAATAAAATGGGTACAATTAAGGTAATAAATGACGAAAACCACTTCCAAACCGAACTATCTAATGCCTCTACCCGACTCGTTGTGGCTGATTTTACCGCCAGTTGGTGAGCTAACCTAAAAATGTTTTCAATCACCACTTTTTAAACACAAAACCACATTACAGGTGCGGCCCCTGCCAAAGGATCGCGCCTATATTCCAACAGTTATCCACGAAATATGCAAAAGCGGTATTTTTAAAAATAGACGTAGATAAATGTCAGGAGACTGCAGCGATGCAGGGAGTGTCAGCAATGCCTACTTTCATCTTTTATCGAAACAAAGCGAGTAGCGTAATTTAGGTTTAATGCAGCGCTGCGAATATTGATTTTTAGGCGAAAGTGGATACGCTGAGAGGGGCTGATCCCACAGCTTTGGAGAATAAAATTCAGCAATATTATGGGTCCGAGGAGGGTGAAGAGGCGGAAGCTGTTTCTGGTCATGTATGTTAACAGATTAATAGTCGCGAATGCGAGACTAGCTTGTTATTGTAGATGGATCTTCAGCCGTTTATTACAAAGGCGCAGTGTGAATGTCTAAACGAAAGTGATGATCACTCATTAGAGCATTGCCTTAATTCAGGGGGTGGATATTTACAGTCAGATTGTGATGAGCAGCTCATTATTTCCATTGCATTTAATCAAGCTGTGAAAATTCACAGTCTGAAAATTAAAGCTCCCTCAGATAAAGGGCCTAAAACTGTTAGAATATTTATCAATCAACCAAGAACTTTGGATTTTGATCTTGCAGATAGCTATACGAGTGTGCAAGATTTAGAGTAAGTTGCCACAGTGTTATTCAGATCTGATATTATAGTGTAATTTTACCAGATTTACAGCAGAGGAGTTGGAAGGCAATCCAGTTAATCTTCGTTATGTTAAGTTTCAAAATGTTCAGAATATACAATTCTTCATTAAGGACAACCAGTCGGGCAGTGAAGTGACTCAGATTGACCATTTAGCAATAATAGGATCTCCAATCAGTACCACAAATATGGGCGATTTTAAGCGGGTCGCTGGCAAGAAGGGAGAAAGTCATTAAGAAACGCAATTATTTAAATTCCTTAGATATTTTACAGTTTAATTACAAAATGCATCATGCTATACATAAAACTTAAATATAAAGTTGATTCTTATCAATTTGTTACCTATTTAATTTTTGGATTTCTTTCAGTTTTTGTTTCTTTTCGTTTCTAATACTTTCTACTTGTTTCTTAACACTTTCATTTTTAAATTCAACTGGTGCTGCTTCATTCTCAAATAAAGTACTGACTTCCATTAACCGTGCCTGTTTATTTGGAAATGCGAAATTGAATAAATTATTCGATTTTCTCTTATTTTCAAAAATCGATAAAAGACCCCAATTTTCTGTTTTGTGTTCTTGGGATTCCAGTAACCACGCGGCATTGCGTGCTTCAACTTTGAATCTATCCAATTCTTCTAAACCGACGTTTTTACTAACATTCAGTCCTCTTTCTAGGGGGTTCACGATATACATAGCACAGTGTTCAGGTTTTGTTATGGCAACTGGTTCATTCAAACAGACAGCTTTCGAGGTAAAATCAAAATGCGAATAAAATTCAAAAAATTCTTTGAGGAGTGACTCCAGGCTCTCTTTATTTCCAGCTGGTTTCTTGAGTTTGTTTATGTTTCTGAGAAATGTGCAGTTTATGCCATCCTCAGTCATATAGTGGTCTGTAGAGTCAGCCAACTTTACCAAATTATTTAACGACGGAAGAATTGGAGGCGAGTGGGGTGGTTTTTGCAAAAACGCGAGTACCAACAATGTTAAAGAGAAGTTAGTTATCCATCGCCCAGGACTTGAATTGGTTAAACCTATTTCACAGGCCCATTTACGAATTGTGAAGATTAAAGGGCGAACTCTGTCGTCAATGGATCCCATGATGTATAAAAAATCGGACATGTGAACGCCAGACCTACAACGGTATAGTAAAAGTGATAAGGAAATAAATCTCCAGAATAACATACATATTTGACATGGATAAATCACACTCGACATCTGTTAGCTGCTGATGGTACTTAATTATGGGTACTCTTGCTTGAAGTATCCTCCTAACATGCGAACACCCTGGTAAAAATAACTGTAATAAGTCGCCCATCGCTTCCATGTTTCTCTGCGAGGCAGATCGTTCAGAACCAACTAACGCCTTACAGTGAAACATTAATCTAGCGTCGCTTTTTACTTTTTCGTCGGACAACCTTAATACCAAGTCTAAGTCACACTCCATTTTCCCAAATCCATTCACTGATGATCCAAATGGAAACGCTTTCGCGCTGGGAAACATCCCCCTAACAGCATCTTCTACTTGACATGCTGTCAGAAAGCGCAGTCTTGTGCCCAGATCATTTAACTTGGTGAAGTCATAAAGTTGTTTCATCTGATCAGAAACCTAAAAGAATCATTGCATTATTGAACACTGATACAACTAAGTCATTACAGAATCACATTTTTTCAATAAATCAACTATCTCCGCTGCTGTTAAATTGTTATTGCCGTTTTCAGCGTTCAAAATGGCAGTTTTACTTTGTTTTAATTTTGGTAGTTTTCTATTTGATGCCCTAAACCATAAGAATTGTGAATGGACAGGAATAATCTGCGAGTCTTCGACATATGAGCTTTTATCAAGGATACTTGTTACATCCTTCTCAGATGCAAATTCAACTACAATAAAATTCTGAAAGAATAAACGTTAATGTGGAAACAACTAGAAAGGGAAACGTACCATGGGTTCTACTCCGACTGTGTAATGAAGCATCTGCTTTACAGATCCTACTGAACTGCAATAGGCATGCAGTTCTTTGAACGATTGTGAGGACTGAACTTGAACAACGATGCTTCTTCTAGCTTCTGCACGTCTAGAACTAACCATATCCGCAAAAGCTACAAACTTTGTACCTTTTTCTGTTTCCGTGACTAGAAAAAATACTGTAATAATTTAAAAACATAACCTCGAAATCTATACCTTTAAGCGACGACATTCGCCGAACGTTTTTTCCATCGTTTAAATTTAATTTTATGTTTCTTCCAATTGCGTTTTGTACACCCCGTCGAACGTGACATGATAAAAATACCGACATTTCGAACAAGGGGGCTCAAAGGGATGTGACTAATGTCACACGTGTCGGTTTCCAGGTTATGTTTATTTCAAACGTGAATATCGAATAATGGGTGACAAAACACCGAAGCGTTCACCCAGTGTCGGAAATAAGGGTTTTTCTCCAGTTGCTCGTAAGTGTAAGACGTTAAATTACAAAGTTTGAATTTAATGGTTGCAGTGCCAGAGAGTCCAGCTGCTGCCTCTCCACAGAAAAACTTGACGGGATTTCCACGGACCGTCAGGGATTTGGCGGCGGATGTTTACAATAATATACAAATGTGGAATGATCTACACATTAAAGGCGCGAGTGTAGTCAAAGAAATAGCCTCCATAAAAGCAGATAACCCAAAAGACTTTCCTGGAAACTTAGAATGTCTCATAAATGAGTTGTATGGGTTGGTGCAGTCCTTGCGGCCTTATAAAGATTCATTAGTGACTTTTACCGCACAAATGCGGGCTTTGGAAAAATTACAAAGAAATCCAGAACCTCTGTTTCTTTCTTTGGATATTCATTCTTTGACGAATTTAGTGGAAAAAATATCAGAAGCTTATGAAGCTGAATTTAATGTAGGTGCACTATTGATGACTATTGCAAATTAATGAGTTTTTTCAGGTGAAAAACTTCGTTTTGGAAAATATAAGTTATGCAAAAAATAAAGATGATGCTATGTGTTTAGCGGCGCTGTGGACTTATCAAACGAGAATTACAAATAGTGTTAATCTGAAATTGGAAACTTTGCTTGTTGAAACGGGCCACAGAAAGATTACTTGAGTAAAATTTTTATTTCATGTATTTATTTATTAATTTCAATACATTAGACGTAGGCGATATTCCCTAGTCAAAAAGTTATCAAAGACCAGAAAACCTTACAAATAAAAAGTGTCTAGAAAACAATCAGAGGCTTCGAACTAGAAATACTCAAATAGTGGTGGGTAATTCTGAAATATTAAAATCATATAATTAATTGTGCAATTTTTATAAGAAAAAAATTTAAGTTTTAAAGATGGTTTGAGCAGGTTCTGATTGTTCAGGATCTCAACTAACTAGGGACCTAGGGACTTTTTACTAAAAGTCTCTAAATTTGAATATTTTTCATAACAAAGTGATGTTTATCGTAAGGACCCGACCTGGTGTGACTTTAGCCGCCCGAGCAGCAGCACCGCGCATGCGTTCGTGACCCTGTGATCTTCGATCAAGGTCGTTACTGTCAAAGATGTGAAGTAGTGCAGTGCGGCATTTCTCGCGATAACAACAAATTACTTTAGCGAAAGTAGAAAGTGTTTTGTTTCGGATCGGCTTCGAACTGTTTCCACTTTTCCCATCCGGGAATCCATGAAGAAGTGGAGATGGCGTCGGAATCGAAAAACCCAATAATACAACGACCTACTTCAGAAAACAATCAAATTTCTAGTAAGAAAAATCCCATAAATTTGTTTCCGAAGCAGCCGGAGTGCTCGCACGTGTCTTGCTACTGGTAAGTCGGCGTTCGGTCGTTGTCTCCGTCGTGCCAGTCAAATTTGAAAAAAATCAGCGTCTTGTCAAATTCCAAAATTTTGACGTTTTTAGTTTTGACAAGTTGAGGTTATGTTTTTTGTTTTGATATTTCTCGTGTCGCATCGTGGTGGGTCACCCAGGTCGCATTACGTAAGCTGTTTTGTTATTTTATTTTTATCGAGCATTAGATCTGTGATTTTTATCGATAGGTGTTGTGTGCTTTTCGTAGTGTAGAATATCAAAAATCGATGACAGGTATTGACGTTTTGGATTTTGAGGTTATTCCGGGGGGATTGACCCGAAAAATCTTTATGAAAATCTGGAATAAGTTGTATTAAGGGTCCCCCGAGAGAGTGCTCGCGTGACTCGCTCATATCAATTATTTCGATCCCCTTAAGAGCGTGTAATATTAAATTTTGGTGTATGCATAGAAAAAAATAAATTAACAAAATCAGGACGGCGCGAAGACACTCCCCAGGGTTGGTCGCGTTCATTTATTAATTACTAAACTCGCGATTTTGTCGAGGGGGTGAGGGGGGGAGGAGTGCTGGAAAAAACAACAGTGCGTCAATTCGCAAAAATACCTGAACCCGTTTTACATATGGTTATTTATTTAAATTATGCAAAAAGGATCGATTTCCTCGGTGCTATAAATTATAATCTAATTGTTCCTTTATGGCACTTAAACATGCTATAGTTTTTCAATATTTCATGAATAATTATCCCACAATGTTAAATTTCGCATCTAAACGAGTGGAGCGAGCTTCGTAATATCATTCCTCCAAAGAACGCTTGCCTAATTTAATCGTTACATTTTTATGTAAAATTATTCATAGTTCTTGCCTGAAGCATTTGGTGTCGTACGTCGAAACACAGCACGTTACATGTCTCGTTCTCACTATTTCCCGTTTCATTTCACATTCTTACATAATTAATGTCCAATAATGCGTTTCAAAATTTTTATATTAAATGTAATAGTTTCATGCACACATTCATGCGCACACCTTTGAATTTGTTGTTATTCACACAGCTTTGGTTACCCTCCACAAAGCATGGAAAAACTTGCGACTTTTTCAAACGAATGGTATTCTGAATTATTGTTCCTGGAATATTACATCATTATTTCTGTTTCAGTGAAGAAAATGTTTACAAGCTATGCCAGGATGTCTCATCGAAACACTCCAGTGAAATTCACAAATGTTTTGTAGTTTTTGTTTCGAACCCCAGTCGGACTGTGCCACTGTGGCGGCAACGAGCTGGCAAAGACGAGGATAAGCTAGTCATTTGGGTTTGTTATCGAAGCGACCGCGATTATGTCTCAAAATGCTCTTGCTTGTAGGATTACCATGTGATCTTTTTGTATCAACCCGAACCGGAGAAATGCTTAGTTTACGACTTAGACTCGGAGCTACCCTTTCCCACGTATGTACATAAATATGTGACGGAAACGTTTCGCACAGACCACATTCTGAAACCGGATTACTTCAGGTTTGTTTTTCCTTTTTCCTCAATCTCTACTTTGGAAATCGCGCTTTCGGAATTTTCTCTAGAACTCGCCAGTCACGTAGTTAAAAAATTAAGATTAGTGCCCGATTTGATGAATATTTTCTACATTTATAAATGTCAAAATCGATTTTTGAAACTTTGTAATCGTTAATGTTGCGCGCGTAAATTATAAAAAAATATTGATTATGTTTAGAAAAACTTGTCATTTCGTGTTTTAACAAAAAATCGTACTCATAAAAATTAAGAATCGGTAAAGAGCGGAAAGTTTGAGAAAACTATTTTAACAATTTTATGTTGTAAGCGGAAACCTTTACTTATTACATTTTTAGCAGATAAATTTTATGAACAAGACTACGCCATATATTGTAAAAATAAGGATCTGGCAAAATTAATTTCTTTGATCAGTTTTCCTAACTAAATGGTCATTAGCTTTTCCTTCACCGCTAGATTACTAATATAACGTCTGTGTACGTATGACATTTCATTTCAGTAAAAAACACAATGCTCATACACCAAATTTAAACATTGATGTCATATTTTCTAGGTAATTGTAGTTACCTTGTTTCTCCTAACAACTGTCTTTTATAGATTCTATTGTAATTAAACGCTTTATTTGTAGCGTCATTTTCCTGAGAAATTTCACTCTTGTGTAAAGATCCAAGTTTTCTGAAAAGTAAAATAGTCTTTGCACTATAAAGTAACAATAGTTACTTTTCTCATGCCGTTTACTTCAAGAAAGAACGAAACACAACGAAACTGATTATGACTCTTTTATTTTACGGCTGCAATTTTTTGAAAATTTTTGAAAACGCATTTTCCGAAATGGCAGTTGGCGCAACGTTATGATTTTAATTCGCTTTGTAGATATTTTAGGGTGATTCCGGCGAGTGATTTTTTAAAAGAGTTCTCCTCTGACCGAAGGCACATGAAAAGGCCTGATGGCACTTGGATTAAGCCTCCACCGAACTACCCCGCCATTCAGACTGCAGGTAATCGAAAAAACAGTTTCGTTCGTTTTTGTAATACATTGACTTGTTAGCAAATGCGCACAACCTAGAGGATTACATTCAGATGGATTCTTCAAAGGGTCCAGGGCAAGTCTTGAATTTGACTCAATTTGTGCAACGCTTCTATAAGCCTGCGACATAGTTATTCTAAGGAAAAAAGAGTGAATAAACTAAGTCAATTTTGATTTGTGCTCTTACATATAGTAACAGAGCATAATAATAAATGTTTGTCATCGAAAACTCAAGTTGTGCTTCTACATATATCTATCTAAAGTTTCTACTCTTTTTCTCTACTCATCTTGTTAACGTATATATGAATGTTGGTTGGATTTTTGATGTCTTGTTCGACAGTTTTTACAGCGATTGAAGTACTGATTTTCTTAGCTTTGATGTCAAATGTGCTCATTAAACAAATTTTTAACTCTCTTGCCATCCACATATTTCTTATGCTTAAATTTCACCTAAGATGTGATATTTTTCTTTAGGAAAGACATTGTTGATAAATTTCATTATGTAGTTAATGTTATATGTCCACAAATTTATATAATATTTATCAAGACTTTTATATATATACATGTAATGTACATTGTGTCATGTTCCAATTCTAAATATTAATGTTGGCGTTAAGAATAACACAGTTTTAATCCGTTAATCAAAACAAGTCGTTTCTTTACTGTCTTTGTATCGTGAAAGGCCGTAAACATTTTTTATTGAAATTTTTACTAAGACTGCACATTTGCCTTCCATTTTAACTTTATACACACAACATGGAAAATTCATTAAGCCATTTGCAAGTACAATCATTTTTTTCTCAGGAGTGTTCTTAGCTTTGTATTCGTTTAGTTGGAGAGTTTTTCGTTTTATGATAAGAATTTTAAAGTACAAATTAGTTGAGGATTTTTCTTGCTTCAGTGCGTAAAGGCCTAATTGTAAATGTTACTTGTGATGTAGCTTAGCAGTTTTGTAATTCATGTCTTATCGATATAGTGGTATATTGAATTGTAAATTTGTACTTTGCAAATTCAATAAAGCACTTTAAACAACATGCTTTTTTTTTACCCCAAATTCAAAGTTCTAGCAGAGCAGCATTTCGTCTTTACAGGTTTCTGTAAGTGGTCACGTGCCCCGTATGAGTGCCTCGCATTGGTGTGTCAAAGACAGCTCACGTCGCCAGGGTGGGGATAAATATGTCAATGGAATATGTTTATGTCAAAGTTGTAAACGGCAACTGCTTTCATTCCTAAAATGTGTGCTAAAAGTTTACAAATTTCGTGTAATTTGTCGGTGATGTGTAGTGGTTTTGTAAATATTAAGTGAATATTTAGTTTAGTCGCTTTAAATAAGTGAGCAAAATGGCTTCGGGCGACACGATAGAAACTATTGAAGTTGTTGAGCCCTCTTTAACAATAAATATGAACAATGCGAAAGATCCGGGAGGAGTACGCGATTCCGCCGACGAAAGCGAAGGTAATTGTAAACATTCAAACAATTAAATCCTTCGAAAATTAACTCTTCTTTGGAGTGCGAGCCACGTCGAGTTTTTGGGTCATGAATCACTATTTAGCAAGAAATGAGTTGTTGTATTAGCAACAATGAATTCCTGCGAACACAGACGAAAAGAACAGTTAATTTCGTGTCTAAATAACACGACCTTGGCTGTTTTAAAGTTCTCGGAAATTACAGCCACTTACAATTTCTAACTCGTTTTTGCATGAATAACGAAGATCCTTTTCTTTTACAGATAAGGATACCACTCTTCATAGAACTGCTCAGGATGTAAGTAGAAAAGTTACCGAACAAAGTACCTTTTTTTCAACCCCAACTCAAAGTCGGTTTTCACAAATTTGTTTCATTTAACGAAGTGCATTTAGACTGTTGTTCAAAACACTTGAAACAGAAAAGCGGAATACAATTATTTTACAACTACATAAAACGCTACTCTATTTAAAACCTTTAGTTATGTTTAAACTTGAGAAATTATAGCGCTGACCTGATTTTTCCATTAAATTTTCGTCATTAATTCTAGTTTTTTCTGTTGATTACTCGTGAAGCTTTTTTTATGGAAATGCACTTTGGCAGAAGCCTTGGTCTGCTGTTCAAGGTTAATGATAGTAAAGTCATTGTGATAAAACGAAGTAGTATTAATTAACACGATTCCAGTCGTAATTATTAAAGCTGTTTTTGTACACTGGTAACGATAATATTAAAGTGTAAAAACAAAAAAAAAAAAACTTGTTAAAGGTGACATCCATTTGATCTGTAACGACTCTAATGACGTAAATTTTTTTTTTACTTTTTATTTATCTTCTATCACAATTGGTATTTGAGAGTGTAACATGATTATCGGGTATTTGCGATGAGAACTCACCTTTGAGTAGGAATTAAATTCCTCTATTCTTGACTATATCGCTTTAAGTTATTTCTTGTTCGTGTTCCCAAGAGTAGCTCACGTTTGTATTGACAGAATTCAAATTAAATAAGGAATCAGTATTATCTGTTTTTCTTTCCGTAAAACGCTACAATAAAAAATTGTTTTCATTAAATGATAATTGTGTGGAATTTAAATTTTTTGACGAGCTTAATACTAATGAAAAATGAAGTACTCTGATTATTATTATTATTATTTTAATAATCACCAGGTAATTATCATTTCAATTTGACAGAAATAATAATAAATTTTCCATTCGTCAGCTGTCCACAGCGTAACACTTAAAAAAAATATGGAGTGAAAAGGTTAAAGTATATTAAGACCTGAGTTTTTTTTTTTGTAATCAATGACGCAAATTCTTGTTTAACTTTTTATTTATCTTGAACAGTAATATTCTTATTCATTAGAGTGCCGTTTTCAGTAGATAATTCGTGGTTATCGCATGTCTGCGATGACAGCTCTTTTTTGTGCACGAAGTAAGTTGCTTCTTTGGTAGTCATTTCTCATCGAAATTATATTTTTTTTTGCTAAGTATTCCAAATTTCATAACACTAACTTGAAGTACATCTTATCGATGGGAAATTCGTGAACGTCTTGGCTCAGAAGTATCACTGGAAATCAGAGATTAAAATTCCATGGACGCCGCAAACGATTTCGAACAAATAAGAGCCGTGATAAGAATGGTAATGATCCGAAATGTACACACTGTACTTGAAAAGCACAGCGATAATTAGCTGACCTTTATGCATAAGAATGAAATGACTTAATAGCTCGAGTATGTGTGCAGTTAAGGATGTAAAGTTATGTGGGTTAATTCGGTTTATTTTGAGAAACGGATAGAAATTGTTCATGTTTACTAAAATTGCTGTCGTTAAGTAATTAAACATTAAAAAAATTATCCCGAGGAATGCAATTAGAAAGCTCCACGGCAGTTTTCGCACAATTTTTTTCACTAGTTTGGAGGCCATTGTGATATTTCATTTCACTTTCACATACTTTGCGTTTTATTTTAACTACGTACTCGTGGATAATTTTCTTCGTTGTGTTTAAATGGTTATCAGTTTTTTCCTGATTTGAGGTAACGCGTGATGTAAGAGTCAGATAAATATTAAAAATAATGTAGACGAGCGAGGTTTCCGATAATTGGTTATTTCCTGGTGATAAATAGCCGGTATCTTGTTTAAAATGTCAACACAAACGTAAGGTTAACGCTGTCACGAACATTGTCTAGATTAAGCCAGTTTTGTCAGTGAAAGTAGAAAAAACCGTAAACACAAAATAATGACGTTATGTGAATCCGTCTAAATCCAGACGGAGAATAAATTTTTAAGTTTATGATCAACACGAATCGATACGTAAAACAGTCACTGGGGTTGTTCGCCAAATAGCTACCCACTCGTAAATTATTTAAAGCCCGAATATCCTCTGTTGAATCCCTTTTATTATACCAGCAAAGCTGGGATCATACAATTCGAGGTAAAACACTGTTCATTTATTTACAAAATTCGAGAGCTACTGATTTTTTAGTGTCGTGTGGGTGATACTTACTTTTATCGAGCTATAAGAATGAGTTATTCGTAAGCATGTTTCGAAACAATAGGTCAGGGTTGCATTTTGATGTGCACATGGAGTTGATTGATTTTTACGATTTTGAACGTAATATACTTAGAAACACAAAATAAAAAGAACAAAAATCTGAAGTAAGTAGCAAAATAAAAAAGTGTAATTAAAATATTAACGAAAGCTAGAACAAGATTTAATATTACTGTTTTAACCTGTCGTTTCCAGTTTTAAATTTTTTTATTGAAAAGACTTATCGGCAAAAATAACCTTTATTGGTGCATTTTCATAACTTTATTCTTATACTCGCTGGATTTATTGCAGGAAACGTAACTAACTGCACGTTTAAATCGCCAATAAATGTCAGAAATTAATATTTGTTGATCATATGTATGGCGTGCTGCCAGTTGTACATACAGTGTATGTAACATGTAGCTGCGGTTCTCCTTTGATAAAACAAAAAAGTATATAAATGAACATGGACAAAACAGTCGTTATACGAATAAAAATAATAATCGGGGATTTTTTCGACCAAAATTAAAATTATATTTTAGGCAGTCATTAAAATAAATAACAGTGCGAAATTTACAGAGAAATGTCAAAATCATTTTGTGATAATGTTTCAGTGAGATTATAATCTCTAATTTTCGTCTAAAGAATTTATGACGGTAACACCTTTGTACAACCAATGAATACAAATTCGATAACTGGATCGTGCTTGCGGTCATAAATATCGGACAGATATTTTCCAAAACTAGATGTAATGACTAATGACTAATGACTCGCCATAAATTTACCTGTAAGGCCAATTGATATTAATTCCAAGCATTTCTCATGATAGATCTGAATTCGATTATTTATCGAAATATTTATGCTATTACATATAACTCCAGTCAATTAAAAAACCGTTGGTAGGACGAAAAAAGTTATTCTCGTAGCGTAAATCTCCCAATCTGATAAAGCTGAAATTTCTCGCACGCTTCAGCCATATTTCTGACTACCAAATAAATAACCACCGAATCAAAATATGCAGCAAGGAAAATATCGGCGAACTTTTCAAAACAATGAAAATTTTCGGAATCGAGTGGTCATCAACTGACAAGAAATAACGCGCTTACCAAAATAGATGATTCACGCTGACATTTTTTTCGCATTATCTTTTTTTATTAAACACATACCCTGATTACAGCACGGTATTATCTCTTTATCTTGACGTAACAAAGACCTTGTCAGTATGCAAAACGCAGTCTTAGAAATATGTTAGAGAATCGAGTACATTTGCATTTCTTCCCACAGGCCAGTCAAAAGCATCCCTCGAACATGGCCAAAACGAAAGCGGAAAGAGAAAAAGAACGGGAACGAAAAATCGGACACCGGAGGGTCGGCGTTGGTGGCGAAATCACCTATAAGAAAATTCAGACTAGTCAAATTATGGGTTCTATACAATTAGGTAAGTCGGTTAATGTCGGCTACGTGATCTAATTAGGGGTGTACGTACGAACGACGCGTCATACGTGCTATTTACCCATCAAATATTTCGCTCGAATGGTCGTTCAGTTAACGCCGAAGATGACACTATGCGAAATGTTGACATCATGTCTTATCTTATCTCTGTTGGTATTAAAATTGCACCGCTGATAGGAAGTATGATGATTTACGTAATGTTGATGAGTTCCATTTTTAAGGAAGGTTTCGTTGTAGTTGGAATTAGTTACTCATCGAATCTTATCGCAATTGGATCTTCGAATGGAAGATGTCTGTGTTGTGTTTGCTTAAAGAGGAATCGTTCTTGTCGAAAAAGATACAGTCGGGTGCGTAACCAATTCAGACCTTGCTTGTTTAGGAATTTTTTTTTGCGTTGTATGACCTTACGACTTTATTAGCTGCCGTTAATCAATAACACTTCTATATTGTACGACACGTGCTTCGAGTGTAGACTTTTTTAACGCCGGGCGAATGATTTGTCTTTGATAAGATAAAATTGACGGCCAGAAACAAACTAGAACAATTGGTTTCTGTTGTCCAGTTGTCATACAGAGGAACGTTTGGTCGGGTTAATCAGGCCGGGTTGGCTTCAGGTATTGGTGAGCTTTCAGCAAAATACCACGTAGTAACTATTCTGACTTGTTAAAAGCAGATCTAGCTCGTGAGATTTTACATGCAACTGAATTTCTTGTAATGACGTACACAAATTATAGTGAAATAGTGAAAGATGTGTGAGACAAGTTGCTGTACAAAACTGAAAAGAAAATAGGTTGGAATATTGGACCACACCCAGATAAACATGGAAATATAGACATTTTGTCTGGAATTTATGTAACAGTACTAGACCTGACGTCATCAATTTTCTGGGGGGAATACCCAAATGCCTTTTAACGTGATATTTTTTACGATAAGGGTGTTTCTTCCCTTTTTCCTTTAGGCTCTTCTGCTCAAAAGTAATGCAAACGTATTTCTAATAAAGTTAGGATTTTTTTACGATTTTTTTCTATTATTTTTCAGCATGATGGTCTCTAATATCTTTGTTCGTATTTATGTATTCACCAGGGGAAGAATGTTTATATCGATTTCTTTCAAATTTGGCACGCTCAAACTGGGTCACTAATGTTGTTTAGTTATTGATACGAATCGCACCAAGTAGGGAGGGATTGGGAAAAAGCATATTTTTATTGTTAAGTACAAGGATTTTTCTATTTATATCCAAGTCCGGATTCATTATGTAATTAAATTTGGCATAGGGGTTGCGGTTTGAAATAAAATTTAGTTCAAAACAGCACAAATTTCCGTTTTCTGTATGTGCGCTGAAAATAAAGTGACTATTCTATTTTTCTATTGAACGAATTTCAAACAAAATGTGATAACCTTAATTTAAAAAATATCGTAGCTGAAAACATTTCCACGAATCTCAATGATGGCGATCACTTGCTCAACATTACAATTGTTTTCATCTAGATTTTTACACCGAAGGATTTTTTTATAATCATCAAGGGAGCACCGTTATCATTTTATCTAGAGTATTTGTTATTGGTGTTTGCATATATTCAGTGGGGAAATTCGTAGCCTTCAGAGTTGTCCTTATGTTGTGACATGTTTAGAAACTTTTAATTTAATAATATAAATAAATATTTGCTTTCAAATAAATCAGTTAATCAAAGACTGTCGAGCAGAGTCGTTTTAACGATTCTTTGAAGATAAATAGAACGCTGTGAAGTTACAAAATACCATAATTTATTTTTTCGTCTACCAAAAGTAACAAGTTTAAAATGATGGGAGTGAACAAATAAAAAATTATAACATGCGTTCGTCTCTGAAGTAATGGGTTTGTCTGCTGAGTAATAATATTCATGGAAGTGGCCCATTTAATGGTGGCCAAAGCCTCGCACACATTGATTTTTGTTGTCACAAGAAAGAGAAACTATAGCATTGAGATACGAGTACAATTTTGTGTGATGATATAAAACGATTTCAATGTATTGACTGTATTTAAGCTTCTTAATAGTGGGCTAAGCCTACCACGAGAGGTTTTTTATTGAAAATGCGATTTTAATCTTTCATTATCTCAGTTGTTTTGTGTCGATCTGTAAAATTACGAAGCGATTATATTCTTACACCGATAACGCGATCTTTCTAATTTGCATTTAATCGTATTGTTCCGTAATTAGAAAAAAAATAGTAATGCCACTTTTGAAACTAGTCATTCCGGACTCCGAAAAATGATTTGTAATTAGCTCACTGTTTACGCCGTCCGCTATTACTATTTATAATTTAACAACACTTTTTCTGGCGTTTCATGTACAAGCAAACGCCCACGCGTCATTTCGTTGGTGACTAAGGGGGTGGTAAAAGTGATCGTGTAACGTACACAACAATAATAGTGATAACAGAAAATCCATTTTTTACCCGACTGCGTATTCAAATCGATAACATTAACGCCAGACATCAAACTGTTATCGTTTCAATTCATCATTGACAAGCTTTTTGTTTTCTGTTGAATCAATAGGTATTCAACATGCTGTTGGGGGTCTAGCGTCGAAGCCCGAACGTGATTTATTAATGCAAGACTTCATGACCGTCGAAACGACGAATTTTCCAAGCGAAGGCTCCAACCATACTCCAGCTCATCATTTTTCCGAGTTTAAATTTAAAAATTACGCTCCTATAGCTTTTAGGTATTTCCGAGATCTGTTCGGAATACAACCGGACGATTTTTTAGTAAGTTGGTGACGTCTTCGTCGATTTGGTATTAAAAGAGAGTTGTAGATGTCAATGTGTGATAGTCCTTTAAGAGAATTGTCCAATCCCGGCGCTAGCGGTTCCATTTTTTATTTGACTAGTGATGATGAATTTATTATTAAGACTGTGCAGCATAAAGAAGGCGAGTTTCTGCAAAAGTTATTACCCGGTACGTTGCTTTACGATTTGTTGATCATAAAGACATACAGCCGACCTGCGCACTTCCCTAGTTTGAGCGTTCTTCAAAGATTATGTTTTGTAAGATTGCCTGTAGGCTTGCAAGCTCAAAAGACTTTTAATACAATTTAAGTCCAAGGACTTGTTCTCTGATATATAATTTGAATGAAATTATGCAGCTCACAATAGATACGTACAAAAATAACAGTCATAAAAGAAAACTTAAATATGACAATAACCTAAGTAGCGTAGGTTCTGTGATATCTAGCGATAAGGTTCAGGTCGGTTGTCTAGTCTGTATGGTCCAGCAGGTCGCGTTTCTCTCTAAATTCATTTGCTTTAGGTTATTATATGAATTTGAATCAAAACCCGAGAACTCTGTTGCCGAAATTCTTCGGCCTGTACTGTTATCAATGTAATAGCAAAAATGTAAGACTGGTAATTATGAATAATCTATTACCTAGCTCAGTAGTGATGCATCAAAAATATGATCTCAAAGGGAGCACCTACAAGAGAAAGGTACTCATCTCTCCGTCCGAATCCTAGTTCTCATCAATTTTTTTTGCCAGGCGTCGAAAGCCGAAAGCCAAAAGCGCTCTCCCACTTACAAAGATCTGGACTTCATGGAACATCATCCCGAAGGCATTCTAATGGAAGCCGACACATACAACGCTTTGGTTAAAACTATCCATAGGGACTGTCGCGTTTTGGAAAGTTTTAAAATTATGGATTACAGTTTATTGCTGACGATTCATAATTTGGATCAAGCGCAGAGGGAGAAACAAGTAATGGTCGTTTTTGTTGTTGGTAGAGCTTTCGAATGGTTATTTTAGGAGAAACGATCTCGTACGAATTTGGAAGAAGTGCCAGAAGAAGGTACGTTGGCCGATCCTAGCGGTGCTATGATTCATAACGAAAGGGAGAGAGAGAAAGAAGATAGAATAGGGGCCGCGGCTTTGAACAGGAGCAGGTCCATCAACAGACAAAGGCTGGTTGCTCATTCGACTGCCATGGAGAGCATTCAGGCCGAGTCGGAACCAATCGACGAAGACGAGGACGTTCCGTAAGTGTGCGACAGTGTCTTCTCGATGTTCTTTTTGTGTTATTTATTTGTGTTGGGTAAATTTGAAAATATTGTGTTGATTCTTATGCGCTACTTTTTATTTCGTCGATAAGGTAACTAGATGACGGAGAATGTGGCACGACACTTTGCTGAAAAAAAAGTCGACTTTTGTGGAGGTACGGCAAGAATATGGATTATAAGAATTTGAAAAATGTAGAGTGGTGCTATTTATGGGATCAAAGTCCAGACAAGCTCATTATGAAAACAATTTCATTTCAAGTTCAAGATTAATATAAATGTATTGTTTACTTGTCGCACACCGCATTATTAATGCCGATACTTATTATTTAAAGAAAAACACATTATAGTGTTTGTAAAGAATGATATGCATTTATTTTAATTTTAGATATATGTAAAAAAAATGAAATTTAAGCTGTCTACAAAATTTTAAAAATTACAATACATGTCGTGCACTTGATTTTTTATTTATATCAAAATTAATTGGAAACTGCATACAGTGTGGTACCTGATTTCAGTAAATTTTGAAAATAGTAAAAAAGTGGTAAGATGGATATTAATCGTGGAAGGACGACGTACGCTCTTTCCACGAATATTAGTAATGTTGCAAACAACATTGAGTAAACTGTATCTACTGTGATGATGTCAGTAAAGTAGACAAATGATGAACTTAAAAAATAAAATAAAATGTAATGTTAATATTTAACGTCAATTCAGACCCCCGAGGAAAATTCGACTTTAAGAAAGATGGTAATTTTTTTTCAGGCCCGGAGGTATTCCCGCCAGGAACGCGAAAGGAGAGCGGTTGTTATTGTTTATCGGTATCATTGATATTTTGCAGAGTTATAGGTTAAAGAAAAAATTAGAACACACGTGGAAGTCTATGATCCACGACGGAGTAAGTTGTACGCTTTTCGTACTGTTTGGTTGCTAATGGTTTGATGTTTGTGTTGCAGGACACTGTATCCGTGCACCGGCCGAGTTTTTACGCGCAAAGATTTCAAAAGTTCATGGCGGAAAAAGTGTTCAAAAAGATCCCATCTCGTAAGTACTCGATTTTGTTTCCTTGTATGTGTCATAACCGATATGTGGGATCAATTTAATAATAAATGGTTTAATTTTTAACTGGCGAAGCAACGGGATGACCTAAAATGTTCCATGTTTTCTCTATGCAGAATAGTAGTTGGCCCTCCCACTTTTCAATGTACCATTTGTAAATGTAGTTTCTGTGTTATTGTTAACGCCAGGATTACCTCTTTTTATTACAAATTATAGTAGTGGATAGCATTTTTCTGAGCGTTGACGCGTTATCTTGCCGTTACCACTTCTATAATTCGTACCCAGTAGTTATGTAGAATGTTGGACTCTGACTCTGTATGTGTGTGTTTCAATGCTTCATGTAGTGGACTTGCCCGAGATAAAGGGCAATCATCGCAAGTTTCGCACACTGGTTACCAGCTATATAGGTAAAGTCCACCCCACCGTATATTTATTATTGCATCTTTTCGATTAACTTGCTACGTTTTCGAGTTTCGACACGTTTGCGTTTGGTTTTTCCTTTGCTCGCATTTGCTTCGGATTTTGATTTCTTATTTCATAATTCAGTCAGCAGCACCCAAAAAAGCCCACGCTTAAACAAAACGTACCGTGCATAATGCGATCGTGACATTTGTTGTTTGTTATCAGCACATTACTACTCGCTTTTCTATTATGTTTCCTTTTTTCTTAAAGCTGGCAGTGCAGCGTGAGTTCATGCTGTTAGGCTGCATATTATTATGGTGATAACAGTCGCGTGTGAAGTTCGCGTGGTTATTTCTCGATTAATTTTTCACCAGAATGCTACAAAAATCAATTTGAATTGAATTCGTCGCTAAACGTGCGGTGTCGACTCCCTCGTTCACGTTATAATGTAATTTCCCTAAAAGATTTTTCTGTGCCCACGAACGTTTAGCGACGAACCAGAAGTGGAAGCTTTCGTCTTATTCGAACTCGAAAAAATTCACGTGACTCACAAATGCTTGATAACGAAAGAAACATACGGGTGGGTTAAAGCAGGAAATAATTTTTTATTACCACTTTTGTAAAAGTACGTTGACAGTTTTTATCACCGACCGGAAGTGACCTCAAAAACAATAATGTCTGCTGGGTTGCATAAATTTAAGAGTATGTTCCGAGTTCGTGCTGTTGGATTGAGCCCTAAATTGCAAAAAGTTCGAACGTTGTATTCTTGGCTACTTTATTTCGGAAATTGGTTAAATCTGTTTCTGGTGAAGTAAACGTGCAAAGCAAAATATTGTGGACAGCGAACGATTCGACGAGCTAGTTTCACATTGTTTAAAAATTAAATTTATAACGTAATTACGCTAAAATTGCTCGTCAATAATGATAAAGTGTATGTAATGAAGCGTTAAATCATGGCCATTTCATACGCGCCGCTACGGTAAAGAGAGAAAATTTTAATTTATACCGGATTTACTTTTTCAGGTCTTAATACTAATCAAACGAATAAAGGTTTCATGTTCATTATGACACGGTGGGACGTTCTGCTGATAACAAATAGACGTCTTTGGGCTTTTTGGGTTTTTATATTTTAGTTCTTTATCTGATTTGCCTCACTAAATGCAACATTTCAATATTTATAAAATTGCAAACTACTTAAACACTAAGGTAATGTTGACTGTGGTTTGTTTTTGTTTAATGTGTTACTAATTTGTATTTGAATGTTATTTACTAACTCCTAACAAACTGTGAGTTCACCTGGATGTATTTTTTATTGCCCCGATAAAACTTTCATGTCGATTGGTATTTATTTTATTGTGTGATTTAAATTGAATCGGTTTGATTTTCGTGTTTTTTTTTTAATGGATTATTTCGTCCATTACAAATTGTAATAATATTCTCGGTGTTTGTTGCAGCGTTAAAGCATTCACCATCGAAGCGGAAATCGTTGTCGAGGCCCCTCAGACCCCACGAAGAGTTGGATAGTAACAGTGAGTACACCCCTGTTAATATTTGCTCGTCAAAGCTTTTGCAAGACAACAAACAATTGTCACGCGATTCAAAGGTCTCAAAGAAATTTTCAGTTCTATTTTTTTTTTCCTCATTTAACAATATTCGATTGCTTTTTCGTACTATGCTTCCAAACCGATATTCAAACAATACATAAACGACATGCTTTAGTAAACTTGTATGTTTGTGCTAATTCATGTGGTGTTGGGTTATACAGCTACTGTGCAGGCGCAGGTGAATGCTAGCCAACAGAACGGAAGCAAAACCGGTGAGTGGTCTCATTTTTGTATCGTATGGGTGTAGGCCAGTATCTAGAGGCAGAAGAATGTGATGGGCTAAGACAAAAAATTAATTCATGGAGTTTTAGTCGGTAAGCGTTGGTTTTAACAAAATAAAATTTGTGCGTTCTTTCACGTCCTCTAGTACTCAGAGACGTACATCTCACTATCCAATCCTCATAAAACTAACGCTACCAATCTACAAAACCCAAAACTCCATAAATTAGTCGCTCATGTACCTGGGAACTGGTCTGTTGCTGTTGGTACTACTTCTCCGGAACGACACAACCAAAACCGTACAATTTCTTTTTCATGCTGCGCAGTGAGTCCCACCGAAACGATACCGGCCAAAATCTCTCCCCCCTCCTATCCCCCATCCAGCACCCCGCTCACCTCTCCCCCTTCGTCGTATCCCGCTGTTCTCGTAGGGCGGTCGAGTAGCGAAAGTAAGCCCAAAGTGCCACCACCGGTACCTCCCAGAGGCACCCCGAAAGTTAAAAAGGGAAACGTCAACGGGAAAGGTGCGAAGCATTGCTTTGGTCGTGTAGTGACAAGAGGATGGCATGCAAATAACACGCTTGCGTTTGTCGATTTGAGTGATGTGCATGGCGGCGACTGTTCGGGGACGAAACGGGAGGGCGAGACGGGTTGGGGGGACGGAAGTGGGTATTGTGCGGAGGTGGACCTTTACGGCATGGAGGATTTGGTTTAGCGCTTCGGAGCGGTTTGGAAGTGGGTTTACGCGGAGGGGGGGGGGGGGGGTTGTGAGGGCGCTACTGGTCACTCGTTTGCCGGGGATGTAGAATTAGTTCTTTTTTTTCATAATATATATGTACGCGATATTTAAACGTGTTCAAGGGTAGATCAAAGTAATATACCTATGTAAATAAAACTCGTAACGTTTTGTATCAAAAATGGTCAAATTTTCTTTAATAATCCAGTTTTTGCTGAGTTTATAAATTTATTAAAATTGTAATGAATAATATTTGGGCTAACTGACAAGAACTGGTTAAACTTTCAACTCTGTAGCTGAATATAAATAAATAAAGTATGATCCTCCGGCGTCCTCACAAACTCCAAAAACCCCAAATTACCAGCAACGCCATCTGCGTGAACGCAATTTCCTTAGCGCTCTCACTACATCTAGCAAGTTAATGCCTCGCGATCTGTGCCTGCTCTTCTCGTTTGTTTGAATAATTTAGTTGTTTGTTTCCTCTTACAGCTTTAGTTAAGCTTCTTTTAAATAACTGAGTTGCTCTGTTTTTTTTTCATTCGCGTTTTTCTTGTCGTTTTGCTTGTTTCCGAGCACTACGTGTTTGCTAGTTTGTAGCGTTGTTGTATATGCAGGTGTAGCGCCAAGTTGCTGCAGTACACCACCTCCAACCTTTGACGAAGTACTTGAACAGAGAGCCTCCGCACCTATCGAAGGGGTTCCTTCTTCCACTCCAGCCAGAGTTAGAGTAGGTTCACATCACTCGCACCATCATGTGACTACGGTGAAGAATTACCGGGACGACGTAGTTAGGTGAGTGGACTGGGTAGTTCTAAAAAATTGGTCACAAATTCTGATTAACAGTTAACTTTGTTAAATATGTCTTCAAATCAAAAAAAATACAAAACCTTGTTTTTAGTTTTTGCAAAAATGGACTTCTACAGGTGCGGTGCATTTTTTTCAGCTGAAAACAACTTTTGTATATGATCTTAAATCCCAGCTCAAGATTTTAGAGTTTTATCGTAAACTTGTGCAAATTCTCTAAGCTTATACATATGTCCTAATTTTGCGAGTGCCATGTATCTAGCCTTGGCGAATTTGCCAAGGGTCGTGTCGAGTAAGTTGTACTTCTGCGAAGTGACGTTTCTGCGTTTTCAGTATAACGGATATTAAATTGGAATCTCGTGCCGAGACAAAGTCATCCCTGAGTGTGGAGTCCGGCAGCTCGGGGGCGGGCCACTCGAGCCACTCTCGGGGCTTGGCGTGGACGCCGCCGGCGTCCGTCGAAGGCTCGACTCCCACGTGGACAGAAGGTACGCCTTCATTTACAGAATCGTCAAGTAGTGGAGATATGGGTGAGTCGCTCTAACAGTTCTGCACGTTTTTCCTCTTTACTAACTCGTTTAGATTAGATTATTGATTATTCCATTTTTTGGATTTTTTGCACTCTCCTCTTTCCTCTGTCGAAAACTGTTGAAATATTGTTACTCGAGTAGTTTCCACACGCAATAATCAATAAACCTAATCTGTCGCTTTCATCCAAGTAATTATGAGTGGGGATGTGCATTAGCGATTAAGTAGACTTAGTGAAAGCTTAGTTAAGACGAAGCGATGTGTAGGATGCCCGACGACGCCGTTGCGTCAATCGTCGAACACTTCGATGAAGGCCGGTCAACACAAGCAAACTGTGGAACACGCCATCAACTGCCTCACCTCTGAAATGGTGAGTCCCAAGCCTTAGACACAATAAAGCATCTTACACCCAGTCATATCGTTTGTTCGACTTGACTTTTAACTGTGCGGTTTAGAGTCTTGTTTTCAGTGTGGTTTTTGCAATAACAATTTCACCCTAATTAGTCACGTTTAGCTTCAGTCACACACTTTGAAGGTTTCGATCGACCACAAGACGGCGAAACCTTCGAAGGTTCGCACCACTGGTTTCACCATGTAAATCAGTTGTTATTACACGTTATGTAGATGAAGTTCAACTGTTGATTGCGGATGGGTTTCTGTTGAAACCGGTTTTTGTCGTCACGGTAACTTCGATTGCATCGAATACGGCCGCCGTGATCGAAAACCGCAAAAAATATCTGTACCTGAGAGCGCAAAGTGCATAACTCCATTTTTACATAAAATTGGATAATGGGTATTTTTTGGTAAAAAATGTTGACGCTTTTTTGTCTAATTCAGGTATTTACAATTTTTTATTTGTTATATTCAGTATTTTGTATTATATATTTAGAATAAGCTAATAATTTGTCTGGTATGTAAAACGAGCCACAAATAATTGCTCTCACTGAAAACTGAGAATTTGGAGTTACGCACTTTGCGCTGGCAGGTACAGATATGTAGAAAAGTACAACGTTATATATATATATATATATATATATATATATATGTTAATGATAACTTTCGACCTCAAATTCTCTCACGTATATATACTTTTGGGCTCAAATTCGAAGTTTCGGCCTCGCCGTAGCTTTTGAGGCCGAAGTGACTCACACATTCAACGTAACATTTGGACTCACGCATATCCAGTGACATCTTTTAACAGTAATTTTAACAATTTTGGTTTGAGAAAAGATTGTTAAGTATAAAAGTTGGTTGCATAGATGATTTACTTAACAAAGCTAATATTATGACTAGGTTTTATATAAATGCGGGAAGTTGTTTGAAGGTAGTAATTTCCAGAAGAATGTTGGAAATTTATCTAAAATTAAAGAAAATATAAAGCAACTGAAAACAATTGGACAGTAGAAGAGCCAAAAATTCAGAAAGAAGTTAGAGAGTAAGAAAGAAAAAAAAAAGATACACAACAGCTATAGAATGTAAGAAACGGAAAGTTGAGGACATGGAATGAAGACAGGGAAATTTGGATGAAAAATTTTACAAAGAGAGTTGGAATTAACTGAGCAAGGAAGCATAAAGAGAAGGGGTGGTAATTATAAAAAAAATAGAGAGGGAATGGAAAAGAAAAGCGGGGAGGACAAATGGGGTTTAAAATTGCTTGTTTGAAATATTGCATTATTAAGAAAAATAAACAGAATTTATTTAATGAGTACATAAAATTTTGATTTTGTGTGATTAACAGAAACATGGATACTAAAGAGTAAGGGGAATAAATTGAACAAGGAAAAAGGAAAAGTTGAGGGTGAAGCAAGTGGGGGATCCATAACAGGGGTGACAAAAGATATAAAACAAATCGAAGAGCGGGTAATAGAAGTGGAACGCATAGTGGAAAGAAAGATAAAAGAAAAAAAGAATTTGCATATTGTATTGCATTGGAATTACAAAAAATTTGAAGAAAAAAATTTAAGAAAAAATTGAAGAGTCTAACGAAGAATTTCTTCTGATAGGAGATGGTTTTAACGCCAAAATAGGCAACAAAAGCAGGGAATATAGCGGAGAACGCACAGAAAAATCTAAAGATAAAATTTTAAATAAAGACAGAAAATTTCTATGGAAATTAATTGAAGAAAGAGTTTGGTAGTCTTGAATGGGGTGAAGGAGGGGGATGAAGATAAAGAATTTACCTGTATATGTAACCCAGTAGCTGATGAAGAAGCCGAAACATTTAAATTAGGAGAAAGAATTGATTCCGACCACATGCTATAAGAAGTAAAATTGAGGGATAGAAGTAGAAAAGTCGGAGTCACAAATAAGGAAGTAGATAAAAAGGAGAAGGGAACTGAGCATTATAAAAGATGTTGGAAATTGAATTCAAAAGAAGTAAGCTAAAATAAAATAGAAGAATTAAAAATAACAACTGAAAAAGCAGCAATAAGAAAAGCATTTATAACGAAGAAATCAGAAAAGAGAAACAAATGGCGGGTTAATAGATGCAGAGATTTAAAAACATAAGAAAGAAAATGTTTACGAAGGTGTAAAAAGGGAAAGATAAAAAAGAAGAGTACTGTCCAGCAAGAAATAATAACAGGTCGGTGTGAATAAAAAAAAGAAGAGATTCCGAAAGAAGAAATAAAATAAAAGCCATAAAATCAGAGCAAGAACCAAAATAAGGAAAAACAAAAACATGATCAGTGAAGAAATGCTAATAATACAATGGAAGTACCATTTCATGAAACTAATGAGTGGAAATGAGAGTACTGTAGCGCAAAAGAGTTAAACCGAGAATGCTGAGAGAGAAAGAATGGCCGAACATTACAGTGGAAAAAATATGGAAACAAGTTGGAGGGTCGAAAAGAGGGAAAAGACCAGGGAGGAATGGATTGGTAAATGATGTATGGACGTTTAGAACGGATGATTTGATTGAAAGACTGTGTGAAATAATGAATGAGATGTGGAAAAGTAAAGGTCTCCTCGAAAGTGGCAACAAGGACAAATATGTCCAATGGCGAGTATAAAGGAACCTAGGTACAATGGGGGTTATACTCGTCTAAAGATAATATCAGAAACAACGCCAAGGTACCTAGAGAGAGAAAGAACGAAGGAGAAAAAGTAATTGCTAGACAGAGGGGTGGACATGAAGAAAGAAACAATAACTTTTGCTTAAGCGAAAGCAGAAGAATATATAGGATGTGTGGAGAAGTGCAAGAGACTTTAGAATACATGCTACAAGACTAGAGCGAAATTAAAGAAAAAAGGAAAGTATAACAGAAATATTGAATGCAGATGGAAGAGAAGCAGGGTGGATGAAAGGAGTGGAAAAGAGCGGAGTAAGGCTGGAGCAAAGGGGATGCGATAAAAGAAGTAAATTGTAAAATCCTTGATTGTTGACCATTATTATTGCTATATCACACCAAAATAGTATAAATAAAAATAAATAATTGGCAGAGTGGTGAACTATCTAGCCTAAAATTATTTTCATCTTTTGTACAATTCGGCCTCACAGAATCGTAGAAAACAACTTTCAAACTTACAACCCAAGCTAAAATTAACTTAATAGCAGTTATTTTAATAACAAATAAGAGAAATAAACCTACAAGAAAAAGTCATAATTGTGTTATTAATTATGAAGTAACTATTAAAAAAATCTAAAGATTGTGATGCCAAAAGTTACTTTAAATCAAATAATGGCTTTCATCCATAGAAACTTTTGGCCTCATAATTACATGACGAATAACTTTCGGACTCATGTGCTAACATACATTAAAGTACAAGGTACATAAATAAATCTAAAATCGGAAACCCAAAATTTGGTCAAATCGAGGCAGTAAAATTCATGTGAATCAATATTCGGTGCTATATATTCAGGCACACCCCCAAGTGTAAAGATTCAGATTTTTTCCATAATACGAAACATTTTGTATGAAGTTAAAACAAAATTAGACTGTGAATGGTAGAAGTATCTGTAGACGCATTCATAAAAATATTTTTTATTCAAAGTTAAAGTGATAATTTGCATTTTTTAAATACTTGCTACTTAGCCAAATATAAAGGACGACAGGTCCAAAGTTGCTATTAATGAGCCAATTATTTTGATATGTTTGTTTCCATATTAACGTGGGTATAAAGTTGGGTTAGGTAGTTCTGCAATCAACCAATTATTTATTTTTATTTATACTATTTTGGTGATACCAGTTTCAGGGTTCATCCCCTTTCTCAGCCACCTCGTCAGTAGACTTATAACACATTAAAAATGTCAATATTTGGTTAGATTTTTAGACTTATTAGTGTTAATATTATCTGGAAATTGATGTGCCGTTTTTTGATCCTAAAATACTTGATTTTTGACCATTATTCTTGCTATACCACACGAAAATAGTATAAATAAAAATAAATAATTGGCTGAATGTTGAACTATCTAACCTAAAATTATTTTCATCTTTTGTAGACTTTGGCCTCACAGAATCGTAGAGAACAACTTTCAAACTTACAACCCAAGCTAAAATTAACTTAATCGCAGTTATTTTAATAACAAATAAGAGAAATAAACCTACAAGAAAAAGTCATAATTGTGTTATTAATTATGAAGTAACTATTAAAAAAATCTAAAGATTGTGATGCCAAAAGTTACTTTAAATCAAATAATGGCTTTCATCCATAGAAACTTTTGGCCTCATAATTACATGACGAATAACTTTCGGACTCATGTGCTAACATACATTAAAGTACAAGGTACATGAATAAATCTAAAATCGGAAACCCAAAATTTGGTCAAATCGAGGCAGTAAAATTCATGTGAATCAATATTCGGTGCTATATATTCAGGCACACCCCCAAGTGTAAAGATTCAGATTTTTTCCATAAAACCAAACATTTTGTATGAAGTTAAAACAAAATTACGACTGTGAATGGTAGAAGTATCTGTAGACGCATTCATAAAAATATTTTTTATTCAAAGTTAAAGAGATAATTTAAATTTTTTTAAATACTTGCTACTTAGCGAAATATAAAGGACGACAGGTAAAAAGTTGCTATAAATGAGCTAATTATTTTGATATGTTTGTTTCCATATTAGCGTGGGTATAAATTTGGGTTAGGTAGTTCTGCAATCAACCAATTATTTATTTTTATTTATACTACTTTTGGTGATACCAGTTTCAGGGTTCATCCCCTTCCTCAGCCACCTCGTCAGTAAACCTATAACACTTTAAAAAAGTCAATATTTGGTTAAATTTTTAGACTTATTAGTGTTAATATTATCAGGAATTTGATCTGCCGTTTTTTGAGCCTAAAATACTTGATTGTTGACCATTATTCTTGCTATACCACATGAAAATAGTATAAATAAAAATAAATAATTGGCAGAGGGTTGAACTA